GTGAATCCTGGTACGCAAGTTATGCGGATTATTGCTCAGGTACGGAATACAAAAGAAAAAAAAGAGAGACAGAGCCCCTCTCATCCCAAGACCCAAGACCCAAGACCCAAGACCAAAGACTAAAGACTAGAAACGTTGGAGCTCGGATGACTTCCATGATAGGCGAGTTCACCCGTAGTCCAACTCCCGATGACGGACCCCCCGAGTATCACGACCGTGGCGGTCGCGGTCAGCCTGCATGCGCCAATAGTCGAGTGTAGAACCCGGCTGTGGCCGGGGAAAAGACATGATCATCGGTGGAATCCTGGATTCAAGTTGCTATTACAACAACATTGTGTGAGAAAATGAAACGTGTATCAATTGATGTATAATTCTAGTCTATAATTATGACTATACTTATGTGTGAATTTTGAATTATGATTATAATTAAAATTATAATTTTATTTCTTACAAACGTCCTTTGAAGTACTTACGGATATTATGAGTACGAGTACTCCGTACTCCAGGGATATTGATTCATGATGTGTCCTTGTGACTGCAAGGACTTGCAGGTTGTACTCACACTTGAAGGTAGATTAATTCCATTGCGACGCGGCGTTTCTATGTGGAGCACAATATGCCTCTCTTTGTCTCTCTTAGTCTCTCTTAGGGGGGGAAGCCCAAAGGAGGGGCAGAATTATGACCTTTTCCTTTTCTGACTCCTCTTAATCCTCTTAAAAAGCTCCGTAACCGTAACCGGGCTCTGGTGGCAACGTGGGTTAAAGGGATCCATTTTCGATGTCGATTTGTATGATCCCCACCAAAGTCCACGTTTGCTAACCCCCAAATGCTAATGTAATTTTATTTTGTAAGACAGATATGAAGTAAAACCGGGAATAGATATGAGGATTTAGACTCCAGAGACAATAAGGCTCGGGAACCAAAGGACAAAAAGAAAAGTCGGGCTGGTATGACTGTGACAAGCCTGGGCAACTTTCAAGATTAAATTTATGGAATAACCCATGTCGGACAAAGATCATCCAGATCGGCTGGAAGCAATCATGACATGGCCTGTTCACTCATCTCTCTCCACCTCAAACTTCACCTCCAATGTCCAATCTCCATCTGGGGTTCTGGAAACACCGAAACGAGAGAGCAAAAACCCACACCCGTGGCGGTGGCTCAGAAACACGGACCAAAGAGAAGAGCCAGAGGGGGGATAAAAAGTGGAGAGAGAGGGAAAAAAAGACGAACGGGGATTCGTTGCGCATCGGGCTTTTTTTTCGTAGTGCGTATCCATTCAATGGATCAATGGACTCTTCTCATCAGCTTTCATATCAACGAAAACGTGATGTACACTCGCCAAGATCCCCCACGGCCTTGGATCGTCGGGCTCCAGTTGAAGTTTCACTTGAAGCCCAGGTGTGAACCAGTGGCGTGATAACCGAGATTTCATCTCGCTTTCGCGTTGTATTGTATTATTATTATTTTTTTCTTCGCCCCCTCTAAGTAAATTAAGTAAATTAGTCGATGACCTAGGCGAAGTGTGTACTCCATAGTCGTGTGCCCGTCGTTGCCGGTTGCCGCCTTTGGATGCATCTCGTAGGCGGACCAGAGTGGTTCGTGACATGGTACTGGGATGGTCCATCACCGAAGGCGCGTGCACCCAACGCGTCGATGTAAAAAATAGATAGGAGAAACCAATTACACTTCCCGATCGGGTTATGATCTGGGTGAACAGTACTTTTTTTTTCCTGATCTAAATCAAAGTGTGAGGCTGGGTCGAGACAGGGTTTCGAGTCAAACGACTCCATCAAATCCCAAAATAATTTCTAAAATAATAAAATAAAATAAAAGGAGGGGGCTAATATGCGGACAAAGGTTCGTTTCCGGTTTTACAAGGGCGCCTGTGAACACCTTCAACGTGCATGATCGAATGAGACCGCATTAGACTGGTGGTCAAGACTCACTACGGAGTTAAGGACTTTGGGTCTATCAAATCCCCCCTGAGTTGAAATGAGGAGGCTAAAAGGATTTAGTCTCTCCATAATCAAATAATCGGAAAAGGAAAAAAAAGGAAAAACGTAAAAAAACCGAAGAAAATAAACATATCCGAGAATCCAGGTCTAATCTTTTGGACCAGGTTTTACGGGGACCGAGGGCCCCGGTCAGACTGATAGTCTCATACCAGATCGTCTTTTCAAGAGATTTTGGCGAGTGACGATCCAACGCGTCGGAGGAAACAGACCGGAAAAATAGGGTCGGGAGGCGAAGAAAATTGAAATGAAATTAAATCCATCAAAAAAGATCCAAAAAAAGGACCCAAATGATGAAAGGAATGAACGAATAGGAGAGGAGAATGAGCGGCTAACAGCCTCGGGGAGTACGCGATTAGTCACCTGTAGGGTAACGGTGTCATGATTGCAGCATTCAGTTGAGGGCCAACTTCCCATGGGATCATGATTCGGCCGTCGTACCTCCCCTCGCACGGGAATTCAGCCACCCCAGTTAGGCGGGTGGCTCGGATTATAGTGAGACTTGAAAGGGTGGATCCTCGCATCCTGGAATTCCGTCAAAAGGACAGGATCCGGGCCAGTTACTGTTGCCTGTATCTTGGATTAGTGATTGGTTAATGCGATGTTCATGGTGTCCACTTTCTTGACTTTTCCCGAAAGTTGTTCCTTAGGTAAGTTTTTTTTGGAGAGGGCTTTTTGGCATCCGTAATGTCCCCAGCACTTCTTACTGGGGGTGTGTCTGTGTTGCAGAGTGGGGGAGAGAAGGAGAAGAAAAAAAAGTGGAAAGCCAAAGTACCCATTACATCAGCATGCCCTTGGATCCTTACATACACCATTCTTACGCCGATCAAAACCAGAAGCGCCTCCGAGTGACCCGATTCCATCCCTTCCAAGGCGTGAAAGAGTATTAAAGGGCTTTAAAGGGTTAGACATCCTTCATTATTACCGTAACGTCGGGGTTCCGGCTAACCTCAATCCGGAAATTGATCATCTCTTCTTGGTCCGATTATCCTGTTGTATGGAGTAGTGTTCATTTAAATTAATTATTTTAATTATTATTTTTTGCTCTGTCACCAGCCTTTTCTTTTTTTTTCTAATTAATTTTTTTATTTTCCCATTTTTTGCTTTTTTGTACTATTTTTTGTTGGGTGCTTTGTTTCCCTCCCATTCCTTTCCACCAGGTGACGACTCCGACTAGTGATCAGCCACGACCTGATGTCTGTTGTTGCCCCCCCCTTTAACCCTGCGCAGGACCGGAGGCGTACATGCTTGCGCACCACACCCATAATACCCATGTATACCAATGTAATTTTATCTGGTTTCCCACCTGGCCAGTCGGCATTATACACTTAGAATTTGTAGACTTTTTGTGCACCTGGGCAATAAACCGTGTAATCATCGTTTTCAAAAGTTGACATTACTATACACTATACTTCCGTAGGTTCTTTTATTCAAATGTTTTTTTTTTCTATTTTCAATTCTTTTTTATAAGACCAGGCATTGGGCCGACGGTTGCAACGACGCTAAACCAGGCCAGATTATTGGATCTGATATGGGTCCTACAGAACACTTTTCCTCCAGCAGGTCTTGGATCTGTCCTCCGTGCTGAACCTGTTCCAAATAATAATGGATTCTTTATTGGATTTTGAATTCTTGTATACGGTTTCTGGTATTTTCGGTGACCTTGACCCATATTTTTCTTTTTTTTTAATTCTTTTTTTTTTCTACACCCTTCCCACTTCCAACTTTGCCGCTTACACCCTCCGCCCTGCTCCGCCCTATGAGAGACCTCCGTAAACATTACTCTGCGACCTATCCTTTCTAGGCTTGCATCCACCTGTGACCCGGCCTCTGACATCAACTAGTTTTCCGAGCTCTTTCATGACCAAGGTTAATTATTAGATCGGAGCTTAGAAATGGAAATAGCAAATAGAAATAGTAAGAAAATAAAAAAGATTTCACTTATGTACACAGTAATGAACTATAAAATATCAATCTAATTAACACTGATTATATGATTATATGAAGTATAGGGTATAACAGTAATGATTTGATGCAGAATACTGTATAGAGTAAGTAGTACTTTCCAAGCTGGGAATAGAACATTGAATGCAGGAATTTTCTATCTAATTTTTTCTAGACCATCTCCAGGGCTAGATGACCCAAACCCGACTCCAAACGAGGAGAGGATCAACCTGGACCTGCGTCCGGGTCAAACTCTGTCCCGTAATGACTGCTTTCTCCGGATGGGTCAAATCTACCCTGGCTCTCCCTTCTTACTGGTCTTGACTCTTTCTGTAAAATCATAATTAAAATCAAAAATGGACATGATGCCTTGACTTCATAGTCGTTTTTTCCCCTTCCCTTCCCTTCTTTTTCCCTGGCCCTTGGGTCAATGATTTATTATTTTATTTTTAATTATTATTTTTTTTGCCATTTTATTTCCCGGCCCGTGAACGTTCCTTTAAGGGCACTTTTTTTGGTATTATTATTAGTTATTTTTTTTTATGGATTATTTTTCCCCCTAAATTCTCGAAATTCTTTTTTATTTTAGTTTTCCCTTTTTATTAATTCACTCTGAGTGGCTCCTTCACTTTGAGTGGTTCCCTACTTCCATCCTGGTTTAGTTCGTCTGCATCCTTATATGGAACTGGCTTGGCCGTTTCCATATACATCATTCACTTCATTGGAAAGCAACCATATTCACTTCTTTCACTCCATTTCAAATTCTCGACCCTCTTCCTTTTTTTCTTCTTCTTCTTTCCTTTTTGGAGGCTGTTTGAAATTACTTGGTCTTTCAATTGCACCTTTATCTTCGGGTCCGATCATCAACACTGTGACCTTTGAATCCTTTTGCTTCAACCTATCGATATCTCACCAGAACCACCAGGAACATGAGCCTTTGAAATCACTTGCTCAGTTCGCTATTTCCTATTTATCAAAGCCGACCTGACCATCCCACATGTGTCGACCTTTTCTGCAGCTATTTCCCACACCTTCATCCCTATGTCTTCATCAACGCTAGGCTCTCAGTCCTCCTCGATCTTGGGTCCTATCACTCCAACTACAGACCTGCTCTACCAGGACAGTCACTCTTCTAAACCGGCCCTTACGGGATCCTGGACTGCTCCCTTCCGGGACGGTCTGCCAACCCCTCCTAGCGATATGACGGGTATCACCTACAATGCGATTCCACCATCCACCCATGGAGCCAAGGTTCACGGGATGCCTTCCCACTACTACAACCCAGTCCGGTCATTCGATTCTATGTCTTCCTCGATGGTTGCTTCCATGAAGCCAACAAACTCGGCCCCCGTGAAAGAGGTTACCGCTACTGAACCGGTGCAGAAGAAATCGACGGGAACTGCCAGTGGTTCAAATCTACGCATTCCTTCTTCCATTAATGGTAGCAAGGGCAGTCTCGCCGAGTTCGCAGCTCAGGTAAGCAGACAGCAAAAGTGAACGAAATATGAGGAACCATTCACTAATTCTATTCCTTTTATAGATGACATGTTTATTCTGGTTCGAAAAGACATCTAAATTGCAAGCCATCGAAGACCGACAACACCCAGTACCCTCTCTTGTCGCCGAGGCTCTCCCCACTATGGGTTTCCAAAAGTGGGTGGCAAGCATTCTCTCTACGACTCAAGTCAGCCAAAATGTGATTCTACTCGCTTTACTGTTCATCTATCGATTGAAAAAGTTCAATGCGGGGGTCAAGGGCAAGAAGGGAAGTGAATTCCGGCTCATGACAGTTGCGTTGATGCTCGGCAATAAATGTGAGTGAATCTCTTATCAGGTTACCGCCTTTGAATCCCCACTTATGATTGGTTGAACAGCGCTGACTCATCAATAGTTCTGGACGATAACACATACACCAATAAGACGTGGGCCGAGGTATCGGGCATCGCTGTGCAAGAGATCCACGTCATGGAAGTCGAGTTCCTAAGCAACATCCGTTATGATTTGTTCGCCTCAGAGGCTGAATGGGCTCGCTGGCACACCAAGTTGGGTCTATTCGCTGACTACTTCAATACCGCCTCGATGCTGCCCATCGAGTCTGAGACTTCATCTCTACGGGTCTCGCCGCCTCGATTGCAACCCCAGTCACCCTCATCCAAGTTGCCATCTCCCCCGTCTGATAAATTCCGCGCACAGTCTCAGCCCAACTGGTACATGCCCGTTCCCGGACTGGCCTATCCTACTCCACAGTTAGGCGATGTTGCTGGAGCATCTCGCAAGCGCACCCGTGACGATGAGAATGAGTTGCAGCCCATGAAACGGATTGCGCGTCCCAACAGCAATCTCGGCCTGGCGCCAGCACGTTTGACCATTCCTTCTAATGGCCTGGACCCTATTACTATTCCCACTCTTCCACCAGTCCTCACACCCACCGCTGCTCCAGTTGCACAAGGCCCGACCAACGGAAACATTGCTCGTCTTCCTCCGCCCAACCTCAATCATACCCCCACATCTAATTCGATGCCCCAGTCGATTCCTTCGACTGCCGCTTCGCAACTCCCAATCCCGTCACTTATGGGTCCAGCTTACAACAGGCCCTCCCACTGGATGCAACCTCAGCAAATGCCTTCTGCCGCTGTGCCTCCTGTGGCATACAATGTCCCCTCAATCTCCGAATTGGCTCGTCACCACCCAAGTCAATTTACTGTATCAACTTCAACTGTTTCTCCTGCTGTGTCTGCCTATTCTGTGCACACCCCACAAACGCACCTTTCTCCATCCTTCTTCCTCGCCAACCGAAATTCCCCTTACCGCCCGGTGCGCTCAGTTCACACCTTGTTGATCCCGCCTCCTTCGACCTCCATGCAGCAGCAACGCAGTGTTCCCTTCGACCACATGCATTACCAGCCTCTAAGCAAGGGATCTGTTGATCGCAAGACTGGCCTGTTGCCCTACATCCCTGCGGAGCCATGGTTTCAGAGCCAGGTGAACCAGCCATTTTACACTTCCTCCCAGACCTATTCGGGTTGAAGCATATCTTTTCCTTGTTGACGATGTGACTGCGATTATGACTCCTCATGACACCTCAAAAAACACCACTTTTCGCTTCACATGTACCTTTATTTTTTTTTTATCATCCTTTGCTTGTCAACACCATTTCTTCTGTATAGGATTTTATCCATTTATGAATTGTCTAGCATACGATGGGCGTTACAAACTAGATGGATTTGTTTCAGTGTCTGCCTATCTCCACAATTGTGGATGGCTCGGAGGCGTTTTCTTTGCTTATCTGTATGGCCATTGACTACAGATTTTTCGTTCGGGAGCATATGCATGATATGAGGCGTTTAACTAGCAGACATTATTATTAGTCTCCGATATGAAACTAGATTTGATTACTGTCAATCATTCTTGCGAACCTTTAGACTTAAAATCTTTGAACTCTTAATTGTATCTTTTCCAAACGTGTCAATTTTCAACGGTTTCGGAATGGGTATTTTTGAAAGTCTCTGCATCCTTTTTTCATTCTTATTTTTCTCTTCCAAAAAAAGAAATTTCTTCTTGTAGTATGTACTTTGGTTCTTCGTAGTAGTGCTGGTTCATAGTACTGGGCGTAGGCCATATTCCGACATCTCGGCCCGACTATTTTCCGCGCGATCAAATATCTCTCCAGCATCCGTACAGCAAGTTAACCCCAGCGATAAATCAAACCACCATCACCATGTCACCACGACTCATGGGGCTGCCCACACAGCTCCAACAATTCATCGCACGACCATTCCAGTCGACACCACTGCAATTCCTGGCACCCCAATTCCAACAGGCCCGCAATGCCTCCATTCTCTCCTCTCTCTCCGACAATCCCTCCGCCTACAACAAACGCATCCGACGTGGTCGTGGTCCCGCCTCCGGCAAGGGTAAAACCTCTGGACGTGGTCACAAGGGTCAGAAGCAGCACGGAAAGGTTCCTGCAGGATTCAATGGAGGACAAACCGCCGATATTGTCGTTCACGGTGAACGAGGAGGAGTCAACATGTACGGAATCACCCATCTCTATTATCCCAGTCCCCAGATCTGCAAACTAACATACCTCCCAGCTTCGGCCTCGACATGGCACCAGTAAACCTCGTCCGAATCCAAGAATGGATTGACCAAGGTCGCATCGACCCAACTCGCCCTATCACAGTCCGCGAACTCGCCAAATCGCGCTGCGTCCACCAATACAAAGACGGAATCAAGGTTCTCGGCGAGGGTTCTTCAACTCTGAAACAACCCATCCACCTTGTCGTTTCACGCGCTAGTGCATCCGCAATCTCAGCTGTTGAGGCAGCTGGCGGAACCATCGCAACTCGTTTCTACACCCGTACCGCTCTCCGACACATTATGGCGAACGAGACCCACCCTTTCATTAGTATGGCGTGGAACGTTAACAGTGGTTCCAAGGCTCTTTTGCAGGCGGAACTTGCGAACGAGACTGAGGCTGTTGATCAGGCTGTTGTGGATGAGAAGGCGATTATGCAGGCTAAGGGATACAAGTTTAGACTTCCTGATCCTGCGGGTCGTCGTGAGATCGAGTATTATCGTGATCCAGCTCATCGGGGCTACCTGAGTCACTTGCTTAAGCCTCTTGAGAGTCCTAGTTTGTTCTTCCGTTCTCCTGAGGAGCGTAAGTCTACTGCTGGTGTTAAGAAGGAGAAGGTTCTGCCGCCGAATAGACTTTGGTAGATGGGTTTTGTTGTGGGGGATTGTGAGATTATGGGGATTTCAGTTTGATTTGCGTGAGCATTTTGTATATGTATAAATATAGTCACCCTTTTGGATATGCTGGTTATGCAAAATAGGTTTTTCTTTTTGTTTAGATGCTTGGGAACATTCTATCAGTCTCATCTGTAAGCTCTTCAAGTTGAAGTAGTCTATCATTCAGATACTACTACATACCAGTAGTGAGGGTTTGGAGACAGCTAGTACATAGTAGTAATAATACTGTCTATGTAGTACGCATGGCAGTAGTACCTAGGGAGGTAGGCACTACTAGGACCAGGTACACAATACTACCTAGCTATAGTATCTAGGTCCGAGTCAACACAAATCCTTGGAATAAGGAAGAATTTGTATAAAAATAAACTAAATTTGAATTTTTGAGTTCGTTCAAGATAGACCAGCTATCTAAAACATAAGCAAACCATAAACAGACGTGGTAGCAGATATAGAGTACAGCGCAGAAAAGAAAAATCATGCTCCGATATGAAACGCCATGCTTGCCCATGAGTATCATATCCATTCCATCATATCAACCTTGACCAAAAATGCAAACCGTACAGTATCCCAAGTAGATTTAGCAGAAGACATGCGCAAAACAGCATGTCAGAACAATTGGGTATCAACCAACAACAATCAGACACAAATTCCAGCGCTAGTAAAAAGCAGATTCAAAAAACAAAACAAAACATAAAACCAGGTGAGCATGAAAATCATTACTCGTGAGGGCAGAGAACCCTCTTCAATGTGTCTTGTTGAACAATATAATCAGTCAACTCTCATGAACCAATGAGGACTAGAAAGTTCACAGCCTCCATATTGATTCTGGTGAGTTCTCCTCAGATGACTCTGCAACTTCGCGGAGCCAGGAGCACTCCAGAACGTCACGAATATCCCATCGGTTATTGGGGTCCATGTCCAGGCAACCTTTGATCAATTCAAGAGCGTCTTTACGATCTTGACGCAAGTTTTCGTCGGTGACTTGGCCGAGAACAGCATCCTCATTCCATTTACCATGAATGATGTTGGCCTGAATGCGTGGTGCGAATGAGTCTTGGAATGGACGCGATCCAACAATGACGGTGTATATGATAACACCAAACGCCCACATATCCACTGATGGGTGGATCAAACCATTAGATGATTGAAGCAGCTCGGGAGATGCATACTCGAGACTACCAGCGACGCTGGTACTTGAACCTGCTGGTCCCATTTTACTGGGTGGAGGACGATCCGCTACTTCGTCGTAGGGATCGGGGCTGTCACCGCCATGATCGGTAACCATCCATTCAGCCATTCCAAAGTCACACAGAACGAGGGTCGAATCAACAGAGCCATCAGGTGCTTCGATGGGGTCCAGAAGACAGTTCTCAAGTTTGATGTCGCGGTGAACAACTCGAGCGTCTTCATGCAGATAACGAATCGCAGAAGCAAGCTGGTAGGTGTACTTCTTTGCCAGTTCTGAATCAAGCCCTTGGCGATTTTGTCTCACCAAGTCAAACAGAGTTCCACCGATTGCAAGTTTGGTAAAGCAAAAGGTTGCGTAATCTGTCTCATACACCGAGTCGAGGGTCAAAACATGAGGATGATTGAGGTAGCGCCAAACTCGCACTTCGTGATCGAATTCAGCTTGAACATCGTCGTTTTCTCTTTCGGTACGACCTGTCACTTGTTTCTTCACAATTTTGACGGCAAGACGCTTGGTTTTGCCTTGTTCCTCGACTTTATAAGCTTCTTTGACCGTACTAAAGCCGCCAAAGCCAATCTGTTTGCCAAGAACATAATCAGTTCCCACAAGTTGACCTTCGTCATCGGGTTGAGCAGCTGGTTCCTCATTCTGGCCCTGGTTAGACCACATTGACAAGAACATGCTGGCTGGAGATTTGCCGCTCGAGTTGGTGGAACGGCGAGAGCTGAAGCGAGTCGAGTTTCGCAGACTGCCGCTGCGATCTAGGGTCGAACTCCGTGGCTTACTTCCAAAAGGGGTAACGAAGCCTCCAGACCATGATGAGCCACGGTCTTCAGGAGATGCGAACGATTGAGTCGGAGAGGTGATGTAGAGAGGCGATAACATGTCGTCTTTGACACTTCCAGGAGGCGTACGCACTTCATCTTGAGATGGTGATGCCGTTGATAACGATGTGAGGGAAGTGGGATGGTCGATTTCAACGGCTGTTGACTCATCACCAGGACTCACGACAGATTGGGCGCGGGAAGCGCCGGTCGGAATACCCCGCTGATCTTGGGGTCGTTTGGTCTCCCACCCCCACAAATTAGCATGTTGACTTTCTTGATGATCCTCATCTTGTGAAAGGGCGTTCCGGAGGCCAGAGGTCCGGGACTCGAATTTCAACGGGGGTCGATTTTTCAGTTCGTCCTTGGCGAGTGGTTCTCCCAGTGGTTGTTCGTGTCCTGAGTCCAGGGAAACTTTGGGATTAAAAGAGATAGATGGCCGACGAGACGACTGAATGTAGCTGTCTAGTGGCGAGCCCTGAATCTCGTCAGGCTTGTGAGGATATTCGTCGTCGTCTGCTTGTGTTGGACGACCTTCGGAACGAGGGACTGAGATAGGATTTGTCGCTGAATGCAAATCATTTAACACACTGCAGCTCTGATTAGTATCGCGGCGGTGCGCGGTGTAATCATGAGATGTTTTGGTGTGGTCGCTCTCGATACCATCGCCCTCTGTCGTCGATCTCCTCCCCTCATCATCTTTCCAACCCGGTCTTTGTTGACGAAACGAAGTTTCAATCCGCAAGCCCGCTACCCCGTTCCTTTCCGGATGCGCCATGTCCTTGTCGATTGTATCGTATTTGAAGACGTTGTGGATTGTGAGCCGGAGGCTTGCAGGCGGGTTCATAGAACCCTCTGCTTTTTTTGTATTTTTCCCCGGACGAATGAATTTTTGAGGCTCGAGGGAAAGCGGGGCGATAAGGGTTTAGAGCGGGGTAAGCACAGTTCAGAGAAGATGAAGGTGATGTATCAAGAGAGGTATGAAGATCGGGGGTATATTTGTGGGGATATTGGAGTACTTGTAGTAAAAAAAAGAAAAGTAAAATTGTAGTGTACCTTTCCCGGTGAGGTCAAGAGAGGAATGTAGATGTGCCAAGAGACAGAATGGGGAAAGTCGGAAAACTTTTGGGTGGAGCCGGGTAATCCCGGAGCAGCCTTACATAGTACTTCCATATACTGCCTAGTAGTGGACAGGACCTTAGTACGAAGAATCATACGATCCTAAATCGCTACGGAGCACGGCATATAGACTCTGTCGATATTATTACTTATGTATGTCTTTCGGTTTGTAATGTTCAAGTGATGTTTGCTATAGGAAGAGGTACGGAGTACTCAGATTGAAAACATAGATATGACTGCATCAGAAGCGACCTTGCATCCCTCTACCAATAACAGTCTGGTTAACACCTGGAAACAGATTGGGCTGAAAAGAGAGACTCTCACCTGAAGTACCTACAGCCTCTCACACTTCTTGACTCATACTTTCGAGTCCTCATTCATTGTTCAAGTTTGGATATGTATCCATAGTACCTGGGTATGAGCTCGGAATGGGCCAATGAGCAGGGATATATCCCCACATATCCTCAGTGCTATACTCTCCAGGTTTCAAGTGTAAGCCACTTTGCCCAAAGCAGATCGGAGCTCGAGTCAAGCAACAATGCTAACGGAGTAGACTCCAGCCCAATTGGAAAGACCCACTTAAAGAAATCCACTTAAGACGTTCTCATTATGTATCAAATGACGTATGTGGATGCTCACCACCGTGGAGAAGATGGATTATGTCACTGAATATATCCTAATTCGGACTAGCTGTAGATCACTCCACAGGCATGTGACCGACATCATCTGAACTTCAATACCCTAAGCCCTAACAAACCAAATCCAGACACATGGTTTCAGGGGGTTGGATCACATGATCTTCATACATTGCAGTGGCCTGATACATTGGGAGACCTCAGTAGCCGCGCGCAAGGGGCGCTTGTTTTGAACGAATACCTCCTTATTGGTTTCGTCTTGCTGCGGTTTTGTCCCTAACTTCGACCTTGTCCTTCCCTTCGTCGCTCTGGCAGTACTTTGTTTTCCTTTTTCCTTTTTCTATTCTCCGTGCACTGCCCGCGTGCAGCGCCCCCGAATTTCCCGCTTTCCACCCCCTCTTTTGCATCTCGGTTCAACGAGGCAGTCTCTCTTTAGGGGTCATCGACCGTAGACCCTGGAACTTCGCAATTCCTGGAAATTGATTAAGTCGCGAAAGTTTAGCCCGCGGTCGGAAGAATTTCCATTCTTAAATCACTTTTCTATTTGAAACCGCCTATGGTTTCTTCTACAATTGCGCTCCTTACCTACCGTTTGAACGTCTTTTGTGTTACCTCCTCTCACCGCTGATCCCACGTTCCTTTAAACCTGCAACATGACAAGACCACAAATGGTTCGGGCTGGTAAGGCACATCATTCTATGAATTATCAGATAATTACAAAGTTCTTTGCTAATGTTGGCGCGCAAAAAGATACCCTTGACCTTCAGGATCACGATGCACCTTCTGCGAAAGACCACTCTAAGCAGCCTGAACAACCAGCGCCACTGGGGGTCGGCCGGCCTGCCCCCCACCAGGAGCTTTCTATTCGACATGCCGACCAAGGCGCGAAATCTGATATTTTGAACGGTCCCGATAAAGACCATGCTTACGGAGACGACGGAGTGTATGGAGAAGACACAGAAGAGGAGGACGAGCACAACTATGAAAATGAGGATGGCGATCTGGCAGATGGCGAAAGTGATGACCTACTTGACGATGATCTGATGGATAAAATATCTAGCTCTCCCTCAATTGATGATGGTATGTCCTACTTGCAGCCTTTGTCGCGCATTGTCTTGTATACCTCCTCCTTTGAGATTGAATCTAATGACAAACAGAGGACATCGATTTTGAGTTTGTTTACGCGCTTCACAATTTTGTCGCAACTGTTGATGGACAAGCAAATGCTGCTAAGGGTGATACTATGGTACTGCTTGATGACAGCAATAGCTATTGGTGGCTCGTTCGTGTGGTCAAGGACGGAAGTATTGGTAAAGGAAGCCTCCTCTCTTTGATCTTGTTGTCAATTAACTAACACTCCCAAGGATACCTCCCAGCTGAACACATTGAAACCCCTACGGAGCGACTAGCTAGATTGAACAAACACAGGAACGTTGACGTATGTTGGACCCTACGAGTGGTATTTCCAAAACACGAATGCACAAAACTGACGGGAAAAAGCTTTCTGCTACAATGCTAGGTGATAACAACGAGAAGTCTAAAAATCCTCTGAAGAAAGCCATGCGCCGCCGAAACGCAAAAACGGTCAATTTTGCCCCTCCAACATACATTGAAGCATCCGACGTGGAATACTCTTCTGATGACGACTCCGAGCATGGTGACTTCTTCAATGACGATGAGACTGAAACTGTTGAATCAGAAGAAGGCGACAGCCAGGATCAGAATGAAGATATTGTTGTGGAGCCCCTGCGGCCAAAGGGACAGAAGGAGAAGCTAGCAGATCAGGCTGAAGGCAAGGGCTCATTGGAACGGCAGGATTCTGAGCGAACAAGCTTGGAGCGACGTCGATCTAGCGAGGACTTCTTTGATCCAGAGGAGCCTACCGTCAGTCGGTCCAGAAATGGCACTGTACGGAATACGGATTCTTTCTTCAAAGACGACACTGCGGAACCAAAGAAGATATCTCTCACGCCCAATCTGCTGCGCGATGAGTCTAGCAGCAACGGTCTCGTCCATGACTGGAAGGAGGGCCGTGGCAGTTTTGAGTCACTCGAGAAAGCAGCCGGCCCGCAAGATAAGGTCAAGGATGATAAGAAGCGCAAGGATAAGAAGCCTGGAATGCTCAGTGGCTTGTTCAAGCGGAAAGACAAGAAGTCCAAGTCCGCTGATGATGACTTTGAAGAAACAATCATTTCTCCAACTGAGTCCTCCTTCCGAGCATCTCCTCAGCCCAAGACATCCTCAGAATCATTGGAATCGAGATCGACAAAACCACTGAGACTGACCACCAACAAATTACAAAAATCACCTCCGAATGCTACTATGTCTCCCAGTTCTACTGAGCAAGGGTTTGAAGCCAGCCAGTCTATTCGACGGGTCGCATCACAGGAGGCAACTAGTTTTGATGAACCTCGCGGGGCTGTATCATCTCCCATCAGCCAACAGAGTCCATCCAAGGACGCGTTTGTCACGCCGATGGAGTCTCAGGATCCATTCGCATCCCCAGAGGATCGACCGTCCAGCGAAGCTCAGAGGCGAGGATCCTCATCCGATGCTCCTATTACAACAAAACCGAAGCCTTCGGTTATGTCACCACCCCAAAAGTTCACTCCGATCTTCACCTCGCCCTTCCCCGAACCAGAGCCAGAGCCAGAATATCCTGTCAGCGTGTCCCCGGTGGAGGGTCATATTCCCATTCTCGCGCCAGGACTCACTGCGGATGATATCTATCGGGTGCAGTCGCCGGTCTCTCCGCCATCATCGCCTGAAGCCGAAATACACGATCTCAAAGGCAGCGAGAACACTCCTGGTTCAGTGGACACACTTTCAGTTGACACACCAACTTGGAGCGATGCCAGTCTACGATCATACTTGGATGAAGAAAACGATATTCGCGACCTTTTCATTATTGTCCATGACAAATCCAACATCCCCCCTGCTGGCGTTGACCATCCCGTCACAGGGCGCCTATTCAAGGAAGAGAGCAAGAGACTCAAGGAGATGAATAATCAACTTGATGAAATGCTCGTGCAATGGATGTCCCAGCGTAAACGACAGTCCAGTTCGGTACGAAATCTACAGAGCCCAATGGCATAGTCACTGTTTTTTTGGATTGTGTCTGTTGATATTTGCATGGGCCTGTTCATTTGCCCAACGACACCGACTTGGCAGGTTGTTTTTGCGCTGGGCGCATCACCTTTCAGTCACCCTGTTTTCATTCTTTTCTTCTAATATCTTTCTTTGCCTTCATTGCACTCATGTCCACCTACCTCATGTCCTTTCAGTCTTTTGGTTCATTTTTGTTTCAATAAGCGACCTCTGAACCTATCAACAGTCACTTCCACCGTCTGTTTTGGATTCTTTTTTTTCTCAGTCTTGTTTCTTTATCTTCGCCGGAATACCCCGAGTCATCCGTGTTTCATGCGCTTTATCTCTCTCCCTCACTTGATCATCTTTGATAGATGACGTGTATTGGAATATCAACCTTCGAGTCTTGAACCATGTGCCACCATTTCAGTAGTATTTCATCATCGCTTAAACTTGCAAGTAATATGCCAAGAATACACCCTCTAGCACACCATACCTCTTAGGTTCTAGGACCCTGCAGCTATGATTGGTAGTCAGCACGTTAACGCATTCCATAGCTCTGCAGCAGAGGGTCGTGCGGGCAGGTCAGCCGCAACGTGATGACACTGATGGATGGCATCTGACAGTCATCAGACTTAGCGCTCCTTCCGGTATAATAAGCAGTACTTTCTGTCAGCAGATTAAATAGAAACCCTTAAATCTGTTCACGTCTCTCACAATCAGTGATTGTTCTCCCTTTTATCCTTCTCAAGTTTTAAACCCAACTATGGCAGACCCTTACAACCCATACACTCAGTACCCCACGCCTACCCCAGGCGGGGTCGGTTATTACCCGCCAGAGGAGCAGGCCCACCAGCCTGCATATGGGTACCAGCAGCAGCCATACGCGGGCGAAAATTACGAAAATGCAGGACCGCAGCAGGTACCACCAAACTACTACGAATCTCAGCCTCAGTCCAGTTCGTACCACCTTGCTCCAGAGGCTTATCAAAATAACGCCTCTGAGAGAAGTTACACACCAACTGGACATCCAGACTATCAAGGACCAGTATCTGGAACCGGGATTCCACAGGGTGGCAAAACCCCCGAGAATCTGGGATACTAGTAAGTATTTTGAATCAGACCTCAGTCCTGTGATACACATATACTGACATTTTTCTCAAGTGGTGGCCATCCAGCCGATCAGCCACGATACTCCCCAATTCCAAGCCCTCAGCCAGCATCTGTACAGGTTTCAGGAGCTCCAGAACACCCGAAGTACGATGAGGATGGTCGCCCGTTGGACGAGGCTGATGGAGAGACCGATCGTGGTCTAGGTAGTTCACTTGCAGGTGGTGCGGCTGGATATTACTTAGGTCATAAGAAGGACCATGGGCTACTTGGTGCAATTGGTGGTGCGATCGTTGCGAACTTTGTAGAGCATAAGGTGAAGGATCATCGTGAGAGTTCCTCTGAGAATCGCCATGATGAGAGTAGCCATGATGGACACAGTCATCATGGACATCATCACCACCACCATCATCATGAACATCGAAGCCGAAGCCATTCGCGTCACCGGGAGGATGATGACTACTAGATTGATGATCTGATTCTGGGAATCGCTATCCTTATGAATTATGAACTGCTTTTATGAATCTTTGGTCGGAACAGGATGATTTTTCGCCAGCGGTATCTTTTTTATCTCATTCTTTATACAATATTGCTAGCATTAATGATATTACACAGTTCATCATGATGATTTTGCTCACCAAGGAAGTGGAAGCCGGAATGACACCTCTCCGTATACATGAGTACATAGTAGTAGGCAGCCATGCGTTATGTATAGATCCAGCACTGAGTATAAAGGGCTCAAGCAGTGGCATCTATTACAAGATCAAAGCAGCAGCAAGGATACACGCCGCACCAAGCAGGCTGGTAGCGGCGAGACCAGATGGAGGAGCTGCATTATGACCTTGTGCCGCAGAACCAGAAACTCCATCCGTTGCAGTAGGCATAGAGCCCGTCGCGTAGTGCTCCATAAGCCAAGACTTGACACTCCCCGGGAGTTGTTGATACCAGGTTGGGAAATTGCCATGTTGAATCTCACTAACAACAGATGAAACAGCCGAGGGATTCGACATTTCCGATAGGAACGAAGCTGGGATCGCAGTTGCGAGAACAGACTCGATGGATGGAGGAGGCATGTCCATTGAATAAGTTGAAGAGGGCATGGTTGGTGCAGGAGTTACTGGAGCCCCAGCGAAGGTTTCTGTGCTTCCAGTTGTCTCAGTAACATCAGGCGTGTATGGGGTATAGTCTGGTGGTAGGTCGGTGTATGCCGGATAGTCGGTATAGTCCGTGAGATAATTCATGTAATCAGTACCATCACTGTTTTTTGTTAGATCATCCTGCAATAGAGACTGAGAAATCTGCTCACATACAGGCTGCTTAGTTCAGCCTCTAGACTGCTTTAGTAGGCGTCATAGTCAGAGTTGCCATATTGCTTCTTCTCCAGTTCAGCGACGGCCAGAGATGAAGCGGAAAGAAAGATTAGAGCCAAAGAGTTGAAATGCATTGTGACAGAAAGGACAGTTGTATTGGGTCCCCTATGAGATTAAAAAGAGCGAATGATAGTATATTGAAGGTATACTTGGAAAGTTGAAAGAGTGTATGCTGGAGGAAATTGCTTCAAAGATGAGAGCACTGCTTTTTAAGACGGAGCCTCTGCCATATAACCTGGTCAAAATCAGCCCTGAGTCGGAGCCCTGCTCGTATCGATCCATAGATGGCAAAGCCTAACACTTGAGCGATGTGACAAGAACGATCGTGGTGTGCAATAGTGGACCCAAAAGGAGATTAAGAGCCTCAATGCATCCAACCATAGCCGTTAGAATCCAGAAAAAGCCCTGAGCCAAGATATCTGGGCGTCTTAAAGTGAGTTTGTTTTCGGCTCAGATCCAGAGTAAATTCCTAGTCTGGCATCATTAAGGCTTGTGCCATTGAAAAAAATAGGGGTCTAGTAATAAGCCAAGGCCCGTATAGGACATCAAGGGTGATGATCGCCAGGAACTGGAAACAAGGTTAGAGCCCACGATCCAAACATGATTCAAGATGTATGCCATGGTTTCAGACATGGGGAGATATGCGGAGATATGATCTGTTTAGTAAGCTATCATTCCTCATTGTGGTCAGTAGGGTACTCCATAGGGACTTGAAATTTAGATCTATCAGATGTTCTTTTGATCTGATGTAGGGCTGTACATTCGATGGCGTCCGTCAAGACCCTGATCGGCGGGTGCGGGTCCTAGTGGGACTACATACGAGGCGAGATTTTGGTAAAGAGACAAAATACGAGCTAGGTAGAGTTTTTCTTATTCTAAAGTTTGAAATGTTTGTTGATTTTTCTCTCATCAAAGAATTTTGTTTGGGTCTTTAGGTACAAATATGGTATGACCTTGTTAGTGTGTATCAATTTGAGTCTATACCCCACTGTAGTAAGCTGAGATTCCCGTGAAAGGAAATGAGATATGATTTTCCCGCACTGGATGATCAAGAAGAGATACTGAGCTCTATGGACAGTCCTTGAGCGGTCTATTTGACTTCTAAACATTTGAATCAGTAACATTCAAAGATTGGAATGTTTGGACCCTCTTTATAGAGATGCGGAATATCATTGGCAGTATTTGTGCACATAGCTTGGAGTCCACTAACATTCCTAGTGAGAGGGTATATATGACATGAATATGGGAATATTTGTAGTCTAGTCTCAAATGCTTGAGCTGTACTATTGGTGTAAATGATTTCCTGCTACTGGCAATCAAGCCTTATATGATCCCACTGTTTCTCAAGTGCTGCTACCGCTGGTATTTCCAGTGATCTAATGTACGGAGTACTACATATAGCAGATCCTCTTTTTCTATTGTTAGTGTCTAGTGTATAAATTTCTGTTCCACAAGTAGTTATGTCACTCAGCTCACATAATCTCTGATGTAAACTTCTGTCAAAAGCCTTTTGCCAGATCCTTGACCGGGAGTCTGTAGATGGCCAAATTTGGATCATATTGCTTTTTTTCATTTATGTTTTCTTTTTCTTGTCTCGGAGCCCCTTTGTGTACTCTGTGATGATACTCCGTGGCTATAATCAGTACGGAGTACATGTAGGTACAATCAACAATGAATATCTAGACTAAAGATAACTGTACAGTCTGTGATATGTAGTTACTTGTAAAATGATGATTAATACCCCGGATTAACTAGATTAACCGGATTAAGTCGGAGACTGATAGGGTTTGGCTTATCTCATGAGTCACGATAAGCCCCGATTCGGCGACGATCATTGCTTTTCAGCTCTCGTGATGTGTGAGGGATGACCTGTCCCCGCGCCCCATACAACTTACCCTCTCTTACTCCCCTCATCTCTCTTCTTCACTCAATTTACTTTCTTATTCTTTACTCATTTAACCTTCCCCGGCCTCTATTGTTGCCGTTTCGTCTTATCTCTACCCCGGATCACTTCTCCGCGGCGTCATCGAAGACCACCATTAGACGGCCGTGCTTGGTCTTCAAAGACGCGCTCTTCCAGGCCGAGAAGAAATATACTACACTATGTCTCCACCTTCATTACATGGATTATTCACAGCGTCTCTTCCTGCTCATTGTGAGCCCTCATCGCCCTTCCTGACCGCTATCTCCTCCCATCTCCACATCTGTCTCCCCACATCGCTCGCGCTGATCTCGACCGTGCTCGGCAATTTGAGTTTCGTCTCATGGCTCTTCGCCCAGCTACCACAAATCTATAAGAATTATCAGCTACAATCGACATCCGGACTGTCCATTTTCTTCCTTATCATCTGGTGCGGCGGAGATGTGAGCAATCTCATAGGTGCTTTGTTCACTCGACAAGCAGGATGGCAGGTGATGGTGGCTTGCTATTACGTCTTTGTCGATGTGACCTTGGTTGTGCAATTTGTTTGGTATACACATTATAAATACCGAGGTTATGTGGACCTAAGCCACTCGTGTCATCATCATCACCACGAGGACTCCGAAAGCAGGGGTGAATTCCTGCAAGGCGTTCCGTTATCGGGCGACAGTGAGACCCACCAGCAGCCAGGCCCCGTCGATATGACAGTTAAGAAATCCGACGTTCATGATATGGGCGTCCAGACAGGCTCAACCCTGAACTCAACAGCTGGGCGCGGTCTGTCTTACACAAATGAGAAAAAGAATTCCTCTCGTCGACCTGTGCGCCTCGGTAGCAGTGCTACCAGTCCGCCTTTTGCGCTTCCCCGTACAATGCTCATCGCATCCTTGCTTTGCGCGGTTCTAGCAAATGCCGCCCCAACCGAACCCAATCCTGCACCTCACCCACCTATTTTCCAGGCACCAACTGAGACGATTGTTGAGGTTGTTGGTCGTATCTTCTCCTGGATGTCCACGATTCTCTACCTCGGATCGCGTCCACCACAACTATACAAGAACTATGTCCGTAAGAGCACAGAAGGCCTGTCACCATTACTCTTCATGGCGGCTTTCTGTGGAAACTTCTTCTACTCAGCTTCATTGTTGACAAACCCAAACGCCTGGTTCGATTTCTCACCCTATGGTGGTGGTGGCTGGGCTGATTCGCACGGAAATGACCGCTGGGAATGGATCGGACGATCATTGCCATTCTTCCTTGGTGCCTTTGGTGTTCTGGGATTAGATGGGTTTATGGGTGTGCAGTTCCTCATGTATGGATCGCAGGACGATGACAATGAGAGCTTCACAGGCTCAGATGTGGAGGACCCAAAGCGTGGTCGCAGTCGTTGGAGACGCGTGCGTGGCTGGATGCGTGGTTGGATTCCTTCTACCTCGCCGCCTCCCTGTGAGCGCGAACATTCGAGGCCGCAGGAAGGTCAGGCTCTTCTTGGTTCTGAGCAAGGGCGATATGGGACTGTTTAGACAGGCTGTGAGTTTACTACAGTCTACAGGATATACCTGAAGATTTTCATTTTTCTATCTGTTCTCCTAAGATTGAGACAGATGGCATGATACATTATGACTTGATGATTTTGTCGACTGGACGACATTCAATTCCAGTACATTGAGCACACTTTCTTTTCGTTTTACACTGTTGCATTTCGGATCTCTTGGGTTTGATACCATATATGTACATCTCGCTTCATCTTGACGTGTCTTTCCATTGGAGTTCTTGGTCGATAGCATGGTAGAGGTATGGGGCTCTAGTCAGGTCCCTTAATGCTTTATCGGACTCCATTTTGTTTTGAGTGTGCAGAAATACTACATGTAGTACTCGATTGTTTCAATTCTCAATTGCATTCCAAGGTTATTATTTTTGAAGTAGACCAATTCAAGCTGTCAACCAGTTGACATATCTGAAATAAAAAATTCGAAAACAAGCTCAGCACCTTCGTGTATTAAGTTTTCACAGCGTACCAGTGTTGTATTGTGCTTTTTGAGGTCCAAAATCCCCACATCATGATGATAGCATTCCGTAATAATAACATCTGCAGGCCCTATAATTTTCAGCGATTGTTGTTGTGAGAGACTAGTTGACAGTATGGAGTACTGTCTATTCAATTTGCCCCAGAACCATTGGTAAACTCAGGCAGCGCCTAAGTGCAGACATCTGCCAGAGAATCATACCGGGGACAAAACTTAACACCTTCAGGTAAGACCTCATATCTGTCGTATCTATCAAGTCCAGACTTTGATTTGATTGATTTTTGGAGCAGTTTCTTGATTTTGAGCTTCCTTGACGGATTTGAGGGTACCGAAACTCATAAAATGCACAATGAGCTCCGTCGACATTCTCCAAAGAATGTACTTCCATATCGGGGCATTACCAGCCTTCGCCTTTAGTTTCTCGACCGTAAACTATACCCTCTCATAGAAAAGTGGGTAGGTTTTCTCATCACTCATGTACTGTGCTGGAATGTGAAATTCTGGGACTGTTAAAATCCGGCGGTTTCAAGTTCCTCTGGGTAGGTACTTTCAAAGATGGGTAAGATGAGGAATAGTGAGTAGACACCAAGCATAATCTAGGCGAATTGTACGGAGTACATATAGAGCATAGAAGAGATCTTGTTGGATAAGTCGTTGAGACACATATGCACTTAGCCTGGGGCTCAAGCAACTGCTGCGACATAGTATCCTAGAAGATAACAGAGGAAATATCACCATCCTTTGAGAGACCAGTGACAGCCTGTCTCAAAAAGTAGAGGATGAATCGCCCAAAATAATCTTCTACTTGGGTTATGCACGATCGGCTTTGGGACTCTTAGCTTCGCCAGGTTGTTTGGCCGGTGCTTATGTTCCATTAGGACCGTCATTGGAAACTGTTGAAGACTTTGAGCTCTCATTTTATTCCAGTCCGTTTCTTCGTGCTGAACTTTGTCAACATTGTCTCGCTCATCACTCCTCGTCCAGGTAATGGTTGACAAGAAGTCTCATCACATCTTTTCCTCCTTTCTCCTCAATAGTATCTCGACTCTTCATCCATTTCTCTGTCTGTCTCCAGGTGTTTGCTTAGCATGTCTTCTTCGTCAACTCCTACTCGCCATCCAACTTCAGCGTCTTCAAGTTTGAACATATCTAGACCTGCAGCTTTATTTTCCGTTTTTCACCTTGAAATGTTGAGTATATGGGTGGAAGTATCAAAGGCAAGCAACCAGAACGGAATGAAAAGATGCCTGTATCTGAGTTAAATACCTGAAATTGTTTCATCGTTAGACGTTAGAAATGACCCTCGATATCAAATGTTTTTGATACTCACAATTGGTAGCTCGTGGCAGTCGACCGAAAGCAGACCAAGACTACCAGGAAGTACTTTTGTCGTCTGCGACGATCCAAGAAGAGCAAGTGCGTGAGGAATAGCAAGGATAAACGCAGAAGGAAGCGTTCAAACGAGCGTATGAGCCAGGCCAAGAGTACTAAGGCCATGGAAAGAAGGAACTTGAGGGACCCTGGGCATCATTTAGGGCACTGCATGTATTTTAAAATCCCCGCAAGGAGAAAAGAAGCTTTATATCTTCCTGTGTACTCGGATGCAGGTAGCCGTTTAGGATGGACGTTCAAGTAGATCTTGGCAATAGTATCCTCGTGTTGTGAATTTCAATCTGGGCGTCTTTTACACCTTGTTCGTTGTCTTCGAGACCTGACTGCCAGTTTGAGTGCCAGTGATCATTATAAATGTGCAGCTCAGAATGATGCACAGGTTCCCAGATGGCCTTGATTACCATCAGAGTGTCAGAATCAAAGTTCATCATCGGAGTTCGATCGCTTCACAAACCTTGAAGCTCTTCAAGTTATTTCCTGGGTCAAAGCCCGGACGGACTGCCGTATGATCTCCAGCACTTGAGTAGTATCCGTGAACATTTGGAGGTCGGGCTTCCAAGTTTATTGATTTTCTGGCAGTGAATCTTGATCTAGATGATCTTCCTTGTGGCGCCATATTGGCGTGGCTATAGACGGGTACAGATGTGCCTTTGACTGAGTCAGTTGTCACATGTCCAATTATTTACATCTCTGTTCCAAGGTTGTGTGCCAGGCAGCTCTTGATGTCTCGTCATGGTTGAAGCATTTTGGTCATTCAAGTTTTCGTATAAAGAGCTCGTGATGAGAGAATGGATATCATATAAAGACAGATATCTCGATGGTCATATATAGTATTTGAAGAATAAGTGGAGAGGTTATCAATTAAATTTGAAATTTTCATAGATAACCTTGGAGCGTTTGCCCCTAGTTAAATAACGTGACCCGTGAAGATTTAGCAATCTATTGATAAATGCATAAATATGTTTGTTATTATGTAGTAGGAGTAGTAGGTAGGATTCTACTATGTCATCAAACATTCAAATCTTGGAACATTTGAATGTTGAGAGTCACTAGTGATTCTCTCAAGGCCTCCCAGCTCCAAATGTCTGTTCTTGCAGTTATTTTCACAAAAATCTAGCTCACATATCATCTGCATCAACCCAATTTCCATGCAGTCCCTGTCGAAGGCGAATTGGAAGCAGAATAATGGCCTGTGCCTTTGTGAAAGACTTGGTGTCTAGGAGATGAATCTCACTACTCATAGTTTCATAATTGTTCACCAATGCCAGCAAGTATCCATCTCCTTCCTCTGTTGAGCCTTTCCGAGGAATGAAGACTGGCTCCTGAACCATATGTGTTCTACCAGGGAAGTATGTCTCCGTGTAGGATGTCAAAACATCAAAATGCGCGAGTGAGTTATATAGAGGGTATCCACCACCAAGCTTGGGTGCGATGGCTGGGAAATCGGTGCCTAATGAAGAATCCATCAGGTCGAAGAAGCAGTGTCGGTACTGTTGTGTCGCAAAACGATCGTCGATTCGGTAGAATTCTGAGTTATTTGATTGGAGGACTTGCAGGTTGGTCAAATCCAGGTCTTCGGAGTTGGGCTCAATGATGAAGCGGGTGAGCTGTGAATGAATGGAGCTTGGTTCTGGGGCAAATCCTTCGGAATCGGGCCACCAGAAAAAGACATTGGTGTTACTGAGACCCAAGTCGAAGACGATGTTTCCGTTCTCGTCTTCGTAGGCATTGGCAGTGTGACCGGGGTGAGAGTTCTTGTAACGGAACCACTATAGGTTATCTGGATCAGCACTTAGGTAGTATGTTACTAGTAAATGATGAAATGATACCTTAACATCCGACGGTTTTCCACCGCGGCGAGGAAGTAGACCAATATAGAATGGTGTTTCCGAACTCCACTGCCAATGCTCTCCTCCATGTTTTAACCGATCGATGTCACATAGCTGTGGAATTAATGGTAACAAGACCTATCATTTTGTTAGTCACATCCTTAAGGGGTCTCAGACCTTGTAATATTCACTTACCCAGTTATCGGTGACAGCGAAATCATGAATCATGGCAACCACAGGTGCAATCAACCAAACAACATCGGTAACTTTACCATCAGGCGTGATATTGTAATAGCATACGTCAGGAGTACCATCTCCCTTGGCTTCATAGCCAAAACAAACCATCTCCTTCGTCCTGGGATCAAATTTTGGGTGAGCAGTAAAGGTCAAGCTGGGTAATTGGCCATCAAAAGTATACAATCCAAGCGTCTCAAGAGTGTGAGGATCCATGGCAAAAGGAGGAGAGTCTTCTTTCAAAGCGAGCAGTTGACCGTTGAAATAGACAACATTGGTATTGGCAGTACTGCGCACTTTGAATTCAACTGCATCTGTGAACTTGTTGCGATACTTGCCTGCTCAGATGGTCAGCAAGAATCTTATGTCCAGGACACAGTTCGTAGATTTACCAATTAGAGCGCGCTTTGCCTCTCGCTCTCGAACAAATTTCTCTGTTCGGACGTAGCGCTGCTGAAAAGAGACGCGGCCGTCTTTAATTTTGAAGGCGCTGACATTTCCATCGCCGTTAAACCACTGTCATATATTTAGTAGGTGTATATGCATACCAGTGTGACTGTGAGTACTCAAGCTCAAGTTGGGTTACATACGGGATCGTTTTCAATGAAGGGAGGAAGCTGAGGATCTGGCATAACACGATAAAAAGTCCCATCAATGTCATCTGGAATTGAGCCACGGACTTCCAATTGTTGAACCTCGCCTTCCATCCGACATGGTCGCATAAACCCAGAAAATTGAGGGTGATCAGGGAAATGTGATGCAATATGGGTCTCCATATTGTGATATGTTCTTAATGTCAAAAAGAAAATACCTAATCAATAAATTGAAACGAAGAAGCATAAGCAATGGATGACTTGCAACTTGTTATAATAGTGATCATTCGTGTATGTGGACCACATTTCTTGACTCCCGAACTGCGGATGAGTTCCCGATCCTTCCCCGGTCTTCTACCCCGGACCACTTATACCGGAGTCTGCATCAATCCATGGATGACATCAAGTGGAGCCAATAGATCCATGGATAATTGATCATTATTCAGCGGGTATTTGAGAGAAAGGAGAAGGGGAGCCCATGAACTAATGAGTTCAAGTGAGTATATGTTCAATCCTCTGTTCCAGGGAGTGGGCCCCTTATCTGGAGCCTCTGGTAGCTCCAATGCTGGAACAGTTCTGTGTCTTCATCGGTATACTGGAACCTGAGCTAAATCTGCTACAGAATAACAGGTAAAGAAGAGTGAAAGGGGAAAGATAAGTCTGAAAGAAATCCATGTAAGTAGAGGAGTAAGAGAAGAGTCTAAGGGGAAGGATTGAACTATTCTTCACGTGCTTATCCAGCCTACCTTCTACCACTTCTACCCTTCTACCCTTCTACGTCTCCTACCCCTCAGGTTTGCTTCTTACTTTACCCCATCTCTTCAGCCTAGAGGCTATGGTATTATGATATACCGAGCATTTGGAGATAGCCCCACCAATGAAGCAAGTCTACATTTCCTACTCTCAGGCTTACTTCTTACTTTACCACATCTCTTCATACTACATCTCTTCAGCCGGGAGACTATGGTATTATGATATACCGAACACTTGGGAGCTACTCTCAATGAAGCAAGTCTACGTCTCCTACTCTCGAGTTTACTTCTTACTTTACACATATCTCTTCAGCCTGGAGGCTATGGTATTTTGATATACCGAAAATTTGGATATACTCCCCTCACTGAAGCAAGTCTACGTCTCCTAAACAAGCGATAGCAACCGCGAATCGTCAAGACAGCCCAAAGCTGCCGAAACTCTCTTTACCATGGGTCTAGTGGTCGCCAACATGGACATCGTCAAGCTACCCCGCCAACTCATCCGCCAATTTCGGCATGTCACCCACCTGGCAATCTAGATTATTCTTTAGTAACACCTACCCTCGGGTTATCTCTTCCTTTACTACATCCCTTCGCTATGGTATTTTGACATACCGAACATTTGGAGATACTCTCGTCAATGACGCAAGTGTGCGGATAATTCTGGATCGACTTCTTATCCATGCCCACCCCATCGCAGCATCAATAGAGACCCAAGTGTGGTCCAAGCTTGGTCTATGTGGTACGCAGCTTACAACTTTCTGCCAGAAAGGAGTGCAAACTATACCGAAGTGTCTTCAAGGTTTCCAAAGAAAGTGAAGATGCCAGAAAACACAAATGCATGGTTTATGGTATATATACTCGTCAGCCCGTGTGCAGACCTCCGAGTCACTCGGAACCCATGAGAGAAAGGCAAGTTGACCCAAGAGGTCTACGTTGACTTGATTTAACATTATTCTAGTGATTTTACCGATTAATAGACGTGTGGTAGGAGACCGTTTCCCTTCGACAGACGGCGTCCTCTCAGCAGCCAACAGCATCAGCATCCCCCGAAGTGGTTTGAATCGCACTGAATCAGCAAGCCTTGACTCGATACTTGCAGCTACTGTGGAATACCGCGCTCTTCTGAAGGAGCAGGCACGCTGCATTTCCTGGCAGACTTACTCGGTCATTCCCAACAGGAAACCTCTTACTGTCCGCGACAGACATGTTACCTCATGGTATGGGCATCAGCCTATAGTAACTGCGGATCACTGTCCCAAAGAACCATCACCGCAGCCAAAATAGCGGTCCCAGACCAAATTATGAAGGCCCAAGAGGCAGGGGATGAACTCTCGACAAAATCTAATTAAGGGAGGGTCCGGCAGGAGTACATAGTTCGGTGTACTCCAGGGTGACGAGGGCCATTCTATGACGGAGGATTCAACTACGATAACACACAGAAAGTGGAAAACGATAGTGACTGTTATAGCAAATGGTGAATTATGGTGTATCTAGTGTTCGCAAAGACTAAACTCTCCCTTCTCAAACTCCTCATTTTGTTTCTGAGAATTGATACTCCTCTCCTCCATAAGTTCCAAACGAAGCTTCTTCGCTTCCTCCAGACTCATCAACTCCTGCAAGACACCTTCATTGCGAACCATATACTGTAACTCCACAGGAAGCCTATTAGACAACAGACCTTCAACCAAGTAGACCTTCTCCTTACCCCAAGCTTCCTGCTGGGGAGGAATATTGGCGGTGGAGATAATCTTCAAGTGTGGATCAACGAGGAACAAAGCAAGAATCTTGCGATGGCCAGGCTGAGACCGATCTTTCAATGAGAACGGGGATACACGATGCTGAAACACATTAGGGAATGTGAGGAGGCGACCTTGGCGGCAGACGACGCTTCCAAGGTCCTGCGTAAATTGGGAATGATCATATGCCGCTGCATCGGTCAAGCCGTAGATTTGTTGGAGAAATTCGTGTCGGCTTTGTTCATATCTAACCTCGGAAATTCTGCCTTCACTGATACGCTGTCGGAAGGACAGCGTGCTCTCAGCGATATTTTCGCTGTCGTAGTAGTAAAGTGCAGTGGCGCAGATACGTTCATTCTGTACTTCAATTAGCAACGTGATCCTCATCTCCGTTCTTCTGAAATGAATGAATGGTTATAACTCACCAATTGACCCTCAATATGCCAGCTTCCACCATCATATTCCGGCTTCTCAGGAGTCAGTTCAATATTAGCCAACTTCACTATAACCTGCAACCCCGTCGCACCAAATAACTTCTGAATATCCAAATACTCTTCTGGGTCACGAGCAGAAGCCTCAAAGACTGGTGGCTCAGGCTGCCGAATAGGTTGGATACTCTCCCACTCATGATACCTGTCCCAATAGGTGTCTTCATTTTCCTCTTCTCCCTGAACAGGCTCAGGTTCGGGGTGCTCCTCATATTCAACTCTATGGTAACGGATACGTGCAGGGAGCCGGGATTCATCAGTCAATGTCTTGTTCCACAATGGGATAGCGCGCGCAATGACCTTCTCAATAACACTGTACAGACCACTGTGTTCGGTGGGATGCAAGTTATTGATATAGGAAACGATGCGCACTGAATCTGGTTCCGCGGGGTTCAAGGCAACGTCACAGGGAAGCCACTGGAACTTTTCGCTGTACCGCTTGACACCTCGGAGTCGTCCTTCGTTCTTTTCGGGTGTAGGAAGTAATTCGCCCTGACCGACTGTTCCAAGACAATTTTCGAGATTGATTGTCGTATTTGGCAAGATATGAGTCCTGCCATAGACAAGTGGAAACAAGGATGGGTGGACCAGGTCAAGGACTTTCTCATCAGAGCCTGGGTGGTAGTCCTTTTCCTCGTCTAGTACATCTTCCAGATGAAACACCTCATTCACTAGAGCTCGACGTAGTTCTTCTGGGATTGCGGTGTCTGACTTGACAACGCCCATGTCGAAGACAGTTGTAGACTTGTCTTTCTTGAAGAGGCCTGCTTTCCACTGTAGCTCCTGGATGATATAGTCCATCATTGCAGGTGAGACGTCTTGGCCGGTTTGAGAAATCTCCTCTCGCCACTTAGAGAGGATTTCCTCGTCGAAGACCTGTGGTAATAATTAGTAATGATTGTAAGAACTTGAAGCCCGGGAGGAGTCTAGGAAGTCATGCTTACTTTTCGATCCCATTCCGGTTTATCAGTAATGGTATTCATTATACGCATCATCAAGATCTCTCGATGGACCTTTACGCCCCTGTATAAAGCAAGTTACTGTGTGTTTCAGTTGAATGATATGATAAATCTTACTCTGTGGGTTGGTATAAAGCATGCGGGAAAATAGGATACTGTGGGAATAAATGGTGCTCTATCTTCAGGTATCCAATATGATTAGTATCACCTCATCAAGAAACCATGCATGGGGCATTACCTTCGGTGTAAAATCAAGTGGAAGAGTAAATCCAGGCAAGCCGGTCTGCGCGGGGGCAGGCTCTCCAGGTACAAGCATTTTGACCGAACTCGAAATGGTTCAACGAGGGTTTAATAAATTTGAAGGCTGTTCGTGTTTTTTCTAATGCCAAAACTTGAGGCAATAACAAAGCTTATATAGTGTGAGTCTCAAGGTAGCCAAGACCCTGAAAGACAAGCTAGTACTTGGCGTTCCAGGCAGTAGGCAGTCGTCTCCACTATACTCGTCTAGTCCCGCATCGTGCCCAATTTCCATGGTTGGTGGCTGTTTGTGGCTGCTCGTCACCTGAGATTTGGTAAGGGTCAAATATAAGAATATTGAATATTCCAATGCATCATATAATTATAAACAGAGTATTTCCAAATAGAACAGGTATCAACCTGTCGGATTCGAAGTGAAGCTTCTCAAAACGTTGAAAAGAAGGTAATGAAAAATGTATAAATAAGAAATTGTCCAAAACCACCAGTTGACACTGTCTGCGCCTCTAGAATTCAGATTGGGGGATGGCAATATGGTACAAATAGATTGCCAGGTCCCAATTGTATCACAGAAAGCCAGTCTATACTCCAACAAAAGCATAGGCAATGATCTAAACAATAGGAAAGTGACAGAAGAAGAGAGAAAAGAATACATAATAACTTGATTAAAAGGGGTTGTATGCAAGAAATGGGGAAATCTCCAAGAGGATCAGGGAAAGCATCATATGAGAAACAGGGGCATATTCATTCGTTGCTTGTTCCAATAATTCATGACGGTCTTTTTTTCATGGTTTTTCTTTCTCTCTCTTGAAGGGGCCCGTGTCTTTTGATTTCCAGTTCCAGTGACACCTACTAAAAAGAGGCAACACTTGAGCAAAGTCATCGAGCCTACCCGCAAAAAGCAAGGAGACCGAGCAAGAAAAACAAAGGAACAGGAAAGGGGGGGGGGGCCACAGGGAATTAATAGACAATGACACGGCGTGACCAGCACCGACCGGGCCCGTGGAGAAGAAACTCAGAAAGTAGGGCTCAAGTTCAAGAATGCAAAAGTCCAATACAGCATCACATAACGGGAGGGGGAAGTGGATCACACTAGTACAGAGGTGATTTCACATCCTGGACTCCGCGACGGACAACGTCCTCTACCCGCCAGCGAGGAGGAGTCAGGTTAGCGGTGCGCTTACGCTGCCACTCCTTCTCCATCTCGGGGGGAGGGGCCATCTCGTCGGTGTCAGGCACGGCACCACCCGCGATACCAGTGGAGAACTTCAGCTGCAGAACATTGCCGATTTCGTCACAAGCGGTCAGTACGCGGTCGAGGTCGTCCTTGGTGTGAGCGGCCGAGACACAGAAACGAGCACGAGATGAAACCAGAGGGGTGGCGGGATATCCGACAACCACAACAGAGATCTTTCGCTTCAGCATTTCATGAGAGAAAGCGGGCATCTTGGCGGGGTTGAAGAGCAAAAGTGGGATGATGGGCGAGTCATCGTGGCCGTACACTATAAAGCCAAGACGCTTCAGTCCCAGGCGGAGGTATCGCGAGTTGAAAGCCAATCGCTGCAAGCGCTCTTCACCCTGGCCAGGAACGAGTTCACCCTTGATAATGCGAAGGGCGGAAGAAATTTGCGAGAGAACCGCTGGGGAAGGGGACTCTCCGTAGAAGATACCCGCATTGGTAGCCCGGAGCTTATCGATCATCACCTTGTCTGCCGCAATGTAACCACCGTTGGCACCGAACGATTTGGTCATAGTACCCATGAGGACATCCACTTCGGCAGTGTCAATACTGAAGTAGTCACACACACCCTTGCCCATGGGACCAATAGCTCCGATAGAGTGAGCCTCATCAACAAACAAGTTGAACTTGTATCGGTGCTTCAGAGCGACAAGACCAGGCAGGTTGCACATGGATCCTTCCATCGAGTAGAGACCTTCCACAACAACCAGGATCTTCTTCCAGGGTCGGTGGGTACGGGGCTGGCCCTGAGAGATTGCTTCACGGAGCTTGATTTCCAGATCCTTCATATCGTTGTGCTTGAACATGGCAATGGATGCACCGGAAAGACGAGCGCCAAAGCGAATAGAAGCGTGGTTCAGTTCATCGGAGATAAGCAGACAGCCCTTTGAAACGAGCGCGGGGAAGACATTGGCGTTGGTACCGAAACCCATGGAGAAAACCATCGAAGCCTCTTTACCGACAAAGTCGGCAATCAATTCCTCCACCTCGAGGTGAAGATCCTGGGTGCCGGTCTCCGCACGGGTACTAGGAGTGCTGATGCCGTATTTGCGGACCGAGTCTTCTGCGATATCCGCACAAGGACCCTCTGACTGGGCGAATCCGAGATAGTTGTAGGAGCTTAGGTTCAAGGTATCGGTAGTTGTGCCGGTCATGTAGAAGTGGTGGTTGTAGTCATCGGTACCACGGTCGATCAAAGTGATGGTTCGTCCGGGGACACCGGTGACCGGGCGCTCGAAGCAGTCGTTGATGCGCAGCTTGAGACGACGAACGTAGAAGTTGTCAAAGTCACTGTTCAAAGCCCCATATCCATTGCGAGCCTTGAGGTGTCGGTAGTTTTCTTCCCGGAGGCGCTTTCCAAAGAAATCACGAACATGACCAAAAGCAATTAAGATTAGGTAACTAATGTACGTCGTAAGCAAATAATAATACGGTGGCTCGTCCATCACCGGCTCAGGGAAAACACCACCAGGGTGTCGACTTGAGTAGCGGTGGCTGGGGTGACCGATTGGACCGAATTGGGCATGTTGCTTAGCCAGGCGACGAGCCTCCTCCGGAGTTGGCGGTTGGAAGAGGGTGGTAGGCATTTCGTCCATATTCAGGTTATCAGCAGTGGCCGTGGACAAAGAAATAGTCGGTAAGGACAGTGATGCCGAGCTGATCGGCGGAGAAGTATTAGGGTTTCCTGTGGTCGACTGGGCGATCGACTGAACAGGTTGATCGGCCTTTGATTTAGGCGAGACGGAGAAGAATTGGGACAGACGATGAGACTTGACCGAAGGCGCCTTGATGGCGATGCCGCCTTTTCCCGAAGAAGGCGAAAAGGAGGGAGAGTTGGAAGAGGTGTCGTTAGAAGAGTTGTTGCTGAACCGACGAGGCATCGCAGAGGGAAGTAGCGACTCGGGGGGTTTTGGGAGAGGGGGAAGGGCAACAAGATTTTACCGTTGGCAGGTAAAAGGGGGGATGCGCGGGTGTAGTTGACGCGTCCAAAGCCAACGATCTCGAAGTAAAGACTACCCAAGCACGTCTAGTGAAGCAATGCTCACTTTCAGCAATGTTTGACTGTTCAAGTCTTCCGCTCCGTGTTGCTCTTGCGAATTCCACAGCAACGGGGGTAATCTGGGGGAGAGGCGACGCCAACTTGTTAGTCGATCGTCTTTCGAGGACAGATGTGGGTCGGGTGTAATCCGAGGTGATTTGTTGGGATTGAACACTTCGAAGGGCAGGAATCGGATGGCAAGAATTGTGAAGTCACAGTGAGCAAGACTAGGTAAGATCTAACGTACTCGGGGCTGGATTTGGATGCGGGAGGCGGATCCGACGACCTCCGGGGCGAGGCTTTGCAAAATTGTGGCTTTCACACGTGGAATGGGGGGGATGGGAAAAGTGAAGAGGGACAAATTCCCACGGATGTAAGGAAATTGAAACACCCCTTTTCTCTCCTCTTGGAAACGAGTAAGTTGCAAGGAGTGAGAGGATTTCCAAGGATAGGGAGAAAGAGGGATGAAGATTGAAACCCCGTTGTGTACCTGCTGCGTGTCTGTAGTCTTATGCAAAGCAGGATGGGGCCTCCTGGTATTGAGAAAACAAGAAAATAGAATAAATACAAAGAAAATGAGGGATTTAATTGGGATGAAGCTCATAATTACAGAGTAATTTACAGCAGAATACCAAGATGCGGCCTTTTTTTTTCTTTTTTTTCTTTTTTCAATTTTTAATTAGTGGAGGCCTCAGGCCCACTTTTCAACTCCCTGAAACGGGACATTTCAGGTACACAAGTTAGTCTACCTATTGACTCCACAAAGGTACATGATAAAATATCTGCATCTATCATGGAATATTACAAGCATTGTACTCAGTACGGATATAGATCTATCTAGAGGAATGTACTTGAATTCCTCCATCTGACCAAAATAGATTACTCTTTTCCACTCGAAATCTGTACTGTACGTCACCTCTAGGGCTGAGTGGAATAGCCCCCATGGAAGCCTAGAGAAACTTGAACCTCCTATTGCCAGAGCTACTGCGATACCTTAACATGATAAATATAGATTCGTACTCGTACACATAGTATTGCGGCAGTATATGTGCTACTAGAATTATTTCTTCAATTTTTTTAATGAAACCTTGGAATAAAAGAAAAATCAATCTTCAAAAGCAGATGTACTTACCATGGTTACCCCCGATCCTCTATCTACAAAAGATCAGTTAACCCTAATTCTAGTACTACCTAGCACCTGGTATCAGATGATTATGGAAGCTCCGAATTCATGATCTCATATTAGCTCGCTTTATCGTATAGAAAATATTCCGTTAGACCCTCTTAGAGCCACAATCTACCCCATAGCAGATTCTCCACAAAGAATGCCCCCGTCAAAGAATGGAGCCTGGACTTAACTCCTGAAGCACGGTCTTCTTTCAAGTTAGATGGCCTCCACAGTCTCATCGTCCAAAGAAGGTATAGTCATTTTGAGGACCCATTGGACTTATTGGGATCGATGATCTCATTGTTACCTCGAAGTGACATATTAAGTCTGAAACTTGAAGGACTATTCAGATGAAAACGGTCACGACTCAAGACGGGGAAGTTGACATTATATTTATGCCTGAGGCATACTTCCTAGATCTCACTTTCCCGGATTCCGGCACACGAGTAAGCCAATAAGCAACTTCAATTATTCTTTGAAGTAGATCATCGAAGATCATAAATCCAAGTCGTACCACGTAGAATTTTCTCTTGAATATATTCTCTCGTCTGTTTCATTTTCTGAAAGGTGCTTTGGTCCGTTCTATAACCTATTGCGGGTTGTATAACCGTAGCCGCGGAAATCGGCAAAGTAATACCCGCTTCAAGCCGCCGTTCCTGTACGCTGTGCTTTGAACTTGCCTTAATGTCCAATTGAGATCTCTGCATGTTCAAGTATCTCCTCCAGGCTGGACTCTTAATTTTGATTATTAACTAGTGCCAAGCACGGTTGTACTTTCCCCAATTGAGACTCTAGTACTACTATCGGAGGAAATACACTCTGCCGCCATCATCCCTTCGGCATTCTCGCATATAACCCGACATTTCACTTGAGAGGTCATTCAACTTGACGTTTCCAATATCTGGAAAAATCTCAATCTCAGAACTTGAACCTCAGAAAATATGCCACACATAGATGACCATGGAGATATGGAGACGAAGGAGCTCTGGCGACCCTCATTTCCCGAGAAGACGCAGATTTACGATTTCATGACTAAAGTGAATGAGAAACATGCACTATCTTTGAAAGATTATCACGCACTTTGGAAATGGAGTATCTCAGAGCCAGCCAAGTTCTGGGAAGATATCTGGCATTACACTGCGATCCAAGCCCACAAACCCTATGACGAGGTGAGTTGGATCGTGATATCCGCCAGATAGACTAGCATTGATAGGTTCTGACATTACCTACAGGTTCTCAAATGTGACAATGTCATGTTCCCACGACCAGAACTGTTCCAAGGTGCTTCTCTGAATTTCGCCGAGAATCTCCTTTATCCCGCATGTGCCCCAGACGAGGACTCAATTGCGGTAATCGGGGCCACTGAAGGAGATCGCGAATTCATCTCGTGGAAAGAGCTTCGAGAGCGAGTTCAAAAATGTGCCAACGCACTCAAGGAAGCTGGTCTGCAGACTGGCGATCGCGTGGCTGGCTTTGTTGGCAATCATGCGAATACGGTAGTGGCAATGCTAGCTGCGACTTCTATCGGTGCTTTCTGGACCGGTGTTTCCCCAGACACTGGAGTTCATGCTGTTCTGGAACGCCTCAAGCAAATCAAGCCCAAAATCCTGTTTGCAGACAACGCCTCCCTCTACAACGGCAAGATTCATGGTTCTCATACGAAGGTGCGCGAGATCGTTGCTGATTTGCCCGATTTGGGCATACTGGTCGTTTTTGAAATAGCCAAATCTCTTGATTTCACTCTCGATCAAGTTCGACCGGAGAATGGAAAGGTTGTGACTTATCACGACTTCGAGGGTACAGTTCAGGATCAGAATGCTCCCTTAGAGTTTGTGAGCTTGAGACCTGATCATCCGGTTTACATCTTGTACTCTTCGGGCACTACCGGCGCACCCAAGCCAATTGTACATGGATCATTAGGCACATTGTTACAACACAAGAAGGAGCATCTTCTTCATTGCGATATCCGACCTGGCGACCGAGTGTTCTATTTCACAACCACGACCTGGATGATGTGGCATTGGCTAGTCTCTGGCCTGGCCAGTGGAGCCACTATTGTCCTCTATGACGGCTCGCCATTCAGACCTTTTGATGCCGAAGGTGGAAATGGAGAAATGGCTATGCCACGACTAATTGAAGAGCTCCAGATCACCCACTTTGGTACATCAGCCAAATACCTCTCCATGCTGGAACAAGCAGCCTTGAACCCTTCCAAACATGCACACCGACCCGTATCTCTTAAGAGCCTCCGATCGATCTTCAGTACGGGTTCTCCATTGGCACCATCGACCTTCGAGTACATTTACTCTTCCATCCATTCGGATATCATGCTAGGCTCCATCACCGGTGGTACCGATATTCTATCCTTGTTCTGCTCGGGCTGTCCAATCCTCTCAGTATACAAGGGAGAGATCCAGTGCCGCTCGCTCGGTATGGCAGTCTCAGTCTTTGATTACGCCGGAAATGACATCAGTGCTTCAGGAGAGCCTGGTGACCTTGTCTGCACTGTGCCTTTCCCTGCACAGCCAGTGATGTTCTGGCCACCCGGACCAACAGGCCTGGAGAAATACCGTAAGAGTTATTTCGACGTATTTGGTTCCTCAGTTTGGCATCATGGGGACTTTGTGCGCGTAAACCCGCAAACCGGCGGTGTTGTTATGCTCGGTCGCAGCGACGGCGTTCTGAAGCCCTCTGGAGTTCGTTTCGGAAGTGCTGAGATCTATAATGTTCTGTTGAAGCATTTTGCCGATGAGATCGAGGACTCTCTGTGCATTGGCCGAAGACGTGAAGGTATTGACACCGATGAGACGGTTGTCCTTTTCGTGAAACTGGCTCCTGGCAACCCTTCCACTCTACCAGAACTGGTTACACAGATCAAAGCTATTATTCGCAAGGAGTTGAGTGCTCGTCATGTGCCAGGTATCATTGATGCTTGTCCTGAGATCCCGGTGACTTCGAATGGTAAGAAGGTTGAGAATGCAGTTAAGCAGATCTTGTGCGGGCTCAATATTAAGATCGGGGCTAGTGTTGCCAACGCTGCTTGTCTTGACTGGTACCGGGATTGGGCTTCGGAGCACCCATGATCTGTCAAAATTTTTATTTGTGTCAAAATAGAACGTTCAAGTTTGAACTTGAATTTCAGATAGAAGTCCAAACGCCAATCCGCCACCTTCAAGTTGGAACCTCATCATGGTACATAGTAGTAAAACTTTGGAACCATCCTCCACTGACAGCGTTCAAGTTCAAATGTTGGAGATGAACTTGAATCTGTACATCAACTAGACTAATTATAATTATACACACATGTGCATCCACTTCACAGCCCCCACGTCGTATGATGGAAGGTGGCCCCCGGGGTCAAAAGGCCTGACGGGGCTGGCCCAACCCTTGCAATCAGGATTCTGCATGCGTCAACCTTGGAAGTGCTCCATAGATATGCAGTTGTTATTCATCTCCACACGTATAAACTAGTCAATTGGTATATAAAGGATTGACTACCGTGCTAGTACTCCGTACAGTTCGGCACGGTTACTGACCCCCGGGGCCAATTTGAAAATTTAAAAGTTAGTATACATACCGCATATTTTATGATATGTGTGTTATAACTTATAAATAGTTCAAATGGAGCAAAGAAAACCTATAAACATCATCATGGAGCTCTATCTCAGAATCAAGTCACTGTTATCAAAACATTTGGGAATCTCTTCTAACTCTATAGCCAATATGCCTCATATTCCCAGCGGACGAGAGCTTGAGCCAATGCTTGTCCTGGCCAACAATATTAGAGATAACGTCTTGGTCTTGAATGCCTTCATTTCTTCTAACTGCCATCCTAGTCCTACCTTCTCTGCTGATTCAGTGCCCAACAAAACCATTATTCCACCCACCAGCCCTGAAGAGATCCAGGATGCACGAGCTGCCCTCATAAGTTCCGCAAGAACTTTGCTTGACCTTATCTTGGGCCCAGTTGGAATCCTGGAAGACATTAATGTGAGCATTTATTTTTCATAGCTTGATCATATCTGCTGCATTCCAAAGTCCTGTATGCTAACATCAAACAACATTCAATCAGGCAAATGAAACGTTCTACGTACAGGTGATTCATCGGTACCGCATTGCCCAGTGTTTCCCTCCCAGTGCAGATAATCTCATTTGAGGAGCTTTCTTCTCGATGCGGTCTTAACATTATCGATTTGAAGCGAGTGCTTCGACTTGTCATGACCAGGCATGTTTTTGCAGAGCCGAAGTCTGGCTTCGTGGCACATACTGCGACTACGAGATTGTTGCATGAAGACGATAGAATCCGTGCATTTTCGGGTATCATAGCTGACGAACTATTTCCAGCATCTTCAAAGGTCAGCACCCTTTCCCAATGTTATATAAGTCAACTTGAGATAAACTCCAGTTGATTGTCTGATTCAGTTTGGCTGATCTCAAAGACTATTGGATCAGGCCATCGATGCGCTAGTCAAATATGGTCAATCACAATCGCCGAATCAATCAGTATGTATCCATCTAACGTACTCTCCTATGCGTGAAATCTGGATAGGTATAATACTGACTTGATTCAGGGGTTCTCTCTCGCAAACAATACAGAACTAGGTCTCTATGAAGAGCTTCAAGCCCATCCTGCTCGCGAAAAACGCTGGAATCTGGCCATGAGCGCGATGGCCGCCAGAATCGATTTTGACTTTATTCTAAACAATTCTCACCTATCATCGTTGGCTCCCGGATCATTATTCGTCGACTTCGGCGGTGGTAATGGCACAATCAGTATCGGCCTCGCCAAACGCCTTCCTCATCTCCGCTTCTTGGTGCAAGATGCCGCGCCCCATGCCCATGCTCAATCATACACGGCAAATGGAATTCCAGTAAAATCAACGGGAGATAATCAACAGGTGATGTGGCAGACATACGACTTCTTCACCTCGCAGAAAGTCATCGGTGACGTTTACTATTTCCGAAACATCTTCCACAACTGGTCTGACTCCCAGTGTGTTCACATTTTACGACAGCATGTTCCTATTCTTCGCCCAAAGACTAAGCTCATAATTGATGATTTTGCATTGCATGAGCCATTGACCGTTTCCCAATTTGAGGAGCGAAAGGCAAGGTATGGTCCCAAATATAGTCTCATCTATTACATGTATTCCACTGACCCCAGGGTTTCAGATCTATGGATATCACGATGCTTGCTTACTTTGGTTCTCATAAGCGTACTATTGAGCAGTGGTGGTCTATCCTTGTCGAGGCTGACCCGCTATTTACATTGGAGAAGGTCACTCAGGACCCAAAACAGCCCAACACCATTCTGCAAGTGATGTTTGGATAACAGACAAGTCCAGAATATCTTAAGCCCTGTGATCTCAACGCCTGTACTTGAGAAGCACACATTAAATTTGAAATCTTATACAATCAAGGCCAAACTTGAGCTTATGGCTATCTCTGTTAAGCCATTCATATATACTGTCTTCAGGCTTGGCTGTCGACGCTAAGATACACTCCGTGGTTGGAAATTTAATCGCATAGTATAGCGTCTTCAAGTTTATAACGGTGGAGCAGGTGCACCTAAGGACATTCTACAACCTTAATATGGTCACTGTCACCGTGACGGTGCAGGTAATTATGTCGACTGGTGGTTAAACTCATTGATTGCAATTTCATGGGACATACTAGAGGTACTAGTATACATATATACTCCGTAGTATGCGGATGCCACTGGTACTAGCTCTAGACATCTGGAGTGCTTTTGTTGAACTTCATGTTTCAAGTTTCTTCCCAACTAGCAATTCTCACCTCATAAAGGGGCCAAATAATTTAGAAAGCAAATAACTATATCAATTCCCATTCATATGAATCATATCAATCAAACAATCAAGAACATTTTCTGCCATCACTTGGTGACGCATATCAGCGGGGCGGTAAGGATATCGGCGCTGCGGTCCGTTGATTTGAATCTTCCGATGTTACTTTCCCGTTCCCCCCGGATTTATCACGCGTGAACATCTTTCATTTAATTGATACGCATGATGAACGGAAATATGCGTCGCTCAGCATTGCGGGCCATGGAGGCCGCAAAGCCCATAGCGCGAGTCCCTCACTCTAAGTCCAGAACCTTTGCTACTCTGAATGACACTGCCAAGGTACTTTACCATGATCCATCAGGTAATTTGTCACCATCACTAACCATTGACTTTTGCGTTCTCTCTACTAGGACCCTGCGGAGCTCGATCAAATCACAACCCTGCCCAACGGCGTCCGTGTCGCCACAGAGTCATTACCAGGCCCATTCGCGGGTGTCGGAGTCTTCGTCGATGCCGGATCTCGTTACGAAGATGCGAGCTTGCGCGGAGTCAGTCATTTGATGGACCGATTGGCCTACAAATCAACCAAGTCACGATCTGCGGATGAGATGCTCGAGGTTATGGAGGCGCTGGGCGGTAGTATCCAATGTGCGTCATCGAGAGAGTCTTTGATGTACCAGTCCGCCAGCTTCAACGATGCTGTTCCTACTACACTCGGCATCTTGGCGGAAACCATTCGGGATCCCTTGATCACTGAGGAGGAGGTTCTTGATCAGCTTGCTACAGCCGAATACGAGATTGGTGAGATTTGGGCTAAGCCGGAGCTTATCCTGCCAGAGCTTGTCCACATGACAGCATACAGGGACAACACTCTCGGAAACCCTCTACTGTGCCCTGCTGAGAGGCTAGGCGAAATCAATAAGGCTGTTGTGGAGCGCTATCGTGAGATCTTCTTTAACCCGGATCGCATGGTTGTTGCATTTGCTGGTGTGCCTCACGCCGAGGCCGTTAAGCTCACAGAGCAATACTTCGGAGATATGAAGAGCCGCGACGTTGCCCACAGCAAGGGACCGGTTCTGTCAGGCTCAGGAATTGATACTACTCTGTCAGACTCCCACGCTGCTGCTAAGGAGGGCCAAATCCCAACCGTTCCCCAGTTCACAGCGTCTTCGACTGTCAGCAGCTCAGCTGCTTCGCAAAGCACTCACTCCTCGCTCTTGTCGAAGCTTCCTTTCCTTAAGAAACTTTCCACTACATCAAAAAACCACGCCTCCGTCGAACCTCTCCACCCCTCCCTGGTCGAAGCCTCCACCTTGGATCTCCGACGCCCTGCTTACTACACCGGTGGCTTTACTGCCCTTCCTCCCATTCCGCCTCCCGCGAATCCAATGCTGCCCCGACTGAGTCACATCCACCTTGCTTTCGAGGCACTTCCCATCTCATCTCCTGATATCTATGCCCTTGCTACTCTGCAGACCCTCCTGGGTGGTGGTGGATCTTTCTCGGCCGGTGGCCCGGGTAAGGGCATGTACTCCCGACTCTACACAAACGTCTTGAACCAGCACGGATGGGTTGAGAGCTGTATTGCCTTCAACCACAGCTACACCGACAGTGGTGTCTTTGGTATCCAGGCCTCCTGCAGCCCAACCCGCACAACAGAGATGCTGGAGGTCATGTGCCGCGAGCTGCAGTCTCTGACCCTTGATACTGGTTACACTGCTTTACAAACACAGGAGGTCAACCGAGCCAAGAACCAGCTTCGCTCGTCACTTCTCATGAACCTGGAGTCTCGCATGGTCGAGCTCGAGGATTTGGGTCGTCAGGTCCAGGTACACGGTCGCAAGGTTAGCGTGACGGAGATGTGCAAGCAGATTGAGGATTTGACTGTTGAGGATCTCCGTCGTGTTGCTCGCCAAGTTTTTGGTGGCCAGGTCCAGAACAAGGGCAATGGCACCGGCCAGCCTACTGTTGTGTTGCAGGAGGGTGAGCTTGAGGGCTACAAGCTCCGCTCTTTCCCCTGGGAAGAGATTCAGGAGCGGATTTCCCGATGGAAGTTGGGTCGTCGATGAACATAGATCATTTAGAACGGCCTATTTACATGTTTACTGTGTTTGATGAGTACCAATATGCCAGCGTACCATGAGTGCCGCAGCATGAGTACTTGCATCCCATTAACATGGATAAAGAAGCTGAAGGTGTACCATCTGAAGGAAATGGAGATGTATTCTTAAGACCAAACACAACTCTGTAAAATATTTATCAATAATTTTCTCCTCATCTAGTTGCCAGTTGTTCCCATTGTCGTCATATACAAGTGTTGTTAGCCGGGCGGGTCCTAGCTCGCTCGCCGCTTTTGCCCGGCAAAAAAGTCGGAGCGACCGAACTCGCGCTTCCTCCATCATCCATCTCCTGTACATTCATTTAAACCATCAACATCAAAAACCTCCAACACCGCGAAAATGGTCAAGCTTACCGAGGTCGAGGACGAGCACTTCGTCGAGAAGCCCATGGGCACCAAGAACGATGCTCTGCTGCTCTCCGATGACGAGGATGATTACACCGACACTGGTAAGTACTTGACGACACTTTCCTTGATCCCGGTCACGCGAGTCGCATCGTGCTGCTATAGCACGTCTTGAAATGGGATTGAATCAATCTTCAATCCCATATTATCCACCATCTATATCCCCGATTCAATCCCTATTATGCCATCGTGACTTTCCGGCGCGGACTCAACATCGAAATCATCCCGAAATCAAGACATCAACCACATTTCATCAATCAATTGGCATTTCTTATCTAACATCAATTCTTCATCTCCATAGACTCCGAGATCTCTGATGCCTCAGACGATGAGCTCGAGGAGGAGACCATCTACGACCGTATCTCTGCCTTGAAGGACATGGTTCCCCCCTCCGCCCGCCACACTGTCACCAGCACCGTCGACACTATCACATCTTTCGGCAAGGCTAGTCTGTCATTTAGCGGAAAGGCTCTCTGGATCATCAGCACCAGCGCTTTCCTCATCGGTGTCCCTTGGGCTCTTGCCTACGCTGAGGAGGAGCAGTACATCCAGATGGAGCGTGAGCAGGGTATGATCAAGGGTGCCAACGAGGTATGATATCTTCCAATCGATTATTCTCTACTTCATGCCAATCGCGGATGGGTTGAGAGATGATATCACGGATGCATGATTTGATCTCTTGTCTCTAGCTGGTTTCACACCGGGAGAGCTGGGGATTTCTCAGGAGCATACCGTGGCAATATCTGATCTCTATATCATCTCTGCATTCCCTTTATCTCCATCTATGAACCTATTACTGACTTTCCTCCCGATAGATGCTCACCCCTGGCTCCGAACCCGAGAAGAATGATGCTGCTCAACAAATTCTGTAAATTAATAACACTTCGGAATCCAGCGGACGTTAGCACCAAAGCTGGGCGAGTCGGCCGTCAATAGCTTAATCCGAGAACGTCTCGACATGAGCGACTCGACGGCAAAGACATGACATCCATGGCCCTGGGGTTCTTCTAACGGTCAACCCCAGTATAGGGTCTCGGCCATCTACATTGGAAGTTGTCCCCACATCACCACTCGATTCGCTCAGCTTGGGCAGCCAGCTGGTTTTTCTCCTTTTTTCGATTCCTTGATGTCTTCTTCCAGAATCCTGGCTCCGGCAGCTCATGCATGCATGTATTTGTACAACAATCATCATTTTTCTCCTTTCCTCTCCATGTCCTTATATACTCATTTGTTTTTGTTTATCTACTATTATCTTGCTCTGATTTTTTCGGTGATGAAAAATGAAGATTGAAATTAAGCATGCCATGTTGTCAACAGTAACGTCATCTTCTACTACAGTTTTATAATCACAAGTCCATATCTAAGTTCAAGTTGGTAAAACTTGGCTGTCTACTCGGGGTTTGAACCCATATAGGAAAGGCAACCAGCACTGTCTACTAGTAATGTGATATGACATCGTCAAATGTTTTCCTTCAAGCTATTATACAAGGTGACCCGTCAAATGGTCTCGTCCAACCTATCGTACAAAGCGACCCATCACCTTTTTTGAAACAGAACACAAGCATAACGGAAAAATAACCGAGAGACAGCAGGGGTATCAAAGCGCAGAATAAAAGTACATATCAAAAAAAAAAGGTTCCGCCAGGAACCAACAAACGGAGAGGACTTAGCTACAGAAGCTAAGCATGCTGGCTATCATATCCATTAACGGTCATGACGGTCATGATAGCTTGGCTAGGAGATAATTGTTAGATGCAAATTCCAGATAAAAATCCCAGACTTATGAACGTACCTTTTCTCCTCGAGCAGTCTTCAAATTTGTATGAAAGTCTCGGTAGAGCTTTTCAACCTCACCAGCTTCAATCATACCATCAAGGACCTTGAGCGCATTTCGAGTCTTCCGCTTCTGACTCAAATTATTGCGACGCAAGACTTCTTCATCCTTCATGTGACCCATTCGCTCAAGATGATCAACAACCCATTCATTCAGATGGAATCGCCAGTGAGTCAGTGTGTGTGCTATCTGAGCTTTATGGCTGCAGTTTCTGTGTATGTGAATTAGTTGCGCATTCAATAAGATATGATATCAAGGCTGGTATTGAAACTTACCGGCCTAGGAGGAAGCGTTGATTCTCATCTGGGAGTCTATGTCCATCCCGATCATAATCACACTCAGTCTCAGTTTCATTGCTTCCATTGGAGTCTAAATCGCTACTTAGACGGGATTGATCCTCTTCGCTATCGTTAAGCGGCTCAAGGGTTTCTAGTGAGTATGGCTTGCCATACAACTTCATGTCGGATGAGGCAGGGTGACCCGATCGATTACAAGCATCGCATGAATGATCCTCATCAGTCGAGTAGGCTGTGATCTCAATTTGAGGTCGAGCAAGGAGTGCAAAGCGGAAGCCAGGGTTCCAGACCGATGAACTGAATTGAGAGCCTACGCGGGCCTTCACTTCATCTTCCAATTTCATGAATGCCATTTCATACATGTCGTCCGAGCGTGGGAATGCGGGATCAAGGCGATTGTGGACCATCCAGGCGACTACGTCTTGGAAGTAGTCTTTGGGTTTCTTGTATGCGTGTCGGGTGAATTTGAGGGGGATATCGGCAGGAACTCCCAATGGCGTGTCGTCGTCATCAGAAATAAAGTCATCTTCGTAGCGGTCCAGATCCTCATCACGGGGGATGGATTGGTCCTCTTCCTCCTCATCATCCTCATCATCCTCGTCATCCTCGTCTTCTTCTTCATCGTCTCTGTTACGACCATGCTTAGTCGGGCTTCCTTCCTCATCTTCATCAGAACCATTTTCATCGTCTTCGCTCTTTACTTTCTTTCCGGCGCGCTTGCGGCGAATAGCCTCCAATGTCTTGAGCTTTTTGTCTCGTGCAGATTCGGCAAGGCGGCCTCGAGTTCTTGTTGTCTTGATAACTGTGGAAGATTTGTTAGTCATACATCGTACATTTGTACTTGGATGCACGGAGTAATATGTACCTGAGTCCTGAAGATCTCTAACATCCTCCTCGATGTCCAATTCATCTTGTTCAGCGCTGACACGAGGCTTCTTAGGTGAGTCCGCATGCTCTATTTTTCTGCGTCGTTTAATAGGCGACGACAGCACAGGCTCATCGTCCGAATCAATCGGAAGGACTGGGGAACTCTCTGACTTGCGCTTCAATTTGCGACGGGGTCGAGGGTTCTCTTCGGTCTCTTCATCTGGGATATCAGGTGATTGCACGCGAGCTCGTTTCTTCTGGGCACTGGGCACAACTATTTCATCTTCGGGGGAGGGTTCAGAGACCGAGATGGGTGAGGAGAGGTCAGAGGTGTCGGAGACGTCGAATGTGCCGTCGAGAGTTTGAAATGAGAGTTGTGTTGATTTCTGGTTGCCCTTTTTCGGTCTGATTGGTAACTTCACTTGTGGAGAATTTTCCTTTGAAGTCTTGCCGTTGCGCGGACTTCGTGCGCGTACGGTGGCCAAACTGGGGTGTTGGTAAGAGAGGGTTCTGTAGCGATCGCCATCGTTCCCGCTGCCATCCAACGCCGGTATGGCGGGAGCAAAAGCAAGCCGCGCTTGCTTTTTGGTGCTCGGTGCTTTCCGACGCATTTTGGCCGGGGAACGAAAATCGGGACGGGGACGTGGGAACCAGCTCAAGATAAGGGGGGGGGGGAACGACGCCGAGAGTCAAACGAAGTAACAAAGGCTGTCACGAAAACAAAAGACGGGGAACCTTTTTTTGTCGCGTGGGACCGCGTTAAGTGGGGCACGTGCGCACGTGATTTTAGCGGTCTATAGATCGCCTTTTCTTTTAGTTACTTTTCACTTAATTCAAATATTAAATATAAAGTAATTTGTTAAATTAATTAAAGACCTTATCTCTATGAGTTAATTCTCATAAAGGACAGGTTTAAACCAAAAATACATAAGTTATGGCATAGTGTTGAGAATTGTCTCGTATTGAACACTATACATCAGCTGGGCACCTACATTCGTGGTTCCCCACCTTCTCTTCTCTTTCTTTCTCTCCAACACCTAGGCCATATCACAACTTCACCCTTTTTTTGTATTCCAAATATCTTTGACTTTATATATATTGCGCCTACATTTCTATTTTCCATTGAAGAGTCGGGATATGAGCAAAGACGACTTGGAGATCCGGAAACCATCCAATGGGCCGTACCAAGGCTATCTCGACATACGCGGACTATATCGAAGCCAAGTTTTCTGACAAATATGATCGATATGTGTGGCTGAAGGACTTTCTTCAGAACACTGGCAGTCCTTCCATATTCCCATCGATCAACTTGCCATTGCCTGTTGAAATTTCCATCATAGACAGCGAAAAGGAAAACATACAGGGCAGACGATTTAGGGTCAGCAGGAATAAACCAATAGACCATAATCTGGTTGAGGCTCTGAAAGAAGAGCCAGAAGAGCTTTGATTTGAAACTTGTCGGACTTGATTAATATTTCTTCAATATCGAAGCTTTGAGAGTATCAATCCAGCTTATATCGATTTGATTGGTCTTCATTATGACCTTCATCCGGATTTTTTCTCTGTTCACTTTGAGTGTGATCTTGACCAAACTGGTCAAGTTACTACTCATCTTCCTTCTCATTCTCTCCCTCCAAACGGCGCTTTTTACAGATAAGAACAGATTAATGGACCTCCATGACTACAACATGGAAGATATGTGGAAATAGACGCAGATGTGAGATACATTCAGTCTTCATATTTCCCATAGCAATCTCTCACAGGTTGATTACTGACTCTAAATATAGTTATTGTTCTTGCGCTAGATCATTACCTTAGTTCGGGAGACCAACTGTTTCTTCTATATGATCAGCTTGTCAATCATACGCCACCAACTGAGATTTTACGATTGAACCAGAATCCAGCGGACTATCTTTTCCCATATGTCAGAGAATCTGCACGGTATGGGGCTTCTATCTGCGCTCAGCTAGCACCATTTCGGGGGAGTCACAAGATTAGCCAAGATTTTAATCTAGACACTAAATGGGAGATAAACCAACGAAACCGCCGTGCTATGATGTCCTCTCTGACTAGCCTGTCAAGGTTTCTTGCCGATTCCGAAGTCAACCCTCAACCTTCGTCGTTGAAACTTTATGGTATTCTATCAGATTATCGAGAGCTGATTACGGAAAGCGAGATGATCGCAGCAGATCTCCAAGTACTTCTTCAGCAGCAAGCGAACTTGGCAAACATTCAAGAAGCAAGGAGAGGTGTTAACCAGGCAGATTCAGTACGGAGGTAAGTGAAAAGACTACTGAACCAGCTACTGGTAAATTCTTTTTGTATTGACAATGACTTTAGGCTTACTATAGTGGCTTTTCTTTTCATTCCATTGAGCTTCACCTGCTCTTTCTTTGCAATGAACATCTGAGAGCTTGGCACTGGATCTTTATCAATTGGATATTTCTTCCTTCTTGCTATTCTCTCGGCTGCTTTGTGCATTATTGTTGGAGTCTTTCTCATGTCTATAGAAAGGCATCTCAAGCTCGCCAGAAGATGGTTTATTCGAAAATGGATTAGATGGAAAGATCAATCAAAAACTCGGGATTGAGATGGGATCCTCTGTGTACTCCACTGTCATTTGCGACCATTGTGACCGATTACCTTCGAGTTGTCAAGTTTACATGTGCGACAAGTACATAGAGGGTGAGATGGAAGTAATCCTGTCAGCATAGAGAGATTCTGACAGTTGCCTCTCATGCTCACTAGCATGTCTTGAATGGGGGCGATAATTTTTGAGAGAACCAAGTACCCTCCCTATAGATAAAGGAAACGAAATTTAATTTAATCAATTTATCATTCTAAAAATTGATAGACAAAATAAGTAGAAAAACATTAAAATATTAGTAGCACATGGATGCACATGGCTCTTCAACAAAGGGATAGGATCTGCCATGTGATACCCCAGATCCAACCTTAACTTCTAACATCCTCGCTTCCATTTACCCAGATTTCACTCTGACCCTCGTATAATTGAAAAACAATTTTGATTAATTCCCCAGATTTCTTACGATTGGTGGAGTCAACTTTCTCCCATCCTTCAACCACGCGGGATCTGATTCGTGGAAATACAAACTATGGTGTGCCGCGGGACAAAATATCCTCGAACCCCAGACCTCCATTACCCCAGGTCTGTCCCCATACTATTCAAAGATATCGAGACCAATGAGCGGTCACCAGGGCGCACAAGCTCTCGAGCCATGTGTGGTTGATTTCGAAAACCCCACCACTCAGCGACCCCGGTCTTACAGGGCAATTGCTATCACAAATGCAAGTCCTTCTTAGCGTGACCCGGAGGCGTCGTCCTAAAGGATGGTCTGATTGGAGCCGTGACGGTTTCTGCTTAGGGTGCCGAGAAAGCTCACGTCTCCCCCAGACAAGTCGAGGAACATTTATATCTGGGGTACTCCGCACCCTTTCTCTTCTTCGAAGTTGTGTGCTGTTCTCCTGATATCCCTTGACAGGACTACGAGCTTGGTATTGGACTATCAAGCTTTCTCTTGTCCAAGCTTAAAGGCTGCATAGGCAGGACTTGGCAGTCACTCGCATAACTCTTAATCTTATTCAACCAATTTATCTACCCCAACGCCAAGATGGGTTTCCAAAAGATGAGCTCCAAGCGAGCTTACAACTGGTATGCTGTCCTTCCATCCCATGAGAGAATGTCCCTATAGAAATTCTAACTTAGTATTCAGGTTTGTCTCCCTTGTTGCAGCATCTTGCATGGTCTTGTACGGTTATGATGCATCCGTTTTCAACTCCGTCCAAGGATCCGCCAACTGGGTCGACTGGTTCGACAACCCTAGTGAGAGCTTGCTTGGTGGAATCAACACAGCATACACAGTTGGCGCCATCTTTGGTGGATTTTTCCTTGGTGGACCATCATCCGATTTCCTTGGTCGCAAGATGTCGATGGGTATTGGTTGTGCTTTTGTCATCGTCGCTACATTTATGCAGACATTTGCTCCACGCGGTAACATTGCTTGTTTCATCGGTGGACGTGTTCTGATCGGTATCGGTCAGGGTATTGCCTTGAGTAAGTTGGGAGCATTCGACCCCTTTTGTCTTTTGAATTAAGACTGACTTGGCACGACTATAGCTGCTGGCCCGATTTACATCGGTGAACTGGCTCCCTCAGAGATTCGAGGAAAGATCATGACCTTCTGGCAGATGTTCTACTCCGTTGGATCTTTTATCTGCTTCTGGATTGATTATGCTACTACCAGAGCCCCTCAGCTTGGAGAGTGGGACTGGAAGCTGGTTATCATTTTCCAACTTTTGTTCCCCATCTTGATCATTGCCCTTCTTCCCACTATTCCTGGAAGTCCTCGTTGGTAAGTTCTATATGAACCCTCGGTTTAAGTGACTACTAACACAGTTGTTCCTAGGTACATCCAACGAAACGGCGATGTCGAGAAGGCTCGTGACGCCCTCCGTCGAGTACGAGATACAGAAGAGGAGGTCGAGCATGAGATCTTGACGATTCGTGAAGCTCTCGAATATGAGAAGGAAGCAATTTCCAGCGGCTACAGTGCTCTCTGGAAAGACAAGTCTCTCCGAAAGCGTTTGCTTCTTGCTTTGGTTGTAAACGCCGGTCAGCAACTCACTGGTCAGGGATCCCTCAACACATACTCTACCAAGATCTACGAGAAGGTTTTCACCCGGGAGAGCCAGATCTCTCTTATCAACGCTCTCAACGCCACCTTTGGTATTCTCTTCACTCTCAACGCCATCTGGTTCATTGATAGATTTGGCCGAAAGGCTCTTCTAATTGGTGGTTCCATTGGTATGGGTCTTTGCATGATCATTGTGTCCGCTGTCGAGACAGAGACCGCCAATACAGCAGATGGTGGCAAATCCGAACCTGTTGGAATCTCGATTGTCTTCCTATTCTTCCTCTTTATCCTGTTCTGTAAGTTTCAGACCCCCAACCCCCCATTCAGTCCTCACGTTACTAATATATTATAGATAAACCATCATGGGGTGCAACCGTGTGGATTTGGACAGCAGAGATCTTCTCCATGAACGTCCGCGCCCAGGCTGTGGGTATGGCATCGCAAACACAAAATGTTGCCAACACTATCTTCCAGCAGTTCTTCCCTACATTCCTTAACAACGATGGATTCTACGCATTTTACCTATTTGCCGGAATCAACTTCTTGTTGGGTCTGTTCGTTTGGTTCTTCATTCCAGAGACCAAGCAGGTTCCTCTCGAGGAGATCGATGCTTTGTTTGGTGGTGCTAACCACGTCACTCAGGGTGAGGAGGTTTTTGCAAGCAGGAAGCTTGATACCCGTGGTCGTGACATTGTGGACAAGCCTGCGACTGTGAACGTTGAGAATGTCGAGACCAATTAATGATTGTTGCTGTCAATGTTAGCGCGGTGACTTGCCTTATCTTTGTGGATGAAAATTGTCACGTCAATTAATTATAGTACATACTATTACCTATTCAACTTTCTATTAGTATTCAATTCAACTGTTGAAATTGGATACAGCCCTTGAGACTTGTTTTATTCACTATAACTTAAATGAGGCTCCATAGCCAGTTGCATGTGTAGGGCGTATTTACATCATGAGCAATAAATTGCCAGCACTTGAGCGTTCAAGTCTTTTAGTACGGACTATTGTTCCGACTGGCTCCAGGATTTATGTTCAGAATTTCATGTGCAAATCAATTCTTAGGCTTTCACTGCCAGTGTTTGTGTTTTTGTCAAAGCTCAAGATGGAGTTGACATCTGGAAGATCCACATCTATGTACAAGGATAACTTGTCTATTCCAATTTTCTCATTTTATACCTCGAGACCTGCGATCCATCACTGAGCCCGACTGTCACAAGTTCGAGTCTGTAGCGGAAGATACGCGGTAAGATCACCCATCGACCATAGTAGTAGATAACACCCAGCGCTAGAATAGCCAGTGCCACAACGGGTGAAAGATAGTATGGTAGGCTACTATCACTGCCACCTGTGGGTGGTACCAGGGGCATAACAAGCAAGAACTGGTAAAGTCAGTAAATCGGATCATAGAATCACCATGGGAAGACATACAATGTTTGCAGCGAGATAGAAGACGAGAGCGGCCCATGGTACTTTGAATGAGGAGTAGAAATCTTCCGTCTTTGACAAGCGCAGCTTAATCAAACCAACTGTTATAACGGATAAGAGGAATACAGTTGGATATGTGCCAAGGTCGACGACAAAATTGAACGCATCGCCGGCAGGCGGAGCGCAGATGAAGATAATTGTGACACTGAGGTGAACAGCAAGAGCGAGAATAGGGGTCTTGAATGGTCTGTTTTGCATGAGGAGATTTGGGAATGGAGTTGTTCCATCCTTAGCCAATTCTTGAATCAAGCGTGCTACCAATGTTGTTAGCCAAAAATTCGAATTTGTTAGATAGACTGGAATTGTGAGCCCATTGATACTTACAGACTGCGAATGCCACACTAAGAAGGTGACCAATAGCTGAAAGTGCCACTAGTACTGGAAGAGCCTTTACTGCTGCAGACTCGCCATAGACATTTCGGAATAGAGTGGCCGCAATCGTGATATTTGAGCCCAAGAAATCCTCTCGAGATACACCGGCGAACTATAAAAATGTCAGCTTAAGCTTGGATTCACTGGAATACCTAGCCATTATGAACCAGGATCACTCACGTAAGCTATGTTTGCCAGAATGTATAACACAGTCACCAAGCCCATGGCAGATGGCAACGCAATTCGAAGTGTTCTTTCAGGATTTTTGACTTCAGAAAGTACCTTGATGATTGTTAGCGAAGCTCTAGTCTCAGATAGTAGCGTTTGACGACATACCGCATTCAGGTTATCATAACCCTGGTAAGAAAAGATGCAATCCAATAGCGCTGTACCGATATTGTAGCCGCTACTAGATGTACCCTTGAAAGATGAAGAAGCAGAAAGATTATCTGGCTTGGGAACACGAAGATGTCCTCCAAGCGCTGCAAACCCAGTGCAAACGATGAAAAACAAGATGAATAGTTTCACTGCGCTCAAGATATCCTGTAGCGCTCTTCCAACACGGGGTGCAACAGCATGAGTGATAACGGCGAACGAGACTGCAGAAATCGCCAGGCCTCGTTCTTTCCATGTTGTTGAGTCAACTCCAGCAGCATCGAGCAGGTATTCCGAAGCCGTGATTGCGTTACTTGCCGAATTTTCTATAGGGCAACGGAATGTTGTTAGTCGAGACAGCACAGGAAACATCAACAGAGAGCTCTTGAAATAAAGACTCACGTAGGAAAACACAGTAAAATAGATATATGCAAGTCATCAATAACTTAGGTGAGAATGATCGTTCCATATAGACCTTCATACCACCTGAGATCGGCATGCTGGTACCAAACTCTAACATCACCAGAGCTCCGCAGTATGATATGACACCAGCAATACTCCATAAGACAAGACATAGTCCAGGACTGCCAGCCAGTTCAAAGATCGTTGTAGGGGTAGAAAAAATTCTGTTTGTATTAGGACCAATTCAAGATTCGAAGTTATGGAGAGAGTCAAACACACCCAGATCCGATGATTTTATTCACAATAAGTGATATAGAACCCCAAACTCCAATTCTGCGTTCTTGCAAGATATTTGTCTCCTTGATATCACCAACGGAGCTACCAACATCTTCAGAGCTCGATCCATTATATCCGCCTGAAACCTCTTGTAATGAGGGTTCTAACTGGTCAGTACGAGTATTCTGGAGCTTGAAAAGCAGCAAGATATCTTACTAAAATTAATATCCTGTGCTTCCGTCATTTTGAGGAATGTCTGATCGTTTTTACCTTGATAGTAGCTCTCACTTATATAGGGAAATTTGGTGCAGCGCGTGGTGGAGGTTCCGGCGATGGCAACTATGTAGCATGGATGTCGTGATCGCTGGCTACTCTGGAATGTCTGTACAACAGCTTTTCAGTGGGGATCAAAACACGATATGACCCCACTTCGTTACATGTCGTCTCACTAACTGGATCTTTTTGTAAATTTGTCATTTCTCAAAGGTAATAGATGTGATCTGGGCGTGGTGAACGTGGTGTTGATTTTTGCCCCTTATTGGAGTGCTTGGCGAGTTGCCGAGAGATCGAGGTACTTTTGATGATATTCCGATGAAACGAGTCATGGCATGACTGGAAAATGTCATGTTTCTCGCTACTATTACATGCCGCAATGGTAGAAAGTAAAAAGGGTTGCTACCAGACAGAAGTATTATGGTTGATGGTCTGAACATCAGCCCTATGGTAACAATGCCCTATTCCAACTGGATAATCCAGCCTCACTTTGAGGATACCGTCCTAACTTTTTACTCACTGGAACATTTTAAGTGAAGGAAGCGATGCTATTTAAATATAGAAACGACTGTTGCAGTATTACGATTTAGATCTACGATAACTTGGATGTCCTAGTATTTGTATGAATATTCATGTTCAATATTATTACATTTTATCCAATATTTTCCCACTCATCTGAAGATCACATTAGAATCGGGATATTGCATCGTTGCTGAACAGACAAAGATGCTTCAAGTGTTATACAGAAAACTCGTCATCCGTACTAGTAGACTACGGTTATCGGTCATCCTGATAAACTTGGAAACCCCGCACTCACTGAAAAAGGAGTCATCATGAGCGACATTTATCTTCCTCCGTCCCTTACGATTGATTTGATATCAGAACTCATCGTCTCTCTGGATCTCCCTCAGCCGACATCCATCGAGCCTTTGAAGGTCTCCGCAGCTTTCCATTCAATCTACTTGATTCACTTCTCTGCCACAGCCGAACCCAATATTTCTGCTCGCTCCAACCCCGATGGCACAATAACTCTGATACTTCGCGTCTCTGGTAATCAGTTACCAGGTATAAAAACTCGCAATGAAGTTGGCGTGATGAACTGGGTGCGCCAGAATACCCACATCCCCGTCCCAGCGATCATTCGCTATGATTCCACTGGAGACAACGTCATCAAACACGAGTTCACTCTCCTTGAGAAGGCTTCTGGTGTGAGTGTTGATCATGTTTATCACACACTCTCTGAAGAAACTCGGACCAAGATGGTTCATCAGCTTGTCGACTATCTCATCGAGTTACATGACCACCCCTGGAAAGATGGGTATGTAGGTGGTCTGACTCTCGACAATGGTGAGATAGCAAGAGGGCCTCCGATGGAAGAAAACTTCTGGCAAACTCCTGATCTAGAGAATTATTGGTCCGAGTCTACAGAGACGTTGGAGTCGCTTAACCCACTTGCCCCTGATGGATATGTCAATTACGTGTCATTCATGGTTGATAGTATGAGGTGCTACATCCATGCGATACAGAATCATCCCTCACTCGAGTCATATCGTGATATAATCCCTCGATTATGCAAATTTGCGACTATCATTCAGGAGCCACAGACTGCCAAAGAGCTGAACCAAGTCACTTATATTCTGGCTCACAAGGATATGCACTTCGCCAACATTATGTGCGATCCTGACCACCCAGACTGTCCCATAACAGCCATCTTGGACTGGGAATTTAGTGGTATTGTGGCTGCATCGCGGTGGAATCCACGACGTGCATTCCTCTGGAATTATAAAACAACACCGGAGGATAAAGCGGAGCAAACTCGCATGGAAAACATTTTCGAGAGAGTTTGTCAAGAGAAAGGGGCCGAAAGAATCCTCGAAGAGGCTAAGCTGAGTCCACTACAAGAATCAATGCAAATTGTCGTGAATCATATTCGTGCAGTTGTTGAGGTGTGTCCAAGGGGACAGGCAAAGGATCGTGTGGCCTCTTGGAGAACAACAGCAGAGGAAGCAATGAAGAAATTTGGTGCTTGATTTACAGGACTTGAGGATTCATTGGATTTCAGCCCCAAATTCAAGATTCAGATGTTGGTGTTTCCGCGATGGCGTCAATTCATCCTATGATGGCGGTGTGTGGGGGTTACCGGCTTTGTCTTTATGAGCTATTATGAGCTTTCTATCGCATCATTTGGTTGAAGCATGTCGGCAAATCAGCTCCACTTAATATTAACTTGTAAATATGGTGGCTTCATAATGTTGGCGATATTCCCATTTAACCATCGGCTACTGCACATGTGTAGCATTCACAGGCACCCATTGTCGAGAGGAAATTAATACGATGATTCTTTAAGGCAGAAATGAATTCCAAGAGGAAATTGTGTCTAGATGTCTATAAATAGTGTCAAAATAACGCTCTATTCCCTCTTATGCCTAGTGCAACTTGAAGTCATTATCGCAAGCACGAACTTGAAAATTAATAACAACGGAGAACCTCCGAGTCTAGCACAGAGAACACAAAGATAAAGATATCATATCATGATCTCAATATTCAAATATTTCTCAAGGAACAAGAATCAAGACCACGTCATTCCCCGCGAGTGTTACGTGACAATGTACGAGCACGACAAACCCCGCTTTCGCAAGCCGATAGGGAAATTCCATATATAGGGAATCAACCCCGAACAGTGTCGACAAAGTTCAACTGAACGGAAATTGCTCGCTCATCATGTCTACAACTCAGACCATTACAAAGCCCACTCAGCCTGATATCCAGTACCACCCCGACTGGACGAAGTATCAGGCACGCTCTCAGCGCCGCAAGGAAACCGAGTCTTTACAGACAACTTTACCCGCAGGATTTCCTGAAAAGCTTGTCTCTCCCCTTGTATGGGAAGGGAAAGACATTGAGAACCGCAGTGACTGGATTTACCAACTCACTGATGCCCAGCTTGATGAAATCGATGCGGCTTTAAACAGCTTTAAAGGTATGTCACCAATAAAGCAATGAAAGTATCTCTTTCTAATGATTTTAGCCCTCAAAAAGCCTCTGGGACACATTAATCAATCTACCTTTCCTCTTCCCAGCCTTCATTCAGCATTGAGAGACCTTGCAAACGAGCTGCACAATGGCCGAGGCTTCTTTGTCCTCCGAGGACTGCGCATCGATAGCTATTCTCGGGAGGATAATGTTATCATATACACTGGCGTTTCCTCGCATATAGGCAGTATCCGGGGTCGCCAACAAGATACAAGATTGCAAAATGGAACATCTCCCATGATTTCTCACATCAAGGATATTACCAAATTGGTTGAGAAAGGAAAGATCGGCGCTCCATCGAACACATCACATAAGCAAGTTTTCCATACAGACGCAGGGGATATCATCTCTCTGCTGTGCCTAAGTCCTGCCGCTGAAGCAGGTGAAAGCTACATCTCGAGTAGCTGGAACGTGTACAATATTCTTGCAAAGGAGCGTCCTGACTTAATTCACACCCTTTCTCAAGACTGGCCTGTTGACGGGTTTGGATTACCTATATCAATTTTCTTTCCTATCCATCACTAACCAATCTTAGGTTCGGTAATGCCCAGAGACCATACACCCTCCGTCCTCTTTTGTATCATCAATCAGCAACAGACAGCACCCCCGAGCGCGTTCTCATCCAGTATGCCCGACGATACTTCACAGGGTTTCTTGCGCAGGCCCGATCTGCCGATATCCCTCCAATCAGCGAGGCGCAGGCGGAGGCTTTAGATACTCTGCATTTCCTGGCAGAGAAGCATCGTGCCACACTCGACTTTCAGAAGGGGGATGTTCAATATGTGAATAATCTCAGCATCTTTCATGCACGAAATGGATATAAGGATGCGCCAGGCAAGGAGTTAGTATATCCCAAATTAGAATCACTTTTATCCCGACTAATGAGATATAGACGACATCTTTTGCGACTCTGGTTGCGGGACCCGGAGAACGCCTGGAAGACACCGGAGCCACTGCAGCATCGCTGGGATACTGTCTTTAAGGATATTACTGAGGAGGAACAGGCTTTCCCTCTTGAAGCTGGCAGCTTGCGAAAGACTGTTGGGTCCTAAGGCGATAAGCCATGTTTCACCAATTGCTGGAATGATATAATCTTATTAATGGTAGTCACGAATAGCATTTTAACACAGTTTCTCAAATGTTTTTCAATCTTCGAGGATTACTGGTCGCTCATAATGAAACTAGGTCATCGACAAGGATGTTCAACCCCATGGGGTGACAAGTCAGCAATGCGGGTCTGTGGGCAGTCTTGCATGATCTTCCTTGTCAATCTGTTGCGGTGAGCTTGGCTGTAGCAACCAAACAAGAAAGAAGTCTCATGTGATGATGCGGTATTTCTCTCGCAAATTCTCTCATTCGATATTGCATATCTGACTTGCATGGACTTGGTCGAATATTCTTTGTAGAACTTGAATCCGGCTATACTGTTCCCGAGGTCTCTTTATGCTGGATTGGTATGCATATCTGCATTGACTGGTTCAAGCATCGGCTATAAGTAGTCCGAGTCTAATAGACATCTGAAGCAATAATAGTCTTTAATAAACTGCAAGTGCGTACATAAGACCAAGATACAATATCTGGTGGCGGTATGAGGTTGTGCACACCCTGACTCTCAAAGGAATCGATCTCCGTACAGTTCATACTAAAAACTTGAGCTCATATTCGCATGCCACGAATCTTTCCCTCCTCTTCCAATCAAGCAACTTCGAAGATCATGATCTCTTTCAAGTGAGTTCCCACCTCCCTTCTATTGCTTAATCCGGTTACTTTATAAGGCAGTCCCCGGATCCACCAAAAGCGTCTTTATTTGATCGGCATCTTCCTGCCGAGATGACGTAACTGGCTTGATAAAGCACCACTGATTGACCATACTCACTCGTTGAAGCAGTAATTGATATTGATTTCCGAACTAAACCTCCAATAAGAATTCCCTGAATCCTTTTCGCCATCCCACGATCCGAGCCATACCGCGTTTGGCATAGCTGCAGCCCTAGTGAGAGGTCCCAGAGTTTCCAAAGGTCCCAGAGAGAGACTATTGCACTTTAAACCACGAGGACCAATTGAAGACATCACCAAGAAGAGAGAAGAAATCGCCCCGCGCGTCCCGCGGAGATAGTTCCAGAGCCACTAAAGCGATCATTGAGTTCTGAGAGCCCCAACCTGAACCGCGTCCAGGTATTTAACAAACCTTGCTCCCCCCATGCCCGGATCTCGGATCGTTGACCTTTTCGCAAAGATATCCCAGCTGTTTCACTCGATATTTTCCGTCAGAATGTCTGAAAGTCATCAAAGATCATCACCGAATCCAAATGGACATTCGCATTCCATCGTTTCTGAAGAACCATGGAAAGTCGATACTCCCTTCGGACCACCAGAATTCCCTCGCACGTTTCCAAATGGCGGAATCCGCAGACTACGAAATACCCTCTCGAAACTCTCTCCCTCTGCTATGGCCGAAAAAGAAATACTTCGCAAAAAGAATCAATATAAGATTCCCTTGACACACCGGAATGTGGATACCTTTGTCACGCATCAAGTATGCAACGAGGCTTGCCGACCCAATCAACGAACACCAGAACTCCAGGTGGTCGAATGGCTTGAACATGTTTCTTGATCCGGTCACTTGCAGGTGATCCACCTTAAACTCTTGGCTTGTCAGACTTCGACTAGACTTTTTCTCGACCTTTCGAGAGCGACCCCGCACGTCTGTGGAGATCGTCCTATGCTAGGCAACTTAATACCCTGTACCCTCGGATCTTCTCTTTTTTTCTTCGAATCACACGCCCGATTTTGGGGTCTGATCCTAGGAGAATTTGAAATATGGTCTTGGTCTCGTGGCAAGGCTTTTTTTTGATTTCCTCCCATGGTGATGATGGTGGTGGTATTGGCGCAAGGCAGATTCGGTTCGGTTATCTTTGCTAAATGGGCTCACGTTATGTGTTCAGGTGGATATGGTGGACCTGATCTGCTGGTGCTGTCACAGGTGAGTTTGCTATCACGTACAATTTAGCTTCTTATCTGCATAAGGTGCAAAATGGAGAGCTAATGTTTAAACAGTAGCCGAGATTTGCGCTGGTGTGGTGCCTAGTGCGATCCTCATTACCTTTTACAATTTTTGACTCTTTCCCAGGGCCTCCAAAAGCATTCTCATCATGCATTGAGTTAATAGGAGGGTGGTTCACTGATAATAATGCTTTGGGTTGAAATTCGCAGTGGCCGGTTAGTCGGCAGATGATCGTATGATACCTTCTTGTTGCGATTTTATTTGGATCTGGCCATTTCATGGATTAATCGCAATATCATTAATTCCGTAGTTCAGCAGTTCACGGATTTTCTTCTAGTATGTTTCTTTTTTTTCGTATTCTACGACCCGCTAAGTACGGAGTACTTTGTAGTGAGTCGTGACAGCGGGGCATTGGCCCCGCGGTGGGGTTATGCGAACTTGGCAGGCTACAATAATTCAACTACATCTTCACTTGATACTGAGATGAATTAGCTTTAACCCCCAAAAATGAGAACTAAGAAGGTTGCTATCATCGGTAAGCCTTCCACTCCGATCCTTTGAAAGTGATATGCGACAGCCGCTCATACATTCCATCAGGAGCGGGACCTTCCGGTCTTGTCACTGCAAAGACACTCCTACACAATTTTCCACATGGCACATTCTCGCCCGTTATATTTGACACGCGTCATGAAATCGGTGGTCTTTGGCCATGTCATTCAACTGGCACACAAAGGCCACCTGGCGATGTATCTGGGAAGTTAGATCCACATATGCCAACGAATCTTAGCAGATTCACGGTGGCTTTCTCTGATCTTTCTTGGGAATCAGTATTTGAATCCTCTAATATTCCCATGTTCCCACAGGCCAGACAGGTGGGACTTTACCTTGAAGCATATAGGAAACGCTACATTCCAGAGGCTTCAATAAAGCTTGGACATCGGGTTTTAAAGACTGTGCGCACTGTTGGTCCTGGCTCTGAGACTGGATGGGAAGTGTCGTGGGTGACATCAAAGTTTGTCTTATCCCTGAATGAAAATTGAAGCTAGTTGTAACCGCAAAACGACAGGTCCTCGGACAACGATAGCAGAGAGTGTGAGCAGGAAGGAGTTCATCAAGATCAAGTGCAAGTCGAAAGGTTCGACTTGCTGGTTGTTGCATCTGGATACTTTGCTCGTCCATACATCCCCAAAATTCCAGGATTAGAGCAGCTCGCTGGTCGAGTCTTCCACAGCTCCGAGCTACAAAAAAGCAAGGGCATACTTCGAGATGATGATAAACTCTTAGCCACTGGAAATATCGCTATCATCGGAGGCAGCATGTCAGGAGTTGAGGCCGTATCTGCTATTGCGCTTCATCAATCCTCGCATCTACATGATGAAAACACTTACCAGGATAAAAAAGAGCACAAAGTTCATCATATTCACTCCCGTCCCTTTTGGACATTACCAACTTATCTCCCTCATGAAACTTCGACGGATCAACTCTCTTTCATGCCATTGGACTTGGCGATGTACGACTTGAGTCGCCGACCGCCAGGTCCAATAGACTACTCCCTGGGACTTGTCTCGGAGGAAAAGGCCACTAAAACCAATGAGTACTTTGCTTCTCTACTGGGTCCCGAATACGAAAAATTGGGACATGTTCACGATCCCACTGCCAAAGAAAAGACAGCTTCTTGGCCTCCATGGGTTGCGATTGGAAATGACTATGCTGAGTTTGTCCGATCTGGAGCCATTCAAGCTACAATGGGACGAGCTGTGTCTGTAAAATATAACACCCAAACGGAACTAGCCACCATTACTATTAACACTGCGAGTGGACGGAAGAAATTCTTGAAGAATATTGCCGCTGTTGTGATGGCTACAGGATACACGCCTTTTGACGCACTGTCCTTTTTACCCGAGGATGTTTTGTCTACTCTGGAATACAGCACCGAAGATCCATTCCTACCTCTTGTCTTGGACAAAGGGGGTACAATTCGCTCCGAGATCCCGGACCTTGGATTCGTTGGTCTTTATCGCGGTCCATACTGGGGAGTCATGGAGATGCAGGCGAGGTTCCTTGGCAACGAGTGGGCTGGAGAAGATCAAGAAACTCTGGGAACGGAGGATCAGAGAGCGGGCGTACGACTTCTCAGGCATTCCGACTCAAATACCCGTCGTAGTCAATTCCCGATGGGAGACTATGTAGGTCTGATGGAGGCATTTGCTAGAGATCTGGAAATTGAGCGCACAAGTCTATCGAATGATGGCAGTCGATCTGGACCGGTTATTCCTGCTCGCTATACCTATAATCAAGGATCTTCCCCCGTGGATACCTTGAATCCTACTTCGGATACACAGCTTACCTTGGACGCGTTAACGAGTATATCTGATGAAGACCATCAAGCTCGGGAAATAGCTACAGCAGTCGCTGTTTTTAGAGCTCTCCACGGAACTTGGACATCTTGGCAGACGGACCCAGTCTCTGGCAAAGAAGAAAAGTTTGAAGCTGTTAGCTTCTCTCCACGGTACTCATCCGAGAGGTTTGATATGGAATACGTTTGTCATGGGAAGCGGCGTCCAGGTGGTCTTGCTAGTACCTCTATTTTCCGGTTATTGGAAGCAACTGCCAGTGGGACTGCAAATATTGAAATCTGGCCAGGTGAGACAAGCCCCAATGAAAAAACTACCACAGATATCCGGACCTTACGACTTTCGCCTCTCTATCCCAAAAGAGTGGATGGGACATATGTTCCTGGAGAATACATCGTATATGGCCAGATGTATTCTACCACGAAAGTTCTCCCCCGCACTGGTCCTGATCATTCTCTGCCAGTGGATGACGACGGCTCTCCTAAACCTTATAACTATATCTTCCACTTTAGCGGAGTCTCGATCGTGTCTTGGGAGTTTTATTATGCAGGCTACATTTGTGTGAAAAGCCAGGAAGAGACAGGGCAGTCCTTGCCACACCGAATCATTTATCGGAGATGATTCCAAGGTTATGTCTTTTCAAATAGATAGAAATAGAACGAACTGGTATCAATTTTCACAAATTCGATCATTCATCCATACAATCTGACTCTTCATCGCTCTCGAGTGCTATTTAGTTCCTCCAATCAACCCAAATCGGGTTAACCAAAAGCCCATTCAAGTCAAGCATGGCACACATGTACATGGTCCACACACAGTATAAAATTGATACAGATCAAACGATATGTGTATGACCGTGGAAATTTGTCCCAATTAGAGCTACCTCAGCCTTGGCCAACTCACGCCGAGTAGATTGCTCATTTTCTGCTCTTTGAAATGTTTTGTCTGCATGTGGCAATTCCTCTTCAAGAATGTATGAGTTCTACTCTCAACTCCGAACCACGGTTCACCCCTCTAATCGTCGCAGATACCGAAGTAACCCCGTAGAACAGGCGCTAAAGAAGAGTCTCAGTCGAAATAAACGCCACTTGGTTATATTTTTATTTTCTTCTTGGCCAATCGGTACCAGAATTTGAGGTGGAAAAGAGAGGCTGGATCCAAGTAGATCAGGGTCTACGGGTCGGATCAGCCGGCTGAACCGAGTTTACTCAGATTTGATCTCCGAGTTTTAGACGACCTGTTCGGCCGAAACGATCTATATAATCGGTTTTATCCCATCGTTCGAATTGGATTTCAAGGACACTGGCTTTATCCTCAAACATAAAGGACTCTCAAGTTACTAGTAGTAAGAACTAGCATCTCGACACTCCAGATGTCTACTACTATCCAACTCACAACTCACAACTCGGATTTGCCACCCCCTACAACATTGAAGAATCCTCAATTTCAAGATCAAATGCTCGACTTAATGCCTCTTCCAACTCCAACAAACCTCAATCACCATGAATCCAATCTCAAGTCATCAAAAACGTCAACTCCAAGCCTCAGGCTAGACCCAATCTCCGAATACCGCGCGTGGCAAGCATTATCAATATACTTCACTATCCTCCTAAACCGCCAACTCCGCCGCCGCTGGAATCTAGAACACGAGAGTCTAAAAGACAGACCACTATCCCACCGTTTCAGACCAGTCATCTTCCTCGAACCAGTCCCAACTCTCCAAAAACCATCCAGCAACATCACCACCAATACCCTGACAAAGCTCAGTACAAAAGTCCATCTCCTCCGCGCAAGAGTAGAGAAAGGGAAAGAACTCACCTCTGAAATTGAGCGCAGGATGCAAGATCCACGGATTCAATTCCCGACGCATTTTTGTCATACTTGTGTGGTTGGTGGTGAAGACACAAGTGCTTGTAATGAGATCTTGTTGACGAAGTGTGGACATCGGGTTTGTAGAACTTGTCTTTCTTTTGGGGTTTCGGATGATGAGGTTTATGAGTGTGCGATTTGTTTTGTTCCTGCTAGTTTTGTCACGAGGTCGGATTTGTTGATGCCTAGACGGACTAAATCCGAGGACACTTCGTCTAGTGTTCTGGTTTCGAGGTGGTTTAAAGAGGGACATACTAGTTCAAGGTCTGTTTCATTTGGGATGGGGTGTGATTCATGAATGCCACCTGGGCACTGCAGTGTCTTGTATATACTGTTTCAAGTTGTGGAATGACATCGATATTCTTGTATTGATTCTAGTTAGAACTATACAGGCCAATAAACATTTGAACAATTATGTACTAATAAAAAACTGGATCACAATCTAGAATCTGATGTTACTAGACCAGCGCCCCAAAAAAGGAAAGAAAAAAACAAAAGGGAATAAACCAGGACATTGAAAATGCATCATGAGTCATGGTCTATCCATCCAGACCATTCCACCATATCAAAAACGCCTTTATCAAACCAGCATAGGCCAAGTTGGGAACGTATATCGCTCAGAAGGGATCAACATGAAGAATAAAGTATGCAAACCATGCCAGCTGATCCTCAACTTCCAAAAAATGCATCAGGATAAGGGGGAAAGACGGTGTAGATGAAAGACAAAAAAAAACAATAAAACAGGGAAAGTTGTTCTAATAGTCGGGGGTATATATAGGAAACGAGAAAAGAACATTCCCGATTAGGGAGTAGTATGTGATGGGAGAAGATGAATGCAAGACCCTGTTGACACATGGTCCTCACATATCTTCTGACCTTTCTCCTTCATCAATCACAATCGGCACATCCTTGACAGGGTGAAGAAGCATGGGAGGGAGACACATACGGCCCTCGCCAGCTATTTCCTGCTGCTCACCACCGTCATTGTCGACTCGCATGCCGAGCCAGCGACGCCAGATATTAGGGGAGAATCCGGCAGAGTAGAACCAGGTGGTACCCTTGAAGTTGTGTTCCCTGTCACCAAAGACCGAGGTGCGAGTGCCACCTGATGCACCATTGCGACCAGCGTTAAAGACAGATTCGAGGTATTTAGTAGGCCAGCGACGGTCAATGTAAACAGCATGAGGCACATAGACCGCTTTGAATCCGTGATGAAGCGCTGTGGTAGCAGGCCACATCTCAGAGAACATACTGTGGTGCTTCAAGCTGGTCTCACGATGCATGGTGGTGAGAAGCTTGCGCGAAAGACGTGAGGCGGTGATGATCGCAGTGCGGCGTGGGGGCATTCCGTTTTCTTTATTGTAACCAGTTACATCGTCTCGAAGCAACCAGGTCGTACCCTCGGGATCGTACAGAGGGTTGAAAACGACCAAGTCAGCATCCTCACCCACGCCCCATTGATATTGATCCTTGTCCATAGTTGTTGGCGGAATGCCTTCTCCTTCCACTTCGAAGATGTCGCGTTCATCAGGTCGCTCGGGACCCCAAATGAACTTGTCACCTTGGATACGCACTCCATCTGGACCCCGATTCTTATCCTGTCCATCAGGCTTGGCCACGCTCCACATGTTGTTAGGACTATTGGTACCGCTCTCGGTTTGAACACGAACCATCTGGCGGAAGTCTTCCCAAGAGCCATGAACTGATGGAACATAGAAGCGAGCATTGCGCTCCCACATACCCTTTCTGGGCTGGGCTCTCGCCCAGTCTCCAACCTTGTCGAAAAGATGATACCAATGACCGGTGTAGCGAACGTCCATCTCCCAGTTCCAGAAGTAGTCGTATTCCGGATGCTGGTAAGCGAAGTACTGCATGGGCATATAAGTACTGCGATAGACTCCATGAATAGGTAATCCGCGAGTGAATGTCTCCTCGAGACCAGGATACACCAGCGACATCTGTGCCTCAGACCACAGCGTTCCCATTCCACGGAACTCTTCGGGCAATGCATCATGAAGGACGCGTTCGTAGGTTTCGTCATCCGCCCAGATCTGAAGATCGTTGTTCTTGACATGAACAAGGAAATGAATAGTGTATTCACCACCGGACAGCAATGAGAGCTCGGAGATTACAGCTCGGAGATACATAATGTCTTCGGGGGTGTAGTGGAAGTCATGCCAGGTACGGATAATGACCGCGGTTTTTTGTAGGCGCTCTGATCCAACCTTGGGCGCAGCTCTCTGAGCGTCCTCTGGCTCCTGAACAACATTGATATTGGAGACTCCCACAGGCATCGAAACGAATCGGTTCAAGCGTGGCTCGGGCAGCTCCTTAAAGCGATGGCTATTTGCAGCACTGCATCGGTGCTGTGCATCCGCCCAGCTGATCTGTCGGAAGTCTACCGGAGGAACATCTTCCCAGACACGCTCAGCACCATCGCGATGTCCCTCGAGACCGGCTCCGATACCGCCCTTCTTAACGCCGTATCCAAGTCCATAAGGTCCCAGTCGTCCGAATCGATCAAAGCACATGTCGTCACGGATCCCAAGCATCGTATTTGATCCAATCACCGGCTCGGGGAATCCTTTGGGTACACCGGGGAAAGATTGCACAGCTGGAATGCGAATAGAACCATCTTTGTCCAAGAAACATTCGCGCTTTTCACCATACTTCTTGATATAATCAGGAGAATTGTAGTCTGGATACGGATTAAAGACAGAACTTGACATGGATAGCTTCATATCCCGTTTGTTCAACTGGGTTTCTTCCTCGTCGTGTTCCTCCTCCTCCTCCTCTATGGGTATAGGCACATCAGCACCATCACCAGGGTATTCGGGTACATTGTCATAACGAGCGACGAGGTTGTTTAATCCACCGTGGTAGCGGTCGAGGAATGGGAATGATTCCCATGCGGGCGGTTTCGGGGAGACGACTTTAGGAAGTTCCACGGCGACCTTTGATACGGAGGACGAGATGGTAAATCGGAAGAGGGTCAAGATGAAAAGGATAAGTGAGATGAATAATCCTAGGCAAAGCCATCGCATTATCCGTTGAGGGACGCGAAAGCCCACGTTTGATCCACCACGACGAGAACTGCCAGCGGCCAGTGGATAAGAACTGGAGGAGTGGTCAGGGCCGCTATCTGATTCTGATTCTTCCTCCTCGTCGTCACTGCGACTGTAATGGTGATATTGTGGTCGAGCATTCAGTCGTTGTTTTTCAATGTCGTTGTCATGGGCACGCGACGAGTAGGGCGACGGTTTACTGTAGGCCGCGGAGGACCTCCTCGCCTGGACGGTCATTGTGGCGGGTTAACTCATCAACAGAAGAAAAGAAAGAATTGGACAGGCCAACTGGGCCCAAAAGAACGATTCCACAAAGCGATCACGAATTAATCAAATTGGTATGTTGTTTGAGGCTTGAAGAAAAAGGGGGGGCTGTGGGTGGCACGCGATGACGTTCGGGTCCGGGTTTCTTGTGTTTGCGTCGACCGGGCAATGCGGGTTAAAGGGCCCTTAGAGGGTTCTAAGCCCGATTTATGGAGTCAACCTCGGGGGAATCAAACATTAAACCCCAAGTTTCTAAAAACCCCTTGAAACTTCTTCAAATACTATGGAAAATACCCAAGAACACCAAGAAATCACCAAAATAAAATGAAGGGAGAATCAATTGCCACCGGAAGAACATTAGAAAAGAAGAAGAAAAACCTGGAAAGGTCCTGCCAAGACCAAATGTGTGTGTGCATACGCAAACTACCAAATTACCTATATTTGGAAGATCTCCCCTTATCATATCCTAGTACGGAGTAACAGAGTACAGAGTACAACATTCGAACATTTGAATAACACTTGAAGAGTAAAATATTTGAATATACCTGGTAATCAAGGATTTTAAATCGTAAAATCCTACTTCATAGTACTGATGGATAGTTTATTCCCTTTACTCATAGTACTCCAATTCCCCTGGGAATGTTTACAATAGGTCAATAAAAAAGACAGGGTAAGAAAAGGAACAGCAATTTTGACGAGGCGCCAGGAATAAAAGAAGAAAAAAAGAAATGAGGCTAAGAGCATAGCGAAGAGAAATAAGGTGGAGGGAACATGCAAAGCACCGGTCGAATCACTCTTGTAAACCGTCAAGGTCATTCATAAATGTTCCATGGCCTCGCGAAAGAACTCCATAGTCATCATCAATCCATCATTTGCAGATTTCCCGTGGTATTTCTCTTGCCCTGCTACATACACACTCCTCCCCCCATAGTAATTGGTATTATACCCGCTTAATCGCGGTTCGTTTTCCGGAGAGTGTCGGCGAGCCACTCCAGACCCTCGTACAGACCGTCACCAGTGGTGGCGCAGGTAGATTGGATGAACTAAGGGTAGGTTAGTATATTGAATCGCTTTGAGTTTTAGTGGGGAAGAAAGGGGAGAAAAAAAAGAAACATACCCAAGCACGGCGGGTCAAGCTCTGGAGACCCAGCTGCTGGGTGATCTCAGCGGGGCTCATGGCGTTCTGTAGGCGCAAATCAGTACATGAGGCTCTTTTTAAATAGAAATCAACTTCTGATTTCTTCGGAACGAGTTCCTTACAGGCAAATCTTGCTTGTTGGCGAAAACCAGGAGCAGAGCATCGCGGAGCTCATCCTCGTTCAACATGCGCTGCAACTCCTCACGGGCCTCGACAATACGGTCACGATCGTTGCTGTCAACCACGAAGATAATACCCTGGGTGTTCTGGAAGTAGTGGCGCCACAGAGGACGGATCTTGTCCTGACCACCGACATCCCACACGGTGAACTGAATGTTCTTGTATTCGACGGTCTCGACGTTGAAGCCTGGAAAATGTTGAAAGCCTACAGTCAGCAACCTGCTGTGTCTCATTCCTTATGTGTTTCCGGGGATCAAGTCGATCTCAATGCGACGAGTGAGTCGGATAGTGGAATCGGAGCGAAACTGACCGATGGTGGGAATGGTAGTGACGATTTCACCGAGCTTCAGCTTGTAAAGGATGGTGGTCTTTCCGGCCGCGTCCAGACCGACCATCAGGATACGCATCTCCTTGCGACCCCATAGTCTATCCATCAGCTTCGAGACAGTAAGACCCATATTGATTTAGCCTTCGAACCTAGATATTAAAGGTTTTAGTTTAGAGGGTTGAGTTCTGGATAGAGGGGAGAAAGATGTGGAGGTTTAAAGGAGGGGGGGGTGGGAAAGAGAGAGGGAGTGGATAGGGAAAACGTGTTGTGGACGGATTGGGGAATCTCAGGGGTGGGCGAAAGCAGGAAGGGATGATCGACCCAGCCAAGCTTACCGGCAGGAAAAAGTAGTATGATAGGAGAGTAGATTAGAAAGGGAGAAAAGAAATCGAGAAAGGTCACGATCAGGTTGTTAAGGGAAGAGGGAAGAAGGAGAGTTTTTGTTTGGGATTACAGAAATACGCTGAGCGGCGGCGGTGGGTGAAGTCTCGGTCACCTAATCTCTTCTTTCTTTTACAATAAACAAGGGACGATGGGAAGGCAACTACAAAATAGAATTAAATCCAATTGTCTAGAGGCTCCAATTTTACCTCGAGATTATATGTCAATCTCCGGGCTATTACTGTACTTTAAAATGAGGCACACACATAAAAGAGGACACGGTGTTTGAGTGTATCCGAAATACCGGAGGCGAAAGGTGACTTCGCCCCATAAATAAGAGGACCCATTCTCGAACTAGATCCAGATGCCCATTCTCGCCCCCTGATAGGCGTATAGTTAACTTATCAGGCCCCATCTTTGGTGTCTTTGCGGTAAATTCTCTTATGCCATGGAGACACATGGGGGACCGCCGCGTCACATGGAACATCTGGCGTCAATTTGACGATGGTTACGAGATATCTTCAATCTACCCTCCAGGGCTGGATATCATATACTTCAACCAAACTTCTTCAATCGAACTTGCCAAAAGATATTTCTAATACTAATCAAGAGAGCAACTACCCAGGTTCTATCAATTGCTAGGAGAACGGTTTATCGAGAGGGCCTTCAACTTCCAAGGTTGGAATTATATAGGAGCTTAAACAAGAAGCCCGTGCAAGATGTGGATAAAACGCTTGGACGCCTTGATCAGAGAAGCCTGAGCCACCGACCAAAACCTTGGAAAGGCTCTTGTTTATGAACATTTGAATATTCTCGAGCCTGAGATCACAAATACATGTAAAGATCTTCATTTAAAATGGTGATGTTGTAGATGCTTTAAGTTTCCTAGCCACAACTAGTAGATATTGTTAAGGCAGGACCTGAAATGTAAGGTATTAGCTATTCTTATACGGAGTACGGAGTACGTGTGCCCGAAATACCAGACCTGCCATCCGAGCCGAAGCTCAGCACCAGTTGACTGTAGCCTCTTATCAGCAGCGGATCCCGTCGACAGGTGGCTAACATCAATTCGGGAGTAATGCACTGTGACCAGTTGACGGCTCTGTTCTATCTCGTGAGCTAGCTATAGCTGACCGCTTTTGGGTGGTCACTTTCTGCCGGTTGATGCGGGTCGGTTTGGATGTGACTCATACCAGGGTTATGCTGTGGGCTGTATACCCTAATGGACCTTACAGGCCACAGTTATGGGGCAGTTTCGAGAAAAGATGTCAACCACCCCAGCATGTTAGCTCAGGGGAAGAGCGCCGTAAGTCATGTGATTCACATAATAAAATCACTCAAATACTAACAAAGTTAATAGGGGCTCATAACCCGGAGGGTCAGTCTACCTCATATCGCCTACTACCGAACAAACAACTAACTCCAAAACAGACCCTGGATCGAAACCAGGACATGCTATCTTTTTTTTTTTTTTTTTTCTGTTTGCTCTCCTTTCCTCTTTTTCTTCCCCTATTTTTCCATTTATTACTACCCGGTGGTTTCCCCCGTCAACTGAAAATAACTGAGCCTTTGTGACTTCGCGCCTTGCCCGAGCTATCAGGATAAGAAAATATCTTCAACTTGAAGTTCTCAATATGGGATTCCATCTTCATCTCTAACTTGAAAAATAAAATTTTATTCTAGATTCATGCTACCAATCATTAACGGCCATTTTTCTGTTTGAGACTAAATTTCAAATTCTGCATCCAATATGTTCTATAACACCGTGACTCACCTGCCAGGTGAGCAGCCCGGCCTCCACCCTTCCACGGGTGTAGATGAGTATGTAACCATAACGTGACATCGAAGTACTACTGCTCTCAATGAGCGTAGCCTTTGATGATGGCAATATGTTCAATATTGTCATTACTTCGAAGATAACGAGTTCACCTCATACTTGACTGTAGCCAATCACATGCGCAGATCGCTGTAAAATCTAACCGAATCAGGTATAGTGGAGCGGGTAGTTATGTATTCCTGCCTGAATATGAAGGTGACAACAAACGTCACTCAACTCTGAACACTCCTTTGTCCCTTGGTTGCTTTATATTTTTGGCCCTCGGAGCCACTTTATCTCACGCAAGATGGTCGGGAACAGGGCAGGGAAGTCCGTCCGGGCGGCACCGTCATGTGCTGAGTGTTATCGTCGGAAGCAAAAGGCAAGTCCATCACTGGCAGGATTCCTTGGTAGTACTAGGATCGCATCTAATAAACATCCAATCTAGTGCAACCGCGAATGGCCGTGTAATCACTGCCAGCTTAGGAAAATACCACATCTTTGTAAATTTCCAAAGAAGGAAACAGCGAAAAAGGCTTTAACGGGTCAACCAAGGTATGTTTATGTTCAACTACATCAGTGGTTCGGAACGAGGTAGTGTAACTCAACTGTTCATTTAGAAAGACATCGTTCGATGAGGACATGAGTATCCGGCCTGAGCAAGGTGAAGAATTCTCCGCTGAACTACACTCTCTCGCTACGAAGGATGGGCTTCGGGTCATCGGATATCTGCCCAATGACCAGAATCTGCTACTGGGAAATACATCGCAGCAGGTACATGTTCACTCCCCTCTGAGAAACGACTTGAAAGACGTTTGGCCAACAAAGCTCCTCCAAGTCAAAACTATCCATGATAAACCAACAGCTCGAGGGAACGTCTTCAGAAATACGAAATGCCCTAGGCCTCTTGCCTCCGAAACCATACACAGGTCTGTATGTACCTCAGTAGCCTATGGAGCGTACTAACCATCGAATCAGATATCCTGGTCCAACGATTCTTGGAGGTCACTAATTATAACTATTCTTGTCTCTATCCGCCCAGATTTTCAGTCGCTTATGCTGCCTGGTGGGCAGATCGGGCAAACGGGAAGCTCATCACCCCAGAGTTCACTTGCCTTCTCATCCGAGTATGCGCCTGCTCGGCACAATACTTGGATACTGACACAGAGCGAAAGCTAGAGTCAGAGTTGGGATATTCTGCCCAGAAGCTTTCAGAGAACTTGCACTATGCTGGAAAGCAACTGAGTAACACTATCGGGCCCGGAAAGGGAGGGCTCTCACAAGTCCAGCAGCTTTTCCTCACGGCAGCCTGGTTCAAATCGGAGTCTCTCTTCGTGGAATCCTGGCATGCACTCAGCTCGTCTATTCACGAGGCACAGGAACAGGGCATGCACAAGAGCTCTGTTAAGTCTGGCCTTTCGGAGTTCGATACGGAAATGAGGCGACGAATGTGGTGCATATTGTGTAATTGGGATTGGTATGGTCAACAACTCTCTAGTCTATTCGAGAAATCTAACACACTATACAGGCAAATTGCAATGTTGCTTTCTCGTCCGCTTATCATCAATCATAACTCATCTGCAGTCGAGCTGCCAAATCTACAACTTGAAAGAAGCAATGGTGAAGGCCCGCCTTCTCCCTTTGCCCATGTATCTCTCCAATTCCAGCTTGGTCAGATTATGACAGGGACATCTCTACTCAATGGAGGAGAGACCACTCCACTGGAGGCAGAATCTATTAGAACACATATCAATAATTGGATTGTTTCTCTGCCTCCTCCCTATAGTGAGAGTGATCCTGATACACAGTGGGATAAAACTCACATTTACATTCCGCTCCAACGTCACCATTTATATGCTATATCTTATATGACGATGCTTTCACCATTTAAACGCTTTCTTACGAGGGTTTATGACTCAAGCAGCTCTCGAGAAGATCGGGCTTGTCGATCGAAAGCAGTTGATATCGCAATTCATCTATTGAAACTGTCCCGCCAACTTTTCGATCACGTTTTCCCCATAAACGCAAAGTTTCATATCGTTTCGTTCCTTCTGTTTGATACTGCCGCCTTCTTATGTTCAGCAGTTATCCATGATCGGGACAACAGTCTTCCACGACGCGACGAAGTCATTCAAGTTATCAGACTCGCCTGCTCATCAATGGAAGAACTATCTCAGATCACCAAACTTGGCGCAGTCTGCTACAAAGTAATGATCAAACTCTCTGGGAGCTTGTTAAAATCACCAAAAACTACCTCGCAGGTCAATGCTACCGGGAACTACTCCAGTGAAGCCATAGATTATAACGACTTTTCTCCGGATTTGGCTGCACCGTCTCTTACGGATGATATCTCCCCAGAGTCATGGATTCCGTCGTTGGACTCCTTTGATTCCACGCAAACATTTTTCCCTGCATCACTGGACTTCCCCATACCTGAGCTAGAAATTCCTCCCAGTATGGGAGTCTGTGATTTTTCTGCCTTCGACTTTGGTCAATTCGATCAGATTTGGGATTGGCAGAACCTTGATTTGACTTTGCTTCCATCCATGCAGGTACCTGGGGATGATAGATGATTATAACTCCTACAATTTCTTTTAGAAGGGAATTTGAGAACTGAGACTTACGGGAGCTCTATGTCTTTGAATGGCTCTGAATCGGGATATTCCCTATATTACTTTGATGTAAAGCTTTTCGAGGTTCGAATTGACAGTAAACTCTGATTGACCGACCCATGATAGTAGATCATCTTTACGTGAAGGTCCAACCAAACATTGGAAACATTTGAAGATTTAAAATCATCAATCTTTTACCAGCAGGGGTCATTGGAACCGATAGCATCATTCCAGTATGAGATTAGTTTGATTTCAGTCTGGGTCTAGCCTACTATTAGCACATACATCAATGTGTATGTCCGATCGGAGTCCGAGCTTTCCCTCAAGACAGTGAGTCACAGCCCCAAATAAATAGTCCGATGGTTCTCACTGCTCGAGCATTATGTTGAAAGAAATCCGAATCTCTTCTGGCATCCACCCGGTAGAAAAATCAGTGATCTATCAAGTACATAGCCTAACTTGCTGCTATCTCACTGGCAACATGGCTGCCCCGCTTTCAACCTCAGAAGTCCTCCTCATTCCCAAGGCCTTTCCATCTACAGAAAGCCTGGAGGAGGTGGTGCAACGATACAAAAAGCTTCGATTACATGGTCTCAAAGTCGATCCGAAATCCTTCTCGTCTACCTACAGCGAAGAGTCCAACTTCCTTCCTGAGACATGGCGATCTCGCGTTCTAAACCCGATGTCAAAGACTTTCGTTGCGGCAACTGATCCCGACCCAGGCGCACAGCCAAATGACACAAATTTTGAACTCATACCAGAAACACAATTCATTGGCAAGGATCCACATCTTGTAGGGTTGCTACGAAAAGAATGGGTGGGGATTGCCACGCTACTAGGCCCAATTCCGCTTCTCGCATCCGCTGTCAATGAAGACAACACGACTACGAAACCATGGGACGCCTTCATTAAGGATCGAAAATATAATATTCCGTCAGGCAGTCCAGCGCTCGAGGATGTAGAAGGTTCCCATCTCGTTTACTTGGTTGTTGGAATGTTCATCTCGCCTGAAGCAAGAAGAAAGGGCCATGCTTCGAGGCTTCTTGAAGCTTTGATCAAGGAGATGCGCGAAGAAGCTAGTAGACATGGTACGAGTAAGGCAAGTATCACTCTTCAGACAGAACCTGGCAACGACAATGCGGTGCGACTCTATGAAAGACTGGGTTTTACTGTTTGGGATGAGGCTCTGCCAATGGAAAATATGAAGGGAGACATATCATATATGGCTTCTTTGGCTAAAGAGTTCGAATTTAGTTGAATCAGCTGGATTAATTTTAATGCATACCAAGAAATTTAAGGAATCATCACACTCTAGATAAATAACTCCCAGTTAACTATGGAATATTTTGGATAACGTAATCCCCAAACGAGCCGCCACCCCAAGCGAGCCGCCACCCCAAAACACCATACTAAATGTGATAAATGACAACTTGATATCTTAAAAACAGTAGTGTAAACAAACCTTTCGTTGTAGACCTATGATAATTAGATGATATCTTTCCTTTTTTGAAAGTCCAGATAATTTCTACTTACAAGTGATCATGAAAACGTATATATCTGACTCTCCAGACTGTAATTTTCGATACTGTGACAATGCAGCACTTGGATTTCTCTAAAAATGATACAGGGTCCTGAGAAGTCTTATCAACAACCATCGACAAATAATCAACTAAAATAAAGATGTGGTTGCTGAGATATCAAGTTGTCATTTACCACATTTAGTATGGTGTTTTGGGGTGGCGGCTCGCTTGGGATGGCGGCTCGCTTGGGAATCACGTTAGAAGATCTCGAAATTTAGCCTATATCCTAAGGCCATCGACGCATAGGTCATGTGACTCTGAATTCGATGAGTCAGCATTCTCGTTTGAGGGCATCGCTAAGCCATATTGGGTCTAGCGCCATTTTGACACCCACAAGCGGAGAAATTTGCGGTTACCTTTTTAATTCCTCTCCAAGACTCTTGCGCTGAGCCACACCTTAAGATTTCTTTTGGAAGACTGTCGCCATCATGTCCAAGATCACAGTCGGTATGTTTTGACTAAAGATTGCATTAACTTGAACACCGCTAATTCCCTCTCAGCCGGAGTGCGCGAGAATGTCCAGGCCGTCCTCGACTACTCGCTCAACGAGAAGAAGCGTAACTTCCTCGAGACCGTTGAGCTTCAGATTGGCCTGAAGAACTACGACCCCCAGCGTGACAAGCGTTTCTCTGGTACCATCAAGCTGCCCTCCATCCCCGTCCCAACATGAGCATCTGTATCATTGGTGACCAGCACGATCTCGACCGTGCTAAGCACCACGGTCTCGATGCCATGTCCACCGACGACTTGAAGAAGCTCAACAAGAACAAGAAGCTCATCAAGAAGCTTGCTCGCAAGTACGATGCCTTCCTTGCTTCCGAGGCTCTCATCAAGCAGATTCCCCGTCTCCTGGGTCCCGGTCTGTCCAAGGGTATGTTCAATTCCTCATTGAAAATAAATATTAAAAAAATACATTTTTCTAACTTTCTCCTACAGCCGGTAAGTTCCCTACCCCCGTCTCCCACGCCGAAGACATGCAGAACAAGGTCAACGACGTCAAGTCCACCATCAAGTTCCAGCTTAAGAAGGTTCTCTGCCTCGGTGTTGCCGTTGGTAACGTCGGTATGGGCACTGAGGAGCTCGTCGGTAACCTGATGCTGTCCATCAACTACCTCGTCTCCCTGCTCAAGAAGGGCTGGCAGAACGTTGGAAGTCTTGTCATCAAGGCTTCCATGTCTCCCCCTAAGCGCATCTACTAGATACTTTGTCACTTAACTGTGCCGAGGTTTTCTAGTTGATGTCCGAGAAGTGAGGGTGTCATAGTCTAATGACCCAAAAAATAAAATGAATCTCACGACTTGGTCTCAATTATTTCCATCGCAATTACTCGTAGATGTATAAATGTAGATATTGTACACACTCGTGTCGCTTTATTGTCATCGAAAACATGTGAATCTGATACTATAAGTACATATGCGTTTTACTACTCATTCCATGCCCTGCATCAATTCCGTCTTGTCCAAAATCATGCCGCGCATGCCAATGAACTCTCGCAGACTCTCCCACTCCTCACCAACCTCTTCACCCCGCATATACGGATCCTTGAATCCCCATGCAACAGCAACCTTATCCATAGCAGCCCGCTCTTCCTCGCGGAGCCATCTCTGCCTCAAGGGCATGCCAGATAACCAAACAACCCGGTCCATGTGGTCATTAGCCGTGATGATAGCCATGATGCCAAGCGACGATGTACCACCGACGTAGGCCAGAGACGCAGCAAGCGCAATTCCCGTCGCAGTGCTAGGATCCATGGTATTCTGGAAAGTCCCGGCCCATGAAGCAAGAACGTAGCATGCAGCCGGGGCAGCGGCAAGACCAGCAATGGGTGCTGCCGCCTTTTTGAACACCTTCGCGCGGTGGAAAGCGGGTGCACAGAAAGTATTATCGATGATGGCTAGAACCAGTGAGAGGTTCTTCTGCGCGATAGCCACGTCCAGCGCCATGTCAGCTAGCTCGGCGGGAATAGCACTGTTGATGCTCTTGGGTTTGGGCTTTAGGAATTTGACCGGGGAGCTGTTCTCTTCCGGAACTGGCTTGTTGGCGTACAAGTGGAAGATCTCGGGAAAGTGCTCTGTGCGCTGAAGGAGGGTCTGGGTCTTCGTGTAGCTTTCCAGAGCCTCGGGGGAAATAAAGACTTTCTCATCTTTGAGGAGGTGGTTGACAATTTTAGAGATCGAGTCCGCTAGTCGAGAGTCCACAGTTGGTGATGAATTGGCTGGTCGTTTTTGAGTGGTGGTTGTGCTTGCGCCTCTTTTCTCCTCCATATCCAATAGCGAGGAGATCGCATTGCCTTCTTTGTTCGAGGATCCCTCGGTTTGATCGCTCTCTGAGGATACTAGGGATTCTGCTAGCCTTTGACATTTATGCAATAGCTCCACTACGGCTTCGTTGGAGGGTACTCGGTCCGTCTGGTGGATAGCGGATGCCTCCTGTTCAATCTGCTGAATGGATGATGCGGGGTTGGAGGGCTTTGAGGCGAAGGAGCGCGATGTAAAGCGTGGGTATAGTGGTGACAGGTTATGTCTTCTGGGGAATGAAAGCGCAGGGCTGTTCTTTGAGGTCCAAGTTTGGGTCGTCGTAGGCAGTCGTGCCAAGGGGAGGTGTTGCGGCGTCGCAGTTGAGAATTGACAAATTTGGCAAACAGATGGAAATTTGGAGCCTTTCTGGGCTCTCAAGGCAACTCTTTTCATGGTGAATTTAGTAGCCTGTTGACAGGATAGCGGGCGGTTGGAAGCGGGCGGCCCGGTGGTTTTTCTGATAGGAGAAGAGAGGCTCTAAGGCGGAGTCTTTTCGCCCCGGCGCTGTTCACTTCCCCGTAATCGCACTGACGTCTTTACTTCTGCCTTGAACAACCTCCTTCTGGTCAAGGAGCGCGACAACTCTCTCTTCTTTATACATAGTTGAAGGGTCCCATGTTGCAATTTACTCAACACTTTTACCGAACCTAACACTCTGGTCGACATGCCTCCTCCCCCTCCTCCCCCTCCGCCGCCGCCGCCTGGAGGTCTAGGTGGCCCTCCCCCACCACCCCCTGCAGCAAGTTTACCCAGTAGACCAGGAAAATCAGAAGCGAAAGGTCGTGTATGTACTCAAAATGACAAGAAATGACAGCGATCATAGTTTGATCGATTCAAAGATATGAAACCACTAACATTCCGAACAGGGCGCTTTACTGTCTGATATCCATAAGGGTGCTCGATTGAAGAAAACTGTCACCAATGATCGATCAGCGCCTGTTGTTGGAAAGACTGGAGGAGGTTCAGCTGCACCACCTATGGGTGCTGCCCCTCCAGTTCCTGGTATACGACCACCTCCCGCTGGACTTGCACCCCCAGTCCCGTCAGGACCAGCCGCCAATAGATTAAGGAGCAACAGCGAAGGAGTGTCTGCTTCGGATGCAGCCGCGGCCAGCAGCCCAGCCCCCCCAGTTGGGCGGTCTTTTCGCAGGTGGAATGCCCAAACTACGCAGTCGTGGTGGTGTCAACACAGGTGCCAATAAACAAGATTCGCCGTATTTATCCGACTCTGAAGCTACACGTCCAACGTCAGCTGCACCACCACCTCCCAGGCCTTCTGCCGCGCCACGACCACCTGGAGGACGGCCACCTTTCCCTCCACCTCCACCTTCTTCAGAATCACCACCTGCGCCTCCTGTGAACCCATTAGTCGCAAGCCTAAAGAAGATACCGCCACGGCCCGGTTCAAGGCCATCATCTACGCTCTCTGCAACCAGCACCAAGTCTGCTCCTGAGAGCCCTCCACCACGCGCCCCTCTACCGCCTCCTGGGCCTGGGGCATTCAAGCCTCCGCCCCCTCCGGTATCTCGCAAACCATCCGCACCTCTTCCGCCCTCTGCAGCTAGTCCGGCGGCTCCACCCCCTCCGCCTCCATCCGCTCCTCCACCAACAACTTCAAGAGCTCCTCCTCCGCCTCCTGTTGCTCCTGGAAGGCCAACGCCTCCACCTCCATCTGCAGCCCTGCCATCAATTGCTACCCAGGCTGCACGCACTGCTCTTGGAAACCATATAACAAGTACTCCGGCGGCACCACCCCCTCCGCCACCATCTGCAGCTCCTGCAGCCCCCCCCCGCCTCCTCCACCAGTTTCCCCTCCTAGTGCTCCGCCACCTCCTCCAAGTGGACCACCATCTCGCCCATCGCCTGTTCCCTCGCGTCCTGCTCCGCATGAACCAGTTGCACCATTAAATCCAAGTGCTTATACACTTACTACCAACGGTGGCTCATCCCCTGCACCTTCCTTGCAACCTCTATCTAGAAATGTCTCTGTCAAGATAGAGGATAACCGATTCAAGTTCCCCAGTGATGCCATGCTTCCGAGGCCTCGGGAGTTTCGGCGGGATTTCAATGCAATGCCGATTAGGTACCGTGCTGGAAAAGTCAGCAGCGTGCCGTTGGATCTAAATAGTTTGCAGCGTTGATTGAGTGCATGGGATATTGCGGGCGATAGATATCGTGCACGAATAGTAAATTGTTATACATCATACATAAATTATATTCTACGCGTATGTCTATTCCCAGTGCCCACTTTCTTCTATCATAGCTTGAATCTTGGAAACATTGGCTTGTATTGCTATTCTGATACTACTTTTAAGCAAATTGTGGGTTATGCATTCCACCTGGAAAATTCAAGTTTCCAAGTGCTACAGCTGGACATGTAACTAGTTGCACAAATTCTTCAAAACTGCAGTCCACGTACAAGGCTGAACCTTGGATTTAGCATAACTTGAACACCATTACGCAGGATGTGGACCGTGACGGTAGTAGTTAACTTGAATCCATGGATAATGCGGCTGCCAGTACATTGTACTACTAGAAAATGATGATTGTCTCTCTGGTCCCAAATCCTGCTATGTATACTCCAGTGATGTACTAATACTTAGCGAATGCTCCAATTTCCAGATTAAAAAAGCAACACTAGTAAACTCCAAGCTCTATACTCGTGTCTGGGCCAATCACATGAGCCAGTTGACAACTTGAAGGCTTGGAATAAATTACCTGAGGCTGTATGTGGTACAGTGTGAGCTCGCAAAATAATTTTAATGACCTGGGCTCAATTAATTGATGTATAAGTATTCATGCATCTGCTAGGGATATCAACTGGTCAGACCCGGCATTGGAAACCTTCCACTAACACCAGTACTTTGGCATCATATATGGTCATTGCTGAATATATCTGGAAGGCCTAAGCGTGAGCTTTTACAACCATTCTAGAGGCACTAAAATCGAATATTTCAAGAGGTTTTCACCATTTTTCATCCACTGTCCTACATCAGTCCAAGTCTAACTCATCTTTATAGTTCCCAAGCTCTGCGTCCACGTGACCTGCTCAATCATTGCAAACATGAACGAACCTCGAGATGATCACTGTTCATCCGATCTCGAATTAATTCACGCGTCTCAAATCACGCATACAAATCCTACCACCTTTCAAATTGCTGTTAACTATAATTGATTCACTTCGACCTCCACCAATTGACCTTCCACCTGCACCATCGAACTTGACTTAAAGAATCCATTCACAACATTCTTTTGATCGGCATCGAAGAACTGCTTTCAAGCTTCAATACCTTCACCAATCTCCACCGGTCGCTGCGATTTCCAGAAATATCCAACCTTCGGGCTCCCTTTGAGTTCTCGCAAAAAATAAAAAGCTTGCTGAAGCACCTCTGGACCTTCTGCATGCTGCGAAACCTCCCGGCACAATCCTCAATCAAAGCTTAGATAGCTTTGCGAACACATCCTCTCCAAAGCAATCTAGACCAATTTTTGTGTCTAGTTGCGCATAAAGGATTCAACCCCGCATTTCAGCTTTACTCCGCTTATCTCATTTTCGCCCATCATGTCTCTCCAGTCCTACATCAACAGTAAGTCAGCCGACTGGAGCTCATAGAATCTTGCCAAGATACTAACATCCTCCTAACAGAGAAGGTCCTTATTTTGACCGTTGATGGCCGAACCCTTGTGGGTAACCTAATTTCAACCGATCAGCTCACCAACCTTGTTCTTACCGACACCGTCGAACGAATCATCCGTACCCCAGAGGACGATGAGCCTTCTTCTGAGATTGAACATGGCCTCTACTTGATTCGAGGTGATAACGTGGTGCTATGCGGTGGAGTGGATGAAAAAATTGATGGCGAGATTGACTGGACCAAGGTCAAGGGCGAGGTCATTAAGGACACGAAGAATGCATGAGCGCGATCAAAATGAAGCATTTTTAATCTTTGATTTCAGGCGTTTGGGGCTTTGGGAACAAATATTTGCATATGATTTGATGCAGACGAACCGTTATGTGGGAAATACTTACACTAGCAACAGGCATAAAGAGCCGTTTTTATCTTTATTATTCTTTTACCTTTTTTTGTTTGATAATCTTAACTGTCACATAGCTGCGAGCCTGCGACAACTGGCTCTCCAGGGCTGACTTGGGCTTCTTTTTTCAGGGCTATCGCGGATCTTTGGGTTTGCGATGCTAAATTCATTGGCTGTGATGCAATGGCCCCATGAATCTCTTGGATGGCCTAATACCTAGGCATCTGAGGATTGATTATCTGAAGTTCGACATGTTTCAGATGTGGTTCCTGTGCAGGTTCAAACTACCAGTAGACAGATAACTTTGTACCTAGAAAATAGGGAAACATGATTCAGTCCATCTTGCAAGTTTGAACATCTGAAATGTCATTCCCCAGGAATATCCTTGCGCCATTCGGTTAAAGTGGAGACATCATACGGAGTACACAATGCATATTCCCCATACATGATCCCCTCCATGACCCCAGCCCCAGAGTTCTATACTACAGCCCTGGAGAGTATTAACCCAATGACTTTATCATTCTCTATCTTTCATATCACCTCCTATCCGTTTGCGGCACAATCTTCGCACTCCACAGCGGGACAATGCCAAGCCCTTGGTTGAGGAGATATTACATGTACACATGTGCAGGATCATGGCCCCCTCTCGTAAGGAGGCGTAGTCTGATCACATTTCACTTTCAAGGTTATGGGGTACCCATGAGAATAGAATTGCGGTCAGCTATATGTACACCGTCATCTTGGGTGCAGTAGGGCGCTGGCATGAAAGATCAATCCCCTTGAGACACGTCGTTTCGGACCCAACTTTTGTACCCATAGATAATTTTATAGAATAGAAAAAAGATTAAAAAAATCAACTAATCAGAAACAAGTAACGTAATAATTCAAACGATCAGGTTTAAACATAAGAATACAACTAAGTTGGGTACAGAAAAGGTACAAGTGTTAATTATGGTAAACTTGGTAGTAGTAGAAGTACCCGATGTGACATTGCTCCCTAACCGCTTTCCCCAAACCTCCCCTGATTTCCCCCGTTTCATCCCTTCCCTTACTTCATTTTCACTCAACAAACCCCCCATCGCTGGTCGTTGGGCTCAATCTTACCTCTCTTAAATCGAGATTCTTCGTATCTTCTTCCAGCCTCCCTTTTCTCCGTGCTCCACAGCCCTTCATGAGGTCTCTAGGCTCCCTGAACATTACACCACTTTCGGGTCCGATCCAGCCATTCTCCCGGGCTCTGTGCCCGTCGTGAATGTGTTTCTGAGCCACTCTCAAAACCAGACAAATTCCTCAAAAAGGAAACAACAACCTTGAGAACGAAAAGAACGGCTTCAAGGAAATATTTAAAGGAGAACAATACCCCTCCCCCGCGCCATGTGGCTCTACCGCGGTGCCCAGTCGGCCGTCTTTTTCTACGCCACTTGTACACCATGTGCTATGAGCATTGACCGTCGAAAACGCAAGAAGGATGCCGCTAGATCCCAACGCGAGAAGGAAAGATGCGACGCCGAAATCGAGATCATTGCCGACCAACCCCGACCGTTTCCCCAACCCGTTCCATTCAGCACTAATGAAGGATGGAGGGAGGAAATTGCCTTAGGACCAGGACCTCCAACACGCCGTGGAGGTAACCGGAACAACCAGCGGACAAATAGCTGGAATACTGATCAAAGCTTGCAATCCAAGAAGGACAAAAGTGGGAGTCTTATGCACCCGCTCGGCGAACGATTGAATCGAATGCGGAATCAACGGGAAGATGAACCACTCTGGGGTCAAGAGATACAGGAAGTACGCGGATCATCGATTGGCTTTTCAGGTCGTGGTCGAGTCGACCCTAGTGAGCCTTCCAAGTATTATGCAGCTTATTGTCCCCCTGTGAACGATCTTCACCCGCCAATCGTTAGCGGTCCACGGAGTCGAGCCGAAACTCGATGGATGCTTCAACCTCCGCCCAGTGCCAAAGTTATGGCTGGCAAGGAAAGCTTTAAGAATTCTGCCCGTGATAGTATGGGTGGAATGCCAGGTGACCGATTGTCCCGTGCTATGTCTCCACTGAGCCCTCACCGTGAGACGGTACTGGCAGAGCGAATCAGTAATGATGGCGCTCCTGATACAGAGTCACTTCATCAACAATTACCATGCCGACCAGCTGCAATTCGCACACGCGAACACTCGAACAGCATAAGTCGTGATGACTTGGATTTATCAAGGCATTCTCGATCTGATTCCATGTTCTCCATGACCAATACAGACGACCTGTCTCTCAGTACTTCCTGGAAGTATCCTGATACCCCTGCAACACGTCCGACCTCTAAAACAGATGAAAGTGACAAAGTGTTGCATCGACCACAAATATCCAAGACTCTTTCTACCTTACATCGACCTGACAACAAACAGAAGGTCCATCTTCTTCATGTTGAGATCAATGATGAGGACCGTGGTGAGGTTGACTTTGGTCAATTAGAACGAATTCGGCCTTGGCGCTGGAGCATGGATATCTAAAGGCCTTCACTTCACATTCTACAGGGCTTCAATCAAATCCTCCACACCCGATTTCTTCTACCCATTCAATTCTTGGTTTCACTTTCCTCGTCACATTTCTCTTCGGCTACCCGGCGTTCGAGCACAAAAAAACAGCGAGCGTTTATTCAATTTTTTCCTGCCGACTTGGCACTTGCACATTCCTGGCTTGAGACACACAACACATGGCTGGTCCAGAACAAGAACTCGCCAAACTCGCTGGCAACGAAGAATGAGATCATTCGATCGTGTTCAGCAATATCCCTTTACTACATGACATTTCCCGCCTGCACAACATTCCCTTACCCCTTTTCAGGTCCCGTTCTTCCGTTCCTGGACCCTGTCGATCATTGCTTCTTCGGACCACAAGGTTCTACTTCGTGTGTTTAGTCTCTTTTTCTCTTCCTTTTCAAGGTTTACTATCCTTTACTATCCTTAGACACCTTTTTTTATTGTTCCACCTGTATCATAATCACTTTGGCCATTCGGGTTACATAAATAGCATATATATAGCATGATGAGTTTCCAATTTGAAATTTCAAGAATCTTAGCTTTGAACATTTATTTTGTCGTGATATCCACATCCCGATTGGTCGTTAAAAGTACTAGTACTGATAGGACTGGAGTAATCACTGGCACGAGGACTCAAGTTACTATTATGCAGACTGATAACTTGAACCCACACAATAAATTTCAAGTTTCTTCAAGTTCTAGCGATACTCCATCATGTTAGTAGTAGTAGTACCTTCTCCGGGGCTGCTATTACACACTACTACCAAGTGCTATCTGATAAATACCCTCATTGTGGAGCTCCTCAACCTGGGCATTGGCACTCAACCTTGGATGTGGTCGCAATCACCAAACCTTCACCTGGGCAACCCGGCCGATTTTCGGCAAGCCAAATAAAAGCCGTAACCAGTTGACTGACAGCTGGGGCAATGCGGATCACAGCCCTAGAGGCTAGTACTAATGTATCTACTAGTATTAACTAGCAACTCTACCGGGTCCACATATGGCACCTATCAGTGGATATATGAATTTCAGGACCCAAGCATGACCAAAAACACCGAATTCAATGCAACTGGTAACTTCGTAAATTTGATCATGATGGATGGCTTTAATAAGACCATCACATGCACAGGACACATGACCTTTGATTTTTTGTTAACTTCAAAGTGGCTGCAGACCAAAAGATGGAATGAAAAAAAAGAAAAATCCGGAAGAGGAGACAAATCAGGCCTTTCCTCGAAGTGCGTATGATGATGGATGCAACAAAGAGGTGAAACCGGACTAGAAAAACAAAGATGCATAAAGACAATGACAGGGAAAGACTGGATTCGATGATGAATGGCGCGATGATTCTTTTCAAGCATTGTAACAAATAATACATCGCTGTGAATCCATTTCAATGATCATGGATATCCAGAGGGCGCTGATATTCATCACTGAGTGGATGCGTATTGCTTTCTTTCCCATCATGTCGTTCCCTTGCAGCGTGTTTGAATTGTTGGGAAAAGGGAATATGACTGTCATGAGATCTGGGTATATAGAGAAGAGTAGATTGATTCTTCCTATGTTCCACTCTAGTAGACCTTCTTCTTTTCATCCATGCTCAACTGGCCAGGGCCGGTGTTAACAAGGAGCAGGAGACCACCACTAAACGAAATTAGCAATGCCATTAGATATATCAGACATATGGGATGGACATACACAATGGACAGAATCTGGAAAAAGTCGTACTTGGCAAAGTCCTTCTGGGGGTGACGGGGGTGAAGCTATGGGTTCAAGATTAGCACAAGAGAACAACCAAAAATAGAGGAATATCAATCATACCGTCCAGAAGTTGTTAACCAACACATTGAACACACTCAGCAAGACGACCAGAACAATAGCGCTGAACTTAGCCTTGAATCCAACAATGACCATGACGCACGCGACCAGACCGAAAAGGCTGACAAGGATGCGCCAGAAGCTCCACTGACCAGAGAAGACAAAGCCAATGAAAAGGAAGATAAGAAGCACACGACCAGCAAACTGCACGTACATCTTACGATCCTTCTCATCAAGCTGAGGCAGACCAGCAGGGACGAACTTCTTGCGCACCCACGAATCCGACAGCACCATAAGCAGACCACCGACGACACTCAGGTTACGCAGGAAGAAGTTCAGATCGAAGATGAGACCATAACCAAGACCTTGTGTAATAACGACGCCGAGCAATCCCGCAACGCCGTATTCGGTGCGCTTGCGAGCAATAACCAGGGTAGAGCAGATAGTCATGGCGATGACGTTGAAAATCAGGAAGAGATGTGTGATTCCCCACGGAACTGTATCCGAGTAAAGATCATGTTAGAGATATATTTTTTGGCCGAAGTTCAATATCAAGGGGGTGGTTGAGGTGTAATTTTGGGGTTGATTCCTTCCTCGAGGGCTTCATTTTGTCGCAATGCGGGCCAGGGATCGAGAGGAGAGATGTTTCAGGGCATCTTACTATTCCGGTAATCCTTCAGGTAGACCAACTGGTCGCTCCATTGTGTGAGAATACGTAGTGAATCTTCCAGGAAGGTCACTACGATGAGGAATCGACCGATTGCGGGGAGGTACCTAATTGTTTCGCGAGTGAACACCGTGTTAGTGGACGCTTCAAGATCCCTTGTTTGGGGTTTGTGGGAAAGTTGCCAGCTATGACTTCCAGGCTAGGGAAGCTTGCACCACTTGATTGAGAACTTACGGCTTCACAGGGTCAGACATGGTATCTAACCAATCCTCAATCTTGCTAGTCTGCTCGCGGATGGCGTCAAGCGGGCTGGGGTCGCTGGTGGCATCTGCGCTACTGGGCCCGCCAAACGGGTTCTGGTGGCCGAGGTTGTAGCCCGCTGTGCCACGGATTTGGGCCATGGCGGAGTAAATTGAGGAGAGTAGAGAAAGAAAAAGAAAATGGCTGTAATAAAGAGTGTAGTAAAGAAGGTAGGGGCTGGAAGATTGAAGGGGAGTAAATAACAAGGTGGAGCCCAGTATACAAAGCGGGTGATCTCTCTCGCTCTTCAGGCCACGATGACCGGAACTCGGCGCTAAACCATAATAGGTAATGTGACGACAATGATGCACATTCTTATACTTAATATCATTTTACTTTGAACACGAAGAATTAATGTAATGATTGCAAGTATGCCTTGATTTTGATACAGCTGAAATACAGAGAAGAGGGTGAAAAAAAAAGAAAGAAACAAAAAAGGAACAAGCAAATTGAAAAGAAACGCAGATCCCACCTAGTGCCCAGGTGTGGTGTTTGTATGTGTTTTTGCACAAGCTATCACCAGGCCTCCCTCGAAGGGATGCGAAGTAATTTCACCACGATTTTTGTGTGAACAACTTTCCCAGAATTTTGGTTTTCAGGATAAAATGCTGGTATTATGGGACAATCCCGAAAAACGCCAAAGCCAAGTCAAAGGGTAATAAATACATGTCAAGGTGAAAAAGATGGAGAGGGAGAGGCGGGAGAGTTGTGGCATCAAGGGGATAGAGAGTGAACATGGGATCGGTGGATCTGTACGGTCCAGTCAGGCTCTCATCAAGCTCCAATGGAGGAGAGCGAACATAGGACTGACGGCCTTACACGGTCCCGTGAGGGTTAAAAAGGTGGCCTTACCACTCAGAGGATGGAGAGTGGACAGAAGATTGATATCTTTATGCGGTCCAGTCGGAATCCAGTGGGTGACCCTTCTCCCGAGAGCGCAGGATGTCAGGAAGGTAGGTAGGGGTGACAGTCACCTTAGGCTCAACGGGGACAGGAGCCACAGGGGTAGGCTGGCTCTCAGAGGCGCTGGCCTCACTCTCATCGGCCTTGCCGCTCTTCTTCTTGGGCTTCTTAGAGACTGTGGTCCACTCATCATCCACGTTGGCATTGCCTGCACCCAGAATGCGCATCTGCTCTTCCTCGGAGGGAAGTTCCTGGGTCCACTTCTTCTGAGCTGGAGCAGCGGTGGACTCGAAAGTGTCCAAAAGCTGGACAGGAGCAGAGGTCGGGGCAGGAGCAGGCTTGGAAACACTATTGGTCTTGGGCTTGGCGGCTTCCTTGGTCTCCCAGGCGTTGGAGACGGGGACCTGAGAGCGGGCAGCCTCGCTACGCTCGGCCGAACGGGCAGTGTGCAGCTGCTTCTCAAGCAACTGGCGGCGCTGCTGCTCAGCTTCCTGGACTTGTTCCTTGCGTGCCTCGTTCTTCAGGCGCTGTTGGCGCTGCTTCTTGGTCTCAACCTGCTTGAAGGTCTGGGCCTTCTGCTTCTTGGGCTCGGACTCAACATTTCCGGTGACGCGGAGGACGGAGGCAGCGGGAGCAGGGGACTCTAGCATATCGGAAACGTATCCGGCGGAAGGAACAGCGGTCACCTGGGGGGAGACGGCAGGAGACAGATCATCATCGGCATCGGCGCCGGTAGTGGAGGAAGCGTGCGAGCCACTCTCAAGCTGGCTGGCCTTCTTGGCCTTCTTCTTCTGGTTCTTGCTGGAAGGAGCAGCAGCCGGGGAGGTGCCGTTCTTCAGAGCAGCCATGCGGCGGGCCATCTCCTTGCGGTCGACATCATCCTCTGCTTGATCATCCTCGGTGGTAGGAGGAGAGATAACAGTCTTGATCTCGGACTTCTTAGCTGGCTCCGGAGCCTTTGCCTTCCGCTTTTGTTTTTTGGGCGCAACTGTGGTCTCGACTTTTTCTACTACAGCTCGGACGGGAGTCTTGGCTTTCGGAGCAGAGCCATTGGTGTAGTACCACCCGAGGCTACCTGCCACGACGAGGAGCAGGGCCCAGCTCAGATAAGGATTCATGGTCATGATACTGTCGCAATTCTCAAATCAATATCAATTGTTTTCCAAATGATGACGGACTCCAATGTTTTGTGCGCCGCAAGTACAGTTTTCAATGTAGATGACCAAAGTCAGGGGAAAGAGGCAAGGTAGGATCACACTACCCGGGAGTAAGTTTCCGGAGGGTAGGACAGTCGCGCATACGTACAGTTTAATTGGCACGCGCAGCTGCAAGCCGAATTGGTTGTACACGGGTTTGGAGGAGGGGAAAGGCTTAGAGGACCAAGTCGCGCATGGATATGATTGCGGTCCAGGCGCAATGGGAGGAAGTTGAATGCGAGTCGAAAGCCAACGTGTATCTGATGCGATCTCAAATTCAGGGGTCGGCTTTGTTCCCAACTGACTCAATGGATTGAGAGGGGAGCAAGACGGAGGTTCGTCGAGGAAATTCCGGGGTTGGTGGCGACGAGCGCGTTCACGCTGACTGCGCTCTAAAATAGAAAACACAGGACGAATTACAGAATCCAAAGCTCAGATAACATGAGCAGTTGAAAAGAGAAGAGTAAGGGAGAATAGGAAAAAGAAAATAAAATAAAAGAGGAAGCTGGTCGTGAGGAGGAACAGGAGAAGGGGAGCCAGAAAAGGACACGCTGAGGATCCGAGGGGGGGTCATGGTATGGTAAACGGGGCGTATTATCCGGTCTCGCCCACACGGGTCAAATGCTTTTTACTATACATTTTATGACTTTTATGCAAAATTACAATTGTAAATACCATTACCAGCGCTTCCCCTAGTAGCTAAAAAGCCACCACACAACGTCCATGCGCTTCTCCAAGTGGAGAAGACTACAAATGGGGAATTGTGAACAGGCCACGTCTCCAGTCTCCTTGTGTAATTAACCAGGAACATGTGTGATTGGTCTAAACTGACAAATTTCAATGTGACTCTCATATACATGAAGATACGCGTCGATCAGGGGATCGGATCATCTCCTTACAGGTACCGAGTTCTTTGTCTCACCTCCCACGAGGAGTCCAGAAAGGAGATCCCAGCCATTTTTAGTGGTATTTACGCGTGTTCGAATGTTCCAAGGAGAAAAGAATTCTTTGGAATACTATCTCAAGTTCCGAAGTTCTTGACTCATTTCGATATCTCAGAGTCCGAGTCATGATATACTAGTTTCTTCAATGCCCCGCACGCGTAGTATATGTCACCCTCTACTGTTACTGATGTACCTTGTTGGATTGAAAACTTACTCATAGTGTCGAATGTACTAGTATGTAGTACTAGTACATCCAGATGTCCATCCTAGAGCCACTGCCCGGGCGGTTACATATGTAAACCGTGTGACATACCTACCTATACTCCAGGGCTACATACCTAGTAATTAGGTATATATAACTTGAAGAGAACCTTGGAACTGTGCACTATGTAGTATGTACTAGTATGTACCAGTCGTTACTACGTAGTCTTGTTCAACTTGAACCTTGGAAGTCCTTTTTTTTCCCGATAAAAGAAATACTATTTGAATATCGAAGACCCGCATCTATATATCATGATCTGACTGCTAATAGAACAGTCAATAAAATGCGATGGCGCCAAAATCCCTTCATGCTCAAGTGCTGGAACTCCGAAGCCTTCAGAACGATGAACACCTGAGTATAAAACCAATTGAACCAATTTACCCAGCTTATGGATTTGAGAATTTCATTATAGAAACACGTCCGGACGAATGTCCTATGGCCAATAAATCATTTCTCACTGAGCAAGACGCCGACCGAGCCTCGAGAGGAAGCCAAAGCATTCTTTGCCCGTTCAGTTTTATCCACTGCCCTTGCTCGATGAGAATCTCTGGGATGGTATGATGGTCTCCATCAGACGAAAAGCGAAGTGATCCCAAGCTCGTGGCTAGGTAAGAACCATCTGGTCTAAACTGGAGGGAACTGATAGGCTCGGTAAACTGTAGTGTCTGCCGAACCACGCCAGTTATTGTATCCCAAAGGCACACGATGTAATCATTAGTCGCAGACGCTAGTAGGCTCCTGTCTAGCGAGTAAAAGACCACAGATTTAACTGTGCTTGAGTGTTCAAAAACATGCTGGAGTCCACCGGTCACCGTGTCCCAGAGACGAACTGTTCCGTCTCCGGAGGCTGATGCTACTATCCGTCCATCTGGAGAGAAAGCCACAGAAATGACCCACTCTTCATGACCTTCGAGGGCATGGATGAGATCACCCGTTGCTACATCCCACAGATACACTGCTGCATCGTCGGAAGTAGAAGCTAGGAGTCGACTGTCCGGAGAGAAAGTCGTGAATAAAATGTCATCGAAATGGCCCTCAAGGATTTGTTCAGATGATTCTGAAGTTGTATCCCAAAGGCGTACGGTATTACCCAATGCGCCAAATGCAATTAACTGACTGTTGGGCGAGAAGGACACCGAACGAGCTGCGCCTGCATAGTTTGGAAGAACCTGTTGGCGTACACCTGCTCTCATATCCCACAGGTGTATAGTTTGATTCATGGCAGAGGTTAATAGCATCTGGCTGTCTGATGAGAATAGAACCAAGGTAATTTCCCTCCGATGCCCCTCGAGAATTTTCTCCAGCGAACCTGTTTCTACATCCCAGATTCCCACTGTATAGTCCTCAGAGCCTGACACCAGCAGCTGGCAATCCGGCGAGAGAGCCACACAGGAAACCTCATTTGAATGACGTTGAAGGGTCCGAGGAGAATTAATCGTAGTATCCCAGAGGCGGACTGTCTTGTCCTTGGAAGCAGATGCTAGGATCTGGCTTTTAGGTGAGAATATCACTGAAGTAACCTCACCTGAGTGACTCAAAGTCTGCTGCAAACTCCCTGTCACTGTATCCCAAAGCCTGATAGTCGAGTCCCAGGATCCAGATGCCAGCAGCCGACCATCTGGTGAGAAGGCCACAGAATTGACTGCACCTTCATGGCCCTTAAGAGTCTTTTGGAGCGAGCCAGTGGCTAGTTTCCAGATGTATACGAGCCTATCGCCATTTCCTGATCCAGCCGCCAGTAGTGAACCGTCAGGTGAGATAGCTACCAAATTTACTGAGTCTCCATGACCTTCAAGAGTCTGCTTGACTGTGCCTGTTGATATGTCCCAGATTTGTACAGTCCGGTCTCTAGCACCAGATGCTAGTTGACCATTGGGTATGAAGATAACAGACCGAACCCAATCTGAATGGCCATCAAGGCGCTTATGGAGCAAACCTGTAGCAACATCCCATATTTCTACCGAGGAAGAATAATCAGAGGCAGATACTAGTAACCGGCTGTCAGGTGAGAAGGCTACTGAATGAACTGAGCCTACATAGCCTTCAAGTACCTGCTGACATATGCCTGTCGCTGTACTCCAAATGTGCACCTTCTTATAAGTAGAGCCAGCCGCTAGAAGCTTTCCATCTGGTGAGAATGCAATTGACCAAATCAAGGCTCCGCTATCATCAAGGGTCTGCTTAAGTGCCCCTGTAGAAATGTCCCAAAGCTGCACGGTTTTATCTCCAGAGGCCGATGCCAGCAACTGACCATCTGGTGAGAAAGCTACCGAGGTAACCGAATCGGAATGGCCCTCCAGGACTTGCAACTCTGCGTTCCACTCATTCTCAACTCGTGGTAGTTGATTTATCCAGGGAGGAATATCTGCTTCAAAGGTTGTGCGGACTATTGATGTTTGGGGTGCAAATATGAGCCCTGCACAATAAATTTGAAGAGGTGCTTGATCGGCAATTTGATGATTCTTGAGAATAAAGCGCTTGGCATCTCGAAGAAATTCAGACATTGGCGAAGAGTCTTCGACCTAGAAATACGTAAGTCTTAGTAAAAACTCAAGGAAGCGAAGTGGTATATTGGAACGAAGGATCGCTGCTTACCACGGTAGCTTTCTGGAGACGATTTAGCATCCCTAGAACTTCAAATATTAGGCCTAAGAGACTCATTGCTTCAACCCAATGTAGAAAATGGGTTTGAAGAAACGAAAGGGCATCTGGGATCATGTCACTTGGGGTAGTGCATTCTGATAGATGATATATCCAATATCGACAAGAGTATTGTAATTCCGGGGGAAGATGATGATCGATGGTCTGGCGATCAACCTCTTCACGTTGGACTCCTTCATTGGTCAATGCACATATATTCTTTCGCAGGTTTTGACACAAAAGCAGACACTGAGTAGTCAGCTTATAGTGTACTGCCTTTTGGTCTACCCAGAAGTGTGTTTTGTCCCGGGTTTCTATATCGAGAAGAAAATCTCGAAATGACAGGTGGAAGGTGCGGACAGGTAGAGTACTGTCATTCTTCGGTACAATTAGAACTGAATGTAAAAGGCTAAGTCTTAGCTGAATAATCCTTTCTGGCAGCCCTAGTAGCTTGGATAGCGAGGCAACAGAGAGTGGACTCTCTAGTAGCACGATTGATCCAACAATTTGCTGGAATTCCTGAACAAGTTGAGTTTTCTGCTTGACATCCTGTGCATTTCTGCGGAGAAGTCGGTCGAGCACAGGAAGGTAGATCAAATCCATACCCCGGATATTGGATGTGTTGCCACGGAGAAGAATTTCAGCAAGACTATCAATTGGATCCCAAGAAGGATCCTTGAAGATTCGACAAATTGTAGCGGCAAAAATGAAGAGTGGGAGAGATATTGATACCAAGCGCTGAAAGTCTGTTTCCCCAGGCCACTCCTCAGGAAGAGGGAGAGAATCTTCAAGTTCCTCCTTGAGTTCCGAAATCCGGTGATCCAAAAACAGAGAAATATCATGTTTTATGATCTCCCTGGGAATATCATGGAGAATAAGGTCTGATGGTCAGTTGCAATTTTTGAGAAACCCAATCGAATTGCCAACTCCGGTCTGCTAGTCAAGAACAGTCGTATACGTACTGAACTCAACATCCGGAGCTGTGGTAGGAGCTGGAGTATGAGTCGTATATCATTATCTCCTTCACATTCATCCAATGCATCAATAACTATAACCACTGTTGGAATTGGAGAGCTGTCAGCCAGCTTGACCGCAAGAAGTGGCTGAAGCAAAAGTTTATCAAATTGCTCCTTGATCGCTTTTGTCGCAATGGCTGGGTCATTCTGAATTGCTCGCTCGATACAAGGAAGCAGTGGGCGTATGCTCCTTGATAGTTGTCTTGCAATGGTTGGAAAAAGCTTGAGAGCTCTAGCACGATCTTCTTCACCTCTTTTGAAGAAGAAGCTAGCTCCTAGTGCGTTTCTGCTGTTAAAGGAACTTGCGACAGTTCGAGAAATAGTTGATTTCCCGGTCCCCGCCATTCCATTCAACCAAAATATGCATTTTTCCTCTGATGAGAAAGCCCATTCTTCGATTCGGCGGAGAATATCAGTTCGTGTACCTGGGAGACATGTATCTTCATGTTGATTTTCAAATGAATCGAATGCAGCACTATCTATCATAGGTAGAGGTAAGTTCGTATGGATATCTTCTCTTAATTAGTATGGTATAGACTGAGAGATCAACTTTGACATACTGAAATTCACTGGCGCATTGCTGATTCCGATTTGTGGACCATAGTTCACCCCGCCAAATGTCACATTTGACACCGGGCCGGACTCCATGATTAGATACCTGAACAAACGCGGGGTCTGCAGCGTGGAAGACGTGTCTTCTTAGCCCCCACCATCAGGTGATATGTAGTCCATTTCATGACAAAATGAATTCAATGGTTTCCGGATAACTCGCTCGTTGTGGAACTTATCCTTTGGAAAAATAAAAACATGATTATTTCATCAAGATGATCATCTTTTGTTGGATCAACTTGTCAGTGCGGGCCAGTGCGGGTTGCCGCCTCAGGTGTCAACACTGACGAGCGATAAACCGTCCGCTGAAGTCTATCTCGAGTCCTCGATTCTCATTCCATCATCTCTGACACAACATGGCTAAGAAGATTATTCTTGATACTGATCCGGTAGATGAAGAATTTCACTTCAATTCATGACTGCGCTTATACTGACTGAGATAGGGTATCGATGACATCCTGGCATTGCTGCTGGCTCTGTCCTCGAAGCCAGAGGAGCTCGAGCTGCTACTCATTTCATTGACGTTTGGTAATATTGAAGTGAAGAAGTGAGTGGGCTTGAATGAATAAATGGGAATAGAAGCTCATGTCATCAATCTAGCTGTCTTCAAAATGTGGTTTCCATGTTTAATATCCTCGAGCGTGAAATGCAGTGGCGTCGGGACAATGGCAAGCCCGAGGGCTATGGCACACTGCGCGCTTTTCGTCCAGTAGTAGCAGTGGGTGCAGAAGAGCCATTGGAGAACCAAAAGATGCTCGCAGATTACTTTCGTGGGTTTTAACATCTACCAAATTCTCGATATCTCACACTGACAATTACCCCGCAGATGGAACGGATGGTCTTGGTGGAATCCATACCACTGTATGAACTACACCAGAATTTGTTTGATCAAACTAGATTAAAAAGCTAATGATTTGGCAGCACCCTCATCTCACTCCTACCCAAGCATGGGAACATCTGTTCGACCCAGCGGTCGATCCCGAGGGCATCAAACCTGTTCAGACCGGTGCCGGTCCCGCCGACCATTTGTATACCCCGTCTAAGCTTCCAGCATACAAGGAAATTCTTCGCGCTCTCCGCGAGAACGAGCCTGACACTGTGACTATCGTAGCTGTTGGCCCACTTACCAACCTAGCACTGGCAGCGGCAGAGGATCCCGAGACCTTCCTGCGGGTGAAGGAAGTCGTTGTGATGGGAGGCGCCATCCAGGAACCTGGAAATGTAAGAAATCTCATCAGGAATCACAAGGAATTCTACTAATCGATTCACACACATATAGGTAACTCCAGTAGGCGAGTTCAATGCCTACGCAGATGCTGTTGCAGCAGCACGTGTATTTGCTTTGACCTCACCCAATCCAAACTCAACTCTCCCCATAACAAAGAGTGAACTCCTACCACCATATCCTGAAAAGCTTAGTCGGCAATTAACTCTACGCCTTTTCCCACTGGATATCACCCTACGTCATAACCTATCAGGTGGGCAGTTCCGTGAAGCCGTGCAGCCCCTCCTTGCCGCCGGTTCTCCGCTCGCTGAATGGGTCAACGCATTCATGGGCCACGTATTCCGCACTTTGGAGCGTCTGCATCCCGGTCATGTTGGCGATGCTGCTCAATTGAGTCTGCACGACCCGGTTTGTGTGTGGTATGCGCTTACATCGCAAGACTCGCATTGGACTCCTTCGGCTGGTTCGCCCGAGGATATCCGTATCGAGACACTGGGACAATGGTCGCGTGGTATGTGCGTTATTGATCGACGAAGTCGTCATAAGATTGATGGGGATGAAGAGAGCTCAAACGATCATGGGTTGTGGTTGAGTCTTCGTGCGGGTAACCGTATCTGGCGAATGGATGGATCCCCTGCGGAAACCACCTTTGGACAGATCCTCATTGATAGAATGTTCTATTAGACGGTTTTCTGTGGGGCAAATTTATAGATATGTCATATAAATCTTGAGATAAATGGGAAACCTGAAATAGAACGAGTTGAATAGACCCTTACCCATATGGCTGGGCATACTTTTGCATCAGTGGAACCGTTAAAAAAGGGTCAGAAATGCTATTCTTGATCCTGCTGCCCCTGCAAATGTGGGCCTCTGGCAATAATCGCCCACGTTAGTATTTAGCAAATATTCAAATTAGTCCTAGACTCGGGACTCCTGTAGTGGAGGCTGTGGAGCCATGACAAGAATTTCGAACATTATATGGTAGCCTGATGTTAAGGTTATTTCTTAAATGTACTTAAAATAATTATGTATTGGCACTAGGACTAAGATTATCTTCCGAATAACGTTGGCGACTATGTATTGCCACTGGCACATGTGCATATTTCAAGGTTTTGTACGGAGTACTAGAATTGTTAATACTTCGTGGGTGTGTCAACGTTGAGATGAACCTTATTGCCGCAATGACTCTTCCAAGGTTGAAAATACCATATATATGCATATAGGATATCTCGAGCATACATTAAGTCCAAGAATTCCTAAATGTGGATCGCAACTTGAACCCTGTAAGAAGACAAAGAAGCGGGGAATCCAGAGTGGATCTCGCGTTCGGTAGTTCGTATTCGGGTTCGTTTTTCGTATAAATGAACATATTAGGACAGTAGGACTTGGCTAGGCTACTTAATACTGATCTCTTCCAGCACTTGAGTTCAAGTTTGATAAAAAAAAAGAGTGCGTCAATGGAGAAATGGTATCTGTTAGCTGTGTCAATGTCGTCTTCCCAGATCTTCGATATTAATCGCTATGTTCAAACTTCAATGTTCAAAATGTTGCTTCGGATTTGTTGCGAGTGAGCCACGACGCAATGTCCACCTCTAACTTGAAGTCTTATAAGTCAACCCAGTCTATTTCCAAGGTTCTAGGCAGATGGTTTACTAGGTCTTCAAATAATTGAACTGTGGCGCATTTGAACCCATGCCTTTCAAGGTTATTTTTTGTTTATCTAAAGCTTATCCTTCTGGTCCGAGTTCCTTCCCGAAGCCGAATACGAGGAATTCAATTCATATCTCATTCGCATGGCCACGTACTAATAGCGATCCACAGGCGCAGTCAAGTGTCTACGACATGAAAAAGAAAAGAGTTGCCTGATCTGAAGCAATTTGCGTCTTTATAAAACAGAAAAGTCTCGCCTCGGTAGTAATCAAAGCCAAGTACCCTTCAGAAGAATCAAAGTTCAGAAACACCTATTTGCCCGCAACCGAATTACAATCCGTGAACATGGACACCAAAGACCGATTCGAATTTGACGCTATGGGAGCTGAGACTTCAACTGAAAGAGACGGAATCAGTGGGGGGGGATTTTATGTTTGAGGATTCACCTCCTGCATACTGCTCGATTGCCACAAATGAGCAGTTTCAATTACCCGAATACACGAGCGAGAGGCCTCAGTCAATACTTCTAAGAGGTATGAAAGTGTCAAGAATTCCAATCCATTTTGACAAGACAAAGCTCTTTTCTAACAAAACTTGAATCGAATCAGATACTGGTCGCTTTAGTATCGACCTATCTGCAGGAAACCGGACATCTGCCTTCGTTCAGTCGTTTTCACTTCCCGCGCAACGTCCTCGCGTTATCGAGATAAATATTTCGACTCCAGCAATTTCGGAGGAAAGATCAGAGCATATGGATCTGGATCTGGATCCAGAGACCAAGAGTGTCGCACTTGATATAGTGCTTATGCTCATTGGAAGTAGAGGTAATAACCGCATTAAGACAGCCCATTTTATGATCTGCAATTGACATGACCAAAGATGAGATAAAGTCCATGATATTGGTCGGCCAAGAACTCCACAAACAAGGTAGTCGAGTATTGGTTGCGACACATTCGATTTTCCAATCGTTCACAACTAAGCTTGGAATGGAGTTCTTCTCTATCAGCAATGACCCACAACATCCGATCGCAGTAATTCACGCCCCCTAGTGCTCAGTATCCATGGCACATAGCTTACTCTTTACTAGACAAACGATTCCGGATTCAATCCAGGGTTGAGCAGCCTCGATAGATTACAAGTCCAGCAAAGCCGCAGAACCCTGCTCGATACCCTCAAGCAATGCTGGAATGCTTGTACATATTCTGGCTTGCGCAATGGCAAACGATTTTCCGCTGATGCCATCATCGCAACACCCTTGGCACACGCCCATATTCACTGTGCAGAGCGACTATCAATACCACTTCACATTATGTCTACCACACCATGGACTCCAACAAGGCAATTCGCACACCCCTTAGCTCAGATCGAAACGGGAAGTGAGATCGACTCCCAGATCCAGAACTACCTTTCATATATCCTGGTCGAGGATTCTGTACAGAGCGAGTTAGTACCACCCAACAATCAGAATCCAGGGATGATTTACTGAAGATATCTTCTAGAATTCATCGTGTTATCGATCACTTTCGCCAGGCAGTTCTTGGTCTCACAACATCGCTTTCTGTTGAGGGCAAGGGCCTTCTAGCCCAGTTCGGCATCCCCCATACGTATCTCTGGTCCTCTAGACTTCTTTCTAGGCCGAGTGATTGGGAAGATCAAATTGGTATGGAATACTGAGCAACCTCCAAATCAGCTCGTATAGTACATTAACATAAATGGGTACAGATATTGCGGGCTACGTGCCAGTGCAGAGTTCAAAGCCTGAGACACCCTCGGAAAAGTTGCAGATTTTTATGCACCAGGCAGTCGATCCAATACTCATTATGGTTGATGCTGCTCAATTGAAAAATCCCGAACAGTTTGTTGAAAGCCTGAAAGATGCCTCATTGAAGTACGGAGTTTATGCCATACTTCCAGCAGGATTTCGGGAGCTGGACAACCTTCCAGATTTGCCAACCATTTTCATCCTCGACAGTACACCGACCGGTAAGTGTATCACGAGATTTGATGCGTGCAACTAGCTTGGAAGACGGATTGGCTGATGGAAAATCTATAGAATTGGTGATTTCAAGGGCTTCTGTGCTTTTGACCAGCGGCTCCGTTCCGTCAATAAACTTGGGTATCCGACACTCCAAGCCGATGATCTGTGTGCCACTTCTTCAAGAGTAAGTTTGATATCACGGCCCAGTAGCCTGAGATTAATTATACAGATTGCAAAGCTAATCATTATTAGTCAACCATTTTGGGCAACCGCTGTCCATAATGCAGGAATCGGCCCAGCTCCTTTACAAGAGGAAGACTTCTCTTGTGAAACTTTCATCAAGTCATTTAATCATTGTCTGCAGCTCGACGTCCGAGAAGCAGCGATCAGTCTAAGTGCCGCCACTGAACAAGAAAATGGTGCGGTGAATGCAGCGAGCTCTTTCTATCGCAATCTGAAATGGGAGAAAGTCCAACGAAGCCCTAATACATCAGAGCCTGCTATATACAGTATGCGACTCAAAGGGCCGGCTATTTCCACTACCGAAGCAATGGTTAAACTAGGAAACCGCGTGGAGAGAACCAGTCTCAGAGGAGGCGGGCCCACAACTAATGACACTGAAGCTGAACTAGCAGTTTCTGTCGAAAAACTCAAGCCTTCGTTCCTTATGGATACGAAAACTGTCGGCCGAAGCCTGATCAAGGCAATTATCAAACCGACAATCTCACATATCTCTGATGCACGAACCAAAAAAGAAGTGAGAATTCAATTACCATCATGTTCTAGGATCTTTCCATACTAACTTGACAAGGGTCAGAATGATGTCCCAACTAGACCATCGAACCCGAATTTCGAGAAGTCCAAATCAGATGTGGCCTTAAAAGTGGCAAGAAGTGTGGGCTTTGGATCGGCTGTTGCGTGTGGTAAAATAGCCATTTTACCATTCAAAAGTGAGTTTGGCTTCTCCATGATATTTTTAGAAGTGGTTCCTAATTTGAAACAAACAGCTGTATACTACATGAGTGAAACAGCCTCATACGGAATACGCGCACTACAAAATGGTCCTAAGCATGGCTCGAAAGACCAGGGAAGGGAGGCAGTTGATCATTACAATCAAACCACTCCCCAGGAATCAGCTGAAGGTATGTTGTGCAGTCTGGCATGAGCAGCATAGCAGGAACTAAAATAAGTATTGCTAGGACTCAATGCGGATCTTGACCTCTTTTTGCAACAGGACGATGCTTACTCCCGTGCACTAAGGGCCTCAAATTCAAATACTACACTACAGCAATCTTCAGAGAAGTCTGCAAAGTCTGACGAGAGAGGAGTTTGAGCGTTAATTTGAAGTTTTCTGTTTGATTTCGTCGGTTTTGTATTGATATTTATCAGCTGGGGGTTATTAAAGCATAGTGAAGATCAGGCGTTGTTCCATAGGTAGTCAACTTCAGAAGTAAGCACTTGAGATTTCTTGTTTTCACAAACGAAATGGTCTTCATAAAGGATAGCAGATATGATATTGTAGTACTGTAATCGAGCAAATCTCTGGTCTAGGTTCTGTCAATTTGAAGTTATGAAGACCACATTAGTCCTGAACCATGAACATAACATTAGAACTTGAATCAACCGTTTATAAAATCAAGACTTGACACTTGAGATCAATGCAAAGCCTTGGCGCAAATTTGTATTTCTCCCACCCGGGCATTTCTCAAAATCAATCAGATAATCTTTGTTATATCAGATTGAATCAATATCAGTTTCGGAGAGAGTATACGGAGTTCAAAAGAGACGGATCGTGCTTGGCAAATTCAGATTGGTGTCTCAAGGCACATAGGGCGCTTTCCCTCCAAATCCTGACGAATAGTAATGTGTATGCCTGGAGAATATGCAACTAAAATTTCAACTCGGTTCAGGTGACGATGAATAGGCAGAAGAAATAACTTCAAATTGCCAGAGATTGAGAATTTGGGAAATTTGAACAGCTCGGACTCGGAATTGTGGTGGTTGGTAACTCGGATTTATCCGAATACGAACCCGACGTGTTCGTCTGGCGTGATCGACTTAATCTAGATGCTTAATTTTAGGTGGAGAAAATTGATGTTGCCTGAAATTTTGACGCTAATCAGCCCCCTCGAGTAAGATCTTCTCTTGAAATTTGAATTTTCATTAGATTCCAAGGTTAGTGTTGTTTAGTGTTGCTTGGAACTCTTCATGAAAGGATTTTAGAGCCTATCAGTGGCGTCAAACCCAACAGTTATTTCTGTCCTTTCTGCAATGGATTCCTGTATATAAGGAGGACCAGTTTTCTCCATAAATTAATTCATTTTCTCACAAGACACTCGCAAATCAACCAATTGACTAAATCGATTTCACTGCTTCAAGTTCTCATAATCTCGGAACGCGCCCTTTCCATCTGGACATACTGTCATCTACACCATGGCGAACTCTGACACTTATGTCTTATACCAGTACACCCCTAGCTTGGTGGCTGCGATCTTATTGGCTGTGCTTTTTGGCTTGACAACAATCTTTCATCTATACCAACGTATCAAAACACACGCCCAATACTTCAACCCTTTCATTGTTGGAGGAATCTGTGAGTTGGAGCCTCATGTCAGAGTTCAGCAAATCAAAGTCGACTAACAGACATCTATAGTCGAAATCATTGGATATGGAGCTCGCGCAGTATCTCATTTCAGTGAAAACTCTACTATCGCTTATGCCATGCAAAGTCTCTTCCTTCTTCTAGCGCCGATTCTTTTTGCGGCCTCGATTTACAGAGTCCTTGGGCGAGTCATCACTTTCCTGCATGGTGAACATCTGAGTTATGTCTCTGTCAGATGGATGACCAGAATCTTTGTTGGAGGAGATATCTTATCTTTCATCATTCAAGCTGCCGGTAAGTCATAAAAAGCTACTCATCTCATGGTTAGTCAAAGCTCGGGTGTTCTAATCAACATGATTCTCATTAGGTGGTGGTATCATGACTGGAAAAAGCGTCACTGATGTCAATATCGGATCCTGGATCATTGTCGGTGGTCTTTGTGTGCAGCTACTATCCTTTGGAGCTTTCCTGATCACTTCTCTCATCTTCCACTGGAAGATCAATCAAAACCCTACTCCAGAGGGCGAGCAATCAAAAAGAACCTGGCCAGCTATCGTCCCACGCGACTGGAGAGGACTTCTCTTCGCATGCTACTCTGTCAGCATTCTGATCCTTGTACGATCAATCTACCGTGTGGTTGAGTTTGCGCAGGGTAATAATGGGTACCTGATCAGTCATGAGGTCTTTTTATACGTCTTTGATGCTGCTCTGATGTTCATGGTCATGATCATTATGAATGTACTGCATCCATCGGTTGTTTTGCAGAAAAAGAAGGTATCGAACCATGAACCAAAACCTGTGCGATGGACATCCGATTCTGACATGCAATCACAGTCTCGGGATGAATCGTTTGAGGTCACGGCAGTCTGAGGGCAAGATGCAGATTTTGCTGCACGGGAATTTACACCTGATGATTAAAGATGTCTTATTGTTTTTCATTTTTTATAGAGTATATAGACGAATTTTCATGATGCTTCAACTTCAAGTTAAAGATACTGGTACACATATTCCATTTCTGAGTCCAAGTACTCCCTTTTCTCTAGCTTTAATGCTAGTGTTAGTGCATAAGAACCTTAACTTCTTAAGGTTTCACTGAATAAATTTGCAGCAAGCCCCGGTCTCGTCACTCTCGTCACCCTCATGCATAAATCCATGCTTCCTAATCAATCAATGACGTCACTGACGATGGGACAAAACATGACTAATGATACACATGATTTCCTCAGTATGGATACCTATTTCCACTCAAAAACTTGAAAGGGGTTGCGTCTAGAGCAAATTTCATTGGGGATTTATTTTGAATTTTAATTTTTCGCCATTCGAAATCACAGATCTTCATATTCCAGATCGACCCGAAATGAGATTCGTCGCATTGATTGCCCTTGTTGTGGCAGCCACTGGCCAGTTCACTTGTATCAAACCCGTGAACCCTATCCCTGCAGGTCCACCAGGTCTGTGTTGTCAACAATTGGATGAGTATCCCATACTCGAGTTTCTTTACGCTGGAAATAATTGTAAGTTCCCTTTTTATAGTTCAAACTTTCTCAATTTGAACATTCCACAAATAATAACAAAATCATTTTTGTTTTCATGTTGCAATTTTCGATGCGTGAAGCTAACATTGAACTCAAGGCATTCATGCAGATCTCTTGACCGAGGCCGAGGGTGGAGAGACAACGTACAACTCATGCGAAAATGGCCAACACGCTGCATGCTGTGATCCTGTAAGTTTGAAAAGAGATATCTATAAACATTTGGGTATCTAAATATCAAATCAACTTGATCTAACATCTGATGTTACAGGTTTTGACTGAAATTGAAAAGACAAGTAATATTGCTTGTGTTTTGCCAGAATCATCATGATTTTCATCATTTCCTCGCATTATAATGCTACGAAAAAGCAAGCATAAAAGGACAGGGATCCAGGAAGACCCAACTATAGACCCAACTTGTTGATTTCCGCGAGTTTGCGCGCTCTATTTCCTCGATCTGTAAATTTGGGCAAATGACTGGGTGAATACTACAGGAGAATAACGAAAATTAGAATAATTAGATCAGGATCAGGATCTTGATAAAATAATCGAACCTGATTCATATAATATTCAAGTTAGAGGGCCTATGCAGCTTTGTGAAGTAGTATAGTTGGGTCACTTCCAAGGTTCAGCGGTGGATTTCTAGTAATCGATACTGCACGACTCAGGCTATACTTTAGTAGTGGGTCTTGATCTGAGACCTTTTCAGCATATCCCAGGAGAAAAGTAATTGAATCTTAGATACCACGCAAATGCGGAACTTGAAGGAAACATTTGAATTGCGCGAGGATGGGGCTACATAGTGCACATCTAAAAATTCCCATGTGCATGATTCGAGTCCTACAAGTTTTAACAGACAAGCATCTCACTCTGAGTCTTCCAAGGCTGTATTCTGCATATTGTTTCAACGGTTGAGGTACTGGTAGTACCTAGGTGCCAAGAGTGAGACTCCGGGCTCATTATATGACGAACAGTTTATCATTGCTAGTCACATGGGACAACTCTCCTGAAGATGACTTCCTCACTTCTCTCAACCATCAACAACTATGTGCAGACTTTCAGAGGGATAAACCCCACCACAATTCCCGATAATTTTGTCCCCGGCGCTGATTTGAGAGGAAAATGGGTCATCGTCACTGGTGGAAACAGCGGTATTGGGTTTGAAGCTGCAAAATCGTTCGCAACATGGGGTGCGAATCTCATTCTCGCTTGTCGTGATCCATCAACGTACGAACAACACCCCACAGATGCTGTCAAAGCATGTCAGGAACTTGCTAAGGAGCAAGGTCACTTATCAACTGTTGAATGGTGGCAGATTGACTTGTCATGTCTTAGTAGCGTGGAGGCCTTCTACCAGAGATGGCTTGAAACCAACCATGCTCTGGACATCCTTTGCAACAACGCTGGCGTACCCTCGACCGATCCAATCCGGATGACTGATGACGGGTTTCATTACACCCACCAAGTGAGTTCCTCTTATTTCTCATTATATTGAGTATCATGAGTTTACAGAAATACAGATCAACCTTCTAGCCCTTGTCCTGATCACATTAAGTCTCTTGCCATCGATCGCGAAAAGCCCCGAGCCTCGAATTATTTGCACCGTATCCGCCGCACATCATATGGGCCAGCTTGATTTCGAGCATTTCAACGGTGGCCCTGGACTAGGTACTCTGGCGTACAGCAACAACAAACTCTTTTTCCAGATGTGGATTGTTGAGATGCAGTCCCGATTCCTGAAGCATCCTGAGTACCTCCATTTACGATTCATGGGGTTAATCCTGGTATGGTTCTATCGAGCATTTGGAATACTGCGAAAAATAGAGACAGGCCCACGACAAAATTTCCTTTACAACACTGTGGAATTACGCCCAGGCAAGGTAGCTTCGCTATTACTCATGCGGCTACCAGCCCTGGGCTTGGACCAGATCCCAAGAAACAGAATGTCGGCTCTCCTCGAGGACTGGGTGGAGGGAAGTATATCAATCGAGTATGGGTGGCCCCTGCTAAATCCTTTTGTGATGATCCAGAGGCTAGGTTGAGGGTTTGGGAAAAAGTTGGATGAAGAGCTGTATCTAACGCAGAAGGGTCTTCTTACTGTACTGGGTTCTTGATTTTTTGATAAGAAAATTTCTACTAGTATGCACTTATCTATCTCTGGGCCCCGTGTTTGTTTTCCGGTGTTTCCTCTTCCTTTTGTCAACATATTTGAATGACTATTCCAAGGTTCTTGTCTGACCTGAATTATTGAACCACTATCACCATTTTACACTTACTGATTTCTGACCTCGTAAGCATGGAAGAAGCTACATTGATAAATTTGAAACAACTGACATGACTCAGGTTCTACAATACTTGAGAAAACAAGTCTCAACTTGAACCAATCATAATCAATCACCTCCTGCATACTGCCTCAGCCCAAATCGATACATCCAGATGTCCGTGCACAACACAGTAGCCGCATGACCAAGACCAACTGTGCATTATCCATCACCTCCTTCCTTATACCTCTTCCTACCTTCAGTCCATCCCCAACTCATCATATGCCCGTGACGATGACGGACGAGCAAAATTGTGATAGCGACGTGATCCTCGCGATACGCGATCCCGACATGGATCAGATCGTATGCGGAGACAAGAACTACGAGTTTCGCAAGTATCGCCTCAAGCCCACCGTGAAAAGAATCTGGTTTTATCGAACTGCATCCCACTGTATCACGCACGTCTGTGACGCATCATCGGCTCGAACCCGGAACCCTGGGGACACTCCATTGGAAGAGGATGGGTTGGGCAATTTTGAATTCAATAACAGACATCCAGACTGGGATGGGTATGATTTCGCCTACAAGATGATTACTGTCCGTGAACTCTGTCAACCTATTACACTCGGCGAGATGAAGGAGAGTCATGGATTCAAGTTTGCACCGCGCGGACTGGTCTATCTTCTCAAGTCGATTGGTGATATTGTTGACTTGGATAAACAAAAGCTGGTAAGTGGTGTGGATCTGGGAGGATTTATCAGTGTTACTAATGCATGAACAGGTGCTGGATAGAAGGATTGAGATTTAATAATTTGTGTTCAATGTGAAGTGTGTTGAGTCTTCAGGTTCTTTCAGGCAGTCAGCATCGTCCTAAGCTTCCAAGGTTATCACACAAATTTCAGAGAATGGAGAGGCCACAAAGTTCCAGCGATAAAAGGAGATATAGAGAGTCGAGGGGTTTATGAGTGAGCACTGGAAGTTATCAATTAATAATACGAGGAGATGAGATACAAAAAAGATCGCATCGAGCTTTGAGAACCCAGTCAATACCTTCGGAGCTCATGGTATATGGATATGATGTATACCTAGGTAGTTACCAAGGATTTATTATTTTAAAATTGTGAAATGTTGTGGAGGATGGAAGGGTATTGGATTGTGTGGTGTATCCGAGACTCAGAGGCAAAGAAAGAAGATGAGGAAGACTTAAGGCCTCAGCTCAGACAAGATGTACCCAGAAAGAAGTATGTGATGATATGCCATCCTCCAGCCCACCAGCCACTCTCCCCGTCACCTCTCGCAGCTCCTAGGGATCCATGTTATGAAACCTTAGCTGAAACGTATCGTGGGAGCCACCGCGAATCAAGATAACTTAATTGGATCCCGTCCTTGAAGCAGAACCCCCTTCCTCCAGCCCTCTTCCACCAACCTAATGTGACCAAGTCTCCCCGTATCGCCACACAATGAGAGCTGACCGTTAGACCTCACAGACAGGGATGTGAACGAATTTTTACCACTGCTATAGAGCTATGTAAAGGCGAAGCACTGCCACGCTAAGCAGGACCCGTCAACGCGAACACCTGCCACCGGCGAACCGGCGGGTGAACACTCATGGGAACATCGGAGCGCAGGAGGAGGCAACACGTTCATAGATATTTGGTGGGCCCCATGACAGACTACAATGTCTAATGCAGTAGGCGGTCGCCAATGGGATGTATCAACAGGTCTGGTTTTCTCATTCTGATAATTACGCACATAAATTCTGCCTGGAGATCACCTGATCGGTCATGTGATCCATTCTGGTTCGACCAATCAGAGCTCTCCATTCAATAGTGGTTTGGACTAACCCAATTGGGCTAGTTCTGCACCCGTGTTCTGTCACCCCAGAGCCTTAATAAGCAGGACCCGTCAACACATCAAGCCCCAGGGGACCATCATTTGCTCATGGGAACATCGGATTAAGGTTGCAAGCAACGTTCAGTATAACTGTGAAGCCGCAGACGCCAGATCATCATGCCGACTTAGCTACTCGCATCACACTCGGCGCACCGCTGAGCTTCTTCTCCCTGCGATGACCACAAAAACCTGGAGTGAGATTCACTCTGTGAAAAGACTTTCAAAAGGCCGATGAGTTGAAGAAAGGAGGCCGTGAAAATAATTCGATGGACGGATTGATAGACAGACAGATGGATGGATGGATGGATGTATAATGATAATCGGCTGATGCAAGAAGGCCGAGAGTAGATTGTTGAGCCATATGTTGCTCAGTGGGAAGCCATGTTGATAGGAAACCACGGCAGGAGATCAAGCTCATGGGAGCTAAGTGGAAAGATTGAAGGCCATGTCAGCATGTCGTAGATGGCGATGGAGAGTGGAAGGCTATGCTGGGGACAGAAGCCACGAGGAAATCTGGAGCCATAACAAAGTGAAACAAACAGCGTCAGCACGAGTGCTGAGTGAGGAAAAGTCGGGCCCTTCAATCTAAACCTATGGAACACAAAGAATGAAGCACAGGAGGGGAAGGGGATATCTGTTGTCTCACCTGGTGTGTAAAGAATGTTCCTCAGTGGGAAGCCCTCAGTGGGAGGCCATGTTGATAGGCAACCACGGCAAGAGATCGAGCTCACGGGAGCTGCGTGGACAGGCCAAAGACCCTATCAGCGCGTTGCAGATGGTGATGGAAGGAAATCTGGAACCATAGCGAAAGTGAGGCAAACAGCGTCAGCACGAATGCTGAGTGAGAAGAAGCCGGCCCCTCCAGACTACAGCTATGGAACACAAAAAAGAGGAAACACAGAAGAGGAGAAGGGGGTTTCTATTGTCTCACCTGGTATGTAGAGAAGTGTCAACAAGTTGGACGTCATGCTGGAGAGTTATATCAACCTGTCAACAATGTAAGCATGTGTCAAGGGAGAGAAGAGTGTGTGAGAAAACCTTGGAAGCAAATCCAGATCAACATGGCGAAGGCGCGTCAAGGGCATCACAACAAGATGATGCCATGTGATATGTTGATAGAAAGGGCCTTGACGCGTGCAAGTATCTGCGATGAAGGTGGGGTTAAGAATGGAAGCTAAGGTCTTGAGAAGACCAAATCGCGTCTCCTCTTAGCAAGGTTGCTGCTAGTGGCACCGTGAGCGGAGCTCCGTAGAGCAATAAAAGTACAGAAATCCCAGGGCGAGACCATGGGCACGGAAGGCTCACCTGTGGGGTTGGTTGAGTGTGTTGATGAATGGATGGACTGATGGATGAATGAGAGCTCCCAAGTCAAGGCAACAGCCGGTTTTTTGGAACCTAAATGGTCTTGAGAAGACCAGAACGCGTCCCCTCTTAGCAAAGGTGTTTGCTAGTGGCACCGTGGGCGGGGCTCCGTAGAGCAATAAAGTACAGAAATCCCAGGACGATACCATGGGCACGGAAGGCTCACCTGAGGTATTGATGTCTTGACCAAGGTAGTATGTCAAGAGAGTGTGTTGATAGATGGTTAAGTAGATGGATGGATGGATGGAAGAAAGTTGGGGAAAATCAAGAAGAAGAATTAAAAGGCCAGGAGAGATCTATTTATACCCTGGGGAAGACAACAAGATCACGCAGGCTCCCAAGATCACGCAGGCCCAATTAGGGAAAGCAAGCGAAGACGGCGAAGTGAGAGATTGATCTGGCGCAGTGAATAACAACACAGCTAATTCGCTATACTGAAGGATGCTTGCTCGCTTCAACATCTCTTACTTCGAATCGACCAATAAGAAGCCAGGATCACAGAATTTAAGCGAATCACACATGCGAACTTGATCTGATCTTGAATCTTGATCTCCCAGGTGTAGATTCCACGCTGAAGACACACCAGACACATACATGGCCATGGATCCTCTAAATCATGCTAATCATTCATGTTTACCAACTAAGCCACTTATCATAGGCCTTGACCAAAAATGAAGCTGTATTCTTTTCTCTTTACTACTGATAGCAAGTACTGGTTAGCTCTCTGTTGACCCTCAAGTGCTTCAAATGATCACTCAGTCTAAATTTATCCACATGCATTTTGATAAATCGTACTACCACGTAGCATAGCTCAACCTGGAGCTACTATTAAGTACTATGTAGTAGTATAGCCAAATATGCACAAATATACTAATATATAGTAGTGACTACTCCTCCAAGGCCACGCAATCAATTGATGATGATACATAGTAGGTATTATTGATACTACCTAGTAGTAGTACATATGTACTACATATATACCTAGTATATCACTCAAGTATACTAGCACTACTACACATCTATGCTTAGTAGTACAAATATTTGAATTTGACCTGGAACATTCCAATGTTGAAGTCCAACTTGAACCTCAAGGGCTCAGACTTGCCCAGGTCCAACTTCAAGTTGAAGTTTCAAATAGTGAAAACGCAACATTTGAAGAGCACTTGATACTCTGGAAGTGCTTCTATAAGTAGTGGCTCTGAGTCAAATGTTATAGTAGCTATACGTAGTATTTGTATCTCAGGCTAGATCCATCAATTCAAATGTTGAATGTCACGGTGCCAGGGATTACTACGAATTAGTATTTAGATCAATAGGAGGTCAAGTTCAAACCTTGGAACTTGAATGTTTACACTGCACAAGTCAACTGGTGGCAGCTAGAATTGATAGCAGTTGAATTATGTTCTATCAGGAATATTCTAATGTTGGTGTAGAAGCTGAATCTCGGAAGCCATAACTGCTAGTGAATAATTGGCGGGTGACTCGCTTATCATATTACACAGGAGGGATACTAGAGTTTCCAGCCTTTTGGACCTGCATAGTTGAAACATCATGATTTGAAATATTACTGTTTCAGGAAAAATCTCAAAAAGAAGCAAAGTCATGGAGTTTACCCATGGAGCAGATTGGATGACCCAGACAGGCTGGTCAATGGTTCGCATCGGCACACATAGTCTCTTCGCCTCAATCAGCGGTCGAACCCGCTCACCAGGAGATCCCCTGATTGTCATCCTCCCTGGGGCTGGCGATGTCGCTTCGTCGTACACAGCTCTATCCCGACTCGTCGCCCCATCCGCTCGGATTCTGCTATACGATCGTACCGGACTCGGACACAGTCAGTCCGGCCCCAACCCGGAAGGATCACCGGCTGTCAGTGCCGCGAAAGAGCTACACAGCCTGCTCCAGACCACGAAACTACTTCCACCTTTGGTTCTGGTTGCACACTCCTATGGCGGTATCGTTGCCCGGGAATATCTCCACCTATACCCTTCCCATGTCGCCGGGATGGTCCTGGCAGATAGTTCCACCGAGCGGCAAAGTGATTATTTCCGGATTCCGGATCCCAACATCAGCGCTGTCCAGGGAGATCTCAAATTTGCCCAGGTGACAGGTCTACGAGCGAACTCAGTGCTTTCTAGAGATGAGTGGCACGAGCGTGCGATTGATATCTCGAGAGGAGCTGAGGCGGCACAAGTGGAGGCGAACTCGCTCGTGGCAGTCTGTCATACGTTGGCGGAGAAGCGACAATTAGAAAATCAGGCCATGGGGTCCAGACCGGTCAGTGTGATTCGCTGCAGTGGTTTCAGGGACTTTGAGTCTATTTACCAACGAGGTGTGGAGGTGGGGAATGGCACGGTGGAGCAACAGAGGGCATTCCGCTCCTTGCTTGATCGATGGGCACACGTTGATGGGGATCTTCAAGAAGAGCAGCTGAAACTCTCATCTACAACGCATCTTGTGTATCTGCCAGATTGTGGACACAACATTCATATTTTACGGCCAGATGTGGTGGCGGGCGAGATTGATTGGGTCGTGGACCAGTTACAGCCCTGGGATGCACAGAAGCTGTGACGTCTGGCCTTAGAACTTGGAAGGTTATTGTTTCGTTCTATTATTACCCGAGGGAACTAGTGGTTGTGGGTTTCTCTTTCCTGGTGCATTTTGCGAAGCCCAAAACGCTAGCAAGCCAGATGCCTCAAATTGTTGGAGCCTATTTTATTTATTCTCAAGTGGGCATTGTCGTTTACTATCTCCACTTATGATCTGCACCCTCTTCTTGAGAACATGGCTAACCTTGGCCCTACTGCTCCGTACACATAGCTTATCTATGAATAGCACGACGTACATTGCATAGCCATCCAGGGACTCGCATGCTTTTCTTTCTGCATACATTTGCAGTTCTTTTATTGACCAGAGAAATAGTGTAGCCTGGCAAAGGCTGGCATCCATTCTATGTGTATGTGCTTAGTAACCACGATGCACTGACACCGCCACATGTCCGCTCAGGCCGCAATGAATTGCTGCCTTACATGAATCCCATTCCTGCCTAAGAGATGGAGCTTTTTAGCGCCTTAGTCACAGTTTGTGTATAAGGGTGACTCTATTCCGGAGTCAAAATGGAGAAAAAGTTCTTAAGTCCATGTTTTCTATCATTTTGTCATCCTTAGGTACCTGAACTCACCGAAAAGCCCGAATCTATGACTCATCGTGGCGGAGACTGGAGTTGTCTAGGAGCCTATTTGAAGATGATTAATATCACGAGATCTCAAGATACATATAAAACCAGTAGATGGGCTGAAGAATCAAGAAAAAAATAATAGAATATTTTATTTTTCGAAAAGAAATCTCTGCTTGCATACAGATTCAGCTACCAGATCGATCGGAGACTCCGTTAAAGCCTGGAAAACTGCGCCACAAGTAGGTGGCGGAAAAACGGGACCCGCACCGTATTTATAAGAGACGTCGTTCCCAGGCATCCCAGTTGGAACCTGCAAAATCTGGCGAGAACTTCATCTACATCTATCACCTTTATCTCGAACTATACCCTCCTAACCATAATTCCTCTTTTTCCCCTTCATCTCTCGTCACTTGCTTTGCAAGATTGCCCTTCTGAATTAAATTGTCCCTCCAACCCCTGATTCTCTGTGATCAACGCGTTTTTGCTGGTATCTTCACTTCCATCACAAATCTCCTAGTGTGGGGTCGAAACCGATATGGGCGACGGATCTGACTATCCTAGTCCTCGAAGTGAAGCTACCCACGGATTAGCCACTGCCTCAGTCCTAGCCTCCACGGCTGAATCTCTCTCGTCAATTGCCAGAATGAACGATCAAGGCCCGATCGGGTTCATGGAGGGGACGCGCCCGCGCTTGTCAGTCCGACGCGCTCGAGATCCGCCTAAGAACGCGGAAAATCAAATCTTCTGCGATCACCCAGATTGTGAAACTGCGCCTCCCACATTTCGTCGTCCTTGCGAATGGAAGTGAGTATCTCTTTCCCTGTCTCTCTATTCCCCCCTCACCCCCCTTTCTTCCCTATCGTCGCGTCCAAATGCAAAAAACTACTTGCTGACATATCGCCTAGCAAACACATGGATAAACATGATCGCCCCTACAAGTGCTACGAACCAGGATGTGACAAGGTCAAGGGCTTCACCTACTCTGGTGGTCTGCTACGCCACCAACGCGAAGTCCACAAGAAGAACACCGACGCCAAGAAGTCCCTGATGTGTCCCTACGCCGACTGCAACCGCAGCACTGGAAATGGATTTACGCGTCAAGAGAACCTTCGAGAACACCTTCGTCGTCGCCACATGCACACCGACGATGGCCAGCCATCCATCATGGTTGATATGCCTTGGGAGCGCGCCAACGAGTTAGAAGGCGTTCGCGCCAACTCACTCCCTGCCACCGGGGCGAAGCGCAAGCTCGACTCGCCGAATGGGGATCTACTTGATGAGGAGAACGACGACCTACATAACGAAGTCAAGCGACTGCGTCGGGAAGTTCAGGAGAAGGATCGCCGACTGGAAGAGCTTGAGCGGATCGTCGCGGGTCTGCAACAAGTAATTCCTCAGCCTACTCAGTCCGAGGAAGCCCAGTCTGCAGCACAGTCACTTGCGCCTGTTCCACAGATTGCTGCGCCCCAGGTCTAGATTTACCGCCACTCTTCACCTTCATGCTTACACGTTCGCTATGTTGTTCTCCCTTCTTCTGTTCGGTCCCATGTTCCCTGTCTCCTGTCTCTTCTACCTGCATTCCTCGGGCGTTCCCTCCAAAAGAAAAGGGCTTCGTAATTTGCTTTCCACCCCCTTTTTACCTGTCTCCTTTCTATCTAGCATCTGAGGTTCGGTTATGCTTAATGCCTCTGGAGGAGGATTTAACCAGCCGGGTATGGCGTTTTTGCTTCAAGTTGACATAAATGGGGCAGGTGGTGTTCTTTCCGGAGGTTGCCAGCTTGTGTGTCCTCATATACCCCAGTCTATTCTTTTCCAAAGTTGTTGTGAAATACCTGTCACATTTCAATATCAAGTTATTTTCTTAAATTGACTCCTGCGTAATTGAATTTGTATTTATAATATAAGATGATTCATCAACAAGGATCTCGTGACTCGTAAGTCGGCCTCGATAATAATATCATCTGAATCAAGTTTATAGTAACGGAGGCATGAATCATCTCTAGCAGTACGAAGAAATGCCGCTGCGTAGTAATCGTATACAGTGATATCAACATTGAAGTTCCAAGTTCAAAATGTTGCAACAAGTTCCAAGGTTGAAGTCGCATGGACTTGAACAGGGATGTGACATGGATGTACGGTGTATGCACGTCTCTATCTCGGATTAGTCTTGAGAGACCGAGCGTAAAGTCCGAGTGTTCGACATCATCTTGCATGAAAGATACTACTATGTAGTAAAATAGAAACACAGCAGTCACTAGAAGATACTAAAAATAGATCTTTAACAACTTGAAGACCTTTACGTCAATTTGAAGTATCGCCTAGATCCGAAGTACCAACTTTATTGGCAGTTAGTCCCATACAAATTCAAGTTTCCCGGATGACGTTACTCGCCAAATGAACTGCATGAAAGGACTGATTGATTGAACATCAGATGCTAGGTAGATGCGTCGAGCATCAGAAATCTTTGCAGTAAGTAAAAATTTTCGTTGAAATTCAGGAAATAATTGCCTGTAACTACTCGACTATACCATGACTCGGACCTCAAGCAGTTCTGGTTCTGGAGTATGGATGTAAAGGGTCTATAGTATTTGCTTATTTGGCGAATCTGGTTAGGAGGCATCACTACAGGTATTTCGATGACAGAAAATCTTTTGCAAAAGTGACTTGACACAAATACCTTCCTCAAGTGTTGACGACTACCTAGGTAGTACATGTGAAATGTAGCCTCAGTATGGTACTATGTTCAAGGAAAATGTGTCCATATCTGTAAAGCCTCTAGGCTGCTTAATTCCAGGATGCTAGATATTCGGATTCGATAACTTTGGAATGAAAAACTTCAAGTCCCTGAATTTTACCTGATACAGTCGGAGTCGATTTTGGATTAGAATTTTGGGGGCCTGGATGTGGGACATGGAGGTGACAGGCTACTGACAGGCAGTGACAGCTGTGCTCGTGGAGGAGGCTGAGCACTGCAGTCTGCAGCAGCTTGCATTGTCGGCTCCACAGACCTTCATAGATATGCGTGTTATGGAAAATGCCCAAGGTTTCTGTAAGATGAAAATTCAATATACAATTTTCTAATCTTGAGATAGTAAATACAAAGCACATTTAGATCTATTTTTTACCTTGCTCAAAGAGAGAGAAACCTAGGCAACAAGGCATCAATTTCAAGCCTGAGGCAGCCTTACATAATCGTCCACCAATCCAAATCCCCTCCATAAGCTGCAGGTCTGGATTGAAGAGGCATTGACCACACCTTATTTCAAATCAAGGGACAGTCGGTCATTGAATGAGTGGATTGGTCATATAGCGATAAAAGTAGAAGTGAGTCGGTTGTCGTTGACTGGTTGTCGCAACTTCCTAGCCCACCCACTCCGACGCTTGAATTGTTGAGCATGTAGGAGGCCCAGGACCGTGGACTCGTCTCTTTAAACTTCTTCTATACTTTCTCTTTCTCTCTCTCTCTCCTTTTCATTTCTTTCTTCCTCGCTCGGGCCAATCCATCTCAAAGCCCACTCAAAACACAATAAAGCGCGCCTTTGAATGAGTCCGACTCGTCGCAGGCACACCATGTCTGCATTCAACCGTCCGCCTGAGGTGTCAATGTCTCAGACCGACGCAGACTTACCATATGAACGTGCTCAGGAATATGTTTCAACCACCAGATACCCGATAGTCACAAGTCCAACCATGTCACAGAGCCCCTACAGCGACCCAAGGGAATGCTACGAATCCATGGACTCGGGCGACGACAATGATACTGTTATCGTCGACAATAAGATCCTATTCCCATCTAGTCACTGTTTCGCAGAAGGCGATTTCATTCCACCCGGCTTCTTTGACCATGCAACTCTTAATGGTTTCACACGTCGATTCAAATACTCGCAATGGTCATATGAGATGCGCCGTGAGGCTCAACTTATCCTCCCATTCCTCTCTCTTGGCCCCTCGGCAGTTTTACGAGATCGTAACTATCTTCGCGACCAAGGCTTCACTCTCTTACTAGCTATTCGAAACACCCAATCTGCTCTTGCGCGTCTGGTTTCAGGTGAAAAGGCAGCTGCCGAGCTCGGAATACAGTCAGACACTATTGATGTTCTCGATAACCAAGAATTGATATCCGCATTTCCCCGCGCTATCCGGCGCATCAATGACCACCTCGCCGGCGTTGATAATGGACACAGTCCTCCTGGATACCAGACCCAAGATGGAGTGCGGAAAGTCCTGGTCTTTTGTGAAACTGGCAACGACCGATCTGCTGCTGTGGTAATCGCTTATGTCATGACGATGTTGAACCAGGACGCTTTGGAAGCAACTCGCATGATCCAGCAACACCGGTTTTGTGTCTCAATTGAGGATGCCATGAAACGCTTGCTTACTGCTTTTGACTCCATTCTTTGTGCCAAGCGAGATGTTGAAAAAGTAAAGCAAGCGGCTGCTGAATCAAGAATGATGATGGCTTCCACCAATCTAGCTCCAGTTTCCATTGCGAAGAAGCGGAGTTTCCAGGTCTGTAGAGAGGACGATGCTATGATGGATGACGGTGATATGGATATGGACATGGACATGGATATGGAGAATGGCGATTATTCATCTGAACGAAAGCCTATGGCCCCTTTCCGAGATCGGGCTCAGTAGGCCATCTGTACAATAGATTTTACCCTAGCTGATAACAAGTTTTGCAGCATGATAGCTAACAATACCATAATGAAGGACTAAGCCAGAATTATGCATGCATGAGTCGGTATGACCCTTCTATCGATCAGTGTGGCTCTTTGTGCTGTCCTTCCCTTTCATATTTGCTTATAATGATAATTCTACTTTGCTGCAATAGCCGGAAATACCCTTATATCAAAATGACCCAAAAAGTCTTCCTGTGAAAATGATTCTCCTTTACAATGTAATAATCTTCAGGAGTAACCTGACATATCTCAGGAACTGCCTAATATCTTAGGCGGTGATGTTAGCGATAAGGCGACAGGAAGTTTGCATAATGGAGGTGAAATTATCGTCCCATTCTGTCAAGTCAGATATCGATGTTATTCACATCCATCTATCTCCTCCTCCTTGATCACCCAACTTTCCTTGCACCCAATATCTTTCCACACACTTGATAATTCAAGACGATTCTTTTTCATCGGCGTATTGAAGCACCTGTTCAACGCGTGTCTATCGACAATTTTGACCGGATATCGTTGTCAGACGCTCATATCCGGCGTTTTCTCTCATACTCCAGTGAGCCCCGCACCAGAAGCATCACTTCCTGGGCAGAGGGACTCGTCAACCCCACGCAAAGTTCAAATACAAGCAATTTGATATCCTGCAGATTGTACTTTCAGCAATCCCATCAATCCAATCAACAAAATGTCAGAGGAGGCTCCCAGGCGTTTGAGGATAACAATCCGGGTTCCAGCAGCCCTCGCAGAATCCGAAGATGCTGCATCACCTGAATCTCAAGCTCTTCAATCCATGCGCCAGACTCGAGCACGATCCAGGGCTGCTACCTCCGAACCTCTTGTTGTTCCTGAAGAGCCTGAGCGTCCCCCCCCGTCGCCGTCGCAGCAGCACACGTGGCAACGTTTCTCGCGGTGTGCCTTTCAACCCTAATCTACCCCCTGCAGCATTTCCAACTTTGCCTTTTGACAGCCCCCAGCCTACCCAAAGGAGCCCACTTCGTGGCATACTCCGGAACCATGGCAGTAACCGCGGCACCAGGAGCCGTCGCGGTCGCCGTTCTGGGGTTCACTTCGAAGATGAAGAGGAAGATGAGGAGTCACAGCAGGAAAATGAAGGTGAATCAGATGATGAGATTACCAACGAAATCAGGCGAGTCAATCAAGAGCTCGACAATCACTCCGTCCAAGACATCGAGGACGCTGTCAGAGGAAACACTGCGATGAATCCAATTTATGTTGACAACATGGCCCGGATGGCCACCATGGGCCACGACGATAGTGATGACCCTGATATCAGTGAGTTCGAGGATAGCGACCTCGAAGAACCCAAGGATGCATCTGAAGTACTAGGAGAAAAGGTAAGTTGTTTTCCTTGCCCTAAACTTCGGCGAAAAAGTTACATACCCATTGTTTTGTCAATTTCTAACGGCCTTCATTATAATGAAACAGATTTCTGACCCAGACTGGAAAGACATCGCTCCCGCCCTCCAGGTAGAGATTGTGGAGAATATGTTCGAATCTGGAAGGACTTGGAATCAAACACGTGAAGCTCTCCAACTGGATGAAGAGGAGGCAAACCTTACGTTGCGTTTTATGATGACCCGCAACTCCCAGATTAACCGAGAGAATGAAGCTCTGGCACAGATGCGAGAGAATCAGCTGCAAGCCCTGATGAATATTGATAACAGCGACATCAGGAGCAGCGATGTGCCGCACCAGCTAATACTTCGCCGAACCAGAGAGACTCTCAGCGAACTCACAGAGCATGGAAATGGACCCTTTCCGGATCTTTTGCTGTGCCAGGCTGCCGATGTTCTAGCTGGCAGACAGTATCTCCACCGCCGCAACCTTCCTCGAAGCCTTGCTGGATTTTGGGATAATAGACTTGTGAACCTGCAAACGTCTGGTAACAGCAATGATATCCAGCCAGAGCGGTTCGAATGGAATGGAAATGTTGAAATCGAATCCGAGGTTACAAATGGAGGGCAACAACTTCAGAGACTGCGAACAGGAAGAGCCCGACCTGGACGGCAGCCAGTACCCATTGAAGGTATGGGCAGTGTTAACCCTGGCAATTTGGTCGCAAGTCCTGACACTGCTGCCAGACAAGCTCAAATGGTTGACTGGCGCAGATACTACATCGACCCTACTCATGCACCCCGTCCCAATGACCCCACAGCTCCAAGACCTTCAGTTCGACTCGGTGGATTAATATCCCTCCGTGTTGGCAGTGACCATGCGGCGCGTATCTATGACTCTGAGGAACTTGAGAGAGTGACGGGTCGCCGAATCCCGTTGCGGGACCTAGCCCCACGCCGAAGCCTGGTCATCCGCGCCCCAGTGTATACGCTTGCTGACGATACGCCAACCCGGGCCACATTCAGCTCTAGCCAATTGAATTATTTGGACCAGCTATGTACCACAGTTCCTCCTCGATATTGGCAGCAGAACTGTATTGCACAATGGAACCAGGCATATTTGCCTGACTTTCCGGAGCCGCCTCCTGCACCTGTCAAGCGGTCGCTGGGTGGTCGATGGTCGCTGAGATTAGCCCGACGTGACCCGGCCATCGGACAACGCCGTTTCGAACGTCAGATTGAAGAAGCAAGGGTTGAGGCTGAAGAAGCAAGAGCTGAGGCTAGAGCGATACGACTTCGTGAGGAGATCGACCTTGAGCTTCAGAATGCGGCAGCAGCGAGTGAACTGGCTGCTGCCGCTGCAGCAACCGGGGACTCCCCTGCCTTTGCTTCGTTGAATACCGACATGTTCACTCAAGAAATTTCAGACCTTCCTGATATGGACGATATCTTCTTCACGAATCCACTCAGTGATGATCCTCTCCTGAGTGCGATCAATGGCAGGGTCAGTCCTTACAACGAGGAGCTTGACACAACAGGTCAGGGCTTTTTCACTCCCGAGTTTATCGATGCCTTGCTGCTCATGCATGAGAACCGTGGTTGTGCGCCAGATCCGTGGGAGGCGATTGAAGCTCTTGACGACGAAAACAACGCTAGGGGTGAGGAAGCTCGAGATGCTGACGGGGATACTGCGATGAATGAGAATTTGAGTGATTTGAGTGATATTGACGAAAGCTTCTTTGATGCAATGGAAATGTGAGTTGGATCAAGCAGTTGATCTAACATTATGTGACGAACGACAATGATGATATGACTGGCCATGTTGAGTGCCTTTCTGATGGGCGCCCTTTCGCATCTTCATTTCATATGGGATACAAACTGTACTTGTACCTTTTCTTTATTGAGGGCATTATGCCAAATCAATTTTATTCTTATCAAATGACTCTCTTGCTAAAAATGGAATTAATCAAGTAAAATCAATGAACACGTCGGTTAACTTGGGTACTCTCACTAAATAGTGCGTGTGTTGGGTCGAATGGAGACCCAGGACTAAAAGTGAGAGAGTCAAGTGATTTCTAGACGTATTAGACATTGTTATTGTAGAGTAGCTCATTATCTCTGTTCTCTTTTTGGAGATACTTTGGACTCTTCCAAGGTTGTTCCCCTTCAGATGAACTAGTTACCCTCTTTACCAGATCGAGCTCCATCTTTCTCTTCCTGATTCAAATACCCATTCAAGATGGATAACGAAACAAAGCAACTCATGGATTTGTTGCATGCAAGTTCAGTAAATTCTTTCAGTCACAAGTCAACCCCATACGCAGTGTCTAACCATTTTCAATTCATAGAAATCTGTCACTATCATGTCAGAGAAAATAGAGAAACAGCAAGAGCAGGCCCGCCAGGAAACCAGAAGTCGTCGTCGCACCAAGGACGACACTAGAGTGAACAAGCCAGACTATCCAGGAATATGAAGAGAGCTCTACCTCCCTTAGTGAGCAGGGCCACGCAACAGCCCATAACTTCTGACCGGCGGTGAAATGCGCACATATCAGTTGGAGGGCCTCAAGACTGTGACTGAGCATGGTGATTAGGATGTGCAGCCCTGGTCGGTTGAGTTGCCTCAATTCACTTGGCTTGAAATATGCTACTATGTACTAGTATGATAGTTCTTAATTTGAGCCTGAGCTTGCTTTCTATATTGGACTCAGAGGCGTCTACTTTAATAAAAAGCGATTTCACCAAGCTCTTACTACCTGCTATTTCTTCCCTTACTACCTTGGCAAGATTGGGCATTGGAATAAGATTATGGACTCGAGTTTCAAAACCTATATTCTCTAAATTACTGGGAGGAATCAAGATACTACGGAGTATAATAGGTACCCAAGCACAGACACATACTCGTATACAGAGAAATCGGGTCCAATAATAAGGTCTTAATGAATTCATTGAGCGCCTGTAGCTCCTAGGGTGATGGCTGTACAAAAATAATAGTGAAGAAGTTAAGAATGCGCAAGAATGAACCAGGAAGAAGAGAAGATCCATGGACACAGCGAAAGGCCTCAAATGCTTATCGCCGAGCCCTCTCATCTTCAATCTGACCCCGCAAATCTTCAAGAACTGTCTTCCGCTGCGCCAAATGAGTCTTCAACCCATCAACTTGATCCCCAACAGCCTTAACATCCTCCCTCGATCGCTCCAGATCCTGACCATCCTTCGAGCGACCCGTCCCCTCTCGAAGCTCCCTCAGCTCCCGCTCCTTGTACTCCAAAAGTTGCAGCGCCTCCTTCTTGATAAGAACCCAGTTGGGCCGTCCATCGTGTCTCGGTCCATCCCGTCGATTATCACTAGCCTGATTGGCAGCCTTCAACTTCTCCTCAACTTCTGCTAGCTCTCTTCGAAGTCGCACCTTCTCCCATTCCTCATCCTGAACTGTTTCACTGAAATCCGTGCCCTTGGGCTGGTACGAGCCTTTTCCGCCAACACCCAATCGGCTGAGATATGTGTCACCGAATTTAGCCTTGCGTCCTGACGTTGTCTCGGTATTTCCATCTGCGCCCCAACGCTGCGCAGGACGGGCGTTATTATCAATTTGGTAATCAATCTGGTTACTCTCGAATGAAGAACGGAGAGATGCCGGGATAGAGCGCGGGATACGGAATCCCTCGTGGCGGTAGTTTAGAATATGCAGGAAGGCGAGCGCAGCGTCTTTGTTGATGGCCTGACCGGCGGAGGGGTTCACAAGGTTCCAGGCGGAGCGGATATCGGTATCGGGGACGTCAAGCGAATCGTAAAGAGCGCTTAGAGAATCGACTAGAGTAGAATGTCAATGGTTGTCGTGTCAAGACCAGAAAATCGCTACCTCCAAACACATAGCAAAACTGATCGATAAGGTGCAGAACTTACAGGTAATTTGGCCGCGGGGGTTCCGGCTAGAATTGTAGATTTCCTCGTACTTGGACTTATCAGCTGGCTTCATGTACCAATCGAATCCATCCTTCAAGCCAAGCGAATCGTCCTCATCTTCTATGCGTTCGAATTGCTCTTGCCGACCGCTCAGTGCCCGTGTGGCGTGGACGAGATGTGATTTGGATTCGGGGACAAGCCAGTCAGGCAGCACGGGCGGGACCTCTTGAAGCTCCTGTGGGTACAATTTTAGTAAGAATTCTAGCCGATCCAGGAAGTGGTAGTACGTGCGCCATTGACAAGATCAAATACTAAGCGCATAGCGACACAGAACTCCTCAAAGTCGAGCTCGCCATCGCCGTCGACATCCGCAATGTCCCAGACCTTCTCGAGCTGATCATCGCGTAGGCGACTGTTGCGCAGCACTGAGGCAGCCTGGGAGCTGTTGAGATGGGGTTGGCCGTTCGCGAGGGAGGCGAAGATCTCCCAGTAGCGCTCAATCTCCCATTGTTCGATCTTTTTGGTAGACATGGTGTGAGTTGGTGGTTAAATGGAATGGGGGGGGAGTTTGGGGGTGGGTTGATTTAGAGTGGATCCCGCATTGTTGTCCGCCTTCAGGGGATCTGAGGTCATCGTGTTTACGCTTATTACTCTGACCACATACTATGACTGAATTTGGAACTACTAATATTTAATAGACACTATTCCCTATAGATGAATCAATTTCCTGATATGATTGGATCCCAATTTGTTTTTAAACATAACTGAATGATGGATGTAGGTTGAGATCACACAACACTATCATTCTACTGATACGAACTCCACTACCTAGGTAGTATTAAGCATAGATAGATTGATATTATGAATTTGAAGCTTCAATAAAACTTGAACTTGAACTTGATTTTGAACTTGAATGCATCATCGATTAACTTGAACTCTGAGTCTGAATCTCTCTTGGCGTCAGATGAACCTTTAAAGGACCCTTCTCCCACATGAGGAAATTTTTTTGATTCATCCAATCTTGGCTTTCCTCTGATATCTTCATATCAAAGTTGAAGACAATGAGCGCGAGAATCAGACGCATCTCACTGTATGCAAGACTATTGAACTGAGTTAGTCATGGAACTTCAAGTACCTAGGTATGTATCATCCACATGTTGACACGCTAGTGCATAAGAATAAGGGGGAATATGATCACATACTTTCTTCCCAAGCAGTTTCGTGGACCAGTATGAAAAGGTTGGAACACATCTCGACAATCGTTGACAAACTCTGGATCCCCCAGAAAGCGCTCTGGATGATATGCATTGGGATCTTTGAAATATTTCTCACGGCGATACAACGCCCATTGGTGGATGGAGACATTGGTCTTCATTATTGAGAAGACGTTAGCATGTATATGTAGACTTCCGCTATTGAAAAATTGACTTACATTCTCTGGTAGGTATTGGCCCAAGACCCGAGATCCACCCTTTGGACACACTCTAGGTAGGCCATTAGCAATTGGAGGATACATGCGCATGGCTTCATCAAGACAAGCCAGCATGTATGTAAGGGTGTTAACACTAATCAAGTTGATCTCTTCTTGACTCTGAAATGTCGAATGGACTTCATCTTTCAACTTTTGGTAAGCTTCAGGATGAGTTAGGAGCAGAAATGTCACTCCACTCAAGAGAGATGCTGTTGTCTCGGAGCCTCCAATGATTAAAATCTCGGCATTTGAAACGAGCTTCTCAACACCGAGGTTCTGATTTCGCGTTCAAGCATGTTAGAGAGAGCTAAAGATTAGGGGAATTGGGAACTCGACTAACCAGCTCATCTTTTTTCTTGAGCAATCCCTCAATAAGATCTGGTCGTTCTTCTGTAGCGGCAACTCGACGAAGCATTTTGGCTCTTGTAAGATCTTTATGCTTCTGGTGAGCCTCTTTCATTGATGCTGGAATCATTGCCAAAAGTGCAGTCTTCAGCCACGGAACAAACGATAAGGCCTGTAAGATCGAGCCCAAGTGGGCTCCCTGAAAGATACCGCTGATCCATTCATTGTAATTACAGCCTTCCAAGCATCCGAAAGGCTCACCAAATGCAAGATCTCCGATGATATCGAATGTAGTAAAGTTATACCAATCTGATATCACCATACTGCCATCTTTACAGCCTTCATGCAACTTTTGGAGCAGCAGGTCAACGTATTTCCTGATCATAGGCTCTTGAGCTCTCATACTCTTGTCGGAGAACCCATGTGCCATCTGCCGTCGTAATTTTCTATGCTCATCAGTGTCCCCATTGACAATGTGACAAGGTTCCTCGGTCGGCCGGTAGAACCAGTTAGCTTTGGCCATTTCGGGCTCTCCATTTTTATGGCCGAATATATCCTTCCATGCGTCTGGATGTGAAAATGCCAGCTCTTCTGGTGCAATACGCACGATATCTCCGTATCTTTCATGCAATTCTAACATGTCAAACGGGAGGGTACCGCGTATTGCGCGACGGAAGTATGGTATCCGCGAAATCGCATGAGATGTTGGGCCAGGGAATCGACTCAATGGATGGAAGTAGACATTGTAAATGATTTTGGTGACAATGTAGATGATTATCTGTTATGGTTAATTTTTTTTATCAACTTGAACTTGAATTGGCCTATATGGACATATGAACGACGTCGGGATTGACGACATACTGAAGAGATCGCAGCCCCAAAGGCGGATTTAATGTTGACCAACGCAGTCATCTCTTGCAATTTTTGATCAATTCTTGAAATGCCTAAGTGGAAATGAAGGAATTGTGTAATTGAAAGCCTCTATCATTTTGAGAGAGTTCAACTTTTCATATAGTCTTCAGGGCTTGCCGCGGGTTCCGTTTTGATATCGACGCCGAGGTTAGTTGTAGGCAGATATCCATGTGTGGGCGAATTAAGGGATGGGATTCATGGGAACACGTAATTAATTCGAAATTCTCTAATTTAAGACAATAGCCCGCTTTGGATGATCTTTCCAAAGTTCGATTGATGTCACAGACTTGAATAAGGTTAGTTCCAGGGTTGATAGGAATCAGCACTATTAGCATTATGGGGGTTCGCATTCAAGCCGAAGCCGAAGCCGAAGCCGAATACGAGATGCAGAAACCCCCCCTAATAAGGGCATTGCCCGCATAGGTGGAACCCCCAATTAAGGCTTAATTGTATAAATCCTTTTATTCTTGTTCAATAGATTTTTTTTATTCGCACGTGCGATAATTTGTTGAGAATAGGCATCCATAGTTTCAGAAAGGCCTTCTGGTGACTAGACTGACGATCTCGACTTCTAAAGTTCAACCAATATTGCCGACCAGTCGGAAAATCTTATACAGTTCGAGTTCCTAATTAATGCATCATATTTGTATCTTTCATGACTTCAATGTTTGTTTATTGTGACTGCCTAGATTCTATTCAAGTAATGTTATCCTATAAAGCTTCATCACAAAAGGCATTGCATTGAGAAGTTCATACTCTTATCACTTTCATTCAAGTTCTACACACTCTTGAACTTTCAATCAAACTTGAAGTATGACTTCTACCAGTTGTAGTTTGTACGATTATACCCCGAGTTTGCCTCTTGCTGTGGTTGCCGTGACTCTTTTCTCCGCACTTGGAGCTGTTCTGTGTTTTCGAATGACCCAAACGAAGACCTGGTCTAGCATATTTTTCGTTCTAGGAGCCATAGGTAAGCAATCATGATCCAGGTCACATCTATGTAGTGAAGGGCTGCTCCCGAGGTCCTATTTTTATGCAAGAAACTTGAATATCTAATATTCATACAGCACAACTTTCAGGCTATGTAGCCCGGATATTCTCCACACAAAATGTCTGCAACCGCGGAGCATACGGCGTTCAATCCGTTCTTTTATTACTAGGACCGACCTTGATCATGTTCTCCGTCAATATGACACAGACAAAGTTTGCTCGTGTTCTACATGCAGAGAAGCTTTGCTTCATTCCAATACATTGGCAGCCATGGCTGTACATGAGCATCAATATTATTTTGACCATCCTCCAACTTATTGGAGGTATCATGACAGTGGCATCCACTTCGATGACAACATTAGCGGCGGGTGGTAAAATGACAATCGCCATCTATGTTATCCAGACGGTCCTCTGGATGCTAGTCTTCTCCGATAATATTTGCATGACTATTCGCCTCCACAATCAGCCAACAGAATCCAGTAAGAAATCACTGGCGAACTGGAAATTATGGAATCAATTATTTGGTCTCTCGACAAGCATCATCGGACTTGGACGTAATGTGATGCGTCTCACGATGGCTGGTGGTGTTGCCTTTCTCATCGAATCTGAATGGCCATCTTATGTCTTTGATGGCTACCAAATGATAATTATCTTGACTGCTTGGGCGATCTGGTATTTACCAGAGAAGTGTGAGGCTATTCCAGAAGCAAGAGATTATAGAAGCCTTACTGCACTGGAAGATATAAGAAATACTAGTAGCTCGGTTTAAACCTTGGAACAGGAACTAGTTTTACGACAGTCACTTGAACATTAGCATGTTTTTATTGAGAATTTGGCGCCTTTTGAATCAATCGATCTACATCAAATTTACTCTTCGCTCTGGGCGTAAATTGCTTTTTCACTTCTACTAATTTGAAGCCCGTGGGCCCCACACATACATGTGCTAGCAGGCCCAACCCAATAGGATATCTCCAAGTCCGAATACGACTGGTTGTTCGCCTGGCTTATGCTTAATGAATTGTTAAATGACAGCTCGTATCCCTTCATTCTACCATGTCCAACCCGGCCTGAGACAATGTCGAAGTTTTATGCGTAGGATAAATAGTTTACAAAGTGCCCCTTCGCTCTTTTGGGGACCTCGGAATCAATCGCCATTGTCATTCCAAGGTTTACTCTTTTTGGTGAAAGCGTTCGCATCATGCCACCTGAGAGTGATTCACAAGACGTGGACTCTACGCCTCCTCAGGCTGTCTTCGACCAGGAAGATCAAGGAGAGTTGATGAATGAAAAGAAAGATGAAGGAGATGAGACCAATCTGGACGTGTTTTGGGACGAGCCCATTGAGCAAGACCCTTCAAATCCTATGAACTGGAGCTCAGCTCGCAAATGGACCATCGTCGCAACAGTTTCCTGGGTTACATTTTTGACGTGAGCCCTCTTCAAGCAGCTCTTCCAAGCACTTGAGCTCATCTTGGAATGATATCAACTAACAAATTTAGCCCACTCGCATCGTCTATGTTTGCGCCCGGTGTTACTCAGGTTATGACGGATTTTCATAGTGATTCGGTTCTCCTCGCTACCTTTGTCGTTTCGGTATATGTCCTCGGATTCGCTTTTGGGCCACTAATAGTAGCTCCATGGAGCGAGTATAGCGGTCGTGTCGTCGTCTATAATACATGCAACATGCTTTTCTTCGTCTTCAACATTGCCAGCGCGTTAGCTCCAAATATGGCTTCTCTGGTCGTCTTTCGATTCTTGGATGGAGTGGCGGGTGTCGCACCGACAACTATTGGGAGTGGGACCGTTGCAGACATTATTCCAACAAAGAGCCGAGGACGAGCTATGGCTCTTTGGTCCTTGGGGCCTCTTTTTGGACCTATCATTGGGCCGGTTGTTGGTGGGTATTTGGTCGAGGCCAGGAATTGGCGATGGGTTTTTTGGGTACTTTCTATTGTTGTGAGTACTTTTCAAAAATGGTGCTTGGGCAGGCTCATCTCATAATGATCTTTTTATAGGGCGGATTTTCGACGATTGCTTTCTTCTTAATAGTTCCCGAAACCCATGCCCCAACTCTACTCGAGCGAAAAGCAGCGCGCCTTCGGAAAGAGACTGGGAATATGGGATATAAGTCTCAGTTAGATGATGGCATTCCTACAAAACAGAGATTCCTACAAAGCTTTTTACGTCCGTCGAAAATGCTTCTATTCTCGCCAATTGTAGCATCCATGTGTATTTACATCGCTGTTCTTTATGGTCTGCTCTACATTCTGTTTACAACATTCACCGAAGTATTTGAGGGCCAGTACGGATTCTCATCTGGTGCGAGTGGCCTCTCTTTTCTAGGAAGTGGGGCCGGCATGCTGCTTGGGCTTCTATACGCTGCGACCCTCAGTGATCGCATGATAAGATTGAGAATCCAACGAAACGAGGAGCCTCAACCAGAGGATCGACTTCCTTGGTATTTTACCATACCTGGATCTCTCAGTGTCCCCGCAGGATTGTTCATATATGGATGGGGCACTGACAAACAGGTCCATTGGATTGTTCCTGAGATTGGAAATGCAGTGACAGGATTTGGAATGATCCTCACCTTGATGGGTATTCAGACTTATCTTGTCGATGCATTTACGCGGCATGCGGCAAGTGCTATCGCTGCTTGTACTGTCCTACGGAGCTTGGCTGGAGGTCTTCTCCCACTTTGCGGACTGAAGCTGTATGACAAACTAGGCTTGGGTTGGGGGAATACCCTGTTGGCGTTTCTTGCGCTAGGAGTATCCCCCATCCCCTTTTTATTCAACCTGTTTGGGGCGCAGTTAAGAGCTCGATCCAGGGCTCCAAGCTAGTAGGGCATATGAGGACCCTTGTTATTGGAATATACCGAAATTGTTCTCCTATTATGATTACAGACACCCTAATGATGACTTAGCTCAAGTGCTACCTAGGTATTTGTAGATTCAGGAGCCCAGTATATCTGCTCCTGCGGCCATCGTAGCCAGTCACGATATTTTTCCTCAATCACTGCGTACAATTGCGACATCATTCGACCACTGAGTCCTTCCATCCACCACATCCATTCAATTTTGTGCAGAGCAACGCAGAAATATCCAAAGATGATAAGAGCCATGGGTGCTTCTTGTACTAACAGTTGCAAGTATTCGTCCGACGCTTCGAGCAGCCAGGCAAAAATATCTGCTGTTTGAAGTCTTGGACCCTCGCCTGGCTTCATGACAACCCCCAGAGTTTTGCTGAGTGTATCCAAAGCCTCTTCATAGACATGACGCAATCGCGGGTCATGCGAAAAATCGCGATAAATCAGTTGCTTCAACTCCCAAGTGTACATCTGACCCTGTTCCATTGTATGACAATTCCGGGCAGCCGCTGACCGAGATCCATTCATGAACATTGGGCCTAATTTCCCCTTACTAAAATCATCGCTGCTGTAGTCGAGGACTGTTTTTGTTCCGCGGAAGAGAAGAACCCAATTCGCAAGACGGCCATGTTCAAAGAGGACAAGGAAATTATTATCTGATCCAGAGCTAGCACAGGCAAATATGCAAGTCAACGAAGAGAACAGAAAAAGTCCTACTCCATTATCTGTGGCCAAAGATGCGAGGTTCGGTGTAACGGAGCGGACGGCTATTTCATGATGCATATGCGCTTGCGCGGTACATCTCTCGCGTCTGGATGGATCAGAGGTAGCAAGATGCAGGGCACTCACTGCCAGCATGGCGTGCAACACAGCCGGCATGGTAAACCCCACTCGAGGGACTTCGTCGCGCCAGACGGCCTGGACAATCGGTGTCCGAGTTAGTGTAAAACATGTTGAGGTCATATAATGATGAAAAAGTTCCATATCAAAAACTGGAAGACTCGATATCATGGGTGCCTGTGAAGGCATGGAAGCGATGGTACTTGGACTAGCACTATCTGGTACGTCATCCGATCTGACTGGTGCGGAGACGCTGGCATGGCTTAAATGAACCTCCTCTGCCAGGCTAGTGAAGGAGCAGGGTACTCCATGTCGCGTGCAGTTTCCACAGGATGGTTTGTGTTCGTCACACTTAAAATCGAATTAGCTGTTCTGATTGCATGAGATCGGGCATGCATCTAAAACCCACCTTGACTTTTCTCCTTTTACAAGCTAAACAGCCTGCTCTCGATTTGCGATGTGAGCGACGACCGGCGGGAGCAGATGCCATGTTTTCGAGTTTAACATTCCAAACTAACTCATACTCCACTGACAGGCACTGCTAGCCTCAGAGATGCCCAGGTGGTGAAGTGATCATCACCATGATACCCCAGAATATTAGAAGTTTAGAACCCTTGGAAGGCCCCCGAAATATTATATAAGCATCAAGGACTGGCCAATAAACTATTAACATTTGCTTTTTTTTGTTTTTCTTGCTGCCTAAATTCAAAGATGTTGAAGAGAAGTGGATTTAATCTATGGGAATATTGATCATGCGTAAGACGAGCTATGGTACATTGAGTATTAGGATAACTTCCAAGGTTAGATGTGGGGTTTTCTATTTAGCTCCGAGGCTTTGCGCCTAGGAAGCCCCCAAATTATTGGTTCTGTTTCTCAAAATCCTTTTGTTTCTCCTTTGCTTCTTCCTTGACCTTTTCTTCTTCTTTCCGAGCTTGAAGTTGTTCGCTTACTTGAACGATAGCACGCTCTGCCTCCAATGCTAACTCCGGTGCCTGGAATATTGTTGCTAGCTTCTTGGCATCAGAGAACTTCAACAGAACTCGCTCATCACTCTGTTCCATATTGTCGACCATTTGCGCATGAGGGGTATCGATTGGGGTATCATCAATGACATATGACACGCGTTTAGCGTATAGTTGTTCGAGTTCAGATAGGGAAACCGGGTTGATGAGGTTCTTTCCGACAAGGAATTCCAAGTGTTGCGAACCCTTGAGTGCTATGGAGGAGTCTCTAGTTAGCATCGCAGATCAATTTTCCAACATTATATGAGTCGCAAACTTACCCCGATAATGACAGAAAAGGCGATACATTGCATAGAAGAAAGGGATATTTGGAATCCTGCAAAAAGGCGATTATCAGTGTTTGGTCTCAATATAGGCCAGGATTCAACTTCAATCACATACACTGGAATCAAACCAAATGGCGCAAGAAACGGTGCGATAATAACACATCGCCTCGCCATCTTCTGATGAAACTGCTGGCGTTCAGTGGCTATCGTCTGCAACACACTGGGTAGTTTATCCAAGTGAACGGCATTTCCTGGGTAAAGAACGTCGATTTTCTTTGTTCCATGCGCCTCATCAATTCGCTGTTGATTCTTGAGTGGTGGAATACTTCGAAGTCCCCATTCTTCAAACGGAATACGTTGTTGGACTCGATTTCCCCATGTGACTAAATGTTTCTGCCATCCCTTCTCAGCTTCTTCCCATTTCGCCCATTGTGCCGCTACTTTGGTTGTTGCCCGATCAAAGTAAGAAAGTTCTTTGGGAATGTCTTTTAACAATGGCCGAGAATATATTAACGCGCGGCGTGTCGAAATTGGGATTAGAAAGAGTCGCATAGCAGCGGGAGGAACAAAGGCCGTTTGCGTGTGGTTCGAGTCTCGAGTCTCGAGAACAAGGGAGGCAGAACTGGAATCCTGGGGGGTTATCGCAAAAGAAGTGTAAGATAACAATAGATCAAATTTATAAAATCTTGAAAATTTTCAGATAATGATAAGCTTGCCCAGTGGAAGGTGTTGAATCCTGCACATGGAAGAAGAAAAAAGCACAGGGGGAAGGGACGTCATTCCGCGCGAACTCTTCTAATCGGCCTTCCGAGCCTTGGCCCTGATCAACAATCTTCCTTGCCAACTTCAGTTCCTGTTTCAAGATTTCCCCCCACTCTCGATTGAATTGCTTTTCTGCTCATAAGCATAATCTGGGTGAGCTCTTCTCAATTTGCCATCCAAGGTAATGCACTCCTCGAGGTGATCGTCTCCCGCCGACTCCGAATCTTGTCATTGAGATCATTGAGCTGCCCGCCATGGACGCGCGTAGCTCTACAGCTGAGGCACCGAGCCGTATCCTCGAGGAGAAATCGTCAGAAATATTGCCTGTTTTGAATGGCTCGTCAACAAGGAATCCAACACACCTTACTATAGACACAAACACAAGTGCTTTGCGTAGCAGTACCTCGAATACCCCAGCTACAGCAACCCGCACCCCCAATATACATACAGCTGAGACTGCTCAATCCCAACATTTTACGCTGCGTACTCTTCCCGGTATGATTATTGAAATGAGACTCATTCGATCAAGCTTCTTGTTTCACTAATAAAAAATTTTTCTTGATAAATAGCCTGGATCCGGTCGGTCGAGGAGCTACCTCAAGATGAAGACGAAGAAGCTGCTGTAACGGACCAGTTGCTTCCCTCCCAACCCCATGGCGCCCATGTTGCCCAGCATAATCATGCTCCTCACGATAATTCCGAGTCAAACTACTTTCAAAATGGCCGCATTGAAAACGGTCTATCGCCCACCGGTCAGCGGGAATCCCGGTGGAGGACGTTTTCTCGCACAATCCAGTATCCCCGCGAAGACGAGGGAGAACTCAAAGAAGTGTCTGCAGACTGGATGAACGAAAATATGGGAAACTACTCAGGGCCATGGCGAGGTAATGATCTAGAAGGGGACAGCCCGGAGTATCCTTTGCACAACACCACGACTAGGCGGGAAATCTGGTTCAAACGATTCCACAATCAGCTTCTCAGAAGCCCGATTGCGCCCCTCATTCTGCGACTTACAGTCTGGTTCTTCTCCCTTGCTGCGTTGGCTTTGGGTGGGTCAATCCAACATTTTTCAGATCGGGCCCACTCGCGACAGGGTCCCTCGGCTCTCATGGCGATTATCGTTGATGCGGTAGCTTTAATATACCTTGTCTATATTACATTTGACGAGTATACAGCAAAACCCTTGGGCCTGCGGTCGCCCTCAGCAAAAGCACGACTTATATTGCTTGATCTATTTTTCATCGTTTTCGACTCTGCCAACCTTAGTTTGGCATTTGATTCCTTGTCCGAGGTTACAGGAGCTTGCACTGATGCAGAGGTGAACCAGACAATTGATCCTCGGAATGAAAAAATATGCGTGCGGCAAAAAGCCCTTGCATCTGTCTTACTGGTGGCCTTACTTGCTTGGCTAATGACATTTGCAATTAGCGTTCTGAGGTAACATTGATCAACTAAACGTGGTGTATTTGCAGCTTACTAACATTGCTATAGACTTGTTGAGAGAGTGCGCCATTGAATTCCTCAATAAGAGCGCACCATTTCTTCTGTTTTAATTTCGGTCCATCTGAGTCGAGCGAAGACCGTCAACGCTAGATCGGTTTACACGTAGAGAGCAGGGCCATCGTCTCCGAACAGTGGATCCCGGTGGAACCATGTCAGATCTCAAATGGCTTGAACCTTCTTCTCCTCTCCAGCATTTCCATAGCACATATCTCACTGCTTATTATGCGGATACCAGCCAACAATTTGCAATGGTTCCTCGCCCTCATCATCCAACAGTTGATGTCCAACCCCGGCTGGTATGATGATCAAATCCCCACGCTGTACGGTTGGTTCGAAGCGTTGAGGGTTTTCTTCACCGCCAAAACACAACATTGCCCGCCCAGTCACTACAACAAGGACCTCATGGGTGGTAGAATGGAAATGAGTCTGGCTGTACATAGTATATATCCAATGGGGCTCAACTTCACCTACAGCCTGGAGACGGTGCTGAAGGTCCGCGGGTGTGGCGTCAAACGCACCATGGTAAATCATCAGCGGTTTACATTGGAGTGATGTGTTAGGGATGCGGTTCCATGATGGAATCTGGCGGTATGTAACCTGGAATTTGGTGAGCGGGTTGAAGGTCATGGTTTATTTGATGTGATCACAGTTTCACTTTCAAGTTTTCCATGATCGACAATTCCCAAGATCTGGTGACGTCATTTTGAAGTTTAGTTGGGTATCTCAATGTCTCCATGCAGTCTATGCGCCCAACGATCTTTTGAGGTCCTGGGTTTCACCTTTGGAGGTAGAATTGGGCATCTTAGGCTTGAATCATGCACAATTGGGAGCTTAGTTCCCACGCGTGCGCCAGCCACTTGGAAGAGTTTCCCTGCACATACTAGCACAACCATCTTTGTTTGTAGGAATTCGCTCTCATTATAATATTAAGTAATTTATTCCATCTTTTATAATCGCCTTTATCAAGAAGTCCTTCCACTGCTTTGTCAGAACTTGAAACACTGGCATTCATACTCAGTACAAATATCCAATCTAACCGCATGTTGCTATAAGAACTGCTCTCACCGCCTTTATAAATCCACACCGCCTAGGCTTGTACCGCCTTAGTCCCCACGTTATATCACGGATCACTCTTCTCAGCCTCAACACTGGCGATACCCTCAAACTCATATCCCTCTTTTCTGTTCTCTTGTTCCTGATATTCAGGTGGCTTTTTTCCCTTCTCTTGACCATCCCATAGCTCCAAAGACTGATCCTCTTTGCCAACCACACAAAAGCCCTCCTCTCGCACCTCACTGCGTCACTGCTCCATCGTGGCGCTAAGTGAATTCCGAGAAGTGGCAGTCATGTACGCGTCTAACTTGACTCCTTGGCAGAAATAATATTCATTTTCAAGCTCTCTTATTGACTGACAATCCTTATGATCCAGTCAACCCATATTTTTCTTATCCCGGGCCTAATCTTGGCCCCTTGACACCATGCCACCAGCGATCCCCCAAACACCTCACAAGGACGACCTGGAAGAAACGTGAGTAATGATCAATATCTCATCAATAGTTGCATCGAGTCTAAATACTGAGTATGGTGCAGTTGGTCGTTCTTGGAGAGTGGTATCAACAGCGTGATGCACAAGCTGGAGGATGGCGTGGATATGAAACATGTGAGCAAAGACTAAAATACATTCAAACTCCATATTTCAGTTGGAACGTTTGACTAATGTGTGCCACCTCTTATAGTACATGGCTCTTTACACGTTTGTTTTCACCGCCGGGCCCTGCTAATCCCCACCAACCCCGCTGACTCGTTCATTAGGGCCGTCCACAACTTTTGCACATCACAGAAAGCCGTCGTTAGTAACCAAGGCCTACAAGCCCACCGTGGAGGTTCGTCCGCGATCACGCATTCCCATCTCCAAAATGCCCAATCCCAGGAAAAAGAAAACAAATCGCTAATGCTCGGTCCCCTAACCACAGCGCACTTGCTGGGCGAGGAACTCTACAAATTACTGGGCGAATACCTTTCCCGTCACCTGGAGGAAGTTCACCAAAAGTCAACTGCGCATACAGAGGAAGCTCTTCTCGGATTCTATATTCGCGAATGGACTCGCTATACGACTGCCGCCAAGTACATCAACCATCTCTTTAGTTACCTCAACCGACACTGGGTCAAGCGCGAGATCGATGAAGGAAAGAAGAATGTGTATGATGTCTACACACTTCACCTGGTTAAGTGGAAAGATGACTTCTTTGAGCATGTGCACTCTAAGGTAATGGATTCGGTGCTGAGTTTGATTGAGAAGCAGCGAAACGGCGAAACCATCGAACAGTCCCAGATCAAGAGCATTGTCGACTCATTCGTTTCCTTGGGACTAGATGAGAATGACAGCAAAAAGTCCACCCTCGAGGTCTACCGACACTACTTCCAACAGCCGTTTATCGATGCTACCAGGAAGTACTATGAGAATGAGTCACGTCAATTCGTTGCAGAAAATAGTGTTGTGGAATACATGAAGAAGGCGGAGGCTCGTCTAGATGAGGAGAAGGCCCGTGTTGGTCTGTATCTTCACTCTGATGTCACCAAAAGCCTTACAGAGACTTGCCTGGACGTCCTCGTTACTGCTCATTCTAACCTTCTACGCGACGAATTTCAAGTCTTGCTTAATAATGAACGTCAGGAAGATCTTGCTCGCATGTACGGACTCCTGTCGCGCATCAAGGAAGGATTGGACCCATTGCGCGGTATCTTTGAGAAGCACGTCAAAAAGGCTGGTTTGGCTGCGGTCGAAAAGGTCAATTCAGAGGGCGAAAATTTCGAGCCCAAGCTTTATGTGGACGCCTTGCTCCAGGTCCACTCTCGCTATCAAAGCCTTGTCGAAGATGCATTCAACGGCGAGTCTGAATTTGTTCGATCGCTGGATAATGCTTGCCGCGAATTTGTCAACCGCAATTGCATTGCCCAGTCGAACAATACAAAGTCGCCCGAATTGCTGGCAAAATACACCGATTCGTTACTGAAGAAGGGATCCAAGGCTGCTGAGGAGTCGGAGCTCGAGGAGATGCTTGTCCAGATCATGACCGTTTTCAAGTACATCGAAGATAAGGATGTCTTCCAGAAGTTCTATTCCAAGGCTCTCGCAAAGCGTCTGGTACATGTCAGTTCTGTATCCGACGACGCAGAGACAAGCATGATCAGCAAGCTCAAGGAAGCATGTGGTTTCGAGTACACCAACAAGTTGCAGCGCATGTTCCAAGACATTCAGATTTCCAAGGATCTCAATGCCAGCTACAAAGATTGGCAAGATAAGGTTCTGGATGACGATGATCGCAAGAGAATGGCAGATGCGCACTTTCACATTTTGGGAACCGGTTTCTGGCCCCTCAACCCCCCCCTACGACTGCCTTTTCTGCGCCTCCCGAGATTCTTAAGACTGCTGAACGCTTCCAGAAGTTCTACTTTGACAAGCATAATGGCCGTAAGCTGACATGGCTGTGGCAGCTATGCAAGGGTGAAATGAAGGCAAACTACATCAAAGGTGCCAAGGTTCCTTACACATTCCAAGTTTCCACTTTCCAAATGGCCATTCTCCTGCTCTTCAACGAGGCTGAGACCATGTCCTACTCCGATATTGAAAAGGCCACCAACCTTACTCCCGAAGTTCTCGACCCCAATCTCGCTATTCTCCTGAAGGCCAAGGTGCTACTGGCAAGCCCCGAGGGTGGCAAGCCCGATCCCTCAATGTCCTTCACCCTTAACTACAACTTCAAAAGCAAGAAAGTCAAGGTCAACCTTAATATTCAGATCAAGTCTGAGCAAAAGGTAGAGACCGATGACACCCACAAGACCATTGAGGAGGATCGCAAGCTGTTGCTACAGGTATGTTTTAACACCCTTTTTCCCTCCATTTTTCATGTCGCCCAATCTAATCAATCCACCAGTCTGCTATCGTCCGTATCATGAAGTCTCGCAAGAAGATGCGGCACGTCCAGCTCGTTCAAGAAGTCATTAATCAAGTCAAGTCGCGCTTCCCGCCTCACGTCACTGATATCAAAAGGAATATCGAGGCTCTCATGGAGAAGGATTACATTGAACGTCTGGAAGGAGAAGAGATTGCTTACATCGCTTAATTCTCACTGCCCAGAATCTTCGCATCGCCTATCACCCCTCCATCAATCTCACCATCACATTTACACTTGCTTCTTCATTTTTTTTCTTTTTTTTCCCCTTAATCCATGAATCCGTTGCTAATCGCTACCTTAATACTCCATGGCGTGTTTGGTTCATCCATTCACCCATGATGAGTTTTGAGATGTCAGATTGATTGAGGGGGTGGATGGGCATGCGGTTTTGCTGAAATGCGAGGGGAGCACTGGAGCACAAGATCGACGCATTCAAGGTTGTCTTCTCTATTTTATCTTTTATTTTATGGTCCGGTCCATCTTTCATCATAGCGTCGAGACGACAGATCAATGATAACCCTGATTTAGTTTACGAGTAGTATTGCCATGAAGTTCATGGATCAAGTGCCAAGTAAACTAAGCTATTGGATTTTCGTGCAAATTCAATTGTCAAGTAGTTATCTACTAGTTAGAAAAAACCTGGATCCAAATTCAATGCAATTCAAATGCGATTATCTCTATTTTATTCTAACATGCACTCGTGATCATCCGAGATTCCAACATGAACTCAGTACAACTGGTTCCCGAGGGGTATAATCCAAAGATTAAGAAAACAAAGGAACAGAACAAGAGGGCAAAAACAATGGAATGTAAACGCAAGTAGATTGAAACTGGGGTTCAGATGAATGGGTATGCCGCTAGAATATAATGCCAACTGGAATTGGGAAAGGGAACAAAACCGAACCACAAAATATGTGAAAAGAGACATGAAGTGTTTAACTCGACTACCAGACTGAAGAGAGATTAAAACTTGGTATCTTGAACAGGTAGAGCAGTCGTCGAATCATCCGGTGTATCGGGTGAATGGAGTTCTGTCTTCTCGGTGTTTAATTGCACTCCATCATTGGAGGTGAGAGTGACAGCAGTAAACCCATCTTCATCAGCACCGGGTTTTTCGTTCTCATTATTAGAGAATATCACTTCTGATTCTACCTGCGCGGGTACAGACTCATAGGCTGGGGAGCCATGAGACAGTGGTGATTTCGGATACTGAATATCGGACCCTTCAGAGCCGTCGTCACGCTTAAACTCGCCGCTTTCCCGACGCAGGAGCATATTACTCCATCGCTTTCTGCGACTAAGGCTGCGACTCAGTCCATCAGGGTTGTCTTCGCTGCGGCGCTGCTGCATAGAGCGACGACGACCACGGTCGGACTCGACAGCTTCGCTTACTACAGGCAGGACAGGAGAAGATGGAGTTCCGGAGTTGGTGGAGTTGGGATTCGGAGATTGACTGCGTTTTTCTTGCCACTCTTTGCGCTTCTCGCTAGCCCATGAGCCCCATGAGCTGAAGTAGGCGGTGGCCTTCTGTCCTGCGACGTTGACAGAAGCCTGCGCTTGAGTGACGTCGATTGACGGTCTTTGTCGAGAGGCGAACCAACCTCCCGATGTCTCAGAGGGGGATTGTGGTGCAGCTGGTGGCGGGCAGACAGAGGAATCGATCGACGTACGCTGGGATTGAGTTGCAGCTTTCTCCTCATTACGCTTTCTTTGAGCTTCTCGCATTGACTCGATATCTGACCAGAAGCTGTTGAATGCTGCGCTGACTTTCTTTTGGCCGGTTGCCAATTGACGGCCAATGGCTTCTCGGCTCTCGCGTACTCGTTCATCCAGGTGAAGATCGGCTACTTGCTGGGACAGGCGACGCTGAATATCATCCATGGTCAGTCCACCAGCACTCGGATGCCGGGGCTCGGTGATCGAGAATAACAGGGCGTCGGAGGTGAGTCGCGAGAATAAGGCGTAGTTAGAGGATTTTTGCCAATGTGTCAGAAATTCAATATTGAAATCGATGGCAGGATCGCCCTCAATGTTGAAGTTTTGGGATTGTCCTCTGTTTCGATTTGGGGAGCCGCCCGATGTTTGAGAGGTGATTTGCTCATGATATTTCATGCTGGATAGAAGGGCGAGGAGATATTCTTCAAATTGAAGTCTGATGAACTCTTCGGAGCCCATGAAGCCAAGTGTCTTTGGGCGTGATGGATGCGCCTCATCCCAAGTCTCATTAACGATTTGAGTGAGAACGTCTATCCAACGTCTGTCAGCCACGGAGAGGGCTAGTGCTCTTTGGAGTGTTGGGTTTGAAATGCTGATACTATCTTCATCAAGCTATTATGGATAACCCATTGTTAGAAGTTTGGCGATTAATGTGGTGGGGAAATTATGCAGGCTCACGTTTATTAAAATATCGCTATACCGATCCTTTTGCTGCAAGAGCAAAGAATTCGTGGATCCCACGACATATGACTTTGTGCCATCATCGGCCAGCAAGTCTAATTGCTGTAAAGGCGTATATGGACCGAACATGCTTCCCTATGAGAGTAATCAGAATAACTAGGTTTGTAAATGTCAGGGCAAGGACTAATTCTACCTTGCCAAAGATTTGTAGAGGTAAACCCATATAGGCCAGTACTAATATCATCAGCGCGAAGTCCTTCAATCATGAGATATTCTCAAACTTACGAGATCCTCTGTCACTCGTCTTAAGAGATGTCGGCTTCTCAACGTTTTGCGCGTAGTTGTCGAAGGCCGGGTCTGCACAGTCTTGCAAATGATTGATTAAGCCAGGTATTAAGGAGATAAGTGAAAATTGAATCATGCAGAGTCGCTCGCAACGAGTGCCGAAGAAAAGCATCTGTTGAGGTAAGTCAATGACTCAGTGGCTAGGAAGTTTAATCATAATTGATTTTCTCACCTTCGGTTGCAATAGTAAACCTTTGAATAGCACCAGTGTTTGATATTTGAACTCGTGGATCATCTCTCGCAGGGAAAGGCCTTCCATTGGGTAAGCACATGTCTGAGTAGATCGTGTGAAAGACATACCCAGGTTCTGATCTTTCGATGCATCATTCAGTAAACTGATCACCAGTCCTTCTCGAAATTTCTGTTATGCAATTGAGTCTCTGTCCGTCAATTAAAAGCTGTATATGGAGTCAAACCTTCAAAATATCAATATCTGAAAAGTCCCTATCCATTTGAAAAGGTATCAGTAAGCTATTGGCTCTCACTCGAAATCCTCCACCTAACGACGGGTATAAGTTTTTCTGCATAGGAAAGTTGTACATACCGTTGCGCAAACCATGCCGAGGTCACTACCGAGAGCTTCTCGCGCAATTGTCCAACTCTTTGCGGGCTGTCCGTTACTACCACCACCGCTTTCTGTACGGTCGAGCGCGTAACGTCAGGAGGTCGATAAGTGAGGAGCTTTGCGTCAAGCTGGCGAGAACAGGAAATGCCGAAAAGAGAAGTCGCCGGCGATTCGGATGTTTCTTTGCGACGCAATGTGAAATATGAGAATTCTTCAGTCGATCTAAACCCGAGTCGGTCAGCGCATCGGTTGCGGTTGAATTGCGGGGCTGTCGAGATAGGGGAGGGAGTCGAGTCCCAAGTAGAGCAGGTTTATGGGTATTGGCACTTGTGGGAGTGCTTTTCAATGGGGTTCATACAGATGCGCGCCATCAGAAAGTGCCATAAAAGGTAGTAGAGACCAGTCATTGTCAATAGCCGGGTTTGTCCCCTCATCGCCGATGCAGTGTTCGATTTCCGGGCCTCTGTCGTTCGCATAATACCAGATTTCGATTAGTCCGGTTCTTCAAAATATACTCTATTGTAGATCAAAGTATTGCCTCTGGACAGCGCATACTACTCACCGTGCATGGTGGAAATCAATGACCAGCACAATAGGGTCTTGTTTATGCGGGAGGGCCATCAGGGAGGTCATGCGGGGGTCGAGGCCCTGCAGGATTTGGAGACAACAAATGCAAGGGTCGAAGGTTTTCTCTAGCAGAGACTCGAGGTGCTGCGATCCACAGCGCAAATAGGAAACTTGCTTGGAGTTGTTCTCACTAACAGGGGAATTGGAGGTTCGATACGGTTTATCGCTCACGTGTTGATTGTCGGCGGTGTGCGCGGATCAATACTATAGTTGGCCAAATGACTTCATCTCATTTCCAAGGTTGTCGAGGACTCAACATTCTCAAAAAATATGATAATTAACTAATTGTCGACTCTTTTCATGGTGCTTTACTCCAAACTTGGATTTCTGATGACTTTGATGGAACATCCAGTTCACAAAACGCTCAATTCATCCTATTTCGCCTCCTAAGCACCAACCCGATCTTGACGACGCCGAAGGAGCTATGGACAATGGCTTCCAAAACAAAAAGTGAAAATGAAGAATGAAATAAATGGAAACAGAAAATACTCCAATATAGGAGGGGGGGAACTCAAACGCGCCAATTCTGCATAAAAGCCCCCCAGGTATATGATTCTGGCGGTGTGCCTGTGGCAAGCAAAAAAACGAAAATGAAAAGAAGAAAAAAACAATAAATAATATCAAATCGATAGAAATGAAATTAAAAAGGAAAAGATCCCAACGCTGAGATTTTATGCGAAGCTCTGTGCTGTAGCACTTCCATGCGGCACTTGACCGGGGACAAGAGCTTGTCCTGCTTCGGTGCCCTGCTCAATGTTGTGGAAATCAAGGATCTCCGAGTACCTATATTTGCGATAAGCAAAACTGAACAGCTTATAGATCTTCACAAAAACCTACATCATGATCTTCCAGGTGTCTACCGGGAGGTCTGCATCATTGAATGACCAGTCGAACTTTTCTTGGGCAACGGGCTCGTCGGTGGGATCGTGGTAGGGGGCCAGGTACTCGTGCGCCAGCGCTTCTCCGGCTCGGATTCGCTTCTTCGGGTCGAAAACCAGCATTCGCTCTAGGAGGTCAACGGCTGCAAACGGCAAAGTTAGTTTCGATTTAAGGTGGATTTTCGGTAATCGAGTATACACTAACCATCCGCATCGGCATTTCGGAACTTGTTTGCGAGAGGTACGCGTTCGCGTTTCGGTAAGGACTTGACAAAGCGAAGAGTCTATATTCATTAGCTCTGGATACCAGGAGAAAACACAAGAGAACACGCCGAAAATGAGTTCTCGCTTTGAATTTTGCACTCACATTTTCGCTGCAGATGGTCTGAATCACATCATCTGGGGGGAGTACCCAGAAGCTCGGTGATGATCGAGAACTGATTCACATGGTCCTTTCCGGGGAAAAGAGGCTTGCCCTCCAGCATTTCGGCAAAAATGCAGCCCGCGCTCCAAATGTCTACCTCCACGTCGTACTTTTGCCAAGTAAGCATGATCTCGGGGGCTCGGTAGTACCGTGTTGAAACATAGCCAGTCATCTGCGGATCCTGGATTCGGGCCAGACCAAAGTCACAAATCTTCAGATCACAGTTCTCATTAATTAGGATGTTACTGGGCTTGAGGTCACGGTGGACCACTCCGGCAGAGTGCACATATTTCAATCCGCGCTGTCAAGAAGTCAGTGGACCCATCCGCATACTCCCAAGCAAATTTTCAAACCTACAAGAATTTGGTAGAGGAAGTACTGGATGAACTGCTTCTCCAGGGGTCGAGATGTCAAGAGGCGGTGGAGATCGGTTCCCAGGAGTTCGGTAACAAAGTAACTGTCGTCATCAGTATGGCCTCCTCTTATTTTGATACAGACTAATCCCCAATTTAAGCAAATCTGACACATACATATCCTCTAGCGGGGAAATAAAAATATCGCTCAAGCTGATGATCTGTGATGAATTGTCAGTCCCGGCGCGCGCCACAATGGTACCGAAGTGGGGGGGCGGGGTAGGCTCACGTTTTCGTGACGGAGGTGCTTCAGCAGCTTCAGTTCACGGTAGGTACGCTTTGACAGGACGGGCGTGCTGAAGGGCTTCATGATCTTTTTGACCGCTACCGGTTGACCGGTCAATTGGTCTCGCGCGGAGCTGTTTCATAGCGCATATCGTGTTAGCGGCGAGATCCGCAAAAGCGCGTAAAGAGGGTGATATCCCACCAGACCAGCCCAAAGGCGCCCATGCCCACCGGCTGCAAGTCCGTATACCTAAGAAACTTAGTCTTGATTCTCAAATTTGTCTCTGAACCCCTGAAAGCTTGAGGGATGCGCACCGGCTCGTGATCTCAAAAGTAGTACCAAAGATCTGAGATCGTACAAATTCCGCCATTTTGAGAGTGGAGGGGTCAGAAACCACACGAAGGGAGATATTCAACGAGAGGTGTAAAAGAGAAAAAAAATATTAACTTGAACTGCAAAGGTAATGAACCGGAGAGGGAAAGGGGCACGAGTGGTGGGTTGGAAAGTGATGTGGGGAAAAGGGCCCTACTGCGAAGCAGAAAACAAGGACGATGACGTTTCCTGGCGCTGGTCAAGTTTCTCGATTTGGCTGACTCAGCTGGGGGAAAATCGATCGTTTGATAGATAACTTTATATATAGATGGACTATTTTCCTGATCGGTTTTTATTATTCAATACTTCTTTATTCCCTCTTTATTATTTCCCCACCAATTATACCTAAGTATACTATTTAGAATTCTTGGTTAGATGTTTTGTGTGTAAATATGCAAAATGTGGCTCTGAAGTTCCCAGTTCCCAGTTTTTTGGCCTCCACCACGCGGCCAGGGCCAGACCGGGCCGATTGTCCGGAACTTGAAGTTTTGTTCATCCATTTGAGTGATGTCGATTACACTTGATAATGAGTATATATACTATGTATACTATACTACAATATATTAATCCTTCTACTGGCAGTTACTACACATATGGGCAGGACTTATCTCGGCCTATCAAGTATTCTATACATACTTTTTTTTCCTGCACGAAAACTGGGAAAATATCAGGATTTCAAGGTTCAGACTCGGAACTTGGATTTGAACCTTGGAAATCCCTGGGTACTAGGTGGTCATTGCCGCACTTAGCCCATCTTAGGTCTATATCGCCTGTGCACCTGCTGTGTTGTGCGGCTGCCATTCGCGGCCCCAGCCGGTATCTTCCTATCTTTTAGGCTTGGGCCTCCCATCGGAGCCTACTCCACATCATTCTGGAATCTGAATACATTACTAGTCACCGAGTACACAAGCATCCTAGTAGATTTTACATCAAGACTTGATTGACTACGATGGTTGAGATACTCCGCATTGAATGTTGAACCTTGGAAATTAAGGTATTTCATTCATGATTCCACTACTAGGACCCCACTCAACATTCAGATCGATGTAGTGTTTCACTTGTTCCGGTGGGGCTTTCCTATCTGCACATGTGAGCTCCCCGCTGCTTTTATGACCCTGAGGGCGCTCAGAGACATGCCCACCGGGTAAATTTCAGACCGCACTCAGCCCTGGAGGCTCACTGAGCTGCACCGCTTCGTCACTTAACACACCGCTACCTAAGGGGAGCTCTTTGACCAGTTGACTACATACCCGAGTGATCAACTAGAGTCTAGAGATATTCATTGAGCACTCATACCCTTATTAGTCCGAGTCCTAGTCTATACCAAAAGCAGAATTTTGATTCTAAAATGGACTACGTTTTGAAAATACCTAGGTATCAACTTGGGCAACTATTCCACAAATTGAAAATATTGAAATAGAAATTCCGACTTGTAGGTCCGAAGAGAAGAGATTAAGAGGAGGCCCAAAGGAAGAAAATTGAAGATTCCGCCTATCATCATGTGGAAATGAAAACATTAGCAGGGAAAAAATGCTCACATTAATCATGATTCTAATTCTAATTCTTAACAATTTGCGCCGGTTGAGTGAACGCCAACTTCAAGTTCCAACCCGTAGATCCTTAAAGGAAAACTTTTGATAGACACCCAGGTGCTTTGTGACACTTCAACGTTCAAACTCGCCAGCAATCTCAAACACAAGGACAGGCTCCTCCGCTAGCGCTACAGGAGCACCCTCTAAGACAGCCTTTTCAAATTTCAGTCTACATCAGAGCGATGTGTGTCGCTGGCATTTGCCGATCCTTTTGTTGATATATTAATACCTAGGTATATCCATGAGAAACTAGACATAAGAGGCGGCAATTCGATGTAGACTGATAGTTGAAAGGGCTGCCAGTGTCTTAGAGGGTGCTCCTGTAGCGCTGGCGGCGGAGCTTGTCCTTGTGTTTGAGGTTGCTGTGATTTATGTGTTTGATCTTGATTTAGGTGAAAAGCTGGGGGAACATGCATATTTTCAATCCAGCTTGCGAAGAATCCTTTCTTTATGACCAACCATCTCTTTCCTGGGATGAATGACCACTAAGCATCGTTGAATTTACAGTTATATCAAGAGAGTCTGACATAAATGACGAAAAATATTGTTTCTCCTCGTTAACGTCAAACTCATTCAGCTGGCCTGAGTCCATTGTATGCAATTATGGGGTGTAACTTCCAAGGTTGGAACATGTACCGCATGTTGATCAAGGTTCTTTCAAAGTTTGTTCTAATTGGCGAGTCGCACTTTCATATAACTCGGAGCTTCTGTTGGTATCGGAGGAGGCGACGAATTGTGTGGATGAGAGCGATCCTAGATTTTTCGCCTTATTGTTGATGGAGTTGCCATGTCCTTGGTCAATAGTATGCTGGTTGAATCTGCGTTGACTTAGCTCGGTGAGAATAACAGCAGCGCCGGGGAAGTCGTAGCTGAGTAGCTAAGCGTGAAACTGAAAGTGATGAATTCCAACAATGCTCAAGGTATTTAAGGCAATCGGGCAACGAGTCTCACAAGACGTGGGATTTTTGGGATAGTGCTCTTACGCCCAGAGTCAATAAAGAAGACGCCACATTGCTTTGAAAACTGGAAGTCGCTAGGCCCTATCGGTAAGAGGATGAAGGATACCTCAAGATGTCAATGAACTTCTTTCTTCTTTTTTCCAACCTGGAATTTCAAAGCCGCTTTATGTACGCAGCATGGCTCACAGGAGCAGACATTTCCATTCCGATGGTACGTCCATCATTCCAGTTCTCTTAGGCTGATATACAGCATGGCGAGGTGGGAAATAGTCAAATTAGACCTCATTTTGTGTTTGTGTCTGCAAACTTGATGTCTAGTCTTTTGAACCTGGTTGATTGTGGTGGAGCTTGGTTGGAGCTTAGTTACATGGGCGAGTCGCATACGGAGTACGCCTTGACACCAGGCTAGTGGTAGTTGACCAGAAAGCTTTCCTCTACTTTTCTTTCTTCAACAGGTCTCTCCGGGGATTTTCCCTTTTAAAATGTTGTGATAATACAGCTGTTTTGATTGGCGCAAAGTAGAATATTTGAAGTCCAAAATCACCACACGGTGGGCGAACTCGCGGTCAATGCCCTTCAGGCATTCTTACTGGCTTGTAGTCAGAATTATACCAACCTATGAGATTGAGAGGAATGTACATAAAATCAAGGAATCATTTCACCTTTCTCCAGGTTTAGATAGTATTAATGTTTGCTTTGATCTGCAACTACTAGGTAGTAGTTCTTCCAAGGTTCCTGATACCCAAGAACTATGGCTAGACAAACTCCCGCCTGGCTGGTGGTTTGTTTAAACAAACAAAAATGTAGTATTTTAACTCATTTTATTTTTCCCTTGAGAAATGGTAGCCACTTTGATACATCGGTATACTAATGGCTGTGTATTCAGCTATCAGTATGCCTGCGTAGTATGTTGCCCACTCAGCCTTCAAGAAATACTAGTATCCTTATTTTTTATCTAACTCTTGGAGAAACCGGAGCCGGAGAAATTTTAATTCAATAAAACATTCGAACATGTTAAATTTTCCATGCAAAACATGTCGGAGAATCCCCCAACGGGATAGGGGCTGGATTGCCTAGTTCAAGCTAGATAAGCTAATATTTTAAGTTGGTATACGGAGTAGGCAAGCATCCTATCTACCTGCCCTCCAATCAAAAATTCCAAGTTTGAGCATACAAAAGCCACAGCTATTGTCTGGGCAGGTGGTAACATTTGAAAAGTGAGAGAGTCCAGGCCTTCCAATGCTGTATCGCGTTGGCCGCGCTCTCCGCGCTCTGCGCGGACCGGACCGGTGTATACGAGTATGCCAATCCACAAGGCTACATATATGGGGTTTCTTTTCCGGTATTTAAAGTGGAGTTTGAAAGTGCAGCTTTACTCACCGTGACTGAATCACAGCATCTGATAGGCTTTCAGAGACTCCTGATTAAAAAGAAATTATCAACTACCATATCCATACTACCTGATCAGCTCCAGCTCACTAGCGTCCGATCGAAGTAGAAGTATCAATATGTAAATGTCAATATCAACTACTAGTACCAGTATGCCCGACATCTTAAATATCAGGGGCTGCTAATCCAGATGTTTCAAATGTTTGTTTGGTAGTACCTACCGGGCCCAACATGAGTACTAAATTACTAGTCTGATATTGATGTAAGAACTAGAATTAGAAATATGCCAATATTTGGATCAACATTGATTAAGGTTGATAATCTTGCCAAGCTAGATATTATGTTCAAACCCGGGCACTGGCAGGTGTAAAACACGAGTCGGGCACTGGGCACTAGCAACATATGGCGTACCTGCATAGTATGATGTGGGTAGGTATGCAACCTTCAAGTTAGGAGCAGCTGAGGCTCCAGCGCCAGCAGTCTCAAGGGCTGACCTTGGGACTTGAGTAAACCCACGGATATGATATACGTATTATTCAGTGGACTGAGAATAATAATCGATATTATGGTATTCGATCTGTTTTTACATAAAGATTGGACCGAAACAATTGATTATAGTTCAGATTGAATATTGCCCAGACATTATACTCCAAATCCCTAATACTACAATGAGCTGTGTTCGATGCACCTAGATATTTCTCTTTTTTTTCTTTTCCTTCAGCCTTGATAGTAGGTTTGTTTACCCCTCCTTTCTTTTTCTATGTGTACTTTTGCCCAGTGACTTTTGATTCACATTTTCAAGTTATTATCACTTCACTACAAGTGTCCGGTTCTTCTACCTCAAATACATTCCGCTGAATCAAGTTCTACCAATTCTGATAATAATCAGACGAATCCTTTCTTTATTTGTTGGAGATGTTTTATCCTTCTGCGTATCATCTATGACATGCCAAGAATATACAACGGTGTGAGGCACTACTAGTAGTATCACTGGCATGTCAATATGATCTTATATGATGGATAATTTGTAGGCTCTTTCTTGTAGACCTATTTGAAGGGTTTTTACCTAGGTATACTACTCTCAGTTGATAATACTCATAGTTTGCGGGGATGACAACCTACTCTACCTAAATTCCCAGCATAGCTGCAGCTGACCAAAAAAAGCAGTCTGACTAGATTTATCCTCAATCCATGATCAGTGTTACATGAAGATGTTGAGAAAATTAAGTCAAGATTATACAGAGTAGCAACTTATGTAATGATTGGCTTACATTCATGGATGGATTCAGTTCTAAGTACTCCAGGGTTTGGGGAATGCCGTGAAATCCGAGATACATAATCATACATAATGTACCAGCTGATTGCATGTGCGTCACGACTCTCCACTTAATCCGAGCTCCGGTGGGTTTCTCATACAAGCTTGCCCACGAGGGATACATCACTGAGCCTCACATGTATCTCAATGTCAACATGGTGATCATATTTTTGGAATTCATTCTGACTCAGCCTGATCTCATTCTGGCCCCGTTGATGCTACATGTGGTTGCCCCTGATACGGCCCCCAGCATTAAATGAAGTCCTTCTTGAGCGCTTAGTTCCAAGATGAAAAGAAAAGCAAAAAAATTATGGCCCCCGAATCCCTATAATTCCCCCCTCAAGTACGGAGTAAACCTCATATTAACCCAAGTAGAATAAAACCCCTCAAAAACTCTACAATTATTACAAGGTTATTATAAATTTTATTAGAAAGAGAAAAAAAAAAATAAGAAAAAAAGCGGGAAAATAAGGGTATTCAACGGTACGAAAACTCCCCCGTAATTACCGGGCGACGCTTGGGTAAGACTCACGTTTCTTTACCCCATTCCCTCCTGGCATCTCCACTCACCCCAGCATGACGATGGTCGCACTGATTTGACACCTCTTGAACCATCCAGCTCAACTCAAAGACCCTCCAGAAATACATTTCTATCTATATCAATTCTTCGCCGAGACCACCTACCCCCGATCATCCCACCGGCACTCGCTGACCCCATCTGCGAAACTTTCCGCCTGTCACAAGTTCGCTGAAACCCTTTGATCCCAACCCCCGCCTTCTCCTCCGCTCACCGAAATACGATTCCTGCGAATTTTCACTTATCGCAAGCCATCCGCTATCTCTTCCCGGACGGCACCGCTTGTTCCCTTGACTCGTTTGTGTGTGGCAGGACTTCCTCAATCGACAGGCTTCGGCCATCCCGGCTGATACCGATCGCTTTCTGCGCGCGGTGGACGGGGTCTTTGCTTCTCCTTGCTAATCTAGCATTGTGAGATCAACTCGTCACCATGGGGCAGTGTTTCAGCGGCGAGAATACGGAGGATGCGGAACAGAAGAAACGGAGTCAGATGATCGATCGAAAGCTCGAGGAGGATTCAAGGCGGTTACGCAGGGAATGCAAGATTCTCCTACTAGGTGAGTGGCCCCTTCGCACTTAGTTTGCGCTTGCGCGATGGGAGTATTTATTAATTTGTAAACCTAGGGTCTGGTGAAAGTGGAAAGTCGACGATCGTTAAACAGATGAAGATTATCCATCAAAATGGATACTCGGTTGAAGAGCTGGCCTTATATCGCTTAACCGTTTTCAAGAACCTCATCGATTGCGCCAAGGCGCTCATTGAGGGCTATCGCCTTTTCAATTTGGAGCCTTCCAGCCAGAAAGTGAAGGATTACCTCACTTACCTGGACGAGTATCATGTCGACCCCGACCCCAATACACCGTTAGATGCGAAGGTGGGCGATGCGGTGACGTATTTATGGAACGACCCTTGCACCTCTACAGTCTTGGAGCGTCAAAATGAGTTCTACTTAATGGACTCGGCCCCATAGTACGTTGGAAATTCGCCCTGGTTGATTGACCGATCCGTTAACACAAAACTAGCTTTTTCGACGAAGCCAAGCGAATAACATCCTCAGACTACACCCCCAATGTTTCAGATGTGCTTAGAGCCAGAACCAAGACCACTGGTATTTATGAAACACGCTTCACAATGGGGCAATTAAGTATACAGTATGTCAAAAATTTCTATTCCATATTGCTTCGGAATATTCACTAATTCACTCGGTAGCATGTTCGATGTCGGCGGCCAAAGGAGTGAGCGGAAGAAATGGATCCATTGCTTCGAGAACGTAACATCGATTATTTTCTGCGTTGCTTTGAGTGAATACGACCAAAATTTGCTGGAAGAAAGCAATCAGGTATGATCAAATCACTAGTACCCTCTTGTCTGCTATGCATACTTACAACCTGGCAGAATCGGATGATGGAGAGCTTGGTTCTCTTTGACTCGGTAGTCAACTCCCGATGGTTCATGCGAACAAGTATCATCCTCTTCCTCAATAAAGTCGATCTCTTCCGGCAAAAACTTCCTCGCTCGCCATTGAACAATTACTTCCCAGATTACTCTGGTGGCAATGATGTCAATCGTGCCGCCAAGTATCTTCTTTGGCGATTCAATCAAGTGAATCGAGCACACCTCAATCTCTATCCTCAGTAAGCTTGATCAGTTCTCCTGTGAAATGAAGCACCATGTCCTAACTTTTCAAACCTCAGTCTGACCCAAGCAACCGACACCACAAATATCCGACTTGTCTTTGCAGCGGTTAAAGAAACGATTCTGCAGAATGCCTTGAAGGATTCTGGTATCCTATAAACTGCTTTGTGATTATACAAACTTCAATCTCGCCACCGCCTGATATCTTCTTCTTTCAATGACCTCGCTACCTTGCCTGGCTGGGAAACCCATCATCCACCGGCTCTCCTCATTCTTCTCACCCTCTCTCTGCTTTACGGTCCCAATACCCCAAATTTGACCATTGATTTCTTCGTTCTTGACTTCGGACCAGCTCTAGGCGTTCACGGTGCTTTTCACCTTGGATAATATTTCTGGCGCTGGTTATGTGATACCCCCAATTTGGTATCTACAAAGTCCCTTTTCCCCGAGAATGGTCTCGGGTGACGATTGGGCATGGCTCTGTGCTGCCTATGTTTCCTCTCTTTATTCAATCTTCATTTGCTATATCTTCAAATACCTTTCGCTCTTGAAACGAGGAACCTCTTTTCTTCTCAATCTCTCAATCTCTCCATCCTCTACCCCTCCTCAAAAGTCGATGGCTTCCGCCCTCGAGTGTATGTCACTACTATTGCTTCCCCTTGATCCTGGCTTTCTTTTTCGTTGGTTTGTAAATTGTGTCACTATTCAGATCCAGACTTCGGATTTTACAACCTTTTTTTTTCAGCCTGTCTGATGCATAGTACGGCGGATTGACCTATCGTGTTTTTATTTTCCAGCCATGTTCTTTTGATCTTGCCTTTTTCTATGGGCCTTCTTCAATGCGTTGCAACAGCGCCTCGAGCGATTTGATGCATCTGATGTTTTATTTATCTGAGATTTATGTACTCCGGTTCTCCAGCGACTAGCTCATTAACCGATTTTCATGACCTATATAATTCTTCTCGCGTAGGTGCACATGTGTTATACTATAGTCGATTTAAAATTGAAACCCAGAAGTGGACATGATTGTCAAGTTGAAACACCATTGAAATGATATTCAAGTTTGCTATTTTCAGTTCCTTCTATTGGTAACTCTCTCATTCACAAGCATATTAACTCGCCCTTGATCCTGGGTCCCCTTCCTCTTCTGACAACATCGTGGCACAGCGAGTACTTTCTCGCCAATGTACTCAGCCGGATCAACAGGAAATAAATGCCATGCGTTTGCATCAACACCACCATCATTCTCAACCTCAGTGATATTGATTTGTAAAACCTCGGGATTGGTATCATTATCTGGGACGAGATGGTCGAATGTTACACCGTAATAGTCCATCGGTCTAATTATGAACGCAATTAGCTATAGAGATCATGGTATAGCTGAGCTAGATGTCCTTTTAGGATATCGACGCAAACTTACGCCTCAGGAGGGGGTTTCTTATCTATCCAACTCAAAAATTCATGCCGTACGACCATATCATCTACCAGATCTAGACGAAAATCCCGTCCATATAGAGCTTAGAAAGTCAATCGTGCTAGCTCTGGACCTGCTTGCTGGGGAAATTTCCGTTCTTCAGAATGTCGGGGCTCCAAGTTCCAGGTCGTATGAGGGGAAAGCCTTTTGATGGCCACTATGGGGCCTTCAATTGAAATTCTGAGAGGCTGATCGGATGGTGGATTGTGTTGCTGGGTGGCTGGAGTGTGAATACAGGGCGGGATAAAAAGTTCCAGTGGAAGTGCCATTAGACAAGGTGGATAGTCGATATCCTGTCGGACTAGAGGTATTTCAAAACAACCTTGAAATTAGTTTGGAGAGAATATCTGACTGAATTCTAAAGAATGGGAATTATTATCTTGACCGTGACTTTGCTAGTAGTGATGGCAGCCTGGAGGCGCAGAACGCGGGGCAAGGATAGCCTCTGTGACCTGTCTACTATCACATGACTTGAATAAAGTGATTTTGTATAAAACCAAGATGATATTCGTGAGAATTTAAATCGATGAAAATGAGGGTCAATACATTGTGTTAAAGCTTTCGAATTTAGGTACGATTTGGACCCTCCGGTGGTCAGCCTGGGCTACTAGTGCCAGGTACACTCAAAGAGCTGGGCTGGTGTAGGGACTTCTAGAATAAAATGTTTTGAAGTAGCTGAATAAGAGAGAGAGAGAAAATGACATTAGTATATCTCATTGAAAGGTTCAAATCATTTATGAGGCTCTCCAATCTCCGAGTACCATCTCTTCTCTTACGTTATGGATTCCTCCAGGTGGATCATCATCCTTTGGGGTCAAGCTGGTTTGGACCCATATTGGTCTCGGCCCTTGGCAGGAATAGAAGTCCGTGTATTTAGATTTCAAGAGACTCAATCAGATCAACGAGGAAAGGAATTCAACATTGGCTCGAATCAAGGGGTAGATATGTGATGGTGTCATTCTGGGATTTTGCAACGACGTCAAGGCATCGAAGAGCTTAATGCCATTCAAACTTGAACTTGAATGTTCATAATTGATGGTAATTTCCAAGGTATTTCCCTATAATCCTGAGTAGATATTCAAATCAATATTGCATGGACTGATATCTGTCATGAATCAGGTTTCTCGCGTATCAATGGGCCCATTGATTCCGTTCTACCGGATTCAGATGATATCAACTCCTTCCATGGAACCAAATGATCATGATCTCGGATAAAATGATAAAATGATAACAGAAATAAGATCAATTGATAGTGCCTTAATTGATACCAGGTTACAACCGATAAGTCCCCGGATCCACCTGCATGAACATGAATTGATCGACGCATTTGATAGACTGCGGAGATGATCGGTATCCAACCCCCGATCCTCGCCCCACTGGGATTCCGGCATACGCCATGCAGGATGGATGATCTAATTCAAGTTATTAGAGGTGGCATGATGCGGGGATTCTTACCTTTATACATTCAAACGACAAACTTCGGACCGAGTCTATCCTAATAATGCATTAAAATGAGTGGAAAGCAAGGAAAAGATGCAACACAGACCACGTCGTATATAGGCTCGAGCCCTCCCGATAAGATCCAGACCGTTGTTGGATTGATCCACTTGAGCTTTATCCGTGGTTTCCTTCTATATCTGACGTATGAGATGAAGGAAAGAACAGAAAACGTGCATGGGACCACCTGGGCACATAATTAGTAGTATGCACATGTGCATATGTGTAGGCATAAAACCTTGGAAGGTGCCCTGTATATAGTACAGTAAGTAAGTACCTGAACCCGCATTGGGCAATCATCGCTCGGACGACTTTTGGTGTGCTGCAACTTCCCCTCTCAAAAAACCCAGATCGTGTTACCTTACTTCTCCCCTCTTTCTCTTTTTCTCCTCTTTTTTTCTTCTCTCTTAAGCTTCTTCCAACTGACTTGATCTTCTGACATTTTTGTACTTCATTCCTCATTATGTCTGCCAGTGCTTCTGCTCCTGCTGAACCACGCCGTGAACGTCGCCCTTCTGTTGGCGCACCCATTGCGGATCTTCAAGGTCCAGTGGGACCGGGATTTAGCCGCCCGAAGCATAAGCGGACATTTACTGGGTTTGGAGCTTCGGAGATTAAGAGCGTTGAAGCTAGTATCCCAGAACCCCTGCGAGAGGCGTGAGTTTTGTCTTTCCAGTCACCATGAGGTTATAGAAAACTGACTGATGAGGTATTGAAGATGGCGCAATCATGTAAGATTGAACTAGGAAAACTCAATCCAGTGTCAATCTGAGCTCACATTTCATTTTCACAGTCCGCTTCGGAGTTCAAGACTAAGGAGGAATTCGAGGTAAGTTCCAACCCAGAGAACTGTATGCAACATACCTGGCTGACTTATATTTCCTTTATAGAAAGAACTCGTCCGCCACATCGAAACCACATTGGCTCGATCTCTTTACAATTGTGACGAACAGTGTGTATCCATTGTGGTTCAAATTTTACCTTTGAACAACAAGTGCTGACATCTCTAGTGCGGCTTATTCCGGTACAGCTCTTGCGTTCAGAGACCGATTGATCATCGAATGGAACAAGACACAGCAGCGTCAGACTTTAACCGACCAGAAGAGGGTCTACTGTAAGCTCCAACTCTTCTCGGAGCTAGTGGCTCGTCTCAATGAACTAACGTCTGTTAGATCTGTCTCTCGAATTTTTGATGGGTCGTGCTCTGGACAATGCGATGCTTAATGTGGGACAGAAAGACTCTGCTCGAGGTTGGTGACACCAGACACATATCCTTTCCAATTCGAGTCACTCACAATTCGACAGAGGGACTGAAGGACCTTGGTTTCCGTATTGAGGACGTCATTAATCAAGAACATGATGCTGCTCTCGGAAATGGTGGTCTTGGACGTCTCGCAGCTTGCTTTTTGGACAGCATGGCGACCCTTAACTATCCAGCCTGGGGGTACGGCTTGCGATACCGCTATGGAATCTTTAAACAAGAAATTGTTGATGGATACCAGGTAGAAATCCCCGACTACTGGCTTGATAATAACCCTTGGGAATTCCCGCGGCACGAAATCACGGTCGACATTCAATTCTATGGTCGTGTGAACAATATTCAAGATGCGAATGGTAAGATCGTGCACTCCTGGGAAGGCGGCGAAATCGTCCAGGCTGTCGCCTACGATGTGCCGATCCCTGGGTTCGGTACCAAGACAACAAATAACCTGCGACTCTGGTCGAGTAAGGCCAGCAGTGGAGAATTTGATTTCCAGAAATTTAATGCCGGTGACTATGAAAGTGCTGTGGCGGACCAACAGCGGGCAGAGACCATCTCGGCTGTCTTGTACCCCAACGATAATCTGGAGCGAGGTAAAGAGCTCCGCTTGAAGCAACAATACTTCTGGTGCGCTGCTTCTTTGCATGACATTGTTCGGCGATTCAAGAAAACCAATCGAGCATGGAGCGAATTCCCCGACCAGGTCGCTATCCAGCTCAATGACACTCACCCCACTCTGGCTATCGTTGAGCTTCAACGCATCTTGATTGATCTTGAAGGCCTCGAATGGGACGAGGCTTGGAACATTGTGACCAAAACCTTTGGATACACCAACCACACTGTGCTTCCGGAGGCTCTGGAGAAATGGTCTGTTCCTCTGGTTCAGAACCTGCTCCCGCGACACCTGCAGATCATCTATGACATAAATCTCTACTTTTTACAGTCCGTTGAGAAGAAGTTCCCCAATGACCGTGAGATCCTATCGCGTGTCTCCATCATTGAAGAGTCGCACCCCCAAATGGTGCGGATGGCTTATTTGGCGATCATTGGATCCCACAAAGTCAACGGTGTCGCCGAGCTGCACTCCGATCTCCTCAAGTCAACTCTGTTCAAGGACTTCGTCGCTATTTATGGCCCAGATCGTTTCATGAATGTGACAAACGGTGTCACTCCCCGGCGTTGGCTGCACCAAGCCAACCCTGCTCTCTCAGCTTTGATCGCAAAGAAGCTTGGTGGCCATGAGTTCTTGACCGATCTCACTCTGCTGGACAACTTGGAGAGCTTTGTGGATGACAAGGAGTTCCGCGCAGAATGGTCCAACATTAAGACGCAAAACAAGATTCGCCTGGCCAATTTCATTCAGCAGACTACTGGATACAAGGTCAACCCAACTTCTCTGTTTGATGTACAGGTCAAGCGTATCCACGAGTACAAGCGCCAGCAGCTCAACATCTTTGGAGTCATTCACCGGTATCTGACTCTGAAGGCGATGTCCGCGGAAGAGAGGAAGAAGGTGGTGCCTCGTGTCTCCATCATTGGTGGCAAGGCTGCTCCTGGCTACTGGATGGCTAAGACCATCATTCATTTGATCAACAAGGTCTCCACGGTGGTGAATCAAGACGCTGATATTGGTGACCTCTTGAAGGTGATCTTCATTGAGGACTACAATGTCAGCAAGGCAGAAATCATCTGCCCCGCCTCTGATATCAGTGAACATATCTCCACTGCTGGTACGGAGGGCAGTGGTACCAGTAACATGAAGTTTGTGATGAACGGAGGCCTGATCATTGGCACTTGTGACGGAGCCAACGTGAGTTTTCTTTAGACAAGAATATTTAGGCACCGATGGAAAAAGCTAATCTATTTTTGCACCCATAGATTGAAATCACACGCGAAATCGGCGAGCAGAATATCTTCCTCTTCGGAAACCTGGCTGAAGATGTTGAGGACCTTCGTCATCGTCACTTCTATGGCGATTTCCAGGTTGATCCTCACCTTGCTAAGGTGTTTGAGGCCATCAAGGGCGGTATGTTCGGCGATGCTAAGAACTTTGAAGCTCTCATCTCGTCCATTGTTGAGCATGGTGATTACTATCTTGTCTCTGATGACTTCAACTCGTACATCACTACCCACGGGATGGTTGACGAAGCATTCAAGAATCAAGATGAGTGGCTTGCGAAGTCCATTACCAGCGTCGCCCGCATGGGATTCTTCTCTACTGACCGCGTTATTAACGAGTATGCGGACAGTATCTGGAATGTTGAGCCTCTTAACGTCAAAGAATAAGCTCGATCAGCTTTTTTTTCTTCTAGTTTCTTAATGTTTCTGTTTTCTCATTCGTGTAATCACATTCCTTGCATTGCAGACTCGGAGAAATTTTTAAACAGCCATTCATTTATCAATGAAGTCTTATTTTGATCCCTTGGAATACTGCAAGTTTTCTGTCCATCTGGGCACTAGTAGTGGTATGTAACTTATAATAAATGCTTTTGGAAATTATACGTAGTATTTCTATTGTAAAACGTTAAAAAAACGATGACTGGGATACATCTATCACTCCAACACCATCCCATGCACAATCATGATCGCAAAAGTCAACTTGAATCCAAACAGAAGCCATAAATCATGAAAGCCTCCAAATAAGAAAATCTTTCCACGGAACAAACTTGAACGTATTAAGCTGCGACAGTCTCTTCACGCTCCTGGATGGTACTAGGCCTCTCCTCCGAGAAAGTCTCAGGCCAAAGAAACATCTTCTCCTCCCTGGAAGGTGTAGCAGCAGCCATAAGCGTCGGCACAGCCTCCTTACTAGAAATGCGTCTCCAAAGGTTCGCACGCGGATTATACCTAACAGGTTTACCAACACCGCCAGTCTTAGCCTGGTCCTCAGCACTAAGTTTCTGAATCTCAGCCTTAATATCCGAAAAGGTATCAAAAGGCGTATACGCAATGCCATGTTCGATACAATATTCCTCCAATCGAAGACCACGACGCGCAAATAGTACATCTGCTTCGCGCGCAGCTGGTAAATCCGAGACTCCGTCACCAATAAAAACGATTGAGGGCATTTCATCTGGAAGACATTCTGCTTGTGCGGCGACGCGGGCTTCGTTCACAGATAAGGCTTTGTCGTGTCCTAGTTCTGTGTCGTGACGCCAGATAGGTTTCCAGGAACCGTCGTCTTTGATAGTTGCGTCATTGGCGACGATATCGATTGAGGAGGACTGGAAATCCATATTGTTAGTCGACTTGGAGGGAAATAATGAGTCAATTTTCAAGTTGGGATCATACAGCTGCTTCTCCAAGGAATGTATCAAGTACACGACGAAGAACGGGTCTTAGTCCTGCACTGATAACATTGAATGGGAATCCATTCGCAATACAATATTGATGGAACTCGCTGAATCCAGGATCGATTTCTAGGGTCTTTTCCATAACGATGAAACCATCGTCAAATGGGATGTTTAGGGATCCCCACATCTCCTCGGAGACTTCGCGAAAAGATCGCTCGCCATTTTTGATCTGTTCGTCTAGTTTTGTACGGGCTTCTTCGCCGCAACCGTGATTATCGAAGAGGATGTGGCCTGTATCTTGCATGAAGATTGTGCCATCGAAGTCTATGTAGGAATTAGGTTAATAGGAATTAGATATGGGTTCAAATGATGTAGGCATGGGTTATTCATACCAGAAAAGATAATAATCTTTCTCTTTTGTGATGTGAAAATAGTAGCCTCATTGGGCTTGAAGTTCGAGTTGGTCATTTTCAAGATATAGCTGATCTCTTTCCTGGACTCGGAGTAAAGGGTAAAAATAAAGACGAAAAGGAATAAAAGGATGAATAAAGGGAAAGAAGTGATCATTTAACAAGGTTATAGAATTCACTATATCTATAAGAGACCTGGTTTTGTGGCAAATCCAGAATCCAGATCAAGATCAAGAGTATGACGTAGAAGAGAATTCGATATCATAGTGGGTCGAAGCCATAGAGTGGACACGATATCAACAACGTAGGATATGGATGAACTACCGGATAAGTATGATATTATTGGTTGAATTGGACCGGGAAACCGTGAGGCTTTATGATCCAGACCCGAAAATGAACAAAATTGGTTTCCGAAGCCGAAGAAACATGAAGATTGGTGGATTCTGCTGCCAGAAGTGGAGAATGTGGTCATAGGGCTTTTTACATGTCGTGTTAACTATAGAAATACTCAGTAGTTAACTGTTGGTTAAATTTGGAACTAAATAGAACAAATATTATTTAATTCTATTTAATTCTTTGTCTAAATGATCCATTTATGCTATAATGCTAGCCCCAACTTCATTGATTCTTATATTCTGAACTTCTGTGTCTTTGTTCTATGGATGAGACATACTTAGTACTATAGGTTCAACCTTGTTCATGTTCAAATGTTATACTAGTACAGGAACTCCGGTATATTCTCTTTATAACGACTGATGGTACGAGTTTTGTATAGTAAATAGAAATCAAAACATTCATTGGGACAAATATTCAAGTAATATCATGACTGAAGAGCCAATGGAGATAGGGCATGTACTTCACCATCATGGTAAATCGCCATGATCAGCCCTGATTGATAAACCAGGCTGCAATGAGGTGTCACTGTGGTGAACTCAGCCGCGATGAGGCACCGCTGTGATAAACCCGGCCGCAGTGATAAACCAAGCCGCGATGAGGCACCGCTGTTGTAAACCAAGCCGCCGAGCCACCATGGTGAAGGCGCCGTTGCCTTGCTGTGATCCTCATTAAAATGGTTTTCCTTCACTCTCTCTGTAAACATCCTGTCCTCATCCACCTTCAATCCCCTCGCTACCCACAACCATCACATCTACTGAAAACCATCATATCTACTGACAATCATCATGGAGACCAATCTCATTGTTGAAGATATCCGCCTTGTTCAAGGACAGCTTTGGCTCAGCAAAATGAAGGAGGTCTATAAGGTAGACCAAATTTGCCCATGGATCTCGTCTTTCCACCCCAACAAGCTTCCTTGCAAGATAATGGGCAAGAAGATTTACCGTGGATCATTCAACTGGGGAATGAAAGTAGTCTTCTCCGATGGAACCGCATGGCTAGTTCGATTTCCTCGCGGTGGCCGCATATCCCAAGACGTCATCGATGAGAAGGTCGCGATGGAAGTGACAACCCTGAGATTGCTTCGCAGTCAGACCACCATCCCCGTCCCGACTGTTCATGCCTGGGGCCTTTCTGCAAGGAACCCGCTTGGTACAGGTCCGTTTATCATGATGGACTTCATTGAGGGCAAGAGCCTCCTCGACATCTTGATCGATCAAGACGATGAACATCCGACCCGATTGATGCGAGAGGACATTAGCCGTGATGATGTCAAAAAGATCTACCGACAAATGGCCAACTTCATGTTGCAGATGTATCAAATCGATTTCGACAGAATTGGCAGTCTGCCCTGGCCGGAAAATGAAGGAACGAGCTTGCCACGACCTCTCACATTCAAAGCCCATGAGATTGGAGCCACAGGAGGCGTGGACGTATTTGGTAAGCATTCAGATACCCTGTTAAATCCCTGATGTCGGGGTGTGAGCAATCGTTAACTGATAGAACCTTATACAGGCGACCGAACCAAGGGATTCGAGACCACAGACGAATACCTCAAGCATCTCGCCGAAGAAAATTGGGAGCAGCTCCGCAGGCAGCCAAACTCCGTCGCCAACAGACACCACGCCGAAAAGCAGTATCGGGCCTGCCAAATGATCAAAGGGCTGGTAGAGACCGGGGATTTCACCAACCAGAAGTACAACACGGGAAAGTTCAAGTTGATCTGCGACGATCTAGGATTGGCAAACCTGATCGTCCGCAGTGAGACAGACTTGACCGTTGTCGGGGTGATCGACCTTGAATGGTCATACGCCGGCCCTGCCCAGATCGCTGGCTCGGCACCATACTGGCTCCTTCAGGATCGACCTACCAACGGCGATTGGGATTATGAGGACGGTCAACCATCCCGAGCCGCCAATCGATACTTCGATCACCTCGACCTTTACCTGGACATCCTAAAGGAAGAGGAAGCCAAGGTCCCGGAATACGGACATGAGCTCTCCGATATGATCCAATGGTCCCAGAAATCTGGGGCCATGTGGCTTCATATGCTTCTTGCGGTTGGTTTCGGCCACGATGGCACCCAAACTTTTCCTTTCGCCAAGTTACGTCAGCATGTTGGAGAAACTCAGTGGGCAAGGCGAGAGCAAGAGTTCAAAGGGCCCATGATGGCAGCCTTTGGGGCATGGAAAGAGAATGAAGTGAGGCGATACAATGGTGACTTGTGGGAGATGAGAAAGAGCATGGAGAAGGTGGAGCGGAAGGAAATGACCAGCCAGGAATTTCTGGATTGGGCTTTCGACATGCATAGGGAGAAGGGATATTGGCTCCCAAGCTAAAATGGGGAGTCTAGGATTGCCTGGATAGGTCAATACATCCAGATGTGGTTGAATTATCTACCAAGAGAAAAGATTAACTTGCTGAGTTACTAACAAAGAGGCCCTAATGCTCTAGTCTAGACTGCTGTTAACTCTGCAACGCGGCGCTGTAATTCTGGAACCGCTCGTAGCTGTAAGTCGAGCTCTTCCTTCTCACTATAAAGCAGTTAGTAAATAAACGACAGCAGCGATAGTGAACTAGAGAAAGCTTACTCTTCCAACTTTATTCTGCGTTCCCAATCCAGCCCTGTGAAGATGTAACTTCCTTGACCATCAAACTGCAAAATCTTCTTGTGGTACTTCCACAGACTGCGACGGTGTGAGACTGTCATCAGGGTGATACCCAGCTTCTTAGCTGTCTCATACATGACCTTTTCGATCTCCAGAGTAACGGATGATGTGCACTCATCGAGGATGGCGAACTTTGGACGATGATAGAATAGTCTGGCCATGGCAATGCGCTGCTGCAGACCACCTGACAAAACGTCACGCCATTCTTCCTCGGCATCCCATCCATCAGGACGATCAACAACCGATGCAATTTCAACCACGGAGAGAACATCGTAGAGATCTGCATCGGTAATGCCCTTGGCACGCATCTCACGTACACCATCTGGGTAGATGACTTGCTGGCGAAGCGTACCACGGGACAGGTACGGACGCTGTGGGATATAGAAGATGTCCTGGAATGGGGGTTTCTTCACCGATCCTCCGTATACAGGCCAGAGTCCACCCAAAATCCGGAATAACGATGATTTACCGCACCCATTGGGTCCAACTATCAAAAGGTGGTCGCCCGGGTGAACAGTGAAAGACAATTTACGCACCAGGACATCTCCGTTGGGCGAAACGATTGGTACATCTGTGAACTCGATCGAATCACTCTCTGTTATCTCACCACGACCAGAAAGAACTGCTGCATTCTCCTCCGTTGATGCAGATGATACCAATTTCTTCTCGAAATGTCCTGCGACTAGATCGTCCATCACCTCCAACAGGGATGAAACTCGAGAAGTGAATCCTGCCAGTTCGGAGATCTCCTTGTAAGAGAACATGAGACGGCCAAAGGCATCGGATGAGGATAACAACATCCGTCGGTTGGTGACGAAGTCTACCAACAAAAATTAGATCATTTATCTCACTGGTATCTGAATGGATGCAGACTTACTTTCAGTGCGGTCGCCCATGGTTTCAGTGATCTGACCCGGGATCTTAAAGAAGACAGGCACACTGCAAAGAATCAAACCAAGGGCACCCCAGAAGTACTTAATCACGAAGTCCTCCATAAACCCGTGGTACAAGCGCCGGCGCAAAATGCGATTCACGTGCTTAATCAGGGTGAAATACCCCTTGTCGAGGGTATCTTTCTCTGCCTCGTGGCCATGATAGAGAGCAACCTCTTCGCTGTAGTCAATAAGTCTAGAGTGAAGGAAACGGAACTCGCCTTCAAGTCGAGCCTCGTCTGCAACATACTTGCCGAACGGCGGTGTCAACATGCGCATGACGTTGGCAGATATCTGCACTAGTAAACTCATAATAAAGAGACCCTCGCCTCCTACATTCTTCGAGAGTGAGTAATTGTAGATAGCCATATCCAGTATTGGCTTCGCAAGATTAGAGTACAGCTCTGCCAGGCTGTCGGAGAAACGAGAAACATCCACTGTGACCAGCTGGTCGGGATTCTTAACTCGATCATCCAGGGCGGAGATGGCATAAAAGGTCATATTTGATAGGTATTTCTCATGAATGTAGTCAGTCAAGCGTTTGCGGTAGCTGAGAGCAAGTCGGCATTGGTGGTAGGAGAGCTATAAGGACGATAGCATTAGCACGATGGTAATAACACCTAGCTTTTTTCCTCGGTCGCATGGACAGCGACTACAAAAAAAATAAACTCCCTCATAATGTATAGTAGACATACCATGGAATTTGTGAATGTTGCCGGAACCGCCACAATCATCCACCACACAAGACCGAGCAAGAAGTCCTTTCCCTTTCCCCGCACGAGGTTACTGACGAGCCGGCCGTCAAGCTCCGCAACATACAAGCTAAGGAGTGTCCGCAGCACAAGAAAGACACTATGGCTCATCAGGAGTCTTAGTTCTTTGCTACGCCATCCCGGGATGACAATCCGCAGGAGACGAAGCAAGTTCTTAAAGAACTCCCGATTGATCTCCACGCGCTTCTTGCGTGGCTGTTGCTCGTCATCGCCTAGACTACTTGTACCCGGGCGTCTTCGCAGCTCCACTTGTTGTGAAGCTGCTTTCTGTTCAGAGATAGCATTATGGATTCGTTTTGTGAGAGCTGCAAAGAGAGCAACATATACACCGCGCGATATGCGAGTACGATGTCGGAGGTATAGGGAGGTAAGACTGGAGAGGATCTGCTTGATGGAGCGGTCGGGTGGAAGTAACTTAGAGTAAGCAGCCATGATGATAGCAATAAATCAGCCAGAATCGGGGACGAGCATGGCCAGATTATGGATTCGATGGGGAAGATGCGTAGTATTGAAAGGCATGAACAAGGTGAAGGGGAGAATGACGGGATCTCCCTTTACATGTGATACCCCGGACTTGTGGGGAAATTGTTCAGCCGTGAGAGCAACCTCGGAAGGACTAACCCACCTGCAGGCGGGCAGATACCTACGCTACGTAAGGGATAGCAGCCATTCAGACACTGTGCACAGGTTGCGCACCGGTTTTTGGTACATATTTGTGTAGGGCTGTATAGGTTATTTTTGGCCCGCTGATCACTAACAGCCCGGATGGTCTAGTGGTATGATTCGCGCTTAGGGTTCACCCAAAGCACAATTGCGCGAGGTCCCCGGTTCGATCCCGGGTTCGGGCCTGTATCTTGTTTTTTATACATATTAGTATATATATATTTATTTTATTTTTGTCTATATATTTAATTTAAGTCTTAGTATATATATATATTTTTATTATTCAATATTATTATCAACAACTACTTCCCTTAATATTACTTCAGTAGAACCAATGTTGAACTTTACACCCGAGAGCCTTAGAGCCTTAGCCCCGGGCCTTCAGTTCCAGGTGTCACAGGCTGAATCCCTGAAAGAGCACAGGCCTTGCCTGTACACAGCTCAACCATCCACGTAACCCGTAACATTCCTCCTCTTCCTTGACGAATCGTGCCCGAAGTCTACTTCTTCTCCTTAAGCTTCTTTTTGTACACAGTTCGTGGTCCGAGTAGATTGAATCAAATCCGCTTCTGCCCTTCACACAGGGACCTCCACACAGCCACACACATACAGTATTCCATCCCCGAGCAGGTTACATATGTCGCCCTTTTTCTTTCCCTGAATACGACAGCAACCCTCATCAAGATCACCGGCCCCCAGGTAGGTAGAACCTTACTGTCACTGGCAGGGTAGCCCCGAACTTGCTTTGTTTTTCGGCTGAAAAACCTTTGTTCTGCGCACACCGCCCTGACCTGATATATGTGTTCTTCCGTGTGATATTCTCTTCTTCTTCTTCTTCTTCAAGCTTTATTATAGACTGTATGTTAGCCTAGCATGTTCTGAACTTATATAAGTCCTTCAAAGGGACCACCCCACTATAGCTACTATGACACAACGCGAAAGGCATACAGTAACTTGAATCTAAAATAAAAACAAAGGCCCAATGCCACGCCTGATGCGTGAGTGAAGCCAGAAGCCAGAGTAAGACGCTAGATACTAAGAGTGAGAACACCAGATACAGAGTGCAAGACGCCAGATGCCAAGAGCGAAATGCCAGATACCAGATACCAGCTATCAGCTATCAGATGCAAGATGCAAGATGCCGGCGCCTACATATCCGAAAAAGAAAAAGATAAAAATAACAACCACTTTACCTACCGACATCACGTAACACGGCGAACAATCTTACTGGTTACGATAAACTGTGAATTAGGGCCTTGGATTGAGAGTGTCGAAGGGTGTGCGAGGATGTATAGGGTGTGCGTATGTGGTATGTGGTATCTAAGATGGACCGTGACAACTTGTACCTAGTTACCAATTGGATAGTTAGTTGAATCTACATGCACAGGGTAGTGTGACTAGAGATGAGAACCACTTTGGAATTGCTGTGTGTGCATGCTAGTATCGAACTGTAGGACTGTAGGTCCGAGAGGCCTTACTTAGATCCTTAGCCCTGCACATACACCTTCCTTTACCTCTCCACACAGCCACTCAGTAGCACCTGTGGACTTCTATCCCCCAACAACTAATAAACCTTTACCAAATAGTAATATTTGATCAGAATGTCAATTTTGGCGCTTATTGACATGAATGGCCCGGATGGTCTAGTGGTATGATTCGCGCTTAGGGTTCACCCAAAGCATAATTGCGCGAGGTCCCCGGTTCGATCCCGGGTTCGGGCCTGTACCTTGTATATTTCTTTTTTTTTTTCCATTCCTTACTAACTCTTCTGACCAGTAGGTAGTTTAAGTCTTTCAAGGGGGGGTAGGGGGAGGGGGGGTTTTTTCCCCCGTATTTTTTCGTATTTTTCAACCCAATCACTCCTTTCAGTGTTGTCTTCAATAAAGGTCGATATTAGGATCCCTGTGAAGGTCATTCCACTATCACATTATACATCCTTTTTACGCAGTCATGGACTTACGCATATGTTGCTGTCTAGGACATTTTCCATTCTTACCAAGGAGAAACCATCATATCTCGACACATAAGCTAACTAGGTATGTCATTCTATTTATAATGATTCAATGTAATGGGAGGTGGTGGGAAAGTCCGTTGGCACCGTCTCTAGGTATTCCTCTAGCCTATAAAGGACCACCAAGCTTCTAGTATTCCCTGTCATTCTATCTGCTGTACTATCACATACTATGTTTCATCCGTGAATAAAATATCCATTTCTACACATTCGAGCTGGTCAACTGGTGTTGTAACGCCTGCGAGATTTCCTCCTGTAGCCATGCTACCGCTGTCAACAACGGGTGATTCCAGGTTTTTCCTTTTTGTAACTTCCAAGGTTGAATTTACCAGAATATGGCCTATCTCGGGCTTCATATATAGGTATCGATTGACTCTGTAAGATCATTCTCAACTAGTGTGATCTTCATTTTCACTGACTTAAAATACGTCTGGATTTGGTTTTTGCATTCCTCTCACTTCTAGTATTGCTTTATTCTAAGGTCTCAATTACCTCCAAAGGCACTCTCACTTGTTTCAACCAATCAATGAAAATCCAGAACGGGAGGATCCGAGTGTTCCTTATGTGTGGACGGGCAGTGCGGGATCTCATGGGCTTGTTTTACTCAATCAAACCGAGGATACATGACTTACTCTGAAGGCTGGGAATTTTCCTACGTTTCTTGGCATCGAAACCAAAAGCTTAAACAGATGTTTTATGTGCCCATACCTAATCCATTTAAGGCGATCTTACTTCGAGACTGGCGTAAGCCAAATATCTGAGGCCCTTCATTTAACAGCAGCCATCACCAAGACTATTGGCATTCACCTATATGCCGGTGATAACGGATGTGTTCTCATATAGGTCATCCGGAATTACATAGACGAAGAAAAAGGGCCCAGGGAATACTCATCACCTGGGCACTCAAAAGCCTCCACCCAATGATTCGTCTTTGGCAGACACGCAGGGGGTTTGTGAGAGATGAAAACATTTCCCTCTTATAGGAAAAATGGGGCGGAACGCTTGATAAAGCAATCCTTCGCTTGATGCATGTAGCACCACGCCATATTCAAGGCGCCCCTACAACGCCTTCCACAGGCTTATTCCATATATCAAAAAGGAAACATGCCCCAATGCTCAAATTCGATAAAGTTTAGCTTGAAGACATTCGATTTCTATGTAATCAGTTGAGCGAGAAGCCCCCAGTGAAATTTTGACAGAGGATAGGATATCAAGTATAGTGAGGAGAATCTGGAGGAGGATTTTGGCGCAGCTGATATTCTTGAAAGAGGAGACCTAGAAAATTCTGAAATTCTTACTGATGGCCAAGGAACGTTTGAAATTGCCATGAGAAGACACAAGAAAAGGCCCCGTCCATATGATGGAGATAAAGCTTCACTATTGGAGACAAAACTCAAGAACAAATCCCAGCAGGCTGTGATTATTGTGGAACTCAAAGAAAAGGTCGAGATTTTTTCATTTCAAATCATTTGTTGTTGTGAGCGGATTGACCAAATCCCTTCCTCAAGGTATCCCACAGCCTGGCTCTTTCTACACGGACGACAGCATTTTCTTGATTCCTGTCAGAGAGTTCAACTTAGTCAAAAAGCGCAAGTTTGATCAAGTGCGAGCAATTGCCACTATTTTTGATACCGAAAGGCGACGTATGAGGTATACACAAGTTCAAATGTGATCACTGTGAAATTGATTGGCTAAGAGGGGGTTTGTTTTATTTTTATTTTTTATTTTTTTCACCTCCTTTGACTTCACTTTGCCAGCATTTGGGACTGATACGTATTCCCACCTTGGTTTAAAGGTGGAAAAAAAAAGTACAAGAAGTAGGCCCGAACCCGGGATCGAACCGGGGACCTCGCGCAATTGTGCTTTGGGTGAACCCTAAGCGCGAATCATACCACTAGACCATCCGGGCTATTGATATTAATAAGCGCCGAAATTGAGATTGTGATTGAATATCAATATTTGGCCTTTTAAGGTTGATTAGTTTCTACTAAAGTACGGAGTAGTATTGTCAGCAATTCAGGCTGATTCTCTGCCTGAATTCCTGGGACCAAAAGTGGCTCTTTTGGTCTAAAGATTGTGCTGACTAATTCATCCCGCGATCAAACATTTTGTTGCGGAATGAATGGCTATTGTTTTGATCTGATCCTTTAGATCAAAGATCATCTTCTCTCGTCCGAGAAGATTCGCAACCCGAACCCCGTTGTTGAGATCAATGGTTACAAGATGAGATGAAAGACTTGATCATTTCGGATTCCGTGGATCTTTCATCCCATGTTCTGAGACCTTTGGTCTTATGTTTATCTGTTTAGTCTAATATTCTATAAAACCTGATCTTACCCCTTAGTTAGTTGACCATCGAATTCAATCTTTTTAGGATCAGTAGTATCTTTGTTTGATTCTTTCCTTCCATTCCATCCTAAGTTTGGATCCAGCTTGGTCGTATGTCATTCCATCTGATCCGTGTTGTCTGATCTTTTGGTCTTATCTTTACCCTTTCCTCCTAAGTCCCCTGTAACTTGGTATCCCCTGTTCAGCTGACATCGTCTGCGTGACGTCATCACCTTTGGTCTGTCCCCGACACGCTGAAAAGTATTAAGAGAAATAGTTAATGGTAATAATACGAAGGATATACTAAGACTATTGATATATATAGTGTCTGGCATGTATGATTGGGTAAGGTATAAATTAACTAAACCTATTTAGGCCTTAGCGCTGTGTACTCGAAAGTTATGAAGATCGCAATAAAATACGTGGCATTTCTTCCAAGGTTATATATAATGAATTTCAATAAATTTCAACTATTTACATGTATAATCTAGTTTTAATTACTAGTGCCGGATATGCATTGCCCCAATTATGCTTGCCAGACACTGTATATATTAATAAAATACCTAGGTATGTATCTATATCATAAAAAAAACAAGATACAGGCCCGAACCCGGGATCGAACCGGGGACCTCGCGCAATTGTGCTTTGGGTGAACCCTAAGCGCGAATCATACCACTAGACCATCCGGGCTGTTGATATATTTGAGCTTGACCTTTGACATCATTGATCAATAACAATTATATCTAAGAAAGATTATACGGAGTAAGTACCGAGTACCTAGGCACTTTTAGACTTACTAGGTACATATTGAAGAGGAGAACGTAGTGAAGTGTAGTCGGAATACAGGGGTCAATCCAGCACGAAAAACTAAAACCACCAGATAATAATATCTAATGCATAAGACCAAAGACTGAACCTTGGAACCCAAAGGTCCCATCATGACATCTGGAAGAAAGGGGAGAAAAGGATATATTGTAGCTATAATCAAGCTAGCTATCTTATAGTAAGGACAGCAGGACGGTACGGACCAGACTGGCAGAACGGCAGAACGGCAGAACGGCAGAAAACCGTACATTAGAACAGAACAACATAACCTTGGAATAGCACAAAACCATACCCATAGTAGGGGGGGCATCTCTCCCTACTACAGTATATATATGATGTTGTCTAAAAGGTATATAAATTTAGGCCAACCTTGGGGAACTTTTCAACATTTGAAGTAGCAAAATTCAAATATTCTAGTCATACGGAGGTCGGTCCGGAAAGTTCTCGCCAGAAATTATAATTTCTTTTTCTCACACTAGGCTATATACAGTAAATATTGAAATATATCGCGTAATCAAGATGTATATAAAACGGAAATATATAGTACTGAAATATAATAACAGCTTGAAACAGTAAATATTCACATATCTTCCCATATATCGCTGTCGCTGTCGCTGTCGCTGTCGCTGTCGTTGCCGCTGCCGCTGTTATAGGCGTTATCACCTAACCCGCTAGGGGCTACTTCACCTAATTTATCACGCCCCTCACCGTATTCGTTGCCCCCTTCTAGTCTAATGACTTGCTGTATATGCCATGGTATACGTTCAATCCAAGCTTGAATTTGCGCCTGTGGTAGATCACGCCACGCAGCCTCCCATACTTTAATCCCTTCTTTACGCGATTTAGGTGCTCCTTTTCGCGTAGTGTATCTCTTCATCCAAGGCCATGCAGGTTCAATCATATTTAGATCAGGCGAATTTCCAGGCCAGATCATTCGTTGGACCCCCATTATATCAAATATTCGCTGTTGGTAGTGATGTGAATGGGCTGGTGCTTTATCCTCTTGAACTATTGTTTTCGTTCGAATTCGAGCACATTCTTGGGCGAATGGAAGTAGTTTTGGGGCTAAAATCACGGTGTTGTATCGGTACCAATCGATTCCACCTTTCGAATTGCGTGCAAGCTTTCCATTCTTCTGAGTCCATCTCCACTGAGGTTGTCTTCCAGGCTTATTGCGTAGCCCTAATCGCTGTATACCTGAATTAAGCTCCCATTCTGCACGCATAATAGGCTCTAATTCAGTATTCCATTCGGCGATTTGGTGTTCTGCTTCACGCTTTTGGGCTGTAGTTTCAGGTACCCAACAATGACAGGGGCCCTTCTGATCATAAGAAAAAGCACCCCAAAACATGAACTCAGAGGCCCCCTTCCAACGTTCTCGAATACAGCTTCGGACGAACCGCTCACTAGAAGTACGCCATACACGATATCCACCCCGACGGTGTAATAAAACAACCGCAGTTTCATCAGTCCAAATCACATTCTTCCAGTCTTCTATAGTCCAATGGGCGTGTTTTAAACACCATTCAAGACGTTGTTTTTTCTGCTCAGCGGCAAGCCCAGGCTTACGTGTAGGCTTTGTTTTTCGTAGGCCAATTTTTCGTAGTACATGCCAAACTGTTGTTTTTGATATATTAATCCCTAATTATAGAAGAAATATTAGAGGAAATAACATATCAAGTAACATATGAGATAACATATCAAATAACACACCAAGTAACACATCAAATATTATACTAAATAACATATTAAATAACACACTAAATAAAATATCAAATCTTAGAATAACTAACCTGATTCACTGCGTAGCTCTGCAGCTAGCTGTTCACATGTTTTCTCACGCCCATAGCGGTCTACACGGATTTTCGCCCCAAGTGTGGTTTTAAGCTCATCTGTTTGCTTAGATGGACGCCCAGAACGTGCTTTATCAGCTAACATTTCATCTGATATATTGAATGGTCGCTGATTCGGCTGAAAACCTCGTTCGAGTGCACGGTTCCATATGTCTCCTATAGTACGCCGTGGAATATTCATAAATTCACTGATCTCCTTAGGGGCATGTCCTTGGGCCCTTAGGTATACAATGACAGCACGTTGCGCAATATTGGTCTTCATTGTAGCTGTATAGGTGGGACAAAAGTGTAGCTGTGTAGGTGGGATAAAAGTGTGAAGGGGTGTACGGACTGTAGGCGGGGTAAAAGATAAAGATCTACGTGTCCACGGGTGTTATAAGCAATATTTAGCCTAGTACGTAACACGGCAATACATCCAATATACAGCAGGCTATACACCTGACATACAGGGCCGGTAATATATCAAGAAAAAGAAATTATAATTTCTGGCGAGAACTTTCCGGACCGACCTCCGTACATAGCCTCCTACCATGTGGGAGAATTCTTAGTTTGGAAAAGGTGGGTAAAATGGTATGTTGCCTGTTTTGGCGTGGAACATGATTTCTTATGGTATAAACCCATTCTACCGTAGTGGATAAGGAAATATTCTAGGCTAGAAAATATTGTGATGGTCTGAAATATTTTATGGGTAAAATGTTTTGGCCTAAAAATTATTTTTTGAAATTTAGAGCTGGTATGGTCTTGGTATGGGGTTGTAACTTTTGTTTTGTAGTAGTACCAGCCTGAGAGATAAACAGCATTACAATTTCAAGGTTCCTAATAATAATATAGCACTTGAGATATTAGAAGGGTTTCAAGTTATTATAAGGTGCCCAGGTGTACATACACAGCAACAGCTAAGATAACTGTCACAACTCCTCACCAACCGACAAACAGCCTGTGGATGGCAGGGGGAGAAAAGAAAGTTGAAAAACTAGAGCCGGCATAAAAATACTAGTTAGAACATTAGAATCCAGGGATCGACTGCCAACTCGCTCAAACATTCAACATCAGCAATACAAAAAGGCGTGAAAATGGCTCAGATCTCTAGCTAATACATAATGGATCCATGGATGCCAAGACTGTATATGCTGGAACACGGGCTTAGCCGCGGGACCCACCTTATAGGCCTTAGGAAGGAAAGCACAAAAAAAAATATCGAAAATAGGCAAGAAGTAATAAAAATAAATAAAAAAGATATAGGCCCGAACCCGGGATCGAACCGGGGACCTCGCGCAATTGTGCTTTGGGTGAACCCCTGGAGAGATTGTTAGTTAACTGTTAATTGATTGGAGTGACTTTAAGTGAGCCTTACTAAGCGCGAATCATACCACTAGACCATCCGGGCTATTGATATCAGGAACTGACATCTTGCCTATTTAACCACAAGTGCGAGCTAGATCAAGGTAAATCATGGCCACTCCGCCCTGTCATGCATAGGCTGTATGAATATGTATACTCAAAGGACCACCTAGGTACTAGTTAATAAGTTCTACACCATACTAGTACTGATGGTCTATCCAAGTGAAGATCACTGTAAGTACTAATAACACCTAGCTATAATTGATATTATTGATATTGAGTCAAGAGTATCTCTAGTAATACACAACCTCTAAGAATAGTTTATGATAGCAAGCCATACAACTTGAATATTATTTGTAGTATTTAACTCATTCAGGATCCATCAGGACATGAGCTTAACTTGAAATGTTCGCATATACATTCCACATGTGCGAGGTTGTGGATCCATCAAATTCCAGCATTTCTGCTGTTTAAGTTCAATGACAGGTTACTAGTACCTAATACGTATCTCACAGGGAATCACAAGCAAGGATAAGGACTGGAGGAACAAACAATAGCGACACGAAAAAAAACTTGAAGACGGCAAAAGTCTGGTCGTTGGGTATGACTGAAATAAAAGAACAAGACTGGAAGTATATACAAAAGACTTGCGCTTGCAACGGATAACATGAAGAGAACGCTCGTGAGTAATGAAAAAAGATTCATCTGAATTTAGACGGTAAAATCAAATGCCTCATGATGGAGGCGACTTAGTCTCGGGAGAAGAGGAATCCCTCTTCGGAGATGGACGTAGACCGCTGTTAATCTGGGCTACAATTTGGGATTGCTTGAATTTCTCGAAGCTTTCTGCGTCCTCATGTTGAGCGGCCCACAGTTCATCAACGGTATTGCCAATCTTCTGGAAAGCCTCATGAGTACCGAATGATGATTTTGATCGCTCCTCGTGGAGACGCTCAAGCTTCTCTCGGAGAGCCGCGAGATGTGAATCGTCATCGTCGTCGGCCTCACGCTCTGGCGGGTTGAGAATGTCCCGACGAAGATTTTGACCCAGGCGATGAACATGTCCTTCTTCTGATGTCATAGCACGAGCATGCAGCGAGGTCATTGAGCTGGTTCTGGAGAGGTGGATAGCGTATTGGTCGGTTTCTTCATCGTCAATAGCATTTTCGTTGTCCACAAGGCTGCCGCTGATGTTGCCACTGATAACAGTGGAGCCATTTGCATCATCACCAGAATGCTGTGAGCCGGTTTCTGCAGGTGCAGGAGAAGGCACAGTTTGGGGAGCGAGGCGAGTCTCGGGATACTCATCCTCAAATCGTTGGATCATTCTATGCAAAGTGAGATCCAAGTATTGAAGACGCCCTGTGACAAATTAGAAAATGATACTCCAGATGACACAGTACGTAGGTACAAGCATAAATAGGGATACTTACTGTAGTTAGCATCGTTACCGGCTCGATCTTCGCGAACGAGAGCTGATTGGATGCGAGCACGAATATTACGCGCAGACTCCAGCAGATTCTTTGACATGTCGCGTGGTCTTTTAGTAACAACACCTCTAGACCTAGGGCGGCGAGGCGTGGTGGTGCCACTGGCAGGGGCTGAGTCTCCTGGGAGGTCACCTCCATGATGATCAAGGTTCCCAAGACAGACGCCCAGTGCCTTCACCACACCTGTGCCACCAATTACATAGTCCTCATCGGGGGCAGGTTCATCTTCTTCGTCACACGGATCATCCGAACCGATGGAATGACCGACAATATGCTGCAAAATCTCTGGCACTGCAACATCGTTGGTTGCAGATGACATGAGATTCTCATGTATATCTTCTCCGATATCAGCTCCCTCCAGATTGTGTAGCGAGTAAGCCACAATCTGCGAGGCCAATGCCTTCACGACTTCATTGCTCTCTGCAGTAGGAACCTCAATTTCCACGGCAATGATCGTACCCGAGACACGAACGGCAGCCATCATAGATGCATACACTGCACAAGCCTCTTCTTGGACGGCAGGGTCAGTTGAGGAGGCCAGAGAGGCGATTTGCGGGTTCTCCAGGATATTCAAATGGCAAAGACTGGGGCACTCTGGCAGAACTTCCGCCAAACCAATAACATGGTCAGGAGAGAGATTCACGTCGGCAAGATGAATGCGCTTAAGAGATGGCATCTTGGGTAGGAAACGCCGGAACACTCCAAGCGCATTTGGCTGCCCTGAAAATAGACCAGGGTTATGAGAAAAATCGATGAAGCGAAGATTGTGAATCTGAGTCAAAGCTTGCAGGAATGGCGAAATCACTGAAGGAGTCAAGGAACAGTCTGCCAAACTAATCGCATAAAATGATTGTTCAGGCTCTATAGCGTCTGCAATAAGGTCCAGGTGGTCCTTGATTGGATTTCCTCCTAGATCCAAACCCTCGCATTTTCCAGACTTGAGATACTCGACAATATGCCCGAGGCCTTCTCTTGTAAGGTCGTTATTTGCAAAGCCCAGTCTCTGCAGCCCCATCTTCGTAGCCGCTTCACAGATCCGCTTGACCTGTCTGCTTGAGGGTTTACAATCACTCATCAGCAGTTCTTCGAGTTGATTGCCACCGAATCTCTCGGCTAGCGCACATGCAAAAATATCGCAAGAATCGGTTCCTGGTGCCGCGCCTTGGTTGACACCATCACCGTTAACTCGCGGTTTAGGGAAGGGAATGCCAGAAAGATCAATCGCCCTGAGAGATTTGGAAAGATGAACGAATAGGCCGATATGGCGCCATCCCTCGCGACCAATTTTGGGGTTATCCTTAAGTGAAAGCTTTTCCACGACGCCCCATCGCTCAAAGTTGACCGTGGATGCTGATTCCGACTTGCGGTTACGTCTTCGCCGATACCGCATTTGCTCAACCGTCTTTGTTGACAGCAATGCTGCAAGTATCGCCCGCACGGAGACATCAGTCAATGCGCAATTTTCGAGAAGAAGCTTGCGCACTGGCACAACCGCAAGCCAGTCACTTAGCGTCGCAATATCCTGGGGCGTCATAGGGAAGTTGCTTAAATTAAGGGCTGCGACTGTACCAGGAGACTCGGCCAGCGTGGATGATGGGGAAGAAATCTCATCAACCACTCGCTTAAGAACTGGAGTCTCTCTGAGCTGACAGCAACGCCGGTAGATTCGCACTGGATCGGTCGTGGGATGGCTTTGGCTCTTAGAGCGGGTAGCACCGGACACAGGTGTGCGAGATTCATCCTCATCCATTTCTGCATCTAGCTGCAGTGGAATCGATCCATTCGCCACAGCTTGTCTGCGCTTCCTCTCTTTACGCTCCTTTCGTTCTTCTTCCGATCGTTTCTTCTTCTCTTGTTTGCGAGTTGGATCCTTCTTTTCATGCGCTTCGACATCAAATCGGAGTGTAGGTCCATTGCCAGTAGGTGGTTTCTGCTGATCATCCGAGGCGCTAGTTACCCCGTCAGCAGCAGGAACAGATTCTGGAGAGCCTTCTGGCGCGGCAGGGGCTGGTGCTTCCTTCTCAGCCACGGCTGCTTGGGGATGTTTTAATGCCTCGGCCTCCTCTTTGCCTTTCTCCTTGGCATCAGCCTTCACATCCGCCTTTTCCTCAGCATTTTCCTTCACTTTGATCTCTGCTTTCTTTGATTTTTGGCGATTGGATTCGGGCAATGACTGCCGTAGCTGATTCGTCGGAGGAGCATCTTCATCAGAGTCCCGATGCGATATACCCGCGATCTCGACATCCACACAAAACGCCACTCTATGGAGTTTCGCTTGATTCAGATCTGCAATCTTACAGCGATCTCGACCCGGGTCTAGGTTCATCACACGGCGCGGACAAGTTGCAGAACTGGGCGGAAGCTTGGGCAGCCCACCGGAATTCGATGAGAACTTGCGCAGGGCATTGTGAATGAACGATGGACCCTTTGGTGATGAGGAAGTAAACGGATTCGAATCATCCTTCTTTTCCTCTTCCTTGTCCTTTGGTGAGAATGCGGCACCAAATGGGTTGTGATCGAGCGGTCCGGTTGTCTTCGGACTTGCCGGGCTCCCTTTTAGACTGGATTGAGATGGCGGAGTCGACCCAGAGGAAAACTTAGAGCTCAGACTGGATATCCATGAATTCCTACGCCCGGTCACTGGTTTGGGGGCGGTTTTCTGCACCGCGGGGGATGAGGATGGTGGTTTGGGCTCAGCTTGGGCCGGGGTCTCCGGTGGCGGCGGTGTGGGTTTCTCTTTCTCTTCTTCCTTAATCACTTCATTTTGCGGCTGATGTTTCGGGGTTGAGTTATTCGAGGAGGGCGGCTGAGCTGGACTGCTATTCGATCGAGACCGTCGGTGTGATTTGGACTGATTCGTCGCAGTGTCTTTATTAGGACTTGGCGTATCATTTACCGATGAGGATACAGATTTGGTCCGCGATAGATGATCTAAAGAGTAGTGGTACGTTAGCAATCCGACTCATACACAGGGCATACTCCTCTTGTGATCTCTGTCTCCTTTGCCATCGCTCTCCGCCTCCTCCCGGGTGCGTGATCTGCAGACATACCTTTTTGTGAGTGATGAAGCCAGCTCACATCTACCGTTTGAACGCCCTCCATGATTGTTCTGATTATGTAGATTTCGCTATTCGCGACGAGGAGAGTTACTGACTGAGACCCTGCGGAAGAGGGTGGCCAGCTGTGGCGGGATTATTATCGAATGATGGGGTAGAGCTTAGATCGGATGACGCATAGTTGGCTGATCCCCCCCACTTCCCAAGGATCTTCGACAATGCCACAACGATACCCGTCTCCTGACTCGAGAGGAAATACCGTTAAACCGGTGAGGTATGCGACGTTTGCGACCGGATGTGGAGAAATCCAGGAAATACGCTGTAGTATAGGGTAGGTAGTGATTTAAGCCACTACAGGGAGCGGTAAACAGGTCTCATCATAGAGTGATCTGAAGCCATTTTGGAGATTTATAAAAGAAAAAGAAAGAGTAAGATTGATCGGAGAAGAGATCGGAGAGAGTTCTCAAGTATTGGAAGCGACCGGATGTGGATGAAGCAGTGAAGGTGACATAATCTGCCCCGGCTCCCCACTTTATTACAGTAACAAATGCTTATGCTTAATACTACATGAAGGGGACTCGGCAGTGAATAATATAGTCATTTAGCGCTTATAATTAACCCACATTGATAAAAACTGGGCACGTGAGGTGGTAGAGTACTCAAATGATAGGAATAGAGTCTTATTTTTGAGAGAATTATACTCGCCGGACTCGGAGTTCAGTACTATGGACTCGAGAAAAGCTAAAAAGTGGACAAAATATGTGGTGGAGAAAGCCGAAGATGTTATGAGTAGCCAATAGTACAGAGTAAAATGACCTTTATACGGAGTAAAGGTCCAGAGACCCCCTTTTAGTGCCCACAAATCTATAGCATCATGCCGCTAAATTGATCCATAGCTGAATACGGGGCGAGTTCACACCGACACTCATTGTGGTGATTATTATTTGCAGAAAAGGCTAATAATGGGGACACAGTGCAGGAATAGTCAGGCCCCCACGGAGAAAGTAGTAGAGACAAGAAGAAAAGAAAAACGCCACCAATATTTCCGAGAGAGTATCGGAGGGGGAAACACAGTAATAGGCAAAATTCCCACGAACGCCCCGTCTCTATGCACATGACCCTAGGGTAAAGAAGAACAAAAAAAAAGAAACAGGAGGGAAACCTGATCGGACAAACGGTGAAAAAAAAAGATATCAGAAAGAGAAAAAAAAGGTCATCACGGCATGAATGCATCCCGATTCCGCCCATCCCCTTTTATTCCGTATTGGATGGTTCCGTGTCCTTGAGGATCTCCCACCCGTACTCCTCCTCGGGCTTCTCGGGCTCCATTCCAAGTGCATTGCGGTATGCGCGAACTTCATTTTGAAGACCGGCGACGATACGGATAGGTAACTCTTCCTCCTCCGATCGCAGCCGGTAGGCAGTCCGAATCATCTCTGCGCATCGCATGGTTTGGTTGTGCCAATAGTCACGGTCCAGTCGGCTCTCCAGATGGGCATCGCGTTCGGCCTGCAGAAGATTGTTGTAGTGGCTCTTCTGGTACAAGAAGTGCATATTGTTGTTCTGGCAGTAGTTGCGGATCTGCTCTACCATCGTGCCCACAGCAGTCTCATATTCCCCAATCAGTTTGGTGTTTTCCAGTTGCTCCCGTTTGTAATCCTCCACTAGTCGTTTTTCTTTGGCAAGGGCTCGTTCGAGTTCGGAGATGCGGGAGGCTGCGTACGCTGGTCAGTCACGATTCGGGGAATTGGGGAGATGAATCATCAAGCAAGGTCAAGTTTAAGAACATACCTGTAATTTCACCATTGACTTGCTGCATAGCAGCACTTGCACCCTCAGAAGAACCATGTTTCTGTTCCTCATGTTAGCCTCGGTTTCAATTCGGCTTCGAGTTCTATTAAAGATGGAATCTTCAAACGTACCATGACTTCCTCAGCACTCGCGACGATGTTTTTGGTGACCTCGCGATTGTTCTTGAGCACATCACTTAGTTCCAGCACCATGTCATACAAATGGTGGAGGTCCATCTGATGACCCGCATTCATGGGTCCATTTCCATTCATCACGGGCATTCCTCCTCCGTTCACTTGGTTGACTGGGTGTGAGAGCGCAGGCGACATCGACGGACGAGAAACATTGCCCATGTTGGGGGTGCCAGGAGTGCTCTCCGCATAACCGGAGAACATGCCAGGCCCCGGATTGCCGGACATTCCTGTACCGCTGTTCATTGACATATCGGCTTCCGCAAAGGCTCGGTTTAGGTCTTCAAGTTGAGGATCGTAAGGATTGATTGGATGTGAGGTGCCGTTTTCCTCGTCGTAGAAGGAGGCGGGATTTTCGACGCCTAGGACCTCCTTCTGGAACTTCTCAAGGTCACGGCGGCTAACGTGGGTGGAACGACGGCGGTGCCCACGCGTAAAAGGTGCCTTGGAAGCGGAGGAAGGAGTGGCGCCCTCGATGATGGCGGCGCAATCAAAAAGTTGGGCAGGATGGTCTATGATTGCGTCGTTGTTATTGTCGGGAGTGATGTGGGTGTCCTGAAGGTGTTCGATGTGGGCGTCCACGCCATCCCCAATCGGGTTAGCGTCCCGCCCATTTAATCCAACTAAGCGCTTCATCTTGTCCAGCGCACCCATCGATGCACTCGTTGGTGCACGAGTTAGCTCTGGTTCGAAGGCTGTTAAAGAGGATCATGCATATTCTGACTGTGTTTCTTCTCACAGTTGTCGCTGTCGTTGTCAGAATCGGATGAATGGGTCTTTTCCACCCAAATCGGGTTTGGGTCTCCGGATGTAGGTGTAATATGGAGTCAATGACGGCGATGGAGAAGATCGCAAAGGAACCCGTGAACTTTCTCTCTTCAATCGCACTTGCTGTAAACTCACTGGGCATTGATGGCCCGGCTTCCTGCAGTTGTAATCGTGAGAGCGCCTTCCTACCCAAACTAGCCCCTTGCACTAGCCCAGTCTTATAGAAAATCCGCTTATCCCATTCAAACCACCGGCCCGGGGTACTTGACCTGGGCGACCTGGGAAGTAAGTAGTACCTGGGATTCTTCCCTGGGCCTGCCGTGCTAGGTTCAACTTGCATGCGCATGGACCAGGGTTCTTTCAAATACTAGTTAATGATCAAACAGAGCCCAAATATTGCAATAAAAAAAACTTTATGTTTCTCGTTAATTACCATAAATATTGTCATTCAAGTCATACATCCAGGTCCATAAGGGCTTCCAGTTTTTGCTCGGATCCTGGCAGTAAATATTGCTCTTCGCCTTGGACGCGTTTCCTATGTTCCTGCTGTGATATCCTACCGCCAACTCGCGCCACCAGCATACGCATCCGTTCCAGTTCCTGGGCCAGGTCTCCATCGCGAGTGACCAGATTTGGCTGAATATCTGTCTGAGGGTTGCCAAAAGGCTCGAGCAAACGATGCAGATGCTGAAGCTGATCGAGCCGCCGCTGTCTCCGCTGGCGCTGTTGATCTAGACTGGCCAGTCGTTCCCGAAGATTCTGGTATCTGTACAACGGAAGTTAGGCAGGTGGAACTTCAATTGGGGAAAATCCATGTACGTGGGGGAGGCTGACCGTGTATTCTGTTCATCATTGGCATCCTGCGATTCTAGATCCAAAGGCAAATTGACAATGTTCCTTCGATGGTGGTCAGCAGGTCCTACCGGAGGGTTCAGCTCTATTTGAACAGTCAATACTCACATATGTTTTGAGAGATCTGCAGTCTTCTCGACTCCCTTTGCAAACCCAGCTTGACTTTTGACTTCATGACTAACGGCGGTCCAGTATAGACTGGCAATTTGGTGGGCGACATGATGGATTGCTTGGGATGAGTAGACAATACGATTGTGTTGCTTTGCTGCCGCATTCGCTGTCAAGATTTTAGTATCGGCTCGAGAACGAAAAGGAAGCAGACAACACTTTACCTTTGTGCAATACATCTTCAATCACCTTTTCAGGCAAGGCCTCCTCTTCAGTCCCCACTGCATATTTACGCCAGTCCTCTGGTGGTTCGAGGTTTTCTGAAAGAATGCGGACCTGATTCCAGATAAATGTGGATTTCAGTTCTGAGATTGTACGTGTTGAATCCATCACTTGATCACAGTAGAGTAGACATGGAAATCGTGGAGCGACTCGTCTATCTCATAACGCGTCTTCGTCTCTTATCGGGCGATAACGATAAGATGTCACGTGTACCCCGCTTTAAACATTGAGTAGGCTGGAGGCATAGATTACTTTTGAACAATACCAGGATTTGATTATTTATATTTATATTTTTTGTACAATTATCAATTCATGTTTCTCTAGGGTTGAAATTTAAGTTGCTGAAGGATCTGAGTGTCATCGATGGGGTCGTTCCTGGTATGTAACATTTTGAATGTTCGCAGTTGAGCGTATCCCTCGGTTTTAGCCCACCTGGGCATCCGTACCTCGGCAATGCGATCGTCCTATTTATATATCAACTTCTCCGCAAGTAGTATTCTTACAGCATAGTGCTACTAACGTTACGTCAATCTTATCAAAATCTGCAACGAGTCGTCAAAGTCCCAAGCTCAGAGTTATACATCGAACAAAATCAAATAATCCTAGGTCGCGTTTGATATGGGAGACAATCAACGGCCTGTGGGCCTTCTTTTCGACATCGGCGGAGTCTGTGTAAGTCAGCCTCAATCCATTACCAAAACAAGAAAGCATGGCTAATAAATCTTCAGGTTGTATCTCCATTCCAGGCCATTTTGGACTATGAAACATCACGACATATTCCTCCAGGCTGGGTGAACTTCAGCATATCTCGTACCAAGCCTGATGGAAGCTGGCACAAACTGGAACGGGGAGATATATCCATGGATGCCGAATTCTTTGCTGGTTTCAATCGAGACCTATGCAATCAAACACTGTGGAGAGAGTTCCACGAACAACTACAAAGGAGGAAAGGGATAACCGGACCAGTCGTAGTCCCACCGCTCCCCACCGTGGATGCGGAGTGGCTCTTTTGGGAGATGATGAGGATATCCCGTACTCCAGACCCATACATGTTTCCAGCTTTACAGAAACTCCGAGAATCTGGCAAGTATCTAATGGGTGCTCTGTCGAACACTGTTAAGTTCCCAGAAGGACACCCATACAACAAGGATGCATCCGGGGTGAAGTCCCAGTTCGACTTTTTTATTTCATCTGCGCATACAGGACTACGCAAGCCTGACCCGCGAATTTACGAAGCCGCGATACAAGAGATGAACACGCTGGCAAAAAAGCGTGGATTACCAGCAGTCCGGCCAGAGGATATTGTCTTCTTTGATGACATTGGCGAAAACTGCAAGGCGGCGAAAACGTCTGGCATGCGCACTGTCAAGGTCACATTGGGTAAGATCGAGGACGCAGTGAAAGAATTGGAGAAGATTACAGGGCTTCAATTGTTAGAGAGCGATAAGGCTCGACTATGAGGGGATGCGGGTACAAGTATACCCCCTCTTCCTTGTAGGGTTTGAATACCAGGAAACAGATCAATAGAATCTAGAGGGTAAATTTAATTCATTTGAAAACGCAAAAGATATTCATCTTATTATTCCAAGGTTGTTATACTATTGAGCATCGAACGGGTTATGCGTAGGTACTTTTGTTTTGTAGTGTCCTTAAGCCGGGTCAATTTGGTGGTCGTCCACGGGTCGTCGCCAACCGCACTTTTGAGTTGCGGATGCAGCCCACGCTAAGCGAAATCCCCCACAAAGAATCAGCGCACAACTCTCTTGATCTTTTTCTCCTCATCCGTCGACATCAGGCTTCAGTTCAGATAACCGTCAAAATGGTGAGTGTAACTGCCATTGCAAATGGTTGAAATATACCATTTTGCTTTACATATTCGTTTTTCCCCTCCCCGGGACCGGGTCTTTGCAAGATGCTTCGGACGACGAATTCTGAAGCGCAAATTGCTGACTCGAGGTATTTTTTCTTGTAGCCTTTCTCCAAGAACGTCAAGAGCGATGCGTACTTCAGGTAAGCCCATTATTCCCATCTTTTCATGATTGCAACGAGCAGAAGTTTTTTTTTTTTTCTTCTTCTTTCTTCTTTCTCTCGCAGCTTGTGAACTGTGCGCTGACTTTCCCCCCTCCAGCCGCTACCAGACTAAGTACCGCCGTCGTCGCGAGGGTAAGACCGACTACTACGCTCGCAAGCGCCTGATCACCCAGGCCAAGAACAAGTACAATGCGCCCAAGTACCGCATGGTCGTCCGTTTCACCAACCGCGACATCATCACCCAGATCGTCTACTCCGAGATCTCCGGTGACAAGGTTCTTGCCGCTGCCTACTCCCACGAGCTGAAGGCCTACGGTATCACCCAGGGTCTGACCAACTGGGCCGCCGCTTACGCCACCGGTCTGCTCCTTGCCCGCCGTGCCCTCGCCAAGCTTGGCCTTGCTGAGCAGTTCAAGGGTGTCGATGAGGCTACTGGTGAGCACACCCTCGCCGAGGCCGTCGAGACCGAGGACGGTGAGCGCCGCCCCTTCAAGGCCTTCCTTGATGTTGGTCTTGTCCGCACCTCCACCGGTAACCGTGTCTTCGGTGCCATGAAGGGTGCCTCTGACGGTGGTATTCTCATCCCCCACTCCGACCGCCGTTTCCCCGGTTACGACATCGAGACCGAGGAGCTCGACGCTGACCTTCTCCGCAACTACATCATGGGTGGTCACATCTCTGAGTACATGGAGACCCTCGCCGATGAGGATGAGGAGCGCTTCAAGTCTCAGTTCACCAAGTACGTCGAGGATGAGGTTGACGCTGGTGACCTCGAGGAGCTCTACACCGAGGCCCACGCCGCCATCCGTGAGGACCCCTTCAAGAAGGATGAGGAGGCTGGTGAGAAGAAGACCAAGGAGGAGTGGAAGGCCGAGTCCAAGAAGTACAAGGTCGCCAAGCTCACCCACGCCCAGCGCAAGGCCCGCGTCGCCGAGAAGATCCGCGAGCTTACCCAGTAAGCTTGTGCGATTTGTCTACTGTTCCTGACGAGTCCTTCGGTTACTTCCAAAATATTAAAAAGTTCCACCCAAATTTCATGAGGGGACTGGCTTATTGCCACTTGGCGTTTTTGCGTTTTTGTGATGGATCATGGCACATACCACTTTTGTTACGTTTTTAAGGGGATATTTTTGGAGCAATTAGTTCGGTGTTTCATTCAAGGCAATTTCCTTTCACAGTTCTAACTGCTCCAATGTCCATGCAATCTCATCGTTCCCTCACCAATTTCCTTGTTGCACTGCTCTTGGTTTGGATATCGTATAACGTATCTCGTATATCATAAATGGGAATCAGTAAACCATATCTTATAAGAGTACCCAGCTCAGCTCTTATGTAGTTTTAGGTATGTATGGAGTATGGAGTGGCCCTGTTGTCAATACCCAGAACCAATCACACCCGGGAATTAATATAGGCAGCCGCTCGGCCAACGTTCAATACCAACCTCACACTTTCCCTTATAGCCTGCCCAGGTGTCGTTACATATTGCATTACACGTTTAGCTGATTCCAATGAGACTTTTTCTTATCCGACATGGAGAGTCAGAGCACAATGTAGCTCAGTTGCTGTAAGGGCACTCCACCAGTTATTCTTCCCCCGCACTAACAAGAACAGGGCGGGGACCACTGACTCGGCCCTGACAAACCACGGCATGCTACAGATTGGAGCTCTGGCAGATTACTTCAGGTCGAATTCCATTAATTTCGACCGCGTTTTCGCATCTGATCTAAGCAGAGCACGCAACACAGCTCTCGGAATCTGCCAAAAACAGCTACATAATCAGCATGGGGAGCCATTCTTGACGCCTATTATCTCTGCTGACCTACGAGAACGATCGTACGGATCCTTAGAAGGAAAGCCCTGGCAGAAATCAGCTACGACCAACGAGGACCTGGCGACAGTGGTAGACAGTGAGACAGTTCTATCAATGAGAAAACGAGCCATATCTTTCCTGAATGAGCACATCTTGCCATCCCTATTCGAATCCCCTGAAACGGATACAAACATTGCAGTTGTTTCCCATGGTGGTTTTCTGCGCGTCTTCTGGAATCGTCTGGTCGAACTCTTTGATCCTATGAATATTTCTCTCGCCACAGGTATTGAATCCTCGGATTCTGGACCCGCGGCTTTTATTTTGCCAAGCTGGTCTAATACTGGGGTTATGGAATTATCGATTCAACCGGGTCAAGGGAAGGTGGGAGACACACAACCTGATCCTGAAGTCCTCTTGAACGGATGGATTATGAAAATCATCGCGGTGGACAGCAAAGAACATCTCACCGGTCTTCATCGAACCCGTGGTGGAATTGGTAGTGCTACACATGACCCCCGTCAGAAAGTACTCGATCAGTTTTTCAAGAAGTGATTCAATATACAATGATGGTCTAAATGACATATAGACCTGAACTATGTACAACTCTCTGTGGTAGATATAGCTTCACTCGGTGTAGAAAACTTCATCAAGCACTTTCCACCATCCAGGCCCGTCAGCACTGCCCACGGCACCGGGGATTGGACTCTCCTGAAAACAACGTATCAATTTCTGGCATAGATAAGGAGATACTGCAGCGTGGAGGTGAGAGCTTACCTGCATGCTATCTGTCATGGCCCACCATTCCCTCACTTTTGGGTTGGCTCGCATGAGCTCCATATCGCCTTCAAAGTCCGTGCCCACATACTTGAATGTCGCGAAGAGGGTGCGGTCATTATCAAAGAAGATTGAGTCTGAATAGAAATTGGTTCTGTCAGTATGGCATTCAGACCAAATGGAATACCCAATCACTCACAGTCTTTAATACTGCACTCTTTGATCTGTTGCAAAACCTCAGGCCACACATTGGCGTGACATTCCTTGTATGCCGCTACAGCAGAGGGCTTAAGGTGCACAATTTGAGCAATACGGCGTACTGGAGACATTTTGATTGAAATTGAATTAAAGAAAGAAAATGAGAGACGATTGTTAGAACCAAGGAAATCTTGATCGATCTGTTATGCCCCGCGTTCTCGCCGTAGCGTTAACCCGCGCTCGGTGTACGCTAACCCGAAGTCCAGGCTTCGGGATGCCGAGAGAACTAAAGCTTAAATCCACAAATATCAAAAGTACACATGAGAAACGCTAAAGAAATGTATCACACAGACAATGAAAGAAAATAAGAAATCACAAATTGAATCACTTTGCGTTCAGATGTTACTTTTAAATCGCAGCAGTCTTTGGTGCTGGCCGAACCCAGCTGACAGCAAGACTTCCCGCCAAACAAATCGCTCCAATAATCATTATGGATCCACCGTAGTTAGTTTCATTATATCTGAAGACAATGGCGAAGATGATTCCGCCAAGGTTGCCGAATCCACCGACAAGTCCGGACACAATACCTATTGAAAAGTTAGTCTTAACCCATCATATTCAGAGAACTGGGATATGATTGACTCACCATTTGCATAAGGATGCACATGAGGCACAAGCCCAAAGACAGCTCCATTGGCAGCTTCCAAAAAGAAAGCCATACCGGCAACAAGACCAAACATTGTCGCTTCGGAAGTCGGGTTTGTCAATCCAATAGCCAACAAGAAAGCACCTGTGACAACACCCAAGAATACCACGAGGGCTTTCTTCGCCCATAAAGTACCCGTCGCACGGAAAATCCAGTCGGCCAGGAAACCGCCAGCTGGACGGAAGACAATATTCAAAATACCGAACATGGCGGCCCATCGTCCAGATTCCGTTTGTCCCATTGTTGGGAAATTAGCTGCGTAGTATGTACCGAGGAAGCTGTCCAGCGCTAACTCGGCACCAAATGTGCAGCCGTATGGAATGGCAACGGCCATTGTAGGGAGACTGAATGCGACGCTAAGTGCTTCCCTGCGTGTAGGAGCGACGACAAGGTCTTGTTTATAACTTGACATCTGTCCGATAGCGGATGCCTCTTTATCCCGAATCTGAGGTGTCTGTGCGCCACCCTTCTTCTCAAGATCGATTAACCCGGCGTTGTATAATGATGGTGGGGTTGAGGGTCCGGTAGAGGTGGTACCCGAGTTGATGTCGACAATGTTTCCATCGTTAGAGTCACTAGGAGCCAGCTCCTTCGCCCAGAGATGACGATCGGACCATTTGCCAGTAGGCGTATCCTCACAGAGGATTAGCATGCCCAGAGCGACAACAACGATGATGACGAAGGGAACAACATAAGCAACTCGCCATGCTTTATGCGCAGGCAGACCCCGTGCAGAGACAAGAGAATCGAAAATAGCAGGCATGATAAAGCTGGAAATTTTTTTTTAGCTCCACTCAAGATGAAATGTTTTATCTAATAGTTTCCACTGAGTAACTTACTAGGTGATTCCACCACCGGAATTACCCCATCCTCCAGCCAGCGAATTTGCCGTACCAACAATGCTCTTGTCGAAGAATCCAGTACACCAAACTTGACATGGGACGAATGTGCCACCTAGAATTCCGACAAAAAATCGTAGAGCAATTAAGCCATTGGGACTGGTGACCAGACCGGCCATGGCTGTTGGTATGGATCCGGCTAATAGGAGTCCCACAAATACTAAGCGTGGACCAAAACGATCGCAAAGTGGGCCAGCGATCACTCGAACCAAGAGGCTAAAATTTGGTGAGCTTGGGCTTTTACCGTGACCCATTTTGACTGGGGAACTTACGTGGCCAGCAGTGCGACAATATTTGAATTAGCGACTTGGGTCGAAGTCATACCCAGATCTTTTTTAATCGTCTCGGTCAACTAGAAAAAAAAATATCATTGTTAATAAATGTGCATTAATCTCATATAATCAACTGATGATATCAAATTATATGGAAGCTCAATAAAGTTTCCCGTTATAATATAGTAGACTTACCAATGGTGGAAATGCATACCATGACAGGAATGCAACGAAAAATCCCATCCATGAGAAAAAGAAAACTTTTCCATATTGATCGAAGGGGTTAAGAATGGGGATTGATTTTGCCTTGCGATTATGGGGATTGATCTCTGGAGAGGATACGAGAAGCTTGAAGTTGACCGCCATCACAATAGGCTTGATGGTACAGTGAAGCTCGAAAACTTCAAGTAATTGGCGGGGATATGAGACAAAATTATTCAGAATTGATTTTTCAATGTTGCCAGTGTGCTCAGGGGCCACAATAAAAAACAAGAAAAAAAATAGTAGCTTCTCTAGATGTGGGTCTGACAAATGTCGTTGAGCTTGTTTAGCGTACAATCTGGAGCAGCTCGGAAGATTATATAGGCGTTAAGAGCTTGAGGAGCTTCAAAGAATCAGTATATCGACTGACGAAAATGATGATAATCAATACGAGGTTAATGATGACACAGAGAACCGGAAATATTCAGACGAATGTTATCGGGTGCCTGCAAGTTGAAGTTGCATGGTCTGCATTTTTCAGCGGCAAAATTTGACAACCCAAGGGGGGCCAATATTAGTCAAGATGTGGAACAGGAAGGTCCGATAATATTCCTGTCATGCTGATTTGATCAAAGTATTTCATGCATATAGCATTTTTGTTTTCAAGCGAGTCAAGCTGTCTGTGAATAGATTGCGATAAGGCTTTCGGGGGAGCCTATGAAAAGTCGCCTCCCCACCATGGCATGAGCCACTCTGGGCATAAATAGTCCTGATAAGAGTAGCTGAGATGCAACTCCGCGGGTTTATTACACATCCAGAGCTCCGTGGCGCTAGGAAATATCTGGGGAATGGTGGACACCCCTGACTTCAAGGTCCCACGCTTCTGCAGTCATTGATTAATGTATCGCCTCTCATTGGATACAGCATGGGGAAGATAGGCATTGATGTGCGCGAACCCTGAACTGTGGGTCATAGAGTACTTTTGTAGGAAGAGATCGGAACATTGCAAGCTCCGCGGAAATCTTTTATAAGAGTTGATGAACCAAAGAAATATGGAGTTTGATAATCTTTGACACTGCTCATCATGATACCCGTGGACTCCGCGGTTTGATCGATGACATAATATCTCGTGTTTTTTTGCCCTAACTTCACATTGATCGTGTCAATGTCAATGAGTTCATGCAAATGTTTCTTTTTTATTATCTAGGCATTGAGATCTGCTTCATCAATGGAGACCGTGGGGGTTAGTATTCATGTTCTCCATGGATCCGAGGAGTTCGTCTTCGTGTATGGATCCATTGAGCTTGAACCCGTCTCTTCCCGACACCCTGGGGCTCCCAAGATCGGATGGATGTAATCCGTACCGCCGTAGACGTCTTTTAAAAAACCTGCTAGTAGTATGGGAAAGGGTTCATTCATAGATCACTTGAGGAGTATCTATTTTTGGTCTATATACACGTTTGCTTGAGTATACACTTACATACTGTGACATTGAATTACTAGCACTGAGTGGCAATTGGCGTACTATGTAGTAGATCGAATAGATGTCTACATAGGTATAGCACTTGAGTATACTGCACTAGTAGCACTACTGTATAGTGCTAGTATTCAATTATTCCGAGCCATACAAAGTAGACAATTTCAAAGTTGAATAGAGCTAAATTGTACATTCTGCTAAAAACCAATGCTATATGAAATATCAAAGCTATGCACCCAATACTTGAATAATACTCCAAACTCCAAGTCCGTCCGTCGTAACAAATTCCCATCATCCATGATATCACAGTAATACATCAATTTACCAGTCAATGCCATTGGCGGGCTGAACAGGCGGCCGAGCTAGTGCTTCACCATCAGCCACCTTCTTGCCTCGCATGCCCTTGTATCTCTTATCCATCTTTTGGAATGGATCCGGTGCTTCTCCCTTTTTGACCTTCCATTTCTCCGTACCAAGAACTGAATCCAGCTCTTCAACCGGGGGCAATTTGATATAGACCCAGCCATCATCCCGTTCCTCAACTGGAAATGTAGTAATATTCATGCTCTCATCATTCGAGCAGCGACCTGCCTGCTCACCATTGAGGTCAAAATTGCGTTTGTGGTACGGGCATGAAACCCAGTATTTTCCTGCATCATCATCACCAATTAATCCATCCGAAAGCACGAACGCCCGTTTGTGAGGACACATCTGTTGTGTGGCGTAAAACTTCCCTTTTATCTTGAACACAGCCAGTTGAGTATCACCACGCTTGACATTGGCGGATGAAACTTGAGGTGGTTCATCGGAGAAGTGGTCGGCTTTAACAACGGGCTGCCAAGACAGACTAGACCATTGGTGGCCCTTGAAGTCCTCCTTGGCTGATTCTTGTGGCCAGTATGTGGGGCGCTCCTGGGAACGCTCCTGAACAACTTCAACTGAATCCACAGTTTCATCTGTGTTGGCAAATTGCTGGAAGGTCTTTCGTCGCTTCGGATCGCGGACTGTCTCTGTCCATTCGCAGAAGTAGCTGTCGACAAGTCCTTGCATTTGTTTTTCCATGTCGGCACAAATGCCCAGTTTGTCGTCCAGGATAACTTCTTTCAAGTAAACGATGCCGCCCGGGAGATTTTCAATCCATCTGGCTGTTCGCTGCAGTTTATCGGCGGTGCGGATGTAGAAGATCAGATATCGGTCGATGATTGGCATGACCATCTCTGGCGGTACATCCTTAATGAGCAACTCGGAGTGACGTGGCTGTGCGCCTCCATTTCCTCCGACAAAGATGTTGAAACCTTTCTCAGTAGCGATGAGACCGAAGCTAGTGGTTCAATAATTAGGTATTATACTTGGAACAGAGCGATACTTCGTTGACTTACTCCTTGTTCTGTGCCTCAGCACATTCACGCACACAACCAGACACCGCTGCCTTGAACTTGTGTGGCGCTCGAATGCTCTTGTAACGTTCTTCCAGTCTGATTGCCATACCGACACTGTCGCTTAGACCAAAGCGACACCATGTAGTACCGACGCAACTCTATGAGCAGTAAGTCAGTCAATGTTATCAAGATTAAAGGGACTCAGGCTTACCTTGATGGCACGAAGTGCCTTTGCGTATGCATGACCACTTTCCATTCCAGCATCGACAAGCTCGGTCCAAATGGCCAACAAGTCTTGCTTCTTGGCACCAAACATATCAATACGCTGAGCACCCGTGATCTTGCAGTATAGACCATATTTCTTAGCCACAGATCCGATAGCAATAAGCTTATCAGCTGTGATCTCTCCACCAGGGACTCGTGGCACAACAGAGAATGTTCCGTTTCTCTGAATATTGGCCAGAAACTTGTCATTCGTCTCTTGCAGTTCATTGTATCCTTTGTCCATAACGTGTGGGTTGTATAAACTCGACAGGATGGATCCGATGGCAGGCTTGCACAATTCACATCCGAGGGATTCAGGTCTGTTTCCTGCTGTCTTCATCACTTCGACAAATGTCTTCAGCTGCTTGACTGCAATGAGATTGTAAAGATCGGCGCGAGAGTAAGGGATGTGTGAACAGACTGTAATTTATTAGCAAAAGTCTTCGATTAGTCCCGAACCTGGTATACTCACGATGATTCGACACCTCTTGTCCCATCCCAAGCATCGTCTTGTTGAAGATCGATTGAACCAATGGCATGCAACCACCACAACCAGTTCCTGCTTTAGTACAGGACTTGACCTCACCGATTGTTTTGCAGGTTCCATTTTTCACATTTTCCACCACGTCGCCCTTTGTCACATTGTGACACGAGCAAATCTGGGTGTCGTCATCACTATATGATTGTCAGTTTTCGTTGTCAATTGGTAAGGAAGGATAGTGCTTACAGATCATCTGCATTCTCCTCACCATCGTTCTGAGCCCCGAGAATGAACTGGCTCGGTGGGACTTCAAGCTCTTTCTGGGCCTTGACCATCTGATTCAACTTGAGATAGTCCTTAGTGTCCCCGATCATCATACCACCCAGCAGATATTTTCCGTCCATAGTAAACAAATACTTTTTGTAGACACCGCCGAACGGATCTTTGTATGTGAGAGCCTTCACAGGAGGCTCTTTCTCGCGGGGCTCATCTGTATCAACTGAGGCAATAGCAGGACGATCACCGGGGAGAAATTTTGGACCATCTCTGTCGGCAAAGAAGTCTCCAAATGAGGCGACATCAACTCCAAGGAGCTTTAATTTCGTACTCAGATCTGGCCTGGTAAAGCTCTTCGGTTCTTTGTCTGGATGTGTGAGGTTGTAGGCCAGCACATCCGCCATTTCAATGCCAGGCGCAATAATTCCAAAAGTCTGGTTTTCCCAGCTGGCACACTCTCCTACTGCATAAATATTGGGTACCGAGGTTTGAAGACTGCATCACCGAGATCAGTTGGGATGAACATATTGAGTATCTTTCCGAAGTAGACTAACCCTTCACCAATGACAAATCCACCCCGCGTAGCAGATTGTATACCTGCAGATTGTCCCAACTCATCTCTCGGCTTCACGCCAATCTGGGAAAAGGTTAGCACATATTCCCCATGTGAGTAGGAATTCAACTTACAGCGAAACAAATGCAGCAGCACTCAATATGCTGCCCATCCTCAAAGGTAATACCCGTCACATTATTCTCGGAGTCCGTGTTAACGAGCGCAACCCGCTTCTCATGCAGAACATCGAGTCCTAGTTCTCTGATCTTGCGAGTAACCAAAGTACCCGCATCAGAATCCAACTGTCGAGCCAAAACCCATTTATTGCGATCGATTAATTTGACGTTTCCGAAATCCTCTAGGTCTGTCATAGCCTTGGCAGCCTCCAGACCTAACAAGCCACCTCCTACCGTGACAGCAGTTTTGCCTTTATGTTGCGATGCGAAATCAATGAGACGCTCCAAATCGGAAATTGTACGATAAACGAAAATGCCCTTGGCATCGTGGCCGGGAGTACGAGTAGGGAGGACAGCATCGGATCCGGTGGCAAGGACTAAAATATCATAGGAGATGGTATCTTGGGTGGATGTTTGGACGGTCTTATTGGTAGGGTTGATTTCTGTGACTCGAGTATTGAGGTGATAATCGAAGGCTCTTTCTTTGATTGACCAGTACTAATATGGATTGTTAATATCATGATATTGACAGGCGCATATTTAACTTGGAAGGAGGCTAGAGCTTACCCATTCTGTCGGGTTTAAGTATAGATCCTCGATCTTGCGATGTTCAAAAAATGATGATAATCCAACACGATTGTATGCGACATGTGCCTCTTCACCAATCACGAGGATATCATATCGGCGCTCGGTATCTTGTTTGATGATTTTCTCACTGAAGTTCAGGTTGTCAGTCACAAGTATACTGAATGACCCAATACGAATGTTCATCCTACATGAGTGAGATAGCCACCATTCCTAGACCAACTATTACAATCTTTTGACGTTTTGAACGATCTGAATCTCCATTGAAACTGGGACTGCCATCAACTGGCTCACCATGTCGAAGACCATCGAGTACTGGCATTATGGCAAGTGGTGTGATAAAAAAAGGTTATTATTCTAATGTTACAAAATTAGGCCATAGTAAAGGTTATAAGAGAAGACCCTTGGAAAGAACCGGGGCTTTTAAAAAAAAGAAATAAAATTGATAAGTTAATAGAATCAAATAAAATCAAATAAAATCCCGATGTCGTGCAATGTAAGAATCACACCCTTACTATTCCGAGTGTACGGGGGTTCATGTCCCGGGTACGGGGAGCCAAGAGCCAAGAGCCATATACGGGTTGAGAGTACGGAGTAAAGATAAGCAATATTATGTTAATGTTAGTTCGCTTCCGCGGAGATCATTCGCTGATATTACAGGGATTATGATTGGTCCTTATTATACTAACTGATAAGGAACTTCCAAGGTTGTTAATCACCCTTGATCAGCAATAATACCAGGACAATGTACATGACGTAGAATTCCTAGTAAATATGTGTAGTCTTGACAATGGTAAATGACAGATTCGCCACATTTTTCCGCTTCTGACCGCGGAGATATAGTCAATTTAGTTCATTTTTAGTCGAAGCAATCGGATCTTTTAACGAACCCATGTTGAAACCATCCCCGGACACGAGGTCTCAAAGCCCTGATACCCTGATATTACTACATTATGAATGAAATGAAGAGTCGGTTATCATCTCTTAAGTCTCTCATTCTAGTCTAATGTTCATTTTCTATACTTAAAATCAGAAAATCAACTATTATATAAGCGGAGAAAAAAAAACCGGGGCAATTTAAGTTGGAGCTTTCAAGGAACTCAAGAAAAAAAACAATAGTCATTATCTCATCCTATCACCATGTCGACAATCACACAAACGATCCTGAATACCGATGAAATCACTTTCAAGACGAAGAAAGTCACATTTCATGATCTTCCAACACCAGAAGAGCCCGATATCCCCCTTCCTCCTCCATCATTCAACCCGACCGAGATCCTAGAACTCGATAAAGGCACTCCCGATAACCATGTCCCTCGCGATCCAAGACTCATTCGTTTAACGGGTGTACACCCTTTTAACGTGGAGGCACCCCTTACGGCCCTATATAATGAAGGTAAAGTCTTCATATACATCCCAAGTTCTCTTGATGCATGTTTACTTCTATGTCAACAACTGGAACTGACAGGGATATTATAATTAAGGCTTTCTCACATCCCCGGAACTATTTTACGTTCGGAATCATGGACCAGTACCTCAAGTTCGAGATGAAGATATTCCTAATTGGGAGATTAGTATAGAAGGGTGAGTTTAATTCAACCTTTCCTATATATTTTCTTTTCTTTTTTCAATTTTTTTTTATTTTTCCAAAAAAACAAGCGTGCATATGCTAAGTCTAGTTTAGACTAGTGGAAAATCCCATCACCCTAACTTTTCGAGACATACTACAAAATTATGACCAAATCACTGCCCCGATTACACTCGTTTGTGCTGGAAACAGACGAAAAGAACAAAATACTGTGAGAAAATCAAAGGGTTTCTCATGGGGTCCGGCTGGACTCTCTACCGCGTTATGGACAGGTCCTATGATGGCAGATATCCTACGAACTGCAAAGCCAACGCGACGAGCTAAGTATGTATGCATGGAAGGTGCTGATAAATTGGTAAGAACATCAATCCAATCAAAAATATTAATCAAATCTAATCATGTATAGCCTAATGGATACTATGGAACATCGGTTAAATTGAACTGGGCTATGGATTTTAACAGAGGAATCATGCTTGCTCACAAGATGAATGGCGAAGATCTGCGTCCTGATCATGGACGTCCCTTGAGAGCTGTGGTGCCTGGGCAAATCGGTGGACGAAGTGTTAAGTGGATTAAGAAACTTATCGTCACTGATGCGCCGAGTGATAACTGGTACCATATCTATGATAATCGGGTTTTACCGTGAGTACACCGCTTAGTGTCTCTGTGATGTATGCTGATATCAAATTAGTACTATGGTCACGCCTGAGATGGCTACCGAGGACAAGAAATGGTGGACTGACGAGCGGTACGCCATCTATGATCTCAATGTCAATTCCGTGGCAGCCTATCCTGAGCATGAGGAAGAACTGGACCTCACCACGGCTGGACCGACGTACACGGCGAGGGGTTATGCGTACGGAGGAGGTGGTCGAAGAATCACAAGAGTCGATATATCTCTTGATAAAGGGAAATGTAAGAACTTTCATGCATTCCTTTCTCCAACTTGAATACTTGGAGACTGACATGTAATCCAGCGTGGCGACTTGCCGATATTGAATATGCCGAAGACAAATACCGGGACTTCGAAGGCGAGCTATTTGGCGGCAAGGTCGACATGTGGAAGCGAGAGACCTGTTTCTGCTGGTCATTCTGGTCACTCAAGATCCCTGTCTCCGACCTGGAGAATAGTAGTGCATTGCTTGTTCGGGCCATGGATGAAGGGATGATGGCCCAGCCCCGCGATATGTACTGGTCAGTCCTGGGTATGATGAACAATCCCTGGTTCCGAGTGACCATCACAAAGGAAGGGAATCGTCTGAAATTTGAGCATCCAACCCACCCAGCCAGGGCTGGCGGTTGGATGGAGAAGGCTAAAAAGGCTGGCGGTGATTTGACCAATGGTAACTGGGGCGAGAGGATCGAGGGAGAAGCTCCTGTCGAAACAGAGCCCGTGAAGGAGATCGATATGAAGAAGGAGGGAGTGAACCGCCAGATTGATCTGGCTGAATTGAAAGCAAACAGCAGTCTTGAAAAGCCTTGGTTCGTGGTGAACGGCGAGGTTTACGATGGAACAGGATTTTTGGAGGGCCATCCTGGAGGTGCAATTAGTATCACATCATCAGCTGGACTGGATGTTTCAGAAGACTTCCTTGCTATTCGTGAGTATACCTTGAGCCCCCTTCTAATAATCTCATACTGACTCCTATCACAGACAGTGAAACTGCCAAAAAGATGATGCCTGACTACCATCTCGGCACATTGGACAAAGCCTCTCTTGAAGCTCTGAATAGCAAATCCGCAGAAGGCCCAAGTGAGCCACGCGCAACATTCCTTCAATCACGCTCATGGTCAAAGATGATACTTTCCGAGGTGAAGAATGTATCATGGGACACCCGGATCTTCGTCTTCGACCTCGAACACGGAAAGCAGACTCTCGGTCTACCAATCGGTCAACATCTAATGATCAAGGTCCCAGACCCAGTCAACAAGGAATCCATCATCCGATCCTACACGCCTATATCAGACACAAACATCGAGGGAAAGATGGAATTGCTAGTCAAGATCTACTTCCCCAGCGCAACCATTCCGGGTGGCAAGATGACCATGGCGCTCGATGCTCTCAAATTGGGAGCAGGTATCGACTGCAAGGGACCAACAGGTCGCTTCGAGTACCTCGGAAACGGTCGACTCATCGTTAGTGGTAAAGAGCGAAAGGTCAAGTCATTTACTATGATCTGTGGTGGAACTGGTATTACACCTATCTTTCAAGTTCTGCGCGCTGTTATGCAAGATCCCAATGACCCGACTACCTGTGTTGTTCTTAATGGAAACAGATTGGAAGAAGATATCCTTTGTCGGGCTGAGCTTGATGCCTATGTCGCGCTTGATAGCCGGAAATGTACGGTTGTACATACCTTGTCAAAGGCCTCGGACAGTTGGGTTGGTCGTCGTGGACGAATCTCTGAGGATTTGATCAAGGAGTACGCGCCGGCTGTGGGTGAAAGCATGGCTATTCTCTGTGGACCGGAGGCTTTGGAGAAGTCTGCTAAAAAGGTTCTCCTTGATCAAGGCTGGGCAGAGTCAGATCTTCACTTCTTCTAAGAGGTTGAGCTGTGTTATGTTTTTTTTCTGTTCGTTTCTTGTCTTTTGACGTTTCGCAATGTATAGTCATATCGTGGCAGTAAAACCGGTTTAGTACGATACTGGGTGCGATAACCTAGTTTGTGCGATAAATTTTTAACCGGAAATTCAGTTTCCCATATAAATATCGCAACTTTTCCGTTACAGCAATATATCGCATATCTCCCAGGCCCCCCTTACATTTATCGTTCAATCCAGGTCATCATTTCCCTGATTACCTAACAGTCAACCAATCAAAATGCCTCGTCAAGCCATCACGAACCAGCAAAAGATCGCTCTCAGAGAGCAGCACCGCAAGCACCCTTCGGCTACTCAAAACCAGCTTGCTCACTGGTTTAATGAGACCTATAACCATCGTCCTACCCAATCTACCTTATCCGCTATCCTCTCCCCTAAATATCAACATCTCGATACCGATCCAACCGAGCATACGATAAAAGCGAAGCGGTGCCGCACCGCTAAGTGGCCAGACCTCGAAGCCGCACTTATACATTGGATTATTCTCGCGCAAGAGAAGATCACAATAACACAAGACGTTATTCGGGAGAAAGCTCGGTTTTTCTGGACCCAACTTCCAATATACGAAGGTCAATCGATGCCTACATTCAGTAATGGTTGGCTAGAAGCCTTCCAAAGCCGGGAATCAATTCGAAATCGCCTATATGCTGGTGAAGATAGAAGCACACCAGAATCTGCAAATGAATCTATGATTCCTATCCGGCAAGCACTTGAAGTATACCACCCAAAGGATATCTTCAATTGTGATGAAACTGGACTTTATTGGAGACGAATCCCTGATCGAAGCCTTGCTACCAAGAATCTACCGGGGAAAAAGCAACAAAAATCAAGAATTACAGCATTATTTTGCTGTAACTCCGATGGTTCTGAGAAATTGACCCCTTGGTTTATTGGAACAGCTCGAAAGCCCCGTGCTTTTACTGCTGCTCAGATCGATATCAATAATTTCAATCTTCAATGGAGATCTAATACAAAAGCATGGATGGTTAGCAAGATCTTTGAAGAGTGGCTTCGATGGTTCGATAACAAGATGGTTCATCGGAAGGTAGTGCTTCTTCTGGATAATTTTTCTGCGCATGAATCCGCAGTAAGGACTATCAATAGCAGTCCTTCACCACTTCGAAACACCCTGATTATTTGGCTTCCCGCTAATTCAACAAGCCGGTTTCAACCATTAGATCAGGGTATTATTAGAACCTGGAAAGCCTACTGGAAATGCCAGTGGGTAAGGTTTATGGTATCTGAATTTGATGCAGGCCGTGATCCAATACAATCTATGGATGTGCTTCATGCATTAAGATGGGGGATTCAGGCATGGGAATTTGATATTTCCGCTCAAACTATCACCAATTGCTTTAATAAAGCATTGATCGATAAAGGCGAAGACTATCAAATACACCAGCAACTGATTGATGAACTCAATGCTGGTTTAACTATGCTAAGGCCTTTATTACTAGATCCAATAAGTATCGAGAACTTCCTTCATCCTCTGGATGAGGTAATTCAAGATAGTATTGAGACTATAGATAATATTGTGCTAAGCCAGTTTCCCAGAGAGGTTGATGGTGATGATGATGATGATGCAGAAACTATACCTGAAACCCCCCCCTAGTTCCGATAAATGATGCTATTCGTGCATTAGACACGCTTTGTTTATATGAAGAGCAGCAAGACCAGGGCGAAATGCAGTTGATAACTAGCCTGTATAGACATAAGAGGTTGATACAGGATAGGAGATCAAAAGCACAAAAGCAGAAGGATATAAGGGGCTATTTCCTATAGAAATTTGTATGTATAACAGAAATATATATAGTGCGATACCTAGCTATAACGATATATATTGACCAAACCAATTGTATCGTACTAAACCGGTTTTACTGTATTTGCATCGGTCCTAATGTATAGACGAACTTGAAAGTGGGCAGGCGTAATGGATCTTGTTTACTGTATTGCAAAATACATAAGAATTGCATTGAAACTTGAAGTCTTTCATTAATCATAAACTGCGTCAACGAGGACCCTTTTCCATCGAGAGATCGATTCCACATGCTATCAGTAGTAGTCCTTGACCTCCAATCTCACACGAAGATGTTCAAAGACACTAGTGGGCTCGTTTCTTAAACCAAAGAAGGCCGCTGATTTCACCATAGTCTTCGATGCGCCCTTCCCTGACTCCAAGCCACGTAGATACGCAATGAACGTGGAAACCTGCTTCCTGAACATGGAGTACAGATGAAGAACTTGACCCTCGTTCTCGTGACGAAGACCACTCCCATCGGCCCTGGACATTGAGCTGAATGCAAGTATCGTGCTAAAGATATTATCTAATAACTTTGCGGCTGCTGTGTGCCGCTTGCTGAGAAAGAAGGCGAAGAGCATTTGATCCAGAATATCTTCGTGCAGGTCACGGAGACGCGGAACAGAGTGGGCAGCCTCGAGTGTGCCATCTATGTCCCCACGATTGAGACAGCGTTCGATCTTGTCGAGGGTATCCTGGAATCGACTCCATGTTGACCCAATACCAACATGAAAGCAGTAGTCGCTGATAGCGAGGACGAAGTGTTGCGCGTCGATTCTAAATTTTTGGAACACGTTTCTTGTGTCGCCAGCGAGTGTATCTCGGACGGTAGAGTCTCGAACAATGCCTTTGACAACAGATACCATTCGAAGAAGGCGAAGTAAGTGCTTGAATAAGCGATCGTACTTACTTAGTGACCGTGGGGTTATGAGGGCTTCAAGAGTATCAGATGGCTTGTATTGAAGACGGAGGAAATCGAGTGCTTCTATCGCGTTGGGATCTCGACATCGCTCAATCTCTTCGCTTGACAACTCGCGGATCGCAAAGCTGAGTCCACCAGGAAGCTCATTCTCCTGAGTAGATGCCTTGTCTGATGGGTCGGGCTTTTTCTCGGAAAAGTAACAGTCCCCAAGTAAGCCGATAAGTACGAGTCGTAGCTCAGAGCTTGCAGGTGGCCAGGTATCACGGTTTCCCAGACGCAAACCTGTATGAACACCGCTGCGAACTACACCCGTTTTTCGTTCTCCACTCTCCATCTCAGGATCAAAGAGCGAGTGTGAAAGGCGCGATGCAAATGTCCCATCGCCGAGTAATTGAAACCGCCATTGTAGATTTAGATGATGGCGAACATCGTGCTCTTTGAACAAATGATGAAGGCATGAGAAGTCGATAAGTTGGGCCTGAGACGATATGACTGGTGCAAAGGAAAGATAGAGCTCAGAGGCCAGCTCAGGTCCGAAACGTGTCTCAGAATCACTGAACATCATCTCACCCCTTGTCCTTTGAAGCATGTCACTTATCTTGTCTTCGGAAAGTGTTTTCTCGTACATTGCAGAGTCGGAGATTTGATTATCACCATCAATATCAAACAGATTAAATGTTTTCTCCACTATCTCATTATTTTCAGTCGCTGGGTCGCTGGGAACAGAGCCATCATCCGTTGGTTGTATTTTCGAGTCTCCTTTGTGATATCTCAATATCTCGGCGCGAAGATTTGCCTCATACTCTTGAGCCTTGCGCTGGATTTGTTCGATCTCAGTCCAGGTAGTCGCACAGTGCATACGAAGATGGCCAGTTCGAGCAAGAACATCGTGACGCCCAATCGGGTGATGAGGATGAGACTTTTTAAGAAGTCGCAGACTTTTGCCGCTTTCAAAAATTAACTGTGCTTGGTCGTGGGGAATAAAGGATGGCATATGGTCACCACGGTAGGCATAGTCAAACCTTGAAGGCCTCGTCCTAAATTTGATAGGATCGTCATACTTCTCGACCTGAATGAACGTTTTGCCATTGACTATCAAGTCATTGAGCGCTGGACCTTCTGGACGAAGCCCAATCCAACCCTCAATAAATCCTAGCCAAGGTTCTGTAACCCGAACAACAATTTCTTGGACTAGATTTTCCATCCAGCCAAACCTTTGCGCAAGAAAGGCGGCATGGTCCATGACGATGGATATGACTTCTGCGTCTGAGCTCGCCTTCTCCGTTGCTTTCACAATCTCTGCCAAGGTTTGGATCAAGTCTCCACAACGATGAAACAAGGTAGCCGCCTGCAGCATGGTGATGATACTATCGGAGTGGCCCATAATCTGGCGCTCAAAGTGGTAGATGATGACAGCAACAGTGCCACGCAAGGTGAATACCGAGGACAAATCCTTCGACTTTGTTTGCAAGTTCCGAGCAAACTTTCGCACATATTGCATGTTTGTGCCACAGCGCAGCACATCTTCAACAATCATGTCTGTGATTGATTGACTCACGCCAGATACACGGATATCGGAAATGTATTTCTCGAGTTTCATGGTCTTGGGGTCGCAGCGAAAGAATGGAGAGCTCCAGCCGAGTCCCAGGCGTAATAGCGATCGTACAAAGGCAGTCTCACGAACCGCACGGCCGGAAATTTCCAAGCCCTTCTTCCTTGAAATATCTGCTAGGGCAGCATCAAAGCCTTCCACGCCCGACTCGCTGAAATAAGCGGATACAGGCTCTTGGAATGACCTGTTTTCGAATTTCTCCCATGATTTCAAAGGCACAACGAAGCCAGGATCCGGCTGGAGCAAGTCCAGAGCCCAGATATCATCCTCGGTACCTTTCTCTTGTATTCCTTCCGCTGATACGCAAGACTGAGCGTCTATTGAAGCATCAATGCTCGAGTGAACGGACGACTCCGGGGGTTCAATATCGGTTGAGAAGTTCAACTTCCATATGGGATCAATATCATCGAATTTTTCAAAATTCGTAAATGCGGATTCCGAAATGTCTATTTATCAACACTATAATTAGTCTTGATCAATTGAAAAATGTAGCGCTTCCACAGGTTCCAAGGTTACATACCAAATAGGCCCGCGTTCCATGGTAAATCATCTAGAGGGTGCAGAGCCTCTACACTGAACCTGGAGAGTCTCCAAAGACTCGCGCTGGAAAATGGATCCAACTCCTGATCTCTGGAGTCCATGATATGTCCATAGCCAAAGCGCAAAGGCGTAAAGTGTTTCCGACGCGTCGAGTTCGGAATCGAGTCCTGAGTCCCGCGCTGCATTTAGGCTATCGTGCACGGACCTGCGCGATAACAGAAACCCGCGCCTACCTTCAACTTGTGCGCTCTTCACCAGCTCTAGCTCTTTTCACAGCATAACGATTCCGTGAATTTTCTTACTTGTTAGACTGTCCATATACAATAATGCCGCCACGGAAGAAAGCTAAGCGCGCGCACTCCACTACACCGCAGGCCGATGCGGCGCAATCGAGCGCGGACACCCCCCGGGTCTACCGACAGTAATGGCAAGCCCGAGGCGGATTATGACATACTCAGTGATCCATGGACCGATGAACAAGAGACCGCGCTTTTGAAAGCGATCATTAAATGGAAGCCCGTGGGTGAGTTGATCTATCCTAGCGCATGTGTAGCGGGGATGGACGCTGAAGCTAACTGATTGATCTCGTTACCACAGGCGTGCACAAACATTTTCGCATGCTCGCGATAGCTGATTTTATGAGGAGTCATGGGTATGGTTCTGCCACAGCAGACCATTTGAGTATCCCGGGAATTTGGAAGAAGCTTGGCACATTGTACAACCTTGAAGCTCTTGATGAACGGGTAAGCTACCTTTGCTTTGATCTCGTGTGGGCATCTTGCTAACGGTATCTGCTTTATTAGGAGGATTCGGTGATTACGGATATGAATGAAGATGAGGATGGTGTCAGCGAACGTTACTGTCCATTCGAACTTCCCTACGATGAATACGGTGACATGATGTTCGAGAGGCGGCTTGCCACAGAAGGTTCCTCGTCCCCGGTGATGAGTCGCCAGGCCGATTCCCGCCGAGGAAGCACGGTGGCCGACACAGATGGTAAGAACTGCAGATTTCCCGTTGAGTTGATTTCGCCAGTACCTAATAAATTTCTGTTGCAGAAGCTCGATCCTCTCCCGCTCCATCTCGAGGTCGCAAATCGACTCGCGGTACTCGCCAAACTGGCCGAGAAACTCGGTCAACAAGATTACAGGTGGAGATTGGTACTGGGAGTCAGGGAAAGGTGTCTGATGTGGATGAAGAGTCTGATGAAGATACCGGCGGCAATGATGAAGACGAGGAGGACGAAGAAGATTCCGATGGAAAAGATAGTGAGGGCGAAGATGAGGCTGAGGATGGGAAGGGAGGGTCACGCAGTACAAGGGCTCAGACTTCTCGATCCAAGCAAAAAGACAAAAAGTCTTCAGCAGGTACCTCGACTCGCCGTACTGGTCGCCGGCGTTGAGTCATGTTATCAGTCTTATATTTGTGATACCTAAAACCTCGATGTTGGGCGTTGGGGCTTGTCTTTGAGTTTGAATGATTATGAAACTTGTACTTTTACTTATGAAGCATTTCATTGTTCCCATTTCATGTGAATTCTTGCTAGTTCTTCCATGATGTTATCCTAAGAAAATGATTGCTTCAATGCCTCTACGGGAAACTCAAGAGAAGATGAGAGTATGAAAATCGTATATGGATATCAATTGATCGTATATGTACTAGTATGTTGGTATTTCATACAACAAAAACTGGAATAGGAACCTTGTAAAAAAAGCACCCAAGTACAAAATCAAGCCTTAAGTGGTCTGGAATGACTCAATATCTGAGCTCATTCCATTTAGTGCTTGGCAGCCTCTGTATATAATATTAGCACCGATACAGTCATATATTATTGTGCTTAACATGGATCTAGGTCTTACCCTTGTGCACATCAGCCTTGGTGTCGTGCTTCTTCTCATCAACCTTATTGCCGACTGCGTCTTTGGCAGCCTGAGCCCGGGTACCGAGACCAGCATCGGAGTCCTTGGCGACGTTCTTGTTGACTTCCTTTGAGGCAGTGGCGTCTGTGCCCTTAACAGTCTCAGCGACGTAGTTGGCGGCGTTCTAGAAAGAGGTCAGTATGACTTCGAAGGTCCACAGTGATAATAGACTAACCTTAACGGTCTCCATGTTGGATGATTATAGTAGAATTGAAGTTGAGAAAGTGTTTGGAAAGATGAAAAACTTCCACTGCAGGCGTCTTAGGCTGGGCTATTTATCATTGTGTTTGAGTCACGTCATGACTATGTTGGTCCTGCTTTTGTTGATTCAGAGCTTGTTAGTACAACAGTTCCAACTTGAAGTTCATAGAGATCCACATCTGCATGCACGTCATTCTGAGTAACTAAGTGAGAAGATCATGTAAGCCTGCCTAAGTGCTAGTGGTGGATCCTCTTCCGGGTACATTCGAGTTAGAATGTCAACCTTGGAAGATTCATGTAGAGTAGATTAGAGGCGCTTAGAGGCGCATAGTCCACATAAAACCGGATTCCTTAGGTAGCATAGGCTGCACAGCCTTGTGAAGTAATCCGGATATCTACCCGCGAATCCAAGTCTGGTAACATTAAAAGTTAAAGACCCACAGACATCAAAACATCCTCGGTCCAAGTTTATCAAGTTTGATTGTGAACATTGAAAGAGTTAAAAATGACATATGAGGAATGCTTCAGACTAAACAGTCAGAAATGTCTTTTGAAATCATCTCGTAACTACACAAGTAGGTATATTTCGATCGCTATAGGAAGTCTAATGTCGTTCGAGGGGTACATGTAAAAAAAAAGCTCAAAAGGTCATAGTACAGAAAATCCGAGTCGCGTCAAGTTTACAGGCGCTTCATGATAGCCTCGGCGTACTCGTGGGTCTTAGCAGAACCACCAAGGTCACCGGTCAGGGCCTAAAGAGTTTGTTAGTATTCTATTATTCAGGTTGAAGACTCGAATCATCAAAACTTACCTTGCCCTCAGCAAGAGTGTCGAAGGTAGCCTTCTGGATGCGAGCAGCGTGGTCGTGGAGACCCATGTGCTGCAGCATCATAATACTGCTCAGAAGCAGAGCAGTAGGGTTGGCAAGACCCTTACCGGCGATATCGGGGGCGGAACCGTGAACGGCCTCGAAGATAGAGCACTCATCACCAATGTTACCGGAGGGGGTCAGACCGAGACCACCAATCAGACCAGCGCACATGTCGGAGAGAATGTCACCGTACAGGTTGGGCATGACAAGAACCTTGTCGTTGTAGGGAGTAGGGTCGGTGACGATCTTCAGGCAAGAGTTGTCCAGCAGCTCAGCGTCGAACTCGACACCGGGGAAGTCCTTGGAAATGTCACGGGCAGTGTTCAGGAAGAGACCGTCGGACATCTTCATGATGGTGGCCTTGTGCACAACGCGGACCTTCTTCTTGTTGATTGACTCGGCGTACTGGAAGGCGAAACGCAGGACACGCTCGGAGGCCTCCTTGGTGATAAGCTTGATGCTCTGAACAACACCATCAACAACGACGTGCTCGATACCGGAGTATTCACCCTCCGTGTTCTCACGGATCAGGACAGTGTCGACACCATCGTAGGGGGGTCTTGAAACCGGCAATGGAGCGGCAGGGACGGACGTTGGCGAACAGGTTGAAGGTACGACGGAGGGTCAGGTTAAGAGAGACGTGACCCTTACCAACGGGGGTCTTTAATAGTGATGGTTGTTTTAGTAAACGATCGTCTAATATGAGCCAAAAGTGGAAGGTGTGGGTCAAGAACATACAGCGAGAGGACCCTTAAGGGCGACGTAGTTCTTCTCCACGCTGCGAATAGCATCATCGGGGATAGCGGTCTTGCCATCCTTCAGGATGGGGCCAACATCGACAGGCTCCCACTTGATAGGGGCCTATATGAATTAATTAGTATGTTAACTGTGCGGGCGAACCCCCGATTTTGTGTTGCGACAAGCTCATACCTTCGCAGCCTCGAAAATATCCTTAACAGACTGAGAGATCTCAGGACCAATACCGTCACCCTCAATCAAAGTAACAGTGTACTTGCCCTATAATATCCAAAGAATAATCCATCAGTATTGTCGTATAACTATTTTCTTCCAATGTTGGATCATGTCGATAGTCGGGGGGCTGGTGGAAAAGTGGTCCGCGCAAAGCGATGCGCGGTTGGCGCCGGCAACACATGAAAAAAAAAAAGCGAAAAACGGAACTTGGTGAAATTATCGACATACATCGGAGCCCTTCTGACCCTTGAACTTGGCGACGGCATCATCGGCAGAGGCAGCATAACCGCGAATCTAAATTAGAAAAAGCGCAATGGTTAGACAAAGTATATCAATTTCATATAGAGGGGAGTTTGCGATACCTGCGACACGGGGGCCACGAAACTAGGAGTAGCGCGAACAGTTCGCAGACACTGACGAGCAGCGGAGAAGTTTCTGGCAGCAAGCATCTTGAATAGAACCTTTTAACGAAAATAAACGAGAAAGGTAGGTATTTTATATAATAGTAGGAAAAGAGGGGAGAATAATACAAAGAGAGAAGGGGAGAAACTCAGAGCGAAAGGACTTTCTCGGCGCCGCACCGATCCGACCGGGACTCAGACCGCATTGGTGGTTTGATTTCCTCCCCGGTAACCCGAGTCCACTATCCTATCTTCCATTGGTCTTTCGGTGAAGACCCTCTGGCACTTTTGGGTGCTAAACACACAATCTGTTATCGTTCATATCGTTCATATCGATATCTATTATCTCTTAAGAGGGAGCTTGTACGGAGCCCACTTTGTACACCCCCCCCTTTCCCTTTCTGACACTTCTGACGTCGGTTTCTCTACCATTTTAAACCGTCCTGTCTCCACTTCCACCCAAAACAACTACACCTGGCATCATGGCCGATCTCGATGTCGCTCGTCATTATAACCTACCCTCTGAATATCCCGAAGAATGGCCTGCAGCATTAGATGAGGACAATGCATCGGAGGAGGAATCTCTGGAACGCACTAGATCTCGCCCCCGCAAATCTCGCTATTTCGCGTTGGAACGAACCCCTAGTGACTGGCGCAGTGGTTATGGCTCCCGCCGAGGAAAGGATACTAGAGAAAATGCGCAAAATGATGAACCGGATCCATTGGGAATGGGAGATAGTGTCTTGCGCATCTTAAAACAAAAGGGCCTACGTCTTGGGGAGGAGGATGGGGGGAAACGATCGCGGTTCCTGCTCTCATCGACATCCTTCTCCCCCGCACTCTTCCTATCTCAAGCCCATCACTCCGACTCAATTGAATCACTTATGACTGGTCTTAATCATCTATCCCAATCAATCGATCAGAAGTCAGCATCGCTGAAAGTACTGGTGGAAGCAAACTTCGAGCGTTTTGTCCGTGCCAAGGCAACCATCGATAGTGTATACACGGAAATGAGAGATCAGGGTGTTGAAAAGGAAGCAGCTCTCACCCCTCGACGATCTGGTCATTTCCGAAGCTTGTCAGGACAACGGGGAGTGTCTCCATCTCCTGGGTTCGCGCCACAGGCTCCAGCTCGCAAAACCGCCCTGGTTAAGGAGAGCGAATACGGGATGAAAGGTATTCGAGCGCCTCTTGTGGAAGCTTCTGTCAAGGCAGAGGAAGTCTGGGGTCCCGCACTTGGTGGCCGGGATCGGGAGCAAATTCTTAAGTCGGTTGTAGAGACAATGGAGAAACACCGGGACGTATACGAAATTGGAAGTCACCTATCTAAGTCCATTCAGCAACGCGACTACGACTCTGTGTTTGAGCAGTATACCAAGGCGAGGACCCTGGCTAATCGAGCGAAAAGTATTGTGGAGCAGGTCTCCAGCACCCGTCGGCAACTCTCAGACTTTGAAGCGCATACGATCTTGGCTATGGGGAGAATGTGGTTGGATGTGGATGATCAAATCCATGCGTTCAAGCGTGAACTCTGGCGACGCCTTAGCGATGCACCCACAACTTCTACAACCAGCACTGCATCCGGTCCGGTGGAGGAGCATATGGAGCTAATCGGAGCGCTATTGGAGTTGGGCGTTGAGGATAATCCCATCTGGACGTGGCTTCACAGTCGCCACGAGTTTCTCAAGTCTAAAATCATTTCATTCTGCGATCGTTGCAAAGTCGAGATCGAGATTTTGCGACGCCGGCTGGCAGCGGGTGAGAAACCTACTGGGCAAGCCGTGGCATCCTACTTGCGCCTGGCACCTCGCGATGGTGCGGCGGAAACTCCGGAAAGACTGGACACCGACCAAGTTATTGAGCTTTGGGATTGCGTTCAGGCTTATATGAATCGACTGCTTTCCTCCCAAGGGGGCCTGCTAGGCGAGCTGCTCGATTTCTGGGAAGTTGCACATGCATTCATTGATGGTAGTCGCCAAAGACTCCTTCCAGTTGGGTTTGAAGGTGAAAGTCGGAAGCATCACAAACTGACACCGGCCAACGTGGAAGAACTCGAGAGGGGTGTCGTAGAGCTGGTTAATCTGATTCGAGAGAATGTGCTTTCATTCGTCAACGATCCGCCAACTGAGGACATCTCACTTCTCGCATCTCCTATTCCACCGAGCCCAACAACCCCAGTATCTCATGGTGTCACCCCAACAGAGTCTCGCTTCAAACTGGACCCCAAGAATTTGCCTATTCCCCCACCTCAGCGAGGAGAGCACTGGGAAGGATTTGCTTTCTGGCCACCTTTCTCGAACTCCCTTAGTGGTGTTCACTACTTGAGCAAGTTCCTCGTCACTGTGGGGACAGCGGCTAGTGAGATGGCAGCCTTACATCCAGTTAGCACTAGCAGGTCGACTCATGATCTCTTGAAATCTCTAGTGAGTGTTTCCCGTGAAAGATTTGCTCGAGTCACATGCACGGCATGGAGCCAGGACGCGGAGTATTGCAAGATGCTAGAGGACTGGACCCGTGATTCTGAGAAGCGAGATTTGACCAAGATGCCTGGTCTCTTTGTGTCCTTTGAGAGTGCGATCTTGAGCGGAATGCAAAAGATTCTGTATATTTCAGAAGCCATAAGTAAATCTGGAACTTTTGATGTCGTTACTCAACCCCCGGCGAAGCTGCTCCAGATGGTTCGCACCCAATTTGTGTCTAGTGTCTATAAAGCACTGAGTGGATTGGTTGAGAATGCGGAACAAGCCACGCCGTCAGAACAAGAGAATGAATGGGTCATTACTCGACCAGTCATGGCCAGTCAGGCTCTCGATGCTGCTTTGTCGGTGCTGGCGGCCGACTCTGTGAACTCACAAGATAGAGTAAGTTTTACTTTCCATGGTGATGGGATCATTGGTACTAATTATAATACAGAACGTACGAATCCTTCTTACACTATCTAATCTTAAAGCCCTTCAATCTGAACATGTGCCACAATTGATCTCCAACTTTGAGGTCTCCTTTTCGGTCAAATTGACAGATGAAGGCAAAACGGTTCGGGACGTCTTGAAGCAGATTGAAGATCGGCTTTTCCAATCTTACACCTCGCCCACCATTGCCTTGCTGGAGAAGACAATCTCTGCCGGCATCGAATCTCCAGATTGGGTGCCCAAGGTTGACCGGCCTGATCAGGTTCGCCCTTATGTCTACAATGCCCTGCTGACCCTTGTACTGGTGCACACCGAAATCTCAACTACCATCCCATCTACCGTAGCTGCAGGGGCCAGCCGAGCGTCACCAAACTCACCCACATCATTACTCAACACTATTCTTACACACTTGTTGGTCGAGATATCGAAGGCCTTATTAAACTCTTTCCGAACTCGAACCAGCTTTTCCCTCCCAGCTCTTATGCAGGCCACTCTCGACACTGAGTTCATTGCGCAAACATTAGCCCAATATTCGGGCGACGAGGCATCTGATATCCAGGGCCAAGTCTATGTGGAATTAGATCGTCGCACAACTAATGAAGCTCGCGTCCAATTGCAGGCCGACCTGGGCGAGATGAGGGTGGTACTGAAACGACTTCGCGAGCGAACCAAGGGAGAATTTGCCTGTTTCCGCAAATCTCGAACCGGACAAAAGCCTTCTTCATAATGTCCAAATATTCGACCGTGTCATCAAAGTAGCATATATAATCAAACAGTTCATGATTTTCATCTTTTTTTTCATCCTTTGCATTGGGTATCACAAACTTGAAAACTAGTAATAAAATAGGCAGTAAAAAACTTGAAACCAGTCAAAGATCAATGCTATACCATGTAATCTTCCTCGTAGACCAAAACTGCATCTACGAACTCCCAACAATACGTTGAACCCGATCAAGCAAGACCTTGCTCTCTCTTCCTAATCTCCGCTTGCCAAACTGATCGGGGCGCTTAGCACGTAGCATATCCTCACGTTCCTTTTGCTTCGCCTGTCGCTCCTTCTCCCGTGCCTCAGCAGCCTTCCTACGCTGCTCCGCAAATTCCATCTCCTTCGTAAAAGCCGAGGGCTTAGGTCTCCGCTCCCTCGGCCCACCCTCCCTGCGCGGACGTCGCTCAGGTCTAGGAGCGCGCTCAGGCTCAGGCTCAGGCTCCGGTTCATTCAACATGGCGACGCGATCCGGGTGAAATTCCGTCGAAGCAGGTTCTTGAGTTTCTTGTGTTTGTTTCTCATCGGCTGTGGCGTAAACCGACTTGGGTGTTCCCGCAGCAAGTTCTTGGGCTTTAATTTTGGCGTATGCCTTTTTCACTTTGGCTTTTTGGATGAGATCGGATTTGATTTTTTGGGCTGAGATTGGGTATTAGTTTACATCTTTCATTGATTTGGATTGGTCCTGTCGTAAATCACTCACTCTTGCGTCTGTAGGTGCCATCGGGAAGATTGGCTGGGCCTACGCTGAAACCTTTGCGCTTCTTCATGATGTTATCTGTGCGTGATTCTTTGGATGCATTCTCAGCATCTCGAGAGCGTTTTGGAACCATTATTTGAGTGGTATTATTGTAGGTGATCTAGTGATCTGGGGAAGATTTGGTATTGGAAAGTTTTTGAGGAAAAGATTCTTATCGCGGATAAGCAAATTGATAAGAAAATGTTGCCTCAGGTACCCAACATCCTATTAAGAGGAAGTTGAGATCACAACACGCTAGTTAAGAGAAAAAGGTAATAGAAATATTGCAAAATATTAAAAGATAAGTTAGTTCTCAGATCCCGATTTGAGCTCAGTCAGACTATATTTGAACTAATTATGACTACGGAGTACACTTTCATACTACTCCGTAGTACTCCGCAGTATTTTGCGCTGAGTAGGGGAACGACAATATACTGCTGACACTGGATAGACATTTTCTGTGTCTTATTCCAGGTAAAACTAGGTCGTACTATTCCATATTTCAATTATTCCAATAAATAATAGCTGGCAAAACGATAAAATATATGTGTAAACGTCATGTGATGTCCCACCTGACAGTGCACGCAATAGTATGACTATGATTCATCCCGAGACCCACGACAAAGATGATCTTCTTTGTAACCTCCACTCTCCCGGATTCTCCTTCCGACGACCCTTCCACCTCTCGGGTCTTCTTATTCTCTATATTCTAATCTCTATAGACTTGCTCAAGAACCGCTCTCTTCCCTGCCAATCACTCGCATTGCTCTGCCGGTATACCCACCTTAACGCAGACCACGCACCTTACACCGCATCCCCGTATCTTGCATCCCACCCCACCTCGGCTGGCCAGGTTGGGCTTGGAACAGCATTTGCCACGTCTGTGGCCTCCTGCAATGATTTAGCCAGCGGTTTGGGCACTATAGCTCCATCGGGCCGTACGTCACCATGCCTCTATTTCAAGACCCGGACCGCCGGTGGCACCCCGGTCAGTCTGGTGACCAATGTCAATATAACCAGCCTGCCCCAGGGTCCTCTCCACGCATTTTGGGCAAAGAGATCCTCCGTGAACAGGATACTGGCTTTTATACCATGGCAGATTGCCAGCCGTCGTCTATGGAGGATTCGCCATCTAGACTCTGGAGCAGTGAAGAGCGGCAGCAGCTCATACAACGGATTAAGGAATCCTCGCCCTGGAGGCTGCAATATAAGGTATGATGGATCTACATTACTGGTGTTACACTTTTGTTCCATCTTCCAAGATCGGAGATTTCAAGTTCCTTACATATGAAATGCGCTCAGGTGTTGATGATCTATAAATCTACAGGATACCAACAATGAATCGATCTGCACGCCTCATGAGCACCTGAAGTCTCAGAGCGAGAGTAGAGTGGAAGAAGGTATAGCAGAGTCACAACCCTATACACAGCCCACACCGTCAACAGAGGAACTGGGATCGCCGGCCGATATCCAGAGACCTCGTTCGGCATTGCATTCTGGTGATTTTCGCGAAGGAACAGCAAATGCTCTTCCGCAGTCACCTCGCCCTCGATTTCAAGAGCCCAGTCCAACTTCCCCATTTCCCCATTTGGGGACATCTCCCACCACGACATGGTTTGGAGGTTCCGCCTTCCAGACTTCTTCGGGGCAGCTTAATCCCTTTTACGATCAAAAACAGCCAAATCTCAGTATAGAGACTCGGTCCAGGGCACCATCACTAGGCTCCTTCTCTTCAAGCTATGTTCTCAAGGTCCCCACAAGTCCACTGGTGTATCAAGCCAATAATACCGATCTGGACTTCTCCCCCATCGACCCAAGAGATGCTACGGGGTTGATGAATAAAGCCAACCGACGACGCACTCTACCCCCAGAAAGCTTCCGACATCTCCAAACCTCGTCAAGTATGCAGGCTGTAAAACTCCACAATCCATCCTCGCCAGGCGCAGAGGATGTGTTTTTTCAGCCTCCACACTTTCCTCGGCGATCATTGACGTCAGCATATAGCCTTCAGTTGGCTTCAACCACCAATGCCGCTGCTTATCATCGAGAAAGGAGACCATCATTTGTTTCTGATGCATCCCCCAAACCACATGCCCCCTTGGTAGGCTCGTATGAGGAATCAATTCTACGAGGCCGAATGTCAATGAATCCATCCAAACCCTTGGATTTCACTGCACAGATCGGTGTTCTCGGTAAGGGTAAATGCAAGGGGCATTTGAAATGCCCTCCACACGTTACTATACCATTTCCGGCCGTATTTTATAGCTACCCAACTTCAGGCAATGGCCGTTCCATTTCAGATGACCGCCCGAGTCCCTATGTCGGACAGATCGATCTAGAGAATTCGCTGTCCAAGGATGACCCATGCATTGCTCGGCGTCGTAAGCGGCATTTCAGTCCGGCAATAGCACCTGAAGATGGGCCGGTGGATGAGTCAAGAACCTCTCAACTTTCCGACATAGATGCTAGACGTCGTCGGGAAAAGAGAAGCCGCAGAACTGTTTCTCCCAAGTGCCCGCCGGGCGGATGCTATCGAATTCCCCAGCAGGGCCAGTTGCAGATAATAATCAAAAATCCCCACAAGACGGCGGTCAAATTGTTCCTTGTGCCATATGACCTCAGTGATATGGAACCTGGCACCAAGACTTTCATCCGTCAAAGAAGCTATTCGGCTGGCCCGATCATCGACATGCCGCTCAGTGCTCGGAAGAACTACGGGACTGATCGTCCTGAGGCGTCTTTGAACGCGACAGAAGATCCACAAGACAAGCCCACTCTACGGTATCTCATCCATTTGAATATCTGCTGTCCTTCACGAGGTCGGTTCTATATTCACTCGAGTATTCGAGTGGTCTTTGCCAATCGAGTCCCGGATGGTAAAGAAAAACTGCGCAATGAGATCCAGCTCCCAGAGCCTCGCTATAGCCCATATAAACCTACCCGAGAGCCCAGCCTCACAACATCGGCGAATGCTCGATTAGCAGTTGAGGGCTCCCCTCGCAGACGGAGTCAAGGCAACGGTCCCCTTGAGTGGAGTGCAACCGATCTTATGGAGTTCCAGGCCTCTTCAGATGTGTCTCAGCAGGCTGAAACAGCACTCTACAACAAACTAAATAAGAGTAATGCGGGATATGGTGGCCAACTTGTTCACTCTCAAGGTGTATCAGATACCGGAGAGGGTCTACTGGCAAAGAGACTCCGTGGCTTAGATGTTCAGAGACCGGGATCATTTGACCGTAATTGGGGTTGAGCTGAATCACACTTTTTTTTTCCCGATGATTCAGTTTTCAACCTTGTAATTCGTTCAGTATATCCAACTCACCCAGTCAGGTTCAGGCTACGAGTAAACCAAAGAGAGAAATGAATGTATCCTGAACTACTGTATACTTCACCATCACGGCTGCACAGGTCTGCAGCCACTTGGATATACTAACCATCACATCACAGCTTTTTGATTCTCGGTTTCGTCCGAAGTAGACGGCCAGCACAACATCACCCTGTTCAATCAATCGATGTGTGACGTGGTTGTCGAACTTTCATCTTCTCTTCTACTCTTTCTTGCAGATTTCTTTTTCTCATTTCAAGGTTGGTCAGGCGCATGGGACGTTGGTATATACCCTCAAGGCCTGTTCTTGAACCCTTTTTACAACCCGTTTCAACGTGTCATTTGCACAGCTGGGTGTTTTTTTGGGTTGCGCTTAAATTCAAGTTCTCCTCTCCATCACTCATGAAAACTGGAAATAAAAACTCTTTCTAAGTGTTCCATACTTTTCACTCTTATTGCATGTGTAGAAAATAACTTAATTATTGAGAAAACCGCTAGAGTAAGCAACACATTATAACTACCGGCTATAAGTGTACATTTAAGTTGAGGAAGGATTCAAGTTCTTGTGCAAAATACGCTATTATTTCTATAGACAAGTTCTGTACTGAAACACTTCGCTTGATATTTCACCACCTACATAGACAGCATTCAAATCTCACTCACTAGATTCCAACCTGAAAGCAAATCTAACCAGCATGCTCGACAATCTCGTTCACCAAAACACCGTCCTTAACGTAGCTCTTGATTTGTTCAGGCAGGGGACACTCCTTGGTGTCATCATCAGTACCCTCCTTAGGCGGGAGCATGATGTTGATAGCACTGCACTTGCTGGTGAAAACCTCAGTAGCAAGACTCTGCTGACCAAGGTAGATAGTGGCGCCATCGACCTGATCCAGCAGGACAGTAGGGACAGTGCCATCGATCTGGAGGGCAAACTTGGGAGACTTGATGATATCCAGACTGCTGACGAGAGATTCAACGATAATGGACAGACCGTTACAGTTGTCGATAGCAATGGCGTTGGCCTTGCCGGTAACCTTCACAATAGTCTTGTTGCAGCGAGAAATGAGAATAGACTGGTTCTGGGCTGCGGTGACCTCAATAATGTCATCGGGGGCTTCGAAGTTCTCAATAAGCCACTTGTTGCCCTCAAGGTCCTTGCGGGGAGGCTTCTTTGTGCGCATGCTCTCGGGCTTGGGCTTCTTGTTAGGAGCAGGAGACTTGCCCCGGGCGCTGGAACCCTCAGGTGCGGTGGAACCGGCGCGCAGGCTGGGGTTCTTGTGTGTCATCTCAGACTTGTCAACCTTGCGGAGACCTGAGGTGATCTGCTCGCCTTGGTTGAGCTGATCGAAGACAGCAGACATATCGGCACCTGGAGCGGCGGGAGCAGGAGCAGGGGGGATGCCTGGAGGAGGAGGTGGTGGGGGAGCACCACCACCAGGAACGTTGAGAGCTGGGACTGGGGGAGGAGGAGGGGGAGGGGGAGGGGGAACAACACCGGGTCCAGCTGGGGCGCCAGGCCCGCTCTTGATTTGTTTCAGGGCCTCCAGGGCATCAATACCAGACTCGTTGTTCCAGGTCAGGCCCTTGGGGTAGTTCTTCTTAAGATAGGCAGCCAGTCCCTTGAAGTTCTGGTTGTATGCTTGAATGTATTGAATGTGTGTGTGATCCCTGAACAATGTCAATATTTGATGACTTCATATGATCACGTTAACTTACTTCTCCTTGTACTCCTTAAGCACCTTGTTACCGTAATATTGGATTGCACCAAGCGTCTCAAGCACAAACTCATTGGGCTTGTCTTCAAAGAACCAGCCCAAGCCAATGATACCCTCAGCAACAGCGCTGAGGTGGTTGAAGTACGGTGATGCGCGATTCGATTCCCGAACATTGTTAATGCTATCCGACGCCTTGTGGAGGTCAGTCATAAGCTCCGCGGGTAGGCGTTCGGGCTTCTTGGCCTTTGTTGTAACGTATAGGTAGGTGCGCTCAGCCTGGAAAGCCTGCAGGACTGCTTTCGACTATATTGCCACACAAAGTCAGTGATCCAATCTACCAACATATGACCGTTGCAAATAGTCTCACCTGTTCAGCGACCAATCCACCAATCTTCTCACCCAGATTCACAAAGTTCTGGACATCTCCTTTAATCAAGGCATCGAAGTCTTGGATCTGCGCGGGGATTTGAGGGGCTGCCGGAGGTGCGGGTGGGGGAGGAGCAGGCTTTGGAGGCTCAGGTACTGCAGGAGTAGCAGCAGCAGGAGCAATAGCCCCCTTCGGAGAGTTGGGGTCATCCAGGGACATTGCCATATCCTCCAAGCGTGAGGTCGCCGCCTCGAGCCTATTGGGTCCATGATCAGTCTGAATTACAGGGACAAGGGAAATGGTTTGGGCCGAATTAAAACTCCAGTGTCACTGAGTATAGCTGCCATCGCATATGAATCATACCGCTTGATGAGGGTGGTGAAATTGTGCATGTGGCCGCCGCTCGCCATACTAGGCAACACGTTGCTATTAAGCAGGGAACGGAGTTTAGGAGTAAAAGAAATTAAGAGTAAAGGTCGATTGAGGAAATCAGTAGACCAGTAGTAGTCGAAATAGGCTATACCCAGACTCTACAAGACCAAGTGACTTGGGATTGAAGGATGAAGTTAAGATTAAACTTGAAAGATGTAGAGTCTCCGAGCTCTCCTGAGGTTTCCGCAGCTTGAGCGACGGTAATGTACTTACCCCACTTTTCTCTCCACTCTCACGAGATGTATGTGTAATATACGTAATTACATTACCACCAAAAGGTTTGATCCACTCTGTATGCGGCGCAATCGGTGATAACACTAAAGGACTTGTTCGTTCATCTTCTGGGTAGCATCTCCAGGTACTTCATATGTATTCGATCCCAAAAATTTCTACAGCAGACATGGTCAATGCCCAACCGGGTGAAGTTGAGTTTTGCACCTTGGGAATGTTTATTCTGGGTATGCAGTCCATTCGAGTCCGAGTCCTTCTGGGAGATATATTTCTGATACCCCCGCACTTCACCCCTGAGAAGTACTCATACTTACCTTTAGATGTTTATATTAGATGAAATTGAATTCGGGGGCTCCAGGCCCGATGTGAAAAATGTCCTCGGAGGAGCTGCTTCCTTTGCGGTCGTCGGAGCCCGTCTAGTTGCAGGATCAGACCATGGACGGGCTGTGAGTTGGATAGTCGATGTGGGTTCCGACTTCCCATCAGAAACCCTGGAAGTAATCAAGTCGTGGGGGACAGACTGTGTGATTAGAGAGGATCGTACCAGACTCACAACAAGGGGCTGGAATGGGTACCATCCGAATGAAAAACGAGGTAAATCGTACCGCTTCAGTTTAAACACGAATACAGGCCAATGATCCATGATGCAGACTTCAAATATCTCACTCCAAAGTTGAGACTTGAGCCCGAGATGTTGTCGGATACGCAGATATGGTCGCGCACTTTCCACATGGTCTGTTCGTCAACTCGTTGCATGTCTATCGTACATGATATCCTTCAGCGCCGAGAGCGGTTGCGTCAAGCAGGCCAAGCGCCTTCTACGAGATATGCCTCTGAGAGACCAATCTTTGTATGGGAACCAGTGCCTGATCTCTGCACTCCAGAAGAGCAGGAGAAGTTTTTCGAGGCAAACAAAGTTGTCGATGTGGTGAGCCCTAACCATCTAGAGCTAGGAATGATGTTTGATCAGCCCGGATGGAACGAGAAGGATGAAGACAGCAAACAGTTAGTCCAAAGGATCCTTGACACAGGAATTGGCCCCAATGGCGATGGATGCATCGTTATTAGAGCAGGGAAAGATGGAAGTTATGCCTATTCAAGGACCCAGCGGGTCTGGCTTCCTGCGTATCACCAACCTGACACCTCGGGTGCTACAGCCGTCATTGATCCCACTGGTGCGGGTAATTCGTTCCTAGGTGCGTTGGCTCAGGGATTAGTGACTGCCGGCCGAACGCCATTCTACGTCATTGAGTCTACTATGTCAGACTCGCACAACTGGAAGCAAGCTATGGAATCTGGAGGCCAGCACCGCGACCTGCTCGGGGCGTTGATCTGTGCGACTGTCGCTGCTGGTTTCGTGGTGGAGCAGATTGGCGTGCCGAGGAGATTTGTGAATGATGGAAAGGAGCAGTGGAATCAAACTGAATTCACGGAACGAGTCCGCCTGTACACGCAGCGATTATTCAAGACACTGGAAGAGTCTCCACAGAGACACCTGTTGGCCAATTGATCAACGGGGTTGATAGAGGAACGCCCTTCTATTTTCGTACAACCAGGGAATGATGAAATGATAGTAAAAACAGAATAAAAGAAATATGTCCCAGCATGCTGAAAATCCCCCATAGCTCCCGAGCAGATGCGCTGCTCTTCTCTATGACTCGTTCTTTGCGGCTTGCTGTGCCTCGTGTTCTCTGATCTGGCGGCTCCAGCTATAATGGTAGAAAACGATAATAGTTAGCATCGAACCCGGGTTTTGAGAGAGACCATTGATATGATATATGAGGTCGTAGGTCGGGGTTGGGACTGACTATCGGCTGGGGAAGAATCGGCCGGGCTCGGGCATCTTGTCGCGGTGCTCACGCTCGGCACTAAGGCTGAAAGCCATAGCAGCAATGCCAATGACAAAGGCACCCATAACTGCAGTGTTGGCCTTCCAGTTCGCGGGGCGGGAGTACCAACCACCAGCGGGGGACCAGACTTCCTTGGGGTACCTGCGCAGGAACAATTCATGAGTATATCACCCTAATATTTCCGGCATTCGGTACGTACGCAATCTTTCCACCGCCACCCATTGTGAATGTGGAATTGAATGTGTTGTTGAGGGATATAAAGAGGGACGGGGTTGGAGGAGTTCTCTCTAGCAGTGGAAGCCGAAAGGGCCGTTCAATTCGAAGGTCGAATGCCAAGCCTTTAGTTACCACAACCGGACTAGCGTATTCTCACACGACCAACAATCCCGTGACTGAGGAACAATTTCTCTTTTCTCTCCCCGTGAATTGGCCGCACGTCTCCGAGTCCCATTCCCCAATTGACGCAGCGTGGCCCGTTATTTTCCTATTTGAATCTTCTGTTTTCGGTCCCTTATACACCGCTCGCCCAGATGAAGCGACTGCAGCTCCAACGATGGAGCAGTACAGTCCTTTCGCCGCGGGCTCGGACTAGTAACAAACTGCATCAACATCTCTACTCTGCTAGTTTACGGCATCAATCGACGGCCGCTCCTCTTCAAGCCGAGTCGCTTGCTCAAGGTGCCATTGACAATGCAAGCCTGGAACTCGAGGATCCCGAGTTGAAGCTCCGTCTCGACAGCGTTCACAAGCGCAAATCCCAACTTAAATATCCCTCCCCTCCCGTCAACGCCGCAGCAGAATCCGCCAAACTTGCCGCCCTTCATGCTCGTCTTTACCTGCCCTCTCGACTACCTCTTGAGACCCTCGCGCGGACATTGGTGGATGTCTCTGCCGACTCCAATGCGGATTTCAACAATGAATCACTGGCTACTCTTGGTCACGACCTCCTCACTTACTACACCTCCGAACACCTCCTCGCTACCTACCCTCGTTTGCCTTTGACCGTCATTTTCGCCGCCATGTATGCCTATGTCGGTCCCAAGACTCTCGCTGCCATGTCCAAAGAATGGGGTGTTGACGTGGCTTCCCTGCCAGGTGGAGAAGTCGACCCTGGTTTCCTGCAATTCAAGCGCGTTGAACCCGGCACCGACTTGAGCAAGACCTTAAAGGGTAAGGGTCCACGACCATACGCCGAAGAAAAGAAGTGGAGGAAGACAGTCACATCTAAGATCTTTTATGACGATGAATTTGGTGACCCGATCAAGGGGTCGAATGAAGCCGGTGCGGGTGTTCCGGATGAGCTTGCTCGTGCTACTGCCGTGCGTGCTCTCATGGGTGCGATTTACTTGCACTCCGGCCGTCCCGCGGCCAAGCTCTTCTTCCAACAGCATTTCCTCTCCAGAAGTTTGAACATCTCACAGCTGTTCAACTTCTCCCAGCCAGCCCGTGATCTGACCCGCTTGTGCGCGCGTGAGAATTTCGAGAAGCCCGTTGCCAAGATTATCAGCGAAACTGGTCGTCTCAGCAGACACCCTGTCTTCGTGGTTGGTATCTTCTCTGGTCAGGACAAGCTGGGCGAGGGCGCTGGCGCCAGCCTGCTTGAGGCTCGGGAGCGTGCTGCCCTTGCCGCACTGAAGGGCTGGTACCTATACAGTCCCCTCAACGTGCGTGTTCCTAGTTCCATGGAAGAGGAGGGCGCCGCTCCCTGGAAGCCAGCGTATGTTGACCTGGGTGAGGTGATCTCTTAATAAGTTTACATATGTGAAACAGCGTGCCTTGTTACTTGAGGCACGGTACCATATTCCTTCATGTCTTTTTTATACTTTTTTTTATCCCTCTTGCTTGATCTTTTTTTCTCCGGTATGCTGTGATTTTGCATGGGAAACAGGTCTTCGGGAAAAAAAGAGTCTCTTCTCCTGTCTTGCATGACGGATCTGTATAGTATGGGAATCGCGGTTCCTTCGATTCATCTGGTGTCTTTTTTTTACTGGAATTTCTTTTTGTCACCATCATTGTCTCATTTTGTGTTGCTTATCTCCTCCCTTCTCCCCAGCTAGAAATTGGTCGAAAGAAGGTACCGAGGCTGCGAGGTCTTGGTTTCGGCACTGGTGTATAGAGGTGCTCTCTGACCGAATGTACTACATCAATAAAACTGATATCAAACAAACCACCCTCCTAATAATAATTGTATTCGTGCTTCTCTCACAGTAAAGTTATAACCTGATATGGATCTCATTTCAGATCGAGAGGTTATTCCCTTGGAGTCTCCCTGATTTAAACCTTCTCATCATGTTCACCATGCTGGTCGAGCCATTTCCCATATTCATCCCATAGATGTGCAACTCCAACCCCAAAGAGACTTGCCCAGAATCCGGACTCCCCTTCTCCCTTTGCAGTGTCCTCGCCCACATATCCAGTCCTCAATAAACGATCATTCAACATCCCAATAGCACCTTCACTCGCCCAAACATCCTCAATCCACGCCAAGAAGAATGCTGTATTTTGATACCCAGCATCCCATTTCTTTGCGCGCTCCGAAGCAGACTTCGGTCTCTTCCAGTGCGGGGGTCCCAGACCCGCCTTTAGCCTCACGAAATCCGCAATACCTTCAATCAAGCCACCTGGCGGACGGGGAATCTTCTTGTCTTGCTCGACAGCTTGTGGCGGTGTAGTGTGCTGATAACAATGCACGAGCTCATGTGTGATAACGCCAACCAGCTCATGAAGAGGATCGGCTTTGGCGGCCTGACCCTTTGATACACAGTGTTCAACATACTGCAGTGACAAATGAATCTCTTTATGGTCGTCATCTAGCTCGGTTCCAGTAGTATATGCCACACCGGCGATATCGCGGAGCAAAAGGGTGACGGATCTGGTTGGAGGAACCGAGGGATCGAAGAATGGCTTTCTTGGGAGTTCTGAGCTGTGTAGGTTCGGACTTGTATAGAGGTATCGTAAGATATTCCCCAGTGCGTTGTCAAATACTTCAGTTACATTTGGAATCAGTAAGAAGAATGCACTAGATGCCGAGTGACGGAGCTCTTCGACATGGATGCGTAGTTTTGGTTGAGGAAGATTGTATGAATTCTGCTTTTGGTCTTGGTGACTTTCGTGACTTAGGGAGAGCTTCGGTTGGTCGGGTCTGGGGTCCGCAGAAGGGGCAGGATCCGGTGGTGTAGTCAGTTCATTCATGATACTATCTTTCTACTCCGATAATAGAAGACTGGGTATTTTAAGATATAAGCAACTGGAATGTCTGAATGGATCAGATGAGTGCATGAACCACGCGGGATTGACGAAGGTGGGGAGCTACTAGTCGAGCTGTCGATCGCACTTGCTCCACAGCGTAAGCCCCATAGTAAGCTTAGACAGATATAAACGCTCAAGGGAACTTGAATCATATTCAATTAACTTGAAACTGATCCTTCGAAGAGGTAAACATTATTTTTAAGCTGAGTCTAAGTTGATAAATGGAATTATAGTCTCAATTATAATGACTATACTTTCGAGTCTGATATATGCATTCGGAGCTAACATCCTTTGGAGGCAAGGGAATTACATAAATCTCCTATTTATTCGGACTAATTGTATTAAAATGTTTCATCTAAGACTCATCAGATTTGATATCTCTAGTCCTGATTTACTAGTACAATCCTGGTTCTTTGTATAACTTGAATATGATGGTTGCCCTTTGCAACCAAGTGATAAACAACCGTAGAAGACAATATTGGGCCGGACTTGAGCCCAACCGTCTCAACTTCAATTATTTGGAGACGAAAAACAAAAGAAAACATTCTGAATTCCAATTCGAGGTTTTTTTCAAATACATTTGATTCCCCTATTGCCCCCCTTTACCCCTGCAGTTCTTGTTCGCAGCGCATCAGTGGAGACAGCGCTTATCCGCGCTTATCGCCCTTGTTGTCCAACTTTCCCGGTCGTCAACATCCCACTATCCACGGTTCGCGCCCGCATTCCATCTGTGCTCTCAAACTGTGTCGGTAAGTAATTTGTGTTATATGAGATTCAATGCGTCTTATTGGCTTGATGCGCTCTTCTCAGCCCACCTATGTTGGTTTTCTGGTTCGGTCGAATTGCGCCAAGGTCGCTTCCAACGTTACCTGTTCTCCGTGGACACATTCGGCTGCGGTACCACCGCGTGAAGCTGGCGCGTCAGATCGCGCTATCAGGCAAGAAAATGTATGACTGACTTGGTATTGACAGAAGCCAAAAACCGTGACTCGATTTCCGATCCATCCCCCATCGCCGCGCACCGATAGATCTCATAACTCCGCATTTGCACCATTGCCGGTGCCCCCTCCTTTGACCTGACTGACAAAGAATCATTCTTTCGCTCGCCAGTGTCCAAAATGGAGACCAAAGCTGCTGAGCTCCTGGCAGCTTTCAAAAACCCCAATCTCTCGGTCGATGCTAAGGTTGCCCACCTCACCGGCATCAAGTCCGATATCAAACAAAAGAATGTTCCCGAAGGCGCCATCCCCATGATCTTCGAGACTATCCGACTAGCTTTGAACTCCCAACACTACTCAGTTTGCAGTGGAGCTTTCTCGACGTTAGGTCACTTTTTGAAACGCCTGACTATCCAAGATCAGCAACAATGGATCGTATCACAAGCACGCAACTTCTACCCCGTGCTAACAGAGCGCCTTGGAGACCACAAAGAACGTATCAGAGCACAGTCTGCATCCATTTTTACAGATCTGTGGTCGCTCGCAAATGAGGAGGTCGAGTACTATGTTCTCGGACAGGGCTTGGTGGGCAAGAACCCTAGAGCCAAAGAAATGAGTCTTCTTTGGTTATCAAATGTGAGTTCCTTTGGCCCTTTCATCTCGCAGGTCAAAAGCTTTTATAAGTGCAGACCCTGACTCACAAATCAGATGACAAAAAACCATGGTTTATTATTCCGCCAATATGTTCCCTCTCTGGTCGCATCCTTAGAAGATGCGGACAGTGCTGTTCGAGATACAGCAAAGGTGGTTGTGATCGACTTGTTTCGGTAATTATATGCTGCCTGGCTAACCCAATACCCTATGCTAACAACTGAACTCAGAACTGCCCCTTCTCGAGCCAAGTCCGACCTACAGAAACAGCTGGTGACCCGTGGTGTGAGAAAATCTATTTCAAGTGCTATCTTGTCAGGGATTGGCCTCTCATCTGTAGAGCCAGAAACCTCCAACCGACCCATTTCCCGCGCTGAACGACCGATCTCAGTGATGTCCCGTTCGCATGCTATGGATATGCACGACGATGGTGTGTTTGTCAATGAATCGCCGTCCCCAGTATCCAACAATTCTAATAATGTCGACTCAGAGCCGGAACCCACCAAAAGTCGACCAGGCTCAAGGGCCCATTATGACAGGCCCATTGCTTCAAGTTCAGCTGATGCACCTGCCAGGCCGAAGACCCCAGCGGCCGAACCCCCTACTTCTCGAGCCCCATCTCACGATGATGACGGATTGGAACCACTCTTGGTGGGATCGGGTAGGAACATTGAAGATCTTGTTCGCGACATGATTTCTTCGTTCGATGGCAAGGAGTCTGAAGATAATTGGCTGAAACGCGAGAAGAATGTGATTCTTTTTCGAAGATTGACCAGAGGAAATGCGCCCAATGAATTTTTTCAAGCTTATCTGCAGGCCACCAAAACCCTTTTAGATGGATTCTTCAAGGTGGTGAACTCTTTGCGAACTACTCTTTGTACCAACGGTTGTCTTTTGATTCAGGATATCGCCCGAGTTTGCGGCCCCAAAATTGACTCCATGGTAGAGATCATCATGCAAAATTTGATCAAGCTCTGTGCTTCCTTGAAGAAAATTGCGGCACAGAATGGAACTACGACTGTGGACGCTGTTATCGGAAATGTGACATTCAACATCCGAATTCTGCAACATATCTATTGGGCAGCTCAAGATAAAAATGTTCAGCTGCGCCTTTGTGCCGCAGCCTGGCTGAAGACATTGATTACTCGACAAGCCCATCACAAGAGTACTGTTGAGCATGGCGGTGGCTTGGATCTTATTGATAAAGCAATCAGAAAAGGATTAGCAGATGCCAATCCAGGAGTCCGCGAGGCAATCAGAGGGACCTATTGGACCTTCTCTGCGGTCTGGCCTGATCGGGCCGACGGGTATGTTTCTTTTCTTCTACAACTAATCCCTAATCTCTAATGCAGAATTGCTAACGATACAAAGGATTATATCTGATCTGGACGCCAAGTCTCGAGGACTCTTGGAGAAAGACTCAGCAAATCCGAATGCCGCTCAAAAGACAGCTACATCGACCAAGGAGACGGGCGGCGGCCGTTCTGCTTTGAAGGAGGCCATTGCTGCTCGTAAGAAGGCTCAAATGAGTGCTCGCCCAGAGTCTTCTCAATCCGCATTCGCTGACAATCAATCGTCAGAGTCCGCACCTAAGCCGGCTGTACGGACCGTCCCCACAGGTGCACCTCTTTCATCATTGTCCTCTGCACCTATGAGGCCAGCTATGAAACCCCGCCGAGCGGAGTTAAATCGCCCTGCGACCGCTGACCCATACGCTCGCCGACCTGATCGACCAGACTCACGAGCGCAGACAGCTAGACAGGCCACAGTCTCCCCGCGCTCAATCAGGTCTAAGGCTTCGACCCCTTCATCGAAACCAATCAATGCGCCTCGTCTTCGACCTCATGAGTCTGGAACGGCTACCACTAGAGGCAAACCCAAGAAGCTTGACCTCTCGAAGTCCAAGTCGCATGGAGATCTTGCCGCAGCAAGTCGTGCACGTAGTTCTTCTAATGAAAGCACAACCAATCAGTCTTCTGTGCAGGCTCATCCAGCTGATCCTTCCAGTGCCTATGACGAACCTGCATCACCAGCACCCGTCGTACTGGAGAGTCCTCCGCTTTCTGCATCGCGGCCTCCGCGTCATCACAATGAACGCATTGATACCTATCGGGTTTCTACGCCAGAGCCAGCAGCAGAGTCTGAACCCATGGCTCTGGAAGATCCCATGGTTGATGTGGCTTCCCCGAGCAGCGAGCAGCATCCTGCAACGCCTGTGCGCCAGTCAACTATGACACCTACCCCTGAATCTGTCACAAAACCACAACCAGAGGAGGTGGTCATCTACGAAGATCCTGCTACTCCAGTCGCTACCGAGATGCGTACATCGAGAATCGATTCTGTTGAACATTTTACTCCCACAAGATCGCCTCGGCATTCTGTTGAGCATACTCTTGATGAAGAAACACCCGCAGACACTCCAGTGGAGTCCACAACTCCCCTCAGAAACCCACCTGCAGAAGTTCTACAGTACCATGGTCTTTCTCACGATGGTTCAAGTGAGCCTCAGTTCCCATCTCCGGTGCGGAGAACCCCATTACGAGCTAGTCCTTCACCAACAAGGAGCCGAGCTCTAGTCGCACCTTCTGGAACTGTATCAGCCAGAGAATCTCTGTTGAGACCAGGATCTGTTGCGGGCTCACCCGTGAAGACCCCAAACAAAGAGAATGCGAGAGCACAGCCTCTTAAGATCGCAGAATATTCCGCGACTCCGCGCTCGGCGGCGAAGCCTGGAGCCCTTGGAGAGTTGCCTCTCAACGAATCAGCCATGGGAACTGTAGAGACAAGACAACTATCCGTCGAACCGATGTGTGAATCGATCGGAGAAGTATCTCTACGCCGAAGTCGTAAATGGGCCGAGCGACACCGTAGCCCAAGTCCTCGATCAAAAGACCCCGCCAATGCACGAGAGATGCTGCACAAGGCCCTCGGCCGAATTTCAACTCGAACCATGGATATCTCCGGCTATCGCAAACTGCAAGGCCTTTTCCAGTACCATGGTGAGGAGATTGTCTCCCGTGAAGAGGACTACTATGAGGTGTTGGATGCTCTTCTCACCGAATTGGAGTCCGCACCTACTAGCCGCAAAGATCACGACGTGAAAACCCAAATTCTGGCAACCATTCGATCCATGATTCTCCGAACAAGTGATTTGTTCCACCGATACGATGTTTCCGCAATTGCGTCGATCATCCGAGCTCGCCGGCACTATGAATCGAACTCTCATTTCGTGACGTGCTTAGAGGAGGTGGCGGAGCAGTTGGCTTGCCTAGTTCCCGTGTCGATCTGTATCCAAGGTGTACTACAAGGTCTTGAATCCGAGGAAAATACACAGAATGATGACTCGTATCGATCGATCATTCTGGGTCTTTCCGCGATCCATCAAGCATTGTCGCAAGGCCCGAGCGAGATTTCCGACGAAGTCCTTGCTCATGTTGGTTCTGTGCTCAGCCGCCAACTCAGTCACCCTCGTCCTGGTGTGCGTAAGCAGGCCACCGAGCTGTGCACGCTCTTGAATCTTAAATTCGGACTTGACCGAGTTCAAAAGGTTACTCCCCCAGCTGGAGAAGGTTCGCTCAACTTGCTAACTTACTTCATGGCTCGACGCTCTCAATGAGGGCATCGAGATCATTCTTTTTCTGCATGCTTGAAAGAGGGCTGGGTGGTTTGTAGATAGCTCATTTTTCGAATTCTGTCTTACTTGTCTCTCTTATTATTTTAAATTTGTATTTATGAGATGGGTTTGCTGGTTGGGTATTCTTTTTTTCTTTTTACTTGGGCTTGAACATAAAAACTTCTTTAATTTCGATTCGCCTCAGACTTTTCATAATTTCGCAATGAGACGACAACAAGCACTCACATGTGCAAGTGCTTATAGTAGGACAAGGTTGGATCGACACTGTTTCCAAGGTTAGAATTGGGCATAAACCTCGGTTTGACTATGGGACGGGAGTATCTATTTTCAATGTTTCCTTCCAAGGTTGACAATATGATTGGTATGCTATGAGAATTATAGAATCAATCTCCTTCTAGATGATGATATCAGCCCCTTTGAGGTAATGTATTTGAAATCGCTGACCGCATATGGGGTGAAAACAGCGGCGCCAGCGGGATCTAGCGGGTGTCGCGTCTTAACAGTGTGGAGTTCAGAAGGTCAGTGCACCCCAGACAACCTTGGAAACTTGAAGTATTAATGATAAAATAACGTAAATGTATCACTTGGCAAATATCAAACTTGGAAGCAGTATAACCTTGACAAAACCCAATGTATCACGAAGTGGCGTTCCTTGGAGAACTTTTCTAATCAATCAAATCAGATTAAGATTAGATCGACCATCTCATCAGATACGGAGAAATTTTATCCAACACGAACAACTCAACCACGTCCTGGAAAAAAGAATAAACATTTGAATCTCACACATGTGCAGTAAATCATCATTTGTCCGGAGGCAAGTCAACCCCGAGCAGTCAAAGTCAATCCCCAAAGAGGCAGGTGAAAATGCAAAGCAAATGCACTCACGAAATACTAGAGTTCTAAAGCCGTAAGTTCATATAGGCGATTCCCGCCGAAAATCTGCATTAAGCCCCATGGTTACTGAGATCATCTGTTTGTGTGGACCTATAATACAGTCATAGGAGGACTTACGCCATCGTAACGGTGGGGGCTACTGATCTAAGTTTGATGTTGCACGTTTGCGTGCCTCGTGTATTGCTCGTGCTGAGAGGGGTTATCGCGCGATGTGGTATGGATCTTCCGGTTCTAGGTGGATACTCTGGTCAATGGGGGGGCTTTTACCTTAGTAACTGGCATTTTGCTCAATGATTTTGGTTCTTGGGTCACATTTTCTCCGATTGAGATCCACTGATGAGCATGGTTCTCATGTTTCAAATGCCATTAATGCGTGGTCAGGAACTGCTTGGCTTTCTTTTCTTTTTTAACTGTATGTTCTGTATTGGTTTCAGAGGATACTCAATCCAGGGCACTTTTGATGACTATTCCATAAATATGAGTATTGTGTGGAATGACAAGGACTATTTTCCTCATAGCCTGATGTAAAAAAATCGGCTTTGTGATGACGATTAATTGACCAGATTCAGAATTCGCCAAAAGACTGTGTGCAAGAGTGTTGTCAAACACGCAGGGGAGGTCATGTCAAAGCACTCCACACTTGGAGAATCAGATAATAAGATGGTATGTGATTTATGACATGGACAGCAGCTGCTTAGATGGATAAGTTGACTCTACAGACCCGATCTATAAAGAATAAAGGAAGGCTCTTCTCCTACGCAAGGCTTGTTTTCTCTCTGGACTATACCTCGACCGACATTGTCCTGATTCTCACCGGTCTATTCTTTTCCATTGCTTCGGGCCTTCCATTTCCTCTCCTCGGAATCGTCTTCGGCGATTTGATCAATGAACTCAATACGACCACTTGCACAGCTGCCTCCAATGGGACATCTGATGCTACAAGTGCAGTGCGCCAGAAAGTCCTCTATGTGGTTTATATTACAATTGCCAACTTCTGCTTCCTGTACATTCACTGCAGCTGTTGGAGCTATGCAAGCGAGCGTATTGTCCGTCGCTATCGCAGACGGTACTTTGAGAGTATCATCAAACAAGAAACAGGATACATTGAGAGTCTCCCAGCAGGAGATGTGATCTCTCGACTGGTCAGTGATATTGAAGTCCTCCAATCCGGAACATCGGGGAAAGTTGGGATTGTCATTTCTACAATCTCATACTTTGTAACCTCGTACATCGTGGCGTTAATCAAGGTGCCTCAAATTGCTGGGATGCTGGTTTCAGTGGTACCTTGTTATTTCATCATGTCGTACGGAGGGGGCTACTACATCAAGAAATACGCAGGCCGTATCAGTGGACATATTGATGCGGCTACTTCTATTGCCTCGTCAAGCTTGACTCATTTGACCCTGGTTCATGCTTTCAATTCTCATGAACGCCTCGAGAAGCTCTTCGCTGATTATTTATCTGGATATCGCCTCGATGCATTGAAAAAAGCTTTAGCACACGCCGTTCAGCTAGGTTTGCTCTATTTCATTGCATATGGCTCCAATGCTCTGGCATTTTGGGAAGGATCTCGTTTGATTGCAAATTCAGTCGACTCAAATGGCTCAGGTGTATCTGTGGGCGCAGTGTATACTGTTATTTTTGTGCTAATCGATGCCTCATTCATTCTCAGTCAAGTTGCTCCATACGTTCACGTATTTTCATCTGCAGCTGGAGCAGCGGAGAGACTGATGGTAGTCATCAACCGCGAATCTCAAATCGATGGTACCTCAGAGATAGACGACAAGTACGCGCCATTTGATTCAGAGGACATCATTTTTCAAGATGTACATTTTTCATATCCAGCTCGGCCAGACGTACCTGTCTTGCAAGGTGTCAATTTTACCATCCCTTCACGAAAGCATACAGCGATTGTGGGGCCATCCGGAGGTGGGAAGTCCACTATTGTCGCTCTTCTAGAGCGATTCTACGATCCATTAAAGGGAAGCATCTGCATAGACAAGCTGAACTTCCGTGATGTAAATGTGCAATTTCTGCGAGGCAACATAGGATTTGTGCAGCAGGAACCATCTTTGCTGGACCGATCAATCTTGGAAAACATTGCATACGGACTTGTCACCTCTGCAAGCGAAGAGCATCAACATCTACGACCATTTCTTTCTGATTCATCATTATCTGATTTGACTACAAGAATCCGAAGTGGAGTGTTGGAAAAGCACGCTCTAGAACAATTCGACCCGAGCGTCGATGAGATAGTGACACTCGTCAGAGAAGCTGCTGACAGCTCAAATGCATTGTATTTCATCGATGCTTTGCCGTTTGGACTGGCTTCTAGTGTGGGACCATCTGGCAGTCGGCTGAGCGGTGGTCAGAAGCAGCGTATTGCACTTGCACGAGCCCTAGTTCGAAAACCATCCCTCCTGATCCTTGACGAGGCAACAGCGGCTCTAGACTCTACCAGTGAGAAATTAATCCAAGATGCGCTGGCTGACCTCACGGAACGTGTCACAATAATATATATTGCCCACCGTTTAGCCACTGCCAAAGACGCCGACAAAACTGTCGTGATGCAAATGGGCAAAGTTGCTGAGGAAGGCTCTCATGTCGAGCTTGTTGCGAGAGGATGCTCATACGCTGAGATGGTGCGACTGCAGGACCTTGGCAGGTTAAATGCGAAGTCCAATTAGGACGCAATTAGGCAAGAGTTTGAGGTAGACAGTTCATTGATGAACACAAAAGAGGCGTTTGACTTGAGCTCTACAGATATCAAGATGAGACTTTGCCCGACTACGCCACTGTTCAAGTTGTCGAGAAAAAGACAGAGAAGGCCAAGATTAAACCCAAGAAAGACAAACCCCAGGAAAAATATTCGAATTGGCTTACTATCAAGTTCACCTTGTCTCTTATCCGGCCCAATTCGCTTTATATCTTCCTCGGCCTCGCGATGGCAGTTGTCATTGGGGGTAGCTACACCGCAGAAGCTGTCATTTTCGGACAGACAGTCGGTGCACTGAGTCCATGTGCTCGAGCCGATAGTATTAGACACAGTGGTCATCTCTATGGGCTTCTTTTCTTCGTCATGGCTATTGTCGAGCTCTCAGCCAATATCATCGGAGGTTATGCATTTGGCTGGGCTGCCGATAAGATTCTTTACAGGATACGAGTTCTGTCCTTGCGATCTCTTTTAGGCCAAACAGTCCCTTGGCATGGAATGAACGACAGAACGCCGGGTACATTGATCACTTACATTACTGGGGACGCAGCCGCTTTGAGCAGTATCACTGGTACTACTATTGGCTTGCTCCTAGCTACAGCTGTGAATTTGATAGCTGGTCTCGTACTGTCATTTATCATTGCCTGGAAGATAACCATCGTCTTGCTCCCAACTATTCCTGTCCTGTTGGTGGCGGGTATGATGAAGCTCCGAACACAGGCCCAATTTGCAGAGCGACACCAGAAAGCATTTGCCCAAGCCACAGCTATAACAATTGAGGCCATCGATAACATCCGCGCTGTATCTGCATTTTCTCTTGAGAAGCAGACATATTCCGTTTATGAACGAGCATTGAAGGCACCGTATAAAGAAACACTGAGGTCCATTGCATTTGGCAATATCTTCCTCGCACTGTCATTCAGCATCAGTGCCCTCGTGTACGCCTTAGCCTATTGGTGGGGCACGCAGCAGATTGCGGCTGGCCTATACTCCCAAACCCAGTTCTTCATTGTACTACCTGCCATTTTGTTCAGCACCCAATCATGTGGACAAATGTTTGCTCTTGCACCAGACATCTCCAAAGCTGGATTGGCGGCCTCTAATATTACCAAGCTCCTTACCACCAACTCAGCAGACGAAGAGTTGAATCCCGGCTTATCAGGAAAGTTCAGCGACACTGAAATGCATCTTCTAGAAGAGAAGCTCGCAGACTCAGAGGCACTTCGTTATGGCCAGCAAAACATAGACATCACCCCAACTCAAACCGGGCCCGGCATTGGAGCTGAACTACAAAGTGTTCATTTCGAGTACCCATCCCGCCCAGGACAGCCAGTGCTGCAAGGCCTCAGTCTTAAGATTCAACCTGGAAAATTCTGTGCTCTTGTTGGACCCAGCGGCTCGGGTAAATCAATAACATTCGCCATGCTAGAGCGATTTTACCGGCCTGAATCCGGGGCCATCATTATCGACGGTGTCAATATCACACACCAGTATGGCACTCAATTTCGTGATGAAATCGCTCTTGTTCCACAAGCAAATGTACTTTTTGAAGGAACTGTGTCTTTCAATATTGGCCTTGGAGCCCGTCCGGGTTATCAACCAACTCAACAAAAAATCGAAGAGGCATGTCGCATGGCTAATATCCATGATGTGATCCAGGCTTTACCGGAAGGATATCAAACACCGTGCAGTCGTGATGGAAAGCAGTTTTCTGGTGGCCAGCGACAGCGATTATCAATTGCTCGTGCTTTAATCCGTCGTCCACGTTTGCTGTTGCTGGATGAGTCTACCAGTGCATTGGATGTTGAGTCGGAAAAGCGGATCCAGGAGGCTCTTGCTACTCTGGCTGGTCGTACAACTATTGTGGCCATTGCACACCGACTTAACAACATTCATTGTGCTGACTGTATCTACCTTATTGAAGAGGGTCGCTGTGTGGAGCAGGGAACCCATGAAAAGTTGATTGAACGCAGTGACACATACCGGACAAGTGTGATTCACCAGTCGTTGGAAACATAAGAGCTCGAATAGACAGAATGAACTAACTCGCATTCATTCCATCTTCCAAGGTTATACCACTAGTCCATTGATTCAAGTTCTGTTCTGTACCGAAGCCTGCGGCCTAGCGTGACAATGATGCGCTGCGGGTATCGACATTTTGGCCCTAGTATTCAAGTTGGCCCGAAGAAGTAATAGTGCATGCAGATACCTAGAATAGTAATTGCCAAAGTAAACAGCATTAGCCACCAACAATAATCTTCCAGAAAGACAGAAACATGCGAACTGCACGCGTGATTTTCCCTGTTAGGATGTTCAGACTCGGTTAACTTGCCTTCGGTAGCTGTTACTCCGAGGTATTTCCCCGCGTCCTGACGTCGATTTTCCCCACCGTAACCCACATATGCCCCTCATGCTCCATAGTCGCTGGGCAAAAATGGTAAAATGGGTATTTCTCACAATGGAAAAGGTAGTATAAATGAGAGATAGAATAATTAATTGTCTCGCGCTTGATAGCTCGTTAGTTTTTAAACTCTAGCAACTCACATCACTCAATATAAGCACTTCCACAATGGCAACAACCTTAACAGGTGGGAATCAGCACATAATACAGCTGCCCAAGACTCCGCCCAGCTCTGCTGTTAATCCCCAGACCATCATCCAAGAATGGTTCAACAACCTGCAAGCCCAACTTTCGCGACCGGACTCGATCAACTTGAATCTGACAGACCTCTTCCACTCTGAATCATGGTGGCGTGATATGCTTGCCCTTGACTGGGATATGCGAACCCTCCACACCGTCTCCGAGATTCAAGACATCCTCCGTAAGCGCCAAAGTCAGGCACAGCTATCCAGCTTCAAGCTACAGGATCAAGGAAAATGGAAGCCTCAGGTTGAGCAGGTAGTTGATGGCTTGAGCTGGGTCTCAAGTATGTTCTTCTTTGAGACAGCCTGCGGAAAAGGAACGGGTATGATTCGATTGACACAAAGTGATGATGGGCTCTGGAAGGCATATGCGGTTTATACTTCGTTGCAGGAATTGAAGGGCGTGGAGGAACCATTGGGAAAGCGTCGAGTTGAAGGGACAACTGAGTCCATGCCTGGTGGAATAGCTGGTGGGACCTGGATTGAGCGGAGGAAGAGACAGAAGGAGTTCCTGCATTCAGAACCCACAGTACTGGTTGTTGGAGCTGGTCAGGCGGGATTGAATATGGGAGCTCGGTTGCAGAATCTTGGGCTCTCGTGTTTGATTGTGGATAAGAATGAGCGTGTTGGTGACAACTGGCGCAAGCGATACCGGGTTAGTAGATTGGGCTCGAGAGGGTTTTCATATTACGAATGAGCTAATCGTGATTTCGACAGACCTTGGTTACCCACGACCCAGCCGAATTCACGCATATGGCCTACCTCCCGTTCCCTCAGAACTGGCCACAATTTACACCAAAAGATAAGCTCGGTGACTGGTTTGAAGCCTATGCGAGTATCATGGAGCTGAATGTTTGGGTACAAACATCTGTGGTCTCCGCTGAATACAATGATGTGTCTGCTGAATGGAAAGTGACGGTTTCTCGGGGTGATGGAACCCAGCGTACATTACGTCCTCGTCATGTTGTTTGGTGCACTGGACATTCAGGCGAGGCGCGAATCCCCAGTTTCCCGGGACAAGAGTCTTTCCAAGGCACTCTTTACCACGGCAGTCAGCACACTGATGCCTCAGAGTCAGATGTGCGTGGAAAGAAGGTTATCGTTGTAGGTACTGGAAACAGTGGACACGACATCGCACAAAACTACTATGAAAATGGCGCAGACGTCACTATGCTGCAGCGGAGTGGCACATATGTGATTACCGCAGAGAAGGGTGTATTCATGATGCATGAAGGATTGCATGAAGATGGAGGGTTTGTCTCGACGCTCCTGGATCCCTTATATTCCACATACTGATATCAATCCTAGTCCTCCAACTGAAGAATGCGACATTGTGGACGAGAGTCTACCATTTCCCGTCAAATTTGCTCTTGCAGTACATGGTACAAAGCGGTTTGCCGAAGCCGAAAAAGAAACACTGGATGGTCTTCGCCGAGCGGGTTTCCAACTTGATTACGGTGTTGATGGAGCTGGTATTGCACGCGCATACTACACCCGTGGTGGTGGCTACTATATCGATGTTGGGTGTAGTCAGCTTATCATTGACGGCAAGATCAAGGTAAAGCACAGTCCCCGTGGTATCACTGGGTTTGGACCTCGGGAACTACGCCTGGAGGATGGTAGTACCTTGCCAGCTGATATTGTCGTCCTCGCTACGGGCTACGATAACATGCATACCACTGTACGGAAAGTGTTGGGTGACAAGATTGCGGATCGCTGCCAGGATGTGTGGGATTTAGATAGCGAGGGTGAACTTCGGGCGGTATGTGACGATTTATTTTCCCTCTCATTATAGATTCATGCTGACAATGCTTATAGATGTGGCGACCGAGTGGTCACCCTGGATTTTGGTACTTTGGAGGAAATCTTGCGCTGTGCCGGGTCTACTCCAAGTTCCTAGCTCTCCAGATTAAGGCTGTGGAAGTTGGATTATCTACAGGTAACCGTCAACAGCAAAGAGCGACCAAAATATAGGTATGCAATGAGCAAGGGAGAATCTCATTGTGTATTTTGAGGGTTGGAACAATCATCACTGGCCCAGGCCATCATGATGGCAATGATCAACTCACAATGGACGAGCGCTGATGTTGACCCGATTAACCCCTAGAATATCTGTGCTTTCAGTTAATAACACCTACAATTGACCAGACTATCTGAGCAACTGCACTTCAAAAATAGCATTGTGCTGCATACAGATTTGTATACATTCCAATACCTAGAAATGTACGTAGGAAACCTCAAACAGTGATACTAGTACAGGTCATTGCTAAGCTCAAGGATAACTTTGCATCAATTTCAAACCTTGTTGTTTGGAAGTATGTACTTGCCTAGGAAGGTCTGTTAAATGGACACCCGATATCCCAATGCTGGTCAAAAATCTCCACTACCTGAGTAGTAAAGGGTCAACTGGTCAACTGGTATATTATTCCTGTTCCCAAAGGGGTTAGACCCGGAATTAACGGTGATTGGCGGCGGAACAAGATGATTGGCTGATAACCCATTCTATACATGGAGATCTCACGATGCAATTGTTCGTCCACCGCAAAATCCGAGGAGACATTGGGATAAATACAGCCTGGTATCTCGCAAAAAATGACAGAATCAGATCAATTCAAACCAATTCAAACCAGACCAACATACATCTGAGATCAATCCTCACCAACAAAGATGGCCACGTTCAAGACACTTCCTACTCGTTCCCTCGGCCGAAATGGACCTCTAGTCCCTAGAGTAGGACTGGGCCTTATGGGCGCGAGTGGAATCTATGGCACTATTACCCCCGAGAATGCCAGATTTGAGCTCTTGGACGATGCCTACAACAGAGGCGAGCGATTTTGGGATACCTGTAAGTCCCCAACAATATACCAGTCACAATCCTTACTAAATCTCTCACAGCGAGCTCGTACGGTGACTCCGAGGAAATTCTCGGAAAGTGGTTTGCCGCCAACCCCGAAAAGCGCAAGGATATTTTCCTCGCGACGAAGTTCGGCATTCGGCATACGGATACCTTTCCAGGATTTACCGTGTCCTCCACGCCGGAATATTGTCGCGAGTCCATTGAGTCTTCCCTGAGTCTTCTCGGACTATCCTCCATTGATCTGTTTTACATTCATCGGCTTGATAGGGTCACTCCTATTGAGAAGACCATGGAGGTTATGGTTGAGTTGAAGAACGCTGGGAAGATCAAGTATATTGGACTGAGCGAGTGTAGTGCTGAATCGCTGCGACGCGCATATGCGGTTCATCCCATTACTTGTGTGCAGATGGAGTACAGTCTCCTTTGCACTGAGGTTGAGTCGCCGGAGCGAAAGTTTCTGGAGACTGCACGGGAGCTGGGTGTGGCAGTTGTTTGCTACAGTCCGCTTGCAAATGGGCTGTTGACTGGGGGTCTACGTTTGATAGCGGATGTCGACAGCCTAGGTAATAGGCGTAGTGTTTTGCCGTGGCTCCAAGAGGCAGTCTTGGAGAAGAATATAGAGATTCTCAATCAGATAAGTGAGATTGCAAAGTTGAGGAACATCACGACTGCGCAACTGGCCCTTGCTTGGTTACTTGCTCAGGGAGATGATATTTTCCCTATCCCAGGATCTTCCAAGATCCAGCGCCATGAGGAAAATCTGGGAAGTCTCTTTGTGGATTTGTCGGAGGAAGAAGAGAAGGAGCTTCGTCAGTTGGGTGAGGAGGTTGTCGGCGGTCGCTTCCAGGAAACCACTGGGTACGCTTTTGCAGACACTCCTGCACTGGAGGAGTGAATGGGACTAGGTGTAGAGTCATATGCAGACTTTTTCATTTATAGTCTAGTTAGGTCAAATTGAATTATTTCCACTCTCATTGCTGATCCAATCATCAAAGCATACTATGTCAGGTTCTTGTTGATGATCAAATTCCAAAAGAATTGACTCGGCATCAACTTGCAGAGGCTTTTGAGATGCGATGACAATATCTCCAAAATATGGAAACGAGAACCGACTCTCAGACTCATTATTCAAGCCCTGTTCCACTAGATTCCGACTGGCCCCCTCCTCGATCCATGTATGATAAAGCGACCCATTTGCTGCATCTTCCTCGATTTCAATGAATCGCCTCAATCTTTGCAAGTAAGAGGCGCATTGCAAATCACCATGGTGTATAGAAATATCTTCCCAGAGCGAAATCACTTTCCCGATAATACCAAGATCATACGATCGTTGATGCTCAAGGAAATCCAGATCGTCATTTCCATGAGTGGTAAAATGGGCAAAGAGCAGAATTATACAGGCCATGAAACCCTTTTCATCAAGGCCTCTATATGATGGCGATCGGCGATAATTTCGAACTGCGAGATAACGTGAAAGCAACTCACGACTCGCTAATGTTGCCGCTGATCTACTATAGCTGTAATCTCGCTGGCCATGGTTTTCACCTTGGTAGTAGATCAGATAAGGATGATGCAAAAGGGCCAATAAATAGTACTGGTGCATCTGTGCGAAAAGCCTGGCTGCTTTTTCTGAAGCCTCACTGTCCGAAGCAGAGTCCAAAGGTGGAGCAAGCCACCACTCCGAGGGTAAAGTTCGAGTCGCATTCTTCAGGTTGCGGTCGATAATTTTAGTTTCCTTGTAGTGCTCGAATTGAGGTATCTCATCGCCTTCAGAGTCACGGATACCCTGCATGCGTAAATTTCTGGTAATAATATGACCCGCAATGAGAGCATGTATGCGCTCTAATTTTTGGCATGGTTCGCTGAGATTTAACTGGGCTGTGCTAGCGAAGCTATTACTAGCAATCGCGAAAGGAACCCCGAGTATAAGCGACAGAAAACGTTCGGTATAGATAATTTGAAACCACAGGTGTTCTGCTCGTACACCTAGTTCTCCTGCAATGTTTTCTAACCCAATTTCTTGTGCGATGGTTGCCGCGCGGCATTGGATTGCCCACGCGGATTTAAAGTCGCCAATCGTAACGTGATAGCTGGATTGAAGCATAATAGTGTCTAATCCATCAAGAGACCAGACCAGGTAGTCCTGTGAAACGACAAGATGAGATGAAATATCCACAAATCGCTTTGCAGCAGCATCAAGTGACTCATTCATATGTAGCTTGATCGGCTGCGAGGATGATGCATCAAATTGTTTTAAACAGATGGCAAGCTGGATAAGCCTTCGAGCTAAAACTATCGGATGGGCATTTGATGAGAGATGAGTCTTTGGGGTCCGTTCTGTGGAATGAGATAATTCCTCATCCAATTTTTTGGTCACTTGAAGGGGTGAAGCAAAAAGCTTAAGGCTGCTCAGAATAAAAATAGTCGTATCTGGGTCGGGGAGAATTGAGAAAAGGTATCCATTCAAGGAAGGTCCTCTTGAAAGCCTTTCATGACTCACGGAGTTGAGAGTGAACGTATTCTCGAGTCCTCTTCGTTGGATCACATTTTGAGATTTATTTAATGCGCCCGATTTCTTGATCTGGTGCGAGTAATCTCTTTGTTTAAGCAGATGATTCACCAATACCTCGACTTGATCAATTCGTTGGCTGAGAAATTGAGATTCATTGGTATCAGGTTCTTCAAAGGCCTGGCTTGTGCAGGTGAGCCCAAAACGCTGACAGTTGAAACAAGTCGATGTAGACTCTGATCCAAACTCGCACCGCTTCTTGCGACGTTTGCATTGCCAGCAACTTGTTGTCCCTTTGCGTATTTTCCGAGGGGCCGACTCAGAATCTGTAGAGTTGGGAGACATCTTCCCTAATCTTTGATGACTGTGTTGGAAGAAGTCAGATAGGTACCCGTGGACAGCCTTGCGGTAGGTAAGAGTTGCCCCACTAATTTCATCATTTAGGTGGCCCCGGAGCGCAATCAAAAGTACACTGACAACATGAATGCTACAGATAGTACCTATGATAAAGGTCCTCCGGCTCAGGTTTTCTTCAAAAAGCAGATCATGATCTTCAAAAGAGATGATTTTCTCTGAACCATCGGAATTCACTCTCCAAGTTCTTGTTGGACTTGGCGAGAATCGAGATATCCCAAGATAAACGGATGATACAAGTAGCGATAGGAAAAGAATGAGGCATTATGTACTACTATTCAAGATCAAGTCGATTAAAATTATAAATTATAAAAAATATCATAATATCGTAATATAATAAAAAATCTGACAAGCATAGCGTAGTTGCAAACATTGATCGCTCAAGTGCTCCAACAAGAAAGTTATTCTAGCAGATCCTTAAACATAGACTCCTGCCTTAATGTCCTCCAGAATGGTAGGTCCAGAGGGCTTCCAACCAAGCTCCTCCTGTGTCTTCTTGCTAGAGGCTGGGTTGTCGGAGCTGACGGGGTAAACCATGAAACCAGCGAAATGCTTAGAAGCAGCCTCAAAGTCCAAAGAAACTGTTGGAAGACCGAGAGATTGACCGATTGCTTCAGCAATATCTTTTACTGGGACAGCTTCTTCAGCAATAGCGTGGTATCTGCTGCCTGCGACCCCCTTTTCCAGGGCTAGACGATAGAGACGAGCTGCGTCGAAACGGTGAACAGCGGGCCATCGATTAAGACCCTCCCCGACATACACCGACTGGCCATTTGTGCGCGCGAACTGTGTCATCGCACTGACAAAGCCCTTGTCTCCATCGCCGTGAGTTGTAGGGGACAGTCGAACATAAGTGATTCGCACACCCTTTGAGGAAAAGTTGAGTGCCTCCTGCTCTGTAGCAGTACGAGCGCCAAAGGCGGAGTTGGTCTCTACAGGGGTATCTTCGGTACCAACCTGTCCCATAGGAAGACCCATGGTGCCGGAGGTGAGGACGAAAGGCTTGTTGGTTCCGGCGAGGGCATCTGCCATGCTGAAGATTGCGTCGCGCTCCACCTTGGCATTCTCGGCAAATTTGGTGAAATCGTGGTCAAAGGCAAGATGGATAACACCGTCAGCCTCAGTGGCTGCTTTTTTCAGACAGTCAACATCTTCGATAGAACCGCGAATCACATTAACTCCCTTTGCTTGGAGGGTCTCAGCCGATTTCTCTGAGCGTGCTAGGCCGGTAATGGTGTATCCGTTGTCGAGGAGTTCTTGGACGACAGCTTGGCCAACAAAGCCAGCGGCACCAGTGATGAAGACGTGCATGTTGATTGGAGGGTTGGTTTTGAAAATGTTCAAGTTCAAATATTGAGGTTTTCAAGGTTCAAGTTGATTGTTATGAATCTTCTGCATAGGAGGAGACGTGAGGGTATTTATGTTCAAGTTTGCCAGCACTTGAGCGGTCTCGGATTTTCGATAATCTCCACCGGCGGGAATAACATTTGAAACAATCTTAAACCCATGATAGAGGCTTGAAGTACACAGGGATGGAATTTCTTGGCAAGTTGGCACATCTCAAGGCTGTTCTCAAGATTCCACCAAATTGAGAATACGAGAGGAGGTTAGTGCCATCTTTCATTCCACCAATAACATTTGAATATGGATCTGAATGGAGATGATCGGAGTTAGCGGACATCTGGAGTGGAACCGCAAGGCTACGTCTTGTACCCGTCCGTGCTCATTTTACCATAGTGGAGGCCTAAGTTCTACGTTCTTTTCACATCACTATAATTTCACTCTATTCACAGCCTCGCTGAATTACTTTACAAAGCCATGTCGTCTAAGCGATCGGCCTTCGGTGATATGGACTCCCGACGGCGTCGCGCCCACACTAAATCGCGCCACGGATGCCGCAACTGTAAGCTGAGGAGAATCAAGGTGAGTCGCTTTGTCTGATACCTGACCCCTGGAAGGATCTAAGCTTGGATCTGACAGTTGAATGCAGTGTGACGAACAACAGCCACAATGTCAAAAATGCGCATCGTTTGGCGTTCTCTGCAATTATAGTTCGGCTCAAGGTTCAGATTTGCAACCTGCATGGCAAGAAGCTCAAATGAAAACAAATGAACCATCCTTCAAGCAAGCAGTATTCAGTTTCAAGCCCCAGATTCTTGAACTTTCAAATTTCTCGGTAATCACCGTGGGGAGTGGATATAGCTCTTTTACAATGGACCAAGAAAGCCTGGCTCGGTTAAACCGGTTTCAGACACGCACCGTCTACTCTTTTGGAACCAAATCGGCTTTGAATATTTACCAGAATGATGTCGTCCAGCTTGCACTAGAAGTAAGGGATTTGCTTCATTACTAAAAAAAGTTTAATTGATTAATTTTCTTAGCATCCATTCTTAATGCACGTTATCTTGGCTGTCACAGCAATCCATGATCGTCATTTGTTACCAGCACCAAAAAACGGTACTCGATCGCTTACGGAAATATACCATGGAGCCCAAGGGGCTGCACTTCTCGCTGAAAAGCTCTCTCGTCCCATAGCCTATGCCGATCGTGATGCTCTCTGGTCCACTGCCGCGATGATAGGAGTCGCTACTATGACTTCTATTGAAGCCTCCAACCCAATGGAAGCATGGCCAATGAAGCCATTTGAATCAACAGATCTTGGCTGGTTAAGTCTCACCAAGGGTAAAGAAGCAGTATGGCGAGCAACGAATCCACTCCGGCCGGATAGCATCTTCTACCGCATGGCAGACGACTATCGCGCACACAGGAATCCGCCACGCCTTCGTGAAATAGCAGATATACCGTATGACTTTGTTCATCTGTGCTCTTTAGATGGCCGAACGCCTTTGGAGCAGAATCCATATTATACAGCGGTTTCATTACTGGCTGACTTCATTGAACTCGAGAGTTCTTCACGTTCTACAGAAGAGTCTCTGCCAAGATTTGTCTCTTTCCTTGGCATTATGACTTCTGATTTTCGATCATTATTGTATTCGAAAGATCCCCGGGCTCTGCTGTTATTTGCTTATTGGTACTCTTTTGTGGATGCCTCACGGTGGTGGATAGCCAGGCGAGCTTGGATAGAGTGCCAGTCAATATGCTTCTATTTAGATCGATATCATGCTAGCGATAGCAAGATCCAGGCGTTGCTTGAACGGCCCAAGAGGAGATGCGGACTTATGGATTAGTTCCGAGTCACTAAATGTACATATACTTCATGGCCTGGTCAGGCTGGACCAAATTACAATAATAACGCCTGTGAACAAAATAATATCACTTCACTATGAAGATTTATATCCAACTGATCAAATAATAGTCTGGTGTCTGCATAATATCAGTTGGAGGGTTGGCAAATGGACCTTCCTAAATAGGCAAGACACCGTCATATCCCCACGTGACCGGGTTCCGCCTTCCTGAAGCGTGACTCCTTTCCCGAATTCAATACGAACAACAGACTCCAGTGTGGGCAAAAGGTAACAATTTTGGGCAACAGAGGAAACTAATTCTTAAAATCACGAACCGGATCTAACATTTGAAGATCCGTGAAGAGGATATTTTCAAAGTTGCCAACCGGTCGCACCATGAGTGAACGGGGTTCGGAGATCGTGTTTCGCGCGGAGAACCTGCCGATCCGGTTCTTCAAGGCGTGTCGGTGGTGTCGCCGACAGAAGATGCGATGTGATGCTCGTCATCAAGTACCCTGCTTTCGTTGCCGGTCAACAGGTCGAGATTGTATCCTGGATCCGATTGAGGATAACCGGCGGCGCAGTGAGCGACGCAGGAAAACAACCCCCGCACAGTGAGATCCCATAGAGATCCCATAGGCAGCCTGCGTCATTGGTGTAATGTTATACTGATTTGTATAGATATAGTGGCTCAGTAGTAGCGTCCCCATTGGATCAAAGAAGTGGCTTTCACACCCCTATCTCGAGGGAACAAGAATATTCTCCTCTCACAGGCCAGGATGTTAGCTTTAATGCCTCGATTGACTCTCTCCCGGACTCGTCGGACTTGAGAAACCTACGGAGGTCTGTAACGGCCGATCATAATGGTCCTGAGTCTCAACAATTGAGTCCCAATGACATGATCGCGCCGGTTTCGGCTGTTCATTCTATGTCTGTGAACCTACTTGGCTCTAACAACGTAAGTTGATTCAATAGATTGAGACTTGAGATTTTCCATTGAACGGAATTCTAGATATTCATGGAACATTCAACGAACGGTGACCCGAGAGGCGATATCATTGCTCGTGGTATCGTCACCGAGGAAAGAGCAAGAGTAATGTATGAACGGTATGTATGCACGTGGATCAGCTTGGAGAAATAATTTCAAAATATCAAATGATGAAATATTGACATTTTTCTGCAGATTTACTGGCGGTAGTAAGAACTACCTCCCACTTTTCGATCCGATCCGAGATACGTTTGACTCTATTCGATCCCGATCTTTGTTCTGTTTCACCGTGATTATCTACTTGGCTAGTCGAGCAGTCATGGACTTGCGGACTGATACTCATATGCAACGAGTACTCCAGGATGAAGCACAAAGATTGGCCGAAGACAGCTTTTTTGAACGTCCGACCAAGCTTGAAACAGTCCAAGGAATGATCCTCCTTGCCGCTTACTCGGAGAAGACATGGTTTTCAACAGCATTGATTTTACGCACAGCTCTTGACTCTGGTCTTGAGAAATCATTGGACACATTGCTTTCACAAGAAAACATCCCGCGCAGCTCACTCGCTGCTTCAATGGAAGATCGTCAGCTCGTATGGCAAACCAGAACTTGGTTAATTAGCTTCACGTTGGAGTTAGATGTGGCTTCAGGAACGGGCCGGAAATCGCGAATAGGAGAGGTAGATGTCACGAAACTGCGCAAGTTTCTAGATTATCCTCTTTCTTTACCTTGTGACATGCGGACGGTGTGCATCATTGAATTGCATCAGCTTCGAGGTTCGATCAGTCAGCCGTGTTATCGTGTTCATTCTCTGACTATGATGTATAGGACACTCGCGTATTATTCTCGATAACTCCGTCACCGTTCGTGACATTGTGGTGACTGAATTACCTGCTATAATGACGAGGCTACAAAATTGGTGGATAACATGGGATGATATACACAACAGTACGTCTTCCTACACTAAGACACATTCTGAATACGTTCCACTGACCTATTTGAAGACAACGGTTTCCATGCTGGGGCTTTCCAGCGCAGTAGCTTGAAATTAATGCATCTTTATGCTAGAATCTTTGTCCTATGCGCTTCGCTAGCACGCATTCAGAAGCTGCAGCCTACTTGTTCCAATTCAGACTCAGAAATATTTGACCAGAATGTACTGGAATTGTGGCAGTCTCTAGTCCAGACAATCATGGACCAGCAGGAATTCTTGATTAATGAGCCATCCTACCGATGCCAGTTATCTTGGGCACCGACCTACCCAGCATTGACTATAGCTTTTGTTAGTAAGTCATGCACATGCCACTTATACCCTGAACCTTACGCATACATGCTAACTGCAGGTAGCCACTTTTGCGCTTCGCATTGCACGCTGGCGGCCTAATTTGATTGATCAAGACCTGCTTCTCGAGCGAGCGGAGAAAATATGTGACTTTTTGAAGCAACCGCCCTACCCGGATATCCACCGTACAGTTTCAATATTTGTCAACTACGCTCGAGCCTTGATCGCAAGTCAACGTCCCAAAAGCCGTGATAGTGCAGATGGGCCCAACATGTCTGAACAGAGTGATGGGCCCGTGCCATCCTACCAGGGTCTTGATAGTCCTATGGAGAATGCCCCGCCTTTACCCACTAGCATGGACGATCCTCGGTACAGGGCCGGCACCGGGTTGCCGAGTGATAGAGATACAAACCTGGTCACCTTGCCAAACAATGATGGAACTGCAGCTCCTAGACCGCCCCTTCCAAGAATGCCTGATACTATGGAAGCTCCTAATTGGACTATGTCTAATTCTATTGCGGATTCCTTTGGGCTTTTCGAGGAGGGTCAAAACGACATATTTGATTTCCTACCCATGGTGCCTTCTTTGCCTCAGTGAATACCCCAGTTGCCAGTGACTAAAGAAGTATTCTGTCCACCAAACATAAAATGAATGTCTTTTCCTTACTATTGAATGGATTGAATGCCACCGTGCTATTTTAAGACCTCAAAATGTAACCACATTTGGTTATAGTTTCCTCGTGGCCCTCGAGCTGCAAGAGGGCACCTGCCATGCAAATTGGGCCGGAAACTCGTAGATATGTGCAGTCCCCACACAATTCACATGAAAGGTGCATTTTGAGGCCAATAAAAACTGAAATTGGATACAAATCACATCATGACAAGAAATCTAGGCACCGGCCACACCCATCAACAAACCGGGTCCTGACCGGGACCGAATGTTCAGGGCTCCATTTTCCGGGCCCGGTCCGGCTCCGACCCACTTTTTCAAAATTTCAAGTATACAACTCACCTCATTGGTGCTTGTAAGTACTCTGCTATAATGATTTGGGAGAATATGCATGACCACGAGATCTGGAAGCTCTGAGTCAAGTTTTCAAATAAAAATTTGCTCTTTACTAGTGGCAATGGGGCCCAAAAAGATTATGTTAAATAGCGCAGTTCTCGCATTGAAAGGTTGGGATATGAAAACATGGTTCATTCGAGTTCAATTGATACAATTGTTACGTATTTGATTCTCTGAAAATTTACACAAAATGTCGAGTAATAGTATAGACTATTCATTCAAAGCTCAAATCTTGAATATTTTCTCTTCAGGTATGCTTGAGTCCATCATTGTTTATCTCGCTCAATTCTCACATGCTATCTCCTAGACAAGAAGCCAAGCTTCAATGAGAAGCCTCTGGCAGCAACTCCAAGTCCTTCAATCAGATCGGAAGCAACATTAAGGGACTCGGATTCGTCAGATTACACCCTAGTTGAACTCCCTTCCCATGAAATATTGGTTGAATTCCAAGAAGGATCCCCAGCAAACCCAAATAACTGGTCTCTAGTAAGCTTTACATTAATTGAAATGCATAACGAAGAAAGAACATATCATCCTGACATTACTATTACTAGAATAAAAAGATTTACAATGGCGTGGTGGGGCTACTTCTTGTTCTCAATAGCGGGATATCATCATCCCTGCCGAGTAATGCAGTCCCCACTATCATGCAGGATTTCCACATCTCCGGCAATGGGGAATCAGTCCTACCAACGTCCATCTTTCTAATTGGCTACTGTGTTGGACCTTTAGTCTTTAGTCCTTTGAGTGAGACAATTGGTCGAAGATCAGTTCTTTTTTGGTCTTATACTGTGTTTGTATTAGGAACACTGGCTTGTGCCTTCGCACCGACTTGGCCAGCACTACTCATCTTCCGATTGATCTGTGGTACTATGGCAGCTGCGCCACAAACTGTGGTTGGAGGTGTATATGCGGACTTGTTTTCCGATTTGCATACTCGTGGTCGAGCCATGGCTTTGTACATGTCGGTCAGTATAGACAAGGAAAACAAAAGCCAGAGAAATAACTAATGCGGATGATAGGCTACAAGCTTTGGTCCCATTATTGGTCCGATCATCTCTGGCTGCTCAGTTCAATATGGTTGGCGCTGGACTTTTCGTATTGATGTGATTCTCTGTGGTCTTGTCTGGCTTGGTCTCTTTGGCTTCTCTGGTAAGTGTAACTTGCTTTTTCGGGATTCCGCCATACTAACGGAGTGGTATAGAAACATTCAGTCCTGTGATCTTGAAGCAACAGGCAGCAAAGCTGAGAAAGGAGTCGGGCTCTGACCGCTATATTTCGCCTCAAGAGCTCAAAACCGATGCTTCATTCACATTGTCTCAAATAATTTCCCGACCTCTTACCATGCTGGTCTTTGAGCCCATTATTCTTTTTACATCCATTTACATTGCCCTTGCATGGAGCATGGTATTCTTCTACTTTGAGGCCTACCCCGTTATTTTCGAAAGTATGTCAAACTCCTCACCCAACAGTCGTATTCCTGGCAAAATTCTAACCTCTTCCAGATACTTATAATTTTAATGTGGCCGAAACATCTCTTACATACATTCCGAGTAAGTCAGTCAGTACTGGGATGCTTTGATGTACTTACTAACAAAGAACAGTCGGTTTCGGTGCTGCCTCCTCCTGTCTTTTCGCCCTCTACTACGACAGCGCATATAACAAAGCCAAGAAAGCAGGAAAGAAATGGGCATCCGGAACCGAAGCTCAGCGCCTACCTCTATCCTGCGCATCCGCACCATGCCTCGCAATCAGCCTTTTCTGGCTCGCCTGGTCCGCCAAGACCAGTATCCCTTGGATCATGCCCGTCCTTTCAGGCATTGTTTTTGGACTGGGCTACCAAACAACTTTCATCTCATTGTTAACATATGTCACTGATGCATACAAGATCTACTCTGCAAGTGCTCTAGCTGCATCTGTTATCATGCGGAGTGTTGCTGGTGCATTATTCCCTCTTGCGGCAACTCCACTCTATTCAAAGCTGGGAGTTGCATGGGCAACCTCTATACTGGGCTTTGCTAGTCTGATCTGCATTCCCATTCCGTTTGCATTGCTTTACTATGGACCGTTGATTCGGAAGAGAAGCCGATTTTGTCAGCGGTTGTTGGAGATGGAGATGCGTAAGTCGCCTAGTGGAGCACAAACACCACAGGAGGCTTAGCTATCACCTGTCCTTGGAGCATTTTTCAAAAAGATCACTATCTAATGTTTATTTCTTTTCGGGCATTTCTGCTTGCATACTAAATGGGATTACTTAGCGTTAGATTTCTAAAATTGAAGTTGGAACTATTAATATTAAGTACTATCCATGTAGGTTCTGATAGACATAGCCACTGAAAACTAAAGACAACTTGAAGCACAGGTAAAATTAAATGAAAAGTATCTGTAATGCCGTGCGAAGGACGGTGTGAGGACCTGTGAGCGTTGTATTACATCGGTGTTAGTAGTAAGCTTTGATATCTATTCAATACTCAATAGCGGATGTTCAGCATAAAAAACCCTTTTGAAACTAAACCCAAAGCAAAATATTCAAAGAAATGCAAATACAAATATTAATACAAAAGGGACAACGCCCCTCCCCTAGCAGGCTTATCTCCCCGGCTGGCGGCCCCTGGACATTCTCCATCGGTCTTGGACTCGAATTGGGTTCCTTGGGATTTGGGGCCCCGTTAGGCTATCGAGCACCCGGATATGCTCTTTGCTCAACTCGAGACAAAGAGCAGTTGCAAACTGTGGGTGCTCCTCCAGGAACTCGGAGGTCAACATCGGCTGTCGGCCGCGTTGATAGTATCGCAGGTTGCGCACACAGTCCGCAACCACTGCCTCCTTCACTTCCGTGAAGTTTGGCCCATCAGCCCAAATCTCCTCGATCATCTCCAACAAGGTGTCCGCAGGAAGTCTTTTGGCCATTGTAGTCTCCTCGAAGTAGGTACCCGCCTTGGCCTTCAGATCGTCGACCATGAAGTAGTCCGCCTCAGCGTAGACGCGGTAGTGGAGATACGCAGGATGAGCTTCCATCATTTTCATCTCTTCTTCTGTTAGCTTGTCTGTGGCAGGTGCTTTGATTAGATCGCCATCTGCTGATCGCTTTGTGCCTTTGGATTCCTTCGCCTCCTTGTGGGCCTTTCTTTCTTCCGCAAAGTCGTAGTCGCCGGTGTAGAGGAAGCTTAGGACTTTCTTGAGAAGCATTGGCTCCGACTCTTTAATGTCAATGATTCCTTGAGACTCCTATAAAGAAAAGGTTAGTTCATCTGAAATGAGTTGTTAACCAGTTTCATCTGCACTCACAATGAAGGCCGGGTTGCCGCAAGCTGCTTTGAAATAGGCCGATCCGGTGCAAAGAATGTTTTTGTGAGCAGGGAAGACCTCACTCTTGCAGATGATGGTTAGGTCGCTGTATTCCTCATTCAGGAAAAGGCTGGAGGTTCTATCAAGTTAATGATACTGGCTTCATCATTCTGGGTGTATGTATCTTTAAACTCACCCTTTGATCCTCTTTGTGACAGTTTCCTTTTGCTCGTAGAGGGTCTTGAGATTCATAACGGTCTGCTGGCGGTCAGCAGCTTCATTATTACTCATCTTGATTAGCTGTTGAAGTGCGAGCTAAGTGAGTATCAAATGGAGGTTGGGATGGGCCAGGTTTAGCGCGGTGAGGGTGAAGATATGATATGAAGATAGCTTCAAAAGAGAACTGAGCAAGGTAAATGGAGATATGCGACTGTGTGGTATCTGGGATGTGAGTAAACTCGTGGTGAGAGGGAAGGAAGAACAAGAAGAGCGACGGAGCGAAGACTAACGCGTATGCTTGCGATCGAGTAAGTGAATGGTGCCTGGGAGCGCTAGCGTCTCAAGGAGTTTGGACCATATCAATATCAATAACATAGCAAGACAGAACTCACCTTCTTCGAAACCTGACCTGGACCACTTTGCATATGTGAGTGCATAGAGATCTTCCTTCCGGACTTTGTGTCAAGAAGCTTTATGAAAGCCAGCTTCCAAGCTCGCATACCTGACATACTGACATAATTTCAGAAATAATAATGGATTCTGAGAAAAATTCAAGGCCCCATTTCCCGAGACAGTCTGGTCCTTTAGTGGCAGGCCGCTGCATAGAAAAGCACGATATCTTGCATCTTCACGCAACGATCAAGGTCAATATGGATATGAAATGTCTGTGCTTGGCGACAAAATCAAATTTTATTCCCGAATGCAACGAATCTCAAGAATAATTCGCTGATTTGCATGAATCGGAGTGAGTCGGTATTGATTCCACATCGTGAGCCATAAAGGACCCTCCTTATAGCCAATTTGACCTGAAGAAAGGAACTTTCATACCGATAGTTTTGGAAGGCTTTTGAGCTGTGGGAGATGGTGCTCCAATCACAGTCCAGGCGACCTATACCTCGACAGCTTATGCTTGTACAAAAAAGGATAAGCAAGATCGATGATTCCAAGGTATTCGGTGACTATCATTTCTTGAAGAGTTCGGTGGGCAGTCTGGAGAGTTTCATAACATGAGCCGATTGCGGTGAGCTGCCAGTGATATAAGTGATCAAGGCAGTGATTGAATATGAGCCATAAGACTTGCATACTGATAGGGACCTTGGAGTAGCTGATGGTGATGATGATCACGGCGGTTATGGTTCTGATCTAAAAGATCCATTCGTAAACGAAACCAAGAGCTAGTGGTAGTAGCACATGAGAGCTTTGAAACTGTGACTTCATTAATTACAATGTGTGAATTTGGTATATCTACTTATGAAGGGGATGCATGTATCAAGCCCGTCAAACGGCAATTGCCAAACGCCAAGACTCGGACCTCTATGACCCAACCTTGGAACGGGATAATCACAGATGATATCAATACTAGTACCTACCTAGTAGTAGTTGGTCAACTGACAGGCCTAGGGAAGACTACTATTAGTACTTAGGTGCTACTAGTGATACAAACTAGGGAGTAAAAATCAGTTCCCACTTAGCTACCTAGTAAAGAGGAGAACCGTGAGGCAGTGTATTCGAGATACACGGGTCGATCCAGCTAGACTGAAAGAACAACACCAACCAACAAAGACAATGTGGCCGGACTACCCCGTAGGGGTGGGATGAGAGATGTGTAGGAGTGTGTATTCTAGACTATAACGACGGGCATTCTTGTACGTACAAAGACGGGACTGAAAACATGACAAAACAGAGATGTAATCAAACGGTAATTCTTAGCACGGTACGTGTAGTAGGGGACAGGGTACCCCACTACAATATGTGTAGTTATATGTGTGTATAAATTTAGATATAGCTAAATAAGTAGGAGAATATATATGAGTCTTTTTACGTGGAACTACCTTTTACGACGGAGGTCTTGAAACTTCAACGATGATTTTTCAACTATTTTAGATATTGAACATGATTGTGGGAAGGCAGTCGAGATGCTGCAGCATGCAAATTTAGCAGACAGCTCTGCCATCATAACTGCATCTTCACTTTCGTCAGACGGAGGCGCTCATTGATTGCTAAAGTGGTGATGAAATTGAGATCAGACTCATATACATATACGATAGGGCTAAGCTCCACCCATTATCAATTTGGTGACTTGCTTAATTAGTATATAAGCAGAATTTTCCTGTTGTTCATTGGTTCTATGAAATTTGTCTCAAGCGTGCTAAAAAGCATAGCCTAGCGGCCCTAGCCCAGTCAGGGCAACAAGCCACATGGCGGCCGGAAAAAATCGAAATACTCATTCGAGATTGGTCAGTCCTCGTGTTTCGTTCGCTGACAGTTTTGTGAGAACCGATCAGTTCGGCCTAAGGAGGTGTTAGCGGTGAAATCCTATCCTATGACTGGTCACTAAAATCACTCAACTTATAGTCCAAGTTACCAGCATCCTCTTTCCGGCGAGACAATATGGATGATGCGCGATTAACGATTCAAAAAGACTTCCCATGTGGTGCAGTTATAAAAGGGCGATGCACACCACAGTGTTTTGTATTTTTAACCACTTTACTTGTTTCTCCCGTTTTGCGACAGACTGCTTCCATTCTTTTTCATGGCTAATTCGGGAACAACCCTGCGTTGGAAAGTTGGCGACGAAGAGGCCGTGAATGAAATTTCAGTAGAGAGAAAAGACACTGAGTATGATAAAGACAAGGAAAAGAGTTTGCGCCGGCACTCAAGCTCGAGGACTATGGACCCGAAATCTGCGATTCCCATTCAATATCGGAGCATGTATTGATCCCATTGTTACTTTCTGGTTATCCTGACACCTGGCTAATACATTGTTCTCAGTTCGTTCGAAATTGAGGATGAAGGAGAAAGAAACAAACGATTTAAACAACATGCGGAGAATGATAAGATGGCCGAAGGTAAGTCTGTGCTAAATAATTCTTGAATTATAGCTAGCTCACGCACGGGGTAATAGAATGGCGCAATATGGAGTGGCACACCTTATCCATGGAGGAGATTCAAAAGCGCCTCGATGTAGACGCATCGCTTGGAATCTCCAACGCTTCTGCCAAGGAGCGTCTTCAGAAATATGGCGCCAACAAAATCTCTCCGCTTCCAAACCCCTGGCTCTGGAGGATTATCGGCTACTTTTTCAAAGGATTCGGCTCGATTCTTATGATTGGTGGAATCCTGGTCTTTGTTTCCTGGAAGCCGCTGGGCGATCCTCCAGCGATTGCCAACCTGGCTCTTGGTATTGTTCTCATTGCAGTGTTCTTCATTCAAGCTGCTTTCAACGCGTGGCAGGACTTTTCTTCCTCTCGAGTGATGGCTTCAATTACTGCCATGCTTCCCGAGTCATGTATTGCTCTCCGTGGGGGCTCGCGAGTGGAAATCTCGGCTGTTGATCTTGTTCCAGGAGATGTGTTGATCATAAAGGCTGGTAACAAGATCCCGGCGGACATTCGTTTTATCGAAGTATCGCATGATCTGAGTATTAACAGATCGGTCATAACTGGAGAGTCCAAACCAATCAATGGCAGTACCGAAAGTACATCCGACAACTATCTTGAGACAAGATGCATTGGGCTTCAAGGAACCCATTGCACCACTGGTAATGGACTTGGCATCGTGGTTGCTGTTGGCGACTCCACGATTTTCGGTCGAATCGCGAAGTTAGCAGGTGAACCAAAGACTGGTCTTACAACAATCGAAAAGGACGTTTTTCGCTTTGTGGCTCTAATCTTTATCATCATGGTCACTTGGATTATCGTTCTGGCTGCTGTCTGGTATGCTTGCTGTCTACATCGATCTGCTTGTCTCCCAAGGCTAACATATCCCCAGGGGCGGCTGGCTTCATAAAGTGCATCCCGACTATATCAATGTGCCGACGCTCATCGTGGATTGTGTGAGCGTGGCCATCGCATATATCCCCGAAGGTTTACCCATTGCTGTCACAGCCAGCTTGACTATCACTGCAAACATCATGAAGAAGAACAAAGTGCTATGCAAGTCACTCAAGACTGTGGAGACTTTAGGTTCGGTCTCAGTTATTTGCACCGACAAAACAGGCACACTGACCAGAGTAAGGATTGATCATGTACTGGAAGCAGGGGCTTATCATAATGCTGATGTTCTTATAGAATCGCATGGCTGTCACCGACTATGCCGTGCATGCAACAAAATCTATTCTTGATTCTACAGGCGAGCACACAACAATCAAAATGGACATTCCCGTACTTCGGCAGGTTCAAGCCGTGACCGGTCTTTGCAACGAAGGTGAATTTGATACGGAATCGGCGAATGCTCCGCTTAGTGAGAGGCGCATTTTCGGTGATGCCACAGACCAAGCCATTCTCAGATTTTCCGAAAGCTTGGGATCCGTGGGTGAGCTTCGCAAATCCTGGCAAACAATCTTCACCCTTGGATTTGACAGCAAGAATAAATTCATGATCAAAGTGATCAAAGCAGCCAGTCCCGATGCTCCAGGTTTCTTTCTTTCGTCTGATGAGGCTGGTCAATTCGGACCCAGTGATGTGTATGTGTTTTGATCAGTCTACTGCTAGATATATACTAAATTCCTGCAGGCTTTTCACCATCAAAGGGGCTCCAGATATCCTGATTTTGAGATGTTCTAGAGTACTTTGCCCCGACGGCGAAGTCAAGACTCTGACGCAGGATGATCTTGCCGCCGTAAAGCGCTTGAAGGATGAATGGTCTTCTCAAGGCAAGAGGGTCATCATGTTGGCTCGCAAAGTTCTGGAAAAGGACACTATACTAGCTAGTCCTAGTTCCGTCGAATTTGAGACACAAATGCTTCATGAAGCCAGAACTGGTCTTACCTTGGTCGGAATGGTTGGCTTGGTTGACCCGCCGCGATCTGAAATTCCGGAGGTCTTTCGGGTGCTCCGACAGGCACAGATTCGAGCTTTCATGGTTCGTTTGATGATTCCACGTTGAATATATACCGCATCTCATGAAACATCTTCTACAGGTTACTGGCGATTTTGGACTCACGGCTCTCGCTATCGCTCGTCAATGCAACATTGTTACCACCGATTCCATCCACGATGTATCCTCTCTTTCTAAATCTCCCGTCTCGGATGAGAAAGAAGTATTGAGATCCCAGTCTGCCTTGTCAATCAGTGGACCAGAGTTGATGACTCTGAATGATCATCAATGGAACCAACTGTGCAAGTATCCTGAGATCGTCTTCTCCCGTACTACCCCCAACCAGAAGCTGCGGATTGTGCGTGAGTTTCAGTCAAGAGAAGAAATTGTCGCAATGACAGGGGATGGTGTCAACGATGCTCCCGCCCTTAAAGCAGCTGATATTGGAATTAGTCTCACCAGCGGCTCGGATATTGCCATCGAGGCTGCCGATATGGTGCTACTCGATTCGTTTGCTGCGATTGTTGAAGCCGTACGCTATGGGCGTGTGGTTTTCGATAACCTCAAAAAGACAGTTGCCTATCTTCTACCAGCTGGCTCCTGGTCCGAGTTCTGGCCTGTATTCTGCAATCTTGTTTTCGGAATGCCCCAGATTCTCTCTTCCTTTCTCATGATAATCATATGGCACGTGACGAAAAATGAATGACCCTGTTTATCTTGCCATGCTAATTCTTTTGAAGTTGTTTCACGGACTGCGCCGCCGCTATAGCTTTGGCCTATGAGACTCCAGAAGCAGATGTGCTGTTCCGACCTCCACGCCATCCAAAGAAGACACGACTCGTCAACTGGAAATTAATGTTTCATGCCTACGCTTTCATCGGCATGATTGAGACAGCTTTGTCTTTCACCATGGCATTCTGGTACCTGGAAAGAAATGGAATTCATTTCTCGGATCTTTGGTTCAAGTTCGGAGAATTGCCCCCAGATGTGACCGAAGACTATTACACAATCAAGGTTAACGAAGCAAGTTCAATATACTTCATCAACCTTGTGGTCATGTAAGTCTCTCTAGAACTGCTTCGTTCTTCTTTATGGACAGCTAACACTATTCAGGCAATGGTTCAACCTAATGGCAGTACGAACGCGTCATCTTTCGATATTCCAACATCCTCCGGCATTCAATAAGAAGACCCAAAATCTGTATTTATTCCCGGCAATTATATTTGCGCTTGGAATCTCGGTTATTTGGCTGTATGTTCCTAGCTTGCAGATCGTTCTGGGCACTTCGGGTATTCCTGCCGAGCATTATTTCCTCCCAGCTGCGCTTGGAATCGGGCTCTTATGTCTAGATGAAGGGCGAAAGGCTGTTGTCCGTCGTTGGCCTCGTGGAGTTCTGGTAAAGATGGCTTGGTAATCGTTTAATATGATGGCTGAGCTTCTGCAATGGTTGGTGCGAATTCGAAGAGGGAAAAACGCCAACATGTCATCTTCAGAGAACGGGCTTTTCTCGCGAGGACGATGGTAAATTTATTTTGATCACGGAGCTTGGATACTTTTATGAAGGCGGAGATATTGATTCTCCATATATATGTGACATTCAGTCTCAACAGATTTTCCCGATGTAACTTGCTCTCAATGGATACTGCCACGCAACGAAGCTCCACTGGTAAGAAGGTGATTGCTGATTCTTAAACGTCTAAATGAAGGACAGTGTCATTATGGAGATCTTATAATTGAGGCCACTTTCACAGGATCCTGCATCTAGAACGGATAAGGTGCATATAAGCTCGCCTCTATTACACTTCCCTGACCCGAATGTAAATACCTACACTTTGGGAAGCCGTTTAATCAACAGTGCTTGTGATGAACAATCAATTGAAATTTCGTTTCAGTACAGTAATCACATCTTCTGAATTGAAAATGTATGTCCGAAATTTCCGGAGCATCCTTGTTTCGGGGCTGAATCATGTTCCAAATGGGCATAAGATCTGAACAGCCGAACAAAGACCACGTCCATTGGCAAAGCGCACGGAACAGTAAGTAATCAGGGAGGCAAAGATTAATTGCGATGATTTCCAAGATCCCCGGCAGCAGGTCATAGAAGTCACTAGTTAGCGGAATCTTCCTCTCCAATGGTCGTAACGTAGATCCTCTATTTACTGGCCTGTGCGAAGTTAAGGGCCGCCGTAAAAACTTCTTATCTCGCATCACCGTTCACCGCCCAATATTCAGCAATTGGTGTCATCTTATCGGAGAAGATATAATTTCATACACTATTCACTGTTCAACAACCCTCAACTTACCCAATGGGTGCTCGATAAAGAGTCTATGCCAAGACCCACACATGACTGTACCTTCTCCCCAAGGTCAGAGAGTCCCGTCATTGATTCAAATGAGAATAAATCGACGATAGTATTTTTTTAACGAATTAATCCTATCAAAAATAATTATTAACATATACGTTGAACACCTATTGAGTACTCGAAGAAATATGATTGAACCGCCTCCTTAGATTTAGAGACCTAATTTTCTCAAAAAAAAAAATCTATTAATATCGAGAAAGACTTCTTTTAAGTACACCTTTGTCTATTAAATATTATAGGGTTCAAAGCTGATGGTGAAAGACCAAAGGGTATTGTAACACCGCAATCATTCTAGCACTTGCCTGGCTCCTGGGATTAAAGGGTGGCAATGCTCAATTAGAATTTAGATTACCTCCACTCTTAGCTCCTAGGAGATAAAGGTAATAGAAAATGGTCCCTAATGAGCGAATATAATACGCAATTAATTTCCTAGGGCCAGAAAGCCCAAAGTAATTAAGTCAAGGCGAGTAGCTCCTAGGAGTAAGATTTACATAGGATCTGATAGGCCAAAGATCCTGATCTTGCGCTGTTAATCCCTACGATGAAACACAAAAGCTAGATAGGAGATTGATTTCTAAATAGGTCCACTCATCTACACTAGCGCCGAGCGTTTTATTTGGGTGGCTAAACTCATACCGTTGGCTCTCTGTGGTGCAATTGGTGGGTGAATCACAGGACTGGGAGCAGGCTCAGTGAGCCGGAAGCTGTGCTCAGATCTACTCACTGAGTAAAAGCGGCGAGAGGGTGAGCAATAATCCGGAAAGAGCAACCAAAATCCGCCGGGGAAATCCAGTACCTAGGTTATCATCACCGGACTTTTATCCCATCTACAGTGATGCGGCTGTTTTACTTTATTTCTTGCATATTCGCCCGTACGGTAGCTGCTAGCCCGATAAGAATAACCAGATGGCATGAACCAAATGAGATGAAGGTAAAAAACATTAGACTGAACCATGTCTCCCTCTCTTATTATAGTCTCCAAATGTTCTAGGTTGTTAAATGAGGTTTGTGGGTAGATAGTAAGTTATCTGCTTGGCTATTAAACAAAGATCTTAGAGAAAATACTGATTGGAATGCATTTTCAGAGTAATAGGGCCGCCGATGGACCTCCGGTGAGTCACTCCCATAAGTTTTCCCCAGTCATATAATACATATGGCCTCTATTTCTATCAACCTTAGAATTGTATTGTCAAGGAAGACAAAGGAAACACTATATTGAGGATCATGCAGATCTATTGCCGTATTGGCTATGGGATTCGGCACCAAGTCCGGCCGCACATAGAGGGGGATTCCTCTAGGGCCCGACTTACACTCCTCAAGTGTTAGTCGCTGTATCAAAGTGAACCAACTCCTCGTGCTCTCTCCTTAGTATATCTCGCCTAGCCCACAGGTGTCACCCTAATCTGACAAGTTCATTACAATAGGTCTAATAACTTATATAATTCTTTACACTTCCTATTCTTCTTAATTAAAGTAATTATTTAGAATTAAAAGATAGTAATTAGAGATATAGCATTTCCTAATAGCTAAGATATAGCAATAACCTAAGATATAACATTTCCCAGTAGCTAGGGCATAGTAATATATCACTAAAACTTAGGAGTTTGAAGATCCCACACATCTCTAATATTTTAGGTCTTTTACAAACCAGTTTAGTTTAGCTTAGGCATAATATAATTTACATTAAAAAACTATCAGATACCCCTTAGGACCCTATTTAGACTATATCTTCTTATACTCTATACTATAAAATCCTTACACAATTAAAATCACTACATATAATACTATATATCTAGTATTCCTATTTCACTTCAAGGGTCAATCTCAATTTGGGGGTCTATTTCACTTCAAGAATCTATTTTACTTTAAGGATCTATTTTACTTTAGAGATCTGTTTTACTTTGGGGGTCTATTTCACTTCAGAGATCTATTTTACTCCTAGTTTCTATTTCACTTCAGGTAATATTTTACTCCTAGGTGTTACGGGCTGGCTGTCAAGCAACGTGAGTATGCACTTCCAAAGTGTTACCTACCGCAAGCCGTTATCCTGCAACTGTACCGTCGCCGTCCGGGCCTTACACGGGCTCGAGTCTTTAGGGATCCTTGCACGGTAATGCTTGATCAGGGTGTCCGCTAGCAAGTCAGTCACGAGTGATGATATCACGAGTGAGCTCCCAAGCTAGTTTGAGGTTGGTCTTCAAGGGTTCGAATGTGATCAAAGTATCAATCTGAATTGTGTACTGTAGGTCTCAATAACAATGGAGTAATAATCGCGAAGAACTAAATACATGATGGGTAAAGAGTGTCCTTATATATCCAGTCCTTCCTATCGTCCTGTCCTCTCATTAGGACAGGTCCGTTTCTGCTGTCAGGTCCGTTCCGTCTGAACGGACAGGATCTATTGTTGGAATAGATCCGTGGTCACGTGTCATGGGGCCGGAGGTGGCCTCTCATGCACCGTCCTTCCCGTATAGCCAGTATATGTTGCGATGGTAAGTCCTAGGCCATATCTGGCTCCCGTTGGTGCCTCAGGCACCATCGTAGCCCTGCGCCCTTCTGGGCCGTGCGTCCGTTATGGCTGGTCGTCCGTACTTGGCTCGACCGCCAACTGATTGGGTCATAGTTGTTCCTGGGAGGCCCCCCGTGGTGGGTCCGTAACAATATACCTCTATATATACTACCAGTAATCAAGGATGTGTACTTACTATAAGGCACATTGGTATGGCATTCATTTTTAAGTCCTAAGTGTTACGGACCCACCACGGGGGACCTCCCAGGAACAACTATGACCCAATCAGTTGGCGGTCGAGCCAAGTACGGACGACCAGCCATAACGGACGCACGGCCCAGAAGGGCGCAGGGCTACTGTCAGCCAGTTCAGTGTCGTGTCTCCACACGGCAGAACTGAGCCAATCATAATCCCACTGGAACAGAGCACGCTGATTGGTCGAACCAGAATGGTCACATGACCAATCACGTGTCTTGAGTCCGGCAGATGTTTATGTGCGATAGTGATAGGATGAGAGAAAATCAGACTTGTATTACATGCCATCTAGACCGCCTACTACGTACAGAAAGAGTCTGTTAGGATAACGCCGTTAAATTGCTTAATCTGTAACTAAACACATATTTCGCTTATGCCCTAGCTGGCCTTGAAGTTTCTTCTTTCTTCTTTGAAGAAACTGTAGATCGCCGAACATCATCACATTTATTTATATTTTATAAAATGGACTGAGGTTCTTGCAGACTTTTCGCTTCCATATAATGAAGACAACCGGACTGCTCAGCCGTGGTGGCCTAGAAAGGGAATAAGAGTAGTCTGTGTAAATAAATTTAATTATTAAACAAGTCCAATCATCCAAATGAAGTATCATTCGTTTCAAAGTCCGCACCCTTCTCAAGAAGCAGCTTGACGATAGCTTCATGTCCGTTCTCTGCAGCCCATGACAGTGGTGTCTGGCCATATTCCGTGTCCTTCGTTTCAAAGTCCGCACCCTTCTCAAGAAGCAGATTGACGGTAGCTTCATGTCCGTTCTCTGCAGCCCATGACAGTGGTGTCTGGCCATATTCCGTGTCCTTTGTTTCAAAGTCCGCACCCTTCTCAAGAAGCAGCTTGACGAGATCTTCATGTCCATTCCATGCAGCCCATGACAGTGGTGTCTGGCCATGTCTCGTGTCCTTCGTTTCAAAGTCCGCACCCTTCTCAAGAAGCAGCTTGACGGTAGCTTCATGTCCTTTCTCTGCAGCCAGTGACAGTGGTGTCCGGCCATGTCTCGTGTCCTTTGTTTCAAAGTCCGCTCTGTTACTGAATGGCATGGGGCGGTTAAACAAACGGGATGGGATTTAGAGATAAAGTGGTCCAGGTTAGGGATTCAAAGTCAAGTTCCATGTAAATATTTTAGGATATTTTCCCTTGACGTCAGTCAGCCGTCACGGCAAGAATGCTCAACGAGCGGGATGCACAATTTGATGCCAAAAAGCATGCGTCTGGACAACAGTCCTTCTGGCGGGCTGTCTACAGTCTGATGCGATGTCCTTCGCCATCTTGTCATCTAGGGACTTCCAAATGTTCCAGGTCCCCAAGAACCACCGGGGTAAGCCAATAAAACAGCTCACCCTACATTCAACGCATTCGGTCCAGGTCCCTACCAATAATACCCAGCCGACACCTATTGCTCGCCTTCCTTGGCCTTTCGAAGCTCTGATCCCCTCTTTTCAAATGTGATGGGCAGGAGTCGTCAAAATGTGTGTATTTTTCAAATGTTCACCGATACAGGCTTACCAAAAGAATTGTTGGTCATACTACCTAGGTATGCTGCTTATACTGGAGAGAGTTTTTATGGAAGAGTCGCCCAATTGCGTGGCATATTTTATTCAAATCTTCTCCAAAAACCTTCAGTCGCACATTAGGCTCAAGATTTATCAATTTTTGCAGAGTCTCGGAACTTCAAGTATTAATCACCTCACCAGTACTCATTCCAAACAAGAATATCATAGGATCTTTCTTCATCTGGAAGCTGCCACGCCCGATCCTTCTGAATATCATGACGTATTGCCTCGGCCTCCAATTTTAGCCGGGTCGCTTCAGCAAGCTCTCCTTTCAATTCATGGGCTTCTGCCAATCGCCGAGTAACCCGAGCTATCTCGCCTCTGTCCCCTTTGGCTTTCTCACGCAACTCGCAAGTAAGCAGTAGCTTCTGAAGAGCGTTTCTATGAAGCCAGAATTAAAACCATGGTGAAAAGATTGTCTGTCATCTGCGGAGAGAAATCTTACATTGCGCTGTCAACTTCGCCGCGTCTCATTTCAAGGCATGCCAGCTTAAGGTGTACCGAAATTGTGGCAGGGTGGGCATTGTTTTCTCTTTTAAATATGACAAATGCCTCTCGCCAGAGTTTTTCGGCTTCGCCAGTATTGCCTTGATCGAAAAGGATGTTGGCCTTGTGCACACGCAAACTGTCCGAATATCAGATAATTTCTTGTCAATAGAGTGAACTTTCGAAAATTTACGGAACGTCGCTACTTTTGGGAGGGAACGGTCACTTACGTTGCCCCAAAATGGCTGTCTGGGCCAAACATATGAAGAACACTTTTAGCAGCCAGATCGACATAATTCAAGCCCACGTCGTACTGCTTGAGTAAGCGGTAAGCTCGACTGGCATTGAGAAATCTTGCGTATGAGAACTTGATAACTTCTTCTGGTGGAAGTAGCTTATCAATTTCCATGGCTTTCTGGTAATAGCTCAATGCTTCTTGGATCGAGTTTGGGGTCTCGTAGGCCTGTTGGACTGCGTTTCCGTAATTGCAATAAGAGTGAGCTGTCTCAACGTGGTTTTCTCCAAGGAGCTTCGACCGAATCTGAATGGCTTTGTTCAGAAGACGAGATGCCTCATCTGCTTTGCCTCTTTCAACCTGAACACAACTATGTGTATTGCACAGATGAGCATATTCGAGTCCATCCTTATCTTCACAAACTTCGAAAGCAGTTTGCATAAGTTCAATCTCTTCACTCCACGCTCCAGCTTCCAGCAGAAACCTATTTCACGCAGTGTACATGTTAAGGAATTGTGTAACAGCTAAAAGTTTTGGTGGGATGACTGACCAAGCACAATTTGTAAGCAGTCTTGTAAAGGAATCAAAGTTGCCGGGCTTTTCCAATGGAAATTGATAAAACTGCCAGTGAGCACACAGCGAGAGAACATGCTGCGCATACTTTTTGCATTCCTCATTTTCGTTGCGCAGAGAAACGCCGTTTATCTGCTTGGGAAACTTGCTGTACAGTTGCTCAGCAGCTGTGGTGAAAGCTTTTTGTCGTCCATCGGCACCTATATAGTCTCGGAATTCAAATTGTATCAATCTGTGAACGGAAAGCAACTGGGTATCGGGCTCTCTATTGATCAAAGACATGTTTAAAAGCTCGGATAGAGCGTCCTCACGCCTGTTTTTATTAGCAGATAATGCGAATAAGGTGGCTGTCACCTCAACGTACTCTAGCTCGTTCGCGCAAAATTCCAATAGCTTGGGAAGTGTTTCTCTCTTCTTGGGCTCAAAGATCTCCTGAGAAATATTAGTTGGGGCGGTAACGGCAAGGACACTCTGAATTGCCAACGCATTTTGACTGAGGTTTTCGAAGGCAGTGACCCAGCATGTGTGTAAGGAGCCGCGATAATGAGACTTAACCCCTTGTCCGTTCTTATGGAGATCCGCGGCATATCTTTGATAGAAACCAAGGAACCCTTGGAAGCTCATTCGTCTTATTCGAACCTGCGCAGCCATGACGGCCAAGGCAAGCCCTAGACCGCCAAGCAACTTTGAGAGAGCCTCAGCAGCTTCCCGCTCTTTGTCGGAGTATGACGATCTGCCAGCAAAATACTGGAGCATCTCAGCCCCTTGCCTGTCTGTGAATTCCTTGATCTGAACACCCCCTGCAGCTGGATCGAATGCAATCAAGCTGTTCCTTGAGGTAGCCAAAATTGAACCGTGGCTATTATGTGCAATCGGCCAGCATTGTCTTGCAAGCTCGTCGTCCTCGACATTATCCAAGATCAGCAGCCAGGATTCACCTTGAAAATTATGAGCTATACCTTCAAACCGCGACAAGATGTTCCTACTTACCTGTGCTTCGAAACCAGTTCAGAACCAGCAGTCGGTTTTTGTCCGAATTTTCGTCCTCGATCACACCCTCTAGCTTCAGAGCGTTCGCTATTTTCGTGAAGCTTTTTGCAATTGACATTCCCGTCTCACAATCGACCCAAAATATTGACTCCTTTGCTTCATCCTTTCGTTTGTATGCAAACTCTAAAGCAATTTGAGTTTTTCCAACACCTCCAGTTCCCCAGAGAGCAAAGCTTTTAACGTTATGGCCAGACGTGTCAGGCGTCAAATGAGATATTACTAAGTCAAGCTCTGCTTGGCGTCCTCGAAAACTTCCGTTCCTTGCAAAAGGGATATCATAGCATGGGTAATCGGACGGGTTGCCCTCCTTGGCCGATACGTGGGTGGATGATGTTTCTTCGTCATACAAATCCATCGCTTGAAGGATTCGGGCTGGAAGCTGCTCAGCTCTGATGGCGCTTGCTTTATCTTTCACGCGATAGCAGCTTTGTCTGATCCTTCTGCTACTTCTTTCAAAATCCTGTTTGACACTGGGCCAAAATCGCATCGCGGCCGACTCTGAAAAAAAATCAGAAATTTGAAATATCAATGTATGGGAGAGGTGGTTATCACATACGAAAAGTATTTCGACGTAGAAAATGAATAGCAGATGTCCAGAACTGTATGATCTCCACGAAGATACCCACCAAGTCTTGACCCATGCGAGGGTTATCCTTGAATGCACCTTCGTGAATTTCGAGAATCTCGAGGTCGTGGCTCAACATATCTAGCATTTCAATAGTCTCCTTAAAAATGGTCTTCATCCCGCTCGCACCCTATCAGACGTTAGAAAATCACCATGTAAAATGTGGAAACTGTAGGCTACATACTTGGATGACCAAGCTCATGATGCCCCATACCATTGCCGTCTGTAACGGGGTAGAGCCCGTTGAAACAGCCAAGAGTGCCAGGAAATTTCTCATTTGAGAGATAAAAGGGGCTAAGTCATTCAGTATGGCATCTTTGGACTTGTGCGAGAAACCATCCTTCAGCTCTGGAATCTTGGCTTTGAAATCATTGCAAGTCTCAATTTCACTGAGGTATCTTCGGTCGGAATCATTCAGTCGTTCAACACAAGTCTCGTGTGCTTCCTGCCATTTCCCTTCGAAATATGCTCCCCTATTCAATACCAGTAAGTCTCCACGTATAGCTTCCGGGATCCAGACCATACATGTTTATTAAAATTTCCTTCTCAGTGTTTGATGCCATTTGTAAGACCTTTGATTCGATCTACTACCCAGCAGAATGAAGTAGGGGAGAGATAAAAATCAGGGCCAAGTCCGAAGAAAAGGAATTTAAGAGCCCCGCGTTTCCCAACGGTTTGATAGGTACTGTACAGGACCATGTCTGCCCAGGTGCCCAGCCGCTTTTTAGGTGGGCATGATCCCAGCCATGGGACCCTCCTTACTTGTGCATCCAACCAAAGAAGAGAAGGAAGCGGGGTGTCCGTATCGGGAACATATAAGGGTACCCACCTAGGTACCTAGATAGGTACCTAGATACACACCCATGCAACTATGCATGTTAACCATTGATTGTTTACGTATAGCTCTGTTCCAGACTGTATTATAACTTCCAAGTTACGCACGTGACTGTAAGGAAACTAGAATGAGACTAGGTAGGCCTGTAATAAGACTCAAGGGCTGGAATATGACTGTAATAGGACTGAAATAGGACTGTAATGTGACTGCCAAACCCGAAGCTAAATCGCGACGTCTTCATCCATCACTTCAAAGCTGAGAAGGCTTCTGCGAAGAGACTGCTTCCATAAATGCGACAGGGGGCTTTCTCTGCGCGATGGAAGTCTCGTAAGCAGCCATGAAATTCAGTAAAACATCTTCTCTGTGAGCTGGAGCAATTGCCTGCAAGCCAATTGGTCGACCCTTGAAGTCGAGATAAGTCAAAGGCACCGCAGCGATTGGATAGCCTATTCGGACTATTAGAGACAATCAAAGGCAGAACAACCGAGTATGACTTACCTTTAGATGAAGCGTATGTTGGCAAGAAACAGTCCCCGGGCCCAACAATGATGTTGATATTGTACTCCTCAAACATCCTGTCCAAATTAGAGCCCACTTTAAGATAGTGATCTCGTAAAAGCTGTATTTTTTCCGGCGAGAGGTTGGTATTAAGGGCAGTCGTCAAAAGGTCCTGGTTTGGATACGCTGTACATGTGTTTTCTGTTGATTAATAATGCCAAAAGTTGGGTTAGGTAGGAGTCCATACCAGATGGAAGCGCCTCTTCTGCGTGCGCCTCATTCCATTCCACCAGCTCTTGCATGCTTCTCACCGGAGAGGATACTAGGCCTTCAAGATATTCATCCAAGGCCTGGGGATACTCGACATCTAAAACAAATGAGCACAGTGTCTTTGTACTAGGCTGTCACTTACCTAAAGTCGTATAGAAAGCATGGGTACCATCCAGCACAAACTCTCCCACCGAAGGAAGGTCAATATTCTCATGATAGCCAGCTGCTAGAGCCTTTATTTTAGAATATGCGTCCAGAGTTGCCTTGGTCTTTTTGCCCATGTTAGCATCATGCATTCTAAAGAATGTGAAGGGCTGGACACGTACCATTTGCTCCGTTGCCTCAGGTTCCGGCTTTACCAAGAATTCCGGGTAATTCCAAGTATTTGGATCAAGTGTACCGACTCGCAGATCTTTCCAGCTGTCATTTATAGCCGAGGAATAGCCACCCTCTGGGACTTGAGTCTTAGAGGAGTCCACAAGAACGGTCAACATGTCTGCGACATCGCGAACGTCCTTGGCCATTGGACCAGCAACATCAAATGACTTTGTGACTGGAATAACCCCCTCAACAGACACTATACCAGTCGTAGGTCTGATCGAGTACAATGACGCTCTAATTGCTGGCGCAGTGATGGATGCATCGGTATCAACTCCCACTCCAACAGCCGCCAAGCTCGCGCCAACTGCGATAGAGACGCCAGATGACGAACCTCCTGGTGCCTAGTCGTAGTGAGACTCAATTCTTGAACACAATTTTGACAAGACTTTACTTACGCTATGTCCTCCAATTGAGTCATTGACGTCAAATCCTCCCCAAACATAAGGAGACTGTCCTTGACCGTCAATTGCAGACCAGCCGCATGGAATCCCAGAGCCCCTGTGAAGTGGAATTAGCGATACATCAATGTTGAATGCACATGAATATATCTCACTTCCGGAAACTGAGTTCCTACAGATTTGTTAATACATACTCCGTGTCCCACACCGGAATTCTACACAGAATGTTGACATACCGACACTGTAGTCTTTCCCAGAATCACTGCCCCAGCCTCGAGCAACTGAAAGGTTCTCAGCAATTGTCACATCAGTCAGGTCGATATAGCTACCTTGTTTACAACCGCTGAGTTCTTGGAAGGCTGCGATCCAATCAGGGCAACCGCTCCCGCAGTGGTAGACATTTTGAGGCCTGGTTCAGTAGCGAAGGTGTCCTAATACTGGTTATCCACTTGAATCCAGCGCGAACTCTGAGACAAATGAATATTTACCTTGATAAGGACTGGTATGCCGTGGAGGGGTCCAAGGATATTTCCCTTCGCTCGACTTTCGTCCATCTCTCGAGCTCTTTTCATTACCCCTGGGGCATACTCGGAAACAGCATGGAGGTATCCATTATATTCCTCGATGCGTCGAACATACTCTTCAACTATATCAGTGCTCTTGAGGATTTCCTGGGTCATCAAATCTTGCAGACTATGGGCAGTTTCTCTGGCAGCATCGAAAAGTGGAGGGCCATTCCGGGCCAAGGTGACACCCGTTGGGATGTTTCCTTGCTTCCAGGCGTGCGGGAATGCTGTCCTGGCCATATTGAGGGTGACGATTCGATAGATTATAAACGAACAAAATGATGCTAGTAGCGAGAAGAAGTGTTTCCAACGTAGCGGTGGGCACTGCTTCATTGATGGTTCTTGGGTGGTGCGAAACCGACAGTCAATTTAAAGGAAGTATTTTAGGCTGACACGGTGTTGGTGCCAGTTGGGTACCTAGGTACCTAGATACAAAATCATTGAACGCGGTATTTCAAATTCATTACATACATACACCAGTGGACAGGGAGTCAGCCTTGGAAGCGTTAAGTCCAGCAGGTCCAAGCGTTGGCCGTAGCATGCAGGAGGACCATGGGAGTAAGCGTTAAGTGCGCATTGATTTAAGTTTTGTCCAAAAAAAAGAAAAGAAAGGGAAATATCTGCGTGAATGATGAAAGGTACCGGGGCAGTGTTTGCTCAGCGCTAACTGCGCAATTATTAAATTATTCGTTTGTTTAATTATTTTTCAAAAAGGGAGAGAAAAGAAAATAAACCTTGAAAATAAAAGTGAAATATTTAGGTGAATGATGGAAGCCGAAAACACTGCCTTGGTTGAGCCTCCCAAGCGAATATACCCTCATCCGGGTACAGAAAGAATGGATGCTCTCCCGCAAACATCAAAATGGGGTTCAAATTTCGGTTGGATTTGGAAAAAGAAAAGGCGATCTTCGATAGAACTCGAAACATGTCGAACGGATTCGCAATATACGAGAGGTAAGTCTCCTCGGCTTCTTAATAAATGGTTATATGGATTGTCCCACTCATACAGCGTAGTACCAACTCTGCCCATGCTTGCATTTCTTTCCGTCACCCTAGGCAAGCAAATTGCTGCCTCCCAACTTTCCAATACGGAACGACGATACCTTACATATATTGAGCTACAGGCGGAAAGGCTACCCAGGTCTGAGCTGCAGAAGCTTCTGAGGAGTGACTCGGAGACAGAGAGAAACTCAGCTGTGTCCATGGATGAGGTGTTTCTTGTGCTTAAGGGCATATGTCTTTGCGCTAACTCCACCCTTCATTTCGGAGTCGATAAGTCTTTGAATTATCTGACGCAAATGAGAGTCTTTAAAGATATCCAAGCCCATTCAAATCTGCATGCAAAGGCACGTAGTGTTATTTTCATCATGATATCTTGGATATGCATGCTTTACTCTGCTACGGAGCTCAAGGAGCCTTGCCATCTGCGAATAGATAGCAGTCAACATGCAAATCTCAACACGCCTATTCGAGAGGTCGGTGCATCGGAATACTCGATTTGTGAACTTATACCGCAATATGGATCACTCTTACCAGTAAAATCCCTACCAGTCGATTACTATGCGAAGGAAACGTTTGATACCTTGAAAGTCTCTTTGCTCAACGCGAATACATTAGTGCGCATCGGTGGTCTGAGAATTCAATGGGTCAACAATGTCAGCGCCCATTTATCCCTTGATATGGAACAAAAGTCTCTCATGATATTTGCTATGCCTACCTTCTGTGACCTTCATCGGTTTGAAGGGACGATCTTTGAGAAGTAAGCGCTTTTCACCACATTCTACATGCGGAAAGCTAACGTTTTGAATCTGGATAGAATAATCTCTGGGTATTATGACCAGTATTCTAAGCCGGACAGGTTTTCGAGTATTGAGTACCTTCGTGAGATACGAATATCGTATCGTCTACTTTTTGCAGACGATTGGAGAGCCTACCGCTGGTACCGACGCATTGCACCGAGCAGTGTTGAAACCCTTGGACTTTTCGACTCATATCTTGATGAGCTATCAAAGCCACTCTCTTCATCAACCAATTCATATAGTGCGGACACGGACTTTCCTATTCTCGGTTCTCGCTTAATCGATCTTCAAAACTATATCGATCGCCAAAATCCGGGTACAATTGTGATGCTATGGCGTGACAGGCGAGACATGCTACGCTGGTGGGTACTGTTTGCCAGATCGAAAGGAAATAGGATGCTGACAATTCACAGGTACACCTTCTGGGTAGTTACAATTATTGGAGGCTTGGGTATAGTAATCGCTCTGCTCAGTGCGGGTCTCGCGGCAGCTCAGGTGTACTATGCAATACCATCTGGCGCATGATATCAAATTGTATACTAGATCACTAAAGCATTGAAATAAGAACTCGACTCAAACCCTAATTGACTGGAGATAGAGGACTGAAAAAAACAAAAGAAAAAGAAAAACAGAAAGAATTACATTCTCAGGTACAAAAGTATCCTCCGAACACTGCGAGATACCCGGGCCTCCCCGATCACACCGCGGATGACTTCAAAGATTGTAATAATGGGCACTTCTGCGGATATCTGGGACGGTAGTTCTCAACACTAGTAACCGCCAAGGATGCCGACATCCGTTTCGAAGTTTCTGCAGATGACAACCAGCTCCGCAGAGTCAGAAATATCCACCATTTTCACCCATTTCTTCCAAGGCTGACTCTTTTGAACCGTCTTGGGGTACGCCTGAGAAGGCGCAGCAGCGTAGGAAAGAGGTGACATTGCCATGATTTTGACCAGGACTTGAAATTCATTAATGATGCTTCATAAAAAAGTAGAAAGGATTCATCCGGAGAGAGAATCTTACAGAATCTTCGTGGAGAAATGTAGTTAAAGCCCGGCTCGAGACAAGTAAATGAGGATGGTTGGGATTTTATGAGTCAATTTAGGGAGGGAACTATCTTATCTATGCTAATGGGTAGGAACTTTCTGGCTCGGTCGCCGGCCGATATGAGATCGTCACTGACATCAAATACGAGAGGATTTTACCCGAGCCCAACTTCCAAGGCTGCAGTCATATCATCTGTCCGTCACATCACTTCATCACTCCAAAGAACCCCTCATCTAAATTCCATGGCATTGGTGCTTGCATTCACGATCCCTGTCAATTAAATCCACCCATGCGAGACCACGTAGACTTGCAGGAAATGAAATTGTAGATCACCGCTGTAATTTGCCATCATGCACGTAAGAATTAACGAGCCCTGCCCTCCCAAAAAGCCTCCAGTGCGCATGCTGGATGAGAGCACCACCGCTAGCTCTCAGGACGATGAACCAGGGCTGTGTCCAGACCCTTGTTTGTTGAATAACCAGCTGATGGCCCCAATTGAACACGGAGGCAATCAATGCGGCTGAGCTAAGGGTATACTGTACTCCGTAAGCAGTAGCATTTCTCCACTCAGAAAGTTCAACAGCCAGGGCGTACAGTATAGCCTGTACAGGCTGATGGATGTCAAAAATACTTCATAAAAGGCATAGCGCGGGCATGCAAATTACCCCATTCACGATAGGGTTCGGGGACGAGCCTCCCCCCGAACAACTCCGGGCCAACTGGGGGCGGTAAAATCCACTATGATCTACGTAAGGCCGCCCGCTACCCCGCTCCGTGGTCGCGGCCTCTGCCAGTCATTGTCCGGTTAGATCATTGATCGGCGGGCGCTGGCAGCTCATCCTCCCCTAAGTTTGATTTTGTTCCAATAGTACAAGGGTAGCCTCTTCTGTCCATTCGTGTGACTGATTGTACCAACCGGAGATTCTATCCAATTGAACTCTCTGTATTTTGCTCTCACAACGTGGTGAATACCTCCAGGTCTTGTACGTACTGTACTAATGTAATACATGTACTGTACTCATACAATACTGAGGCTTGGAAAGGTCCCATCTGCCCGTGGACTTGGGCATTAATGTTTGTCTATCACCCAGTGTACATCACATGAGGCGGCCACGTTGCAAGACTCCTGCAATGTTGTTGTGGTAATGTACCTAGATAGCAATCCATGTTTCCAAGGTTTCCCAAGAGAAAAAGCAAGCACTCAAGCATTCAAACACCAGAGAACTGGCTCCTGCACATGTGTCTCTTAAGCTTGCTCATCGATCTTTGTACAAGTACGGGTCATACTTTGGATCTTTCTCCTTGTTATCTTGTCGTCCCCCTCCCCACTTACGAAATTAGAGTCAGTTGCTAGGTCGCCGTCTCATCAATATGCCAGACTTGATAACCTCAATCGATTATCTCGCTGATCTCGAACTCTACAAGACGGAAAAGCCTTATGCTGTGGTTGTATCTCCAGAAAACCACGATGAGAGCATTGAGACAAACAACCTGGTGTTCGAATCTCGCGAGGGTCTGACTATAACCGACATTCGAGGGCATGAAAATGATATATCTCTCGAAACCTCAGGCTTCACTGTCACACCAAACAAGAGTCAGCTCTCTAACGTGGAAAGCTGGGACGAGATTCGCGCATATCAAAAAGAGACTGAACAGTTCCTAAAAGACTGGTTTCAGGCCGATTCTGTATTCTGCTTTGATCTAAAGGTCCGTCAAAGGAAGCGACGCTCCAGGTGCAACGAAAGGTGTTTGGATCGACAGCGATGATTGACAAAATATGACTACAGCTACGCAAGAACGAACCGGTGACCAGACTGGTGAAAGATCTCCGAGACTGGACGATACCTGATGCTCCAGCGTACGGAGCTCACAACGATGTCACCTTTGATAGTGGCCCGATGATTATCGATAACAATCTTCCAACAGACCTCAAGGAAAAATACCTTCAACCGGGATATAGGTTCAGGATCGTCAAGTAAGAAGCTCAATCATCCGTGCCTACCCCGGTACTTCTACTCAAAAATGCTATAGTACCTGGAGATGTCTGCTCCCAGTACTAGAGGACAGTCCACTAGCTTTGTGCGACTTCCGGACCATTAACAAGGATGACCTGGTTGCATGCGACCGAGTGATTCCTACCAGAAATGGGGAGGTGTACTACTTGAAGTTTAATCCCAACCAGCGATGGTTTGAGCCCCAGCTATTCGAATTGTGTCTGAACGAAAAGCTAATGATTTATATAGGTACTGGCTGGAGCATATGACACCGGAGGAGCCATTCTTATTCATAATGTATGATTCGATACCCAATGGACGAGCATGTTGTAAGTAGTCCACCCTTCCTTTGGGGAATAATCCTAATGGCTCATTCGTCCCTGCTACTTCAGTCTGCCCGCACGTTCCTGTCAAGAACCCCCGTGCACCAGCAACAGCTCCCAAGCGACGTAGCATTGAAACACGGTCGATTATCATTACGAAGACGAACTAGACTTCTTGAAGGTACTTGTAGCTCACAGCTGGTGGACTACGGATGGGATCGCGTCCTGCATGTGGCGAAATTGAACATTTGAACTTCCAGATGTCCGCGACGCCGGGGCGCGGTTAGAATGGCCGCCATTCAAGTTGCCGACGTTGGAACATTTGAACTGTCTCCTCTACATATCCAAGCACCTGAGCAGTGTTCTTCTAGGGCTGGCTGGGCTTCTTTGGGATATATATAATCAGTGATGGCATACGTATATATTGCTATAATCAATCCGTCTCTGTTCAAATGTTTGATTCAAGTTGTTGTTGAACTTGAAACACTGCTCACTTCACTATTTGATCTTCAAACCTAGATTTCCCTGGCCGCCAGACTTCTAAGGTTCTGCTGTAGCAATCCGCAGTCCGAGCTCTTTGTGTCTGCTTGAATGGTCTAGTTCCAAGGCTCCAAGGCTTATGACAACAGATCGGATCTCGGGACGGTCCGTCTGGTGAATTAAAAGATGAACAAAATCTTCTCCCCTGATGTTGTGAAGCCCGCCTGTACACATGTGCATGTGGCTCTTGGTAACTTAAGTGGCCTCAAGTGCTGGGGGCTACCACCTGTTTTCAAACGTTCAAAGGCCACTCCCTGCTTGAGGTGCTATGCCATTGTGTGGCGACCTCAGTTACGGGATATCCGTGGAGCACATCCTTCCCAGATTGAATGCCCAGGTGTTTCGCGGGATTGATCCTTTCAAATGCTCGGGAATACAGCCCCAACCGCACCTGCACCCCTCTTAGGTTGGATTGAATGGTAGTTTTCTCCTATGGAAATTTACATGCTTGCTTGGAGCGATATAATATGATTTCAAAGACCCATGGACTGCCCAAAGTGCGATTCTGGCACTTTTCCCTTCCAACCTCCAGGCACCTGAGTGGATTACTACCTGGATGATTGATCAGATTATGTCAAAGAATAGTGAAAACATGACTCTTGCTGTGAAAAGGATTAAAGCATCCATAGTTAGTACTGGCACGACATTTGAATGGACGAACTCGAGTATGAATTTCATTCCTGGGCAATATTCGACATCATTCTGGGAACGATGAAGTTTTTAGCACCAAAATTTGAAGCTTCTCATCAGGATCCTTTAAGCAACACTTGGAAACAGCATATTCGCTTCTGCGAATACTAGTAGAGCCTCCTGGGGGCAGCTTGACGAGCTCCAAGGTTGACCAAGCTCTTGGAACCAATCTCGAAGCTCCTGGGGGCGCTGGACTAGCTAGAGAGGGCCCATGCGCCTGCTGCCAGTGGGCTACTTATATTTGCTGCTCTATCATTGGACAGATTAGGCATAGGAATATCCTAAGAGACATTTATTCTGTTCAAATATTAGTTCCAGCACCTGAAACTCATTCAGCTTACGACTGAGTTCAAATCTTCTTAGTTGATGAAAGTTAGTTTCATCAACCATTTGCGTGTAAAATCAAACGATGATCCCCGGATACACGAAACAAATTGAACCAATAGACGAATAAATATTCTATTACATGCCCAGGCTCTTTGAGATACAGGGTGTCCAGATGTCATCAATAAAATGGAACGAATCTTGGAAAAAGAAAATCCAACATTTAAACTCCGAGTCGATCAAAGATATCCATAGATCCCGCTGTAGAAAACCCCAATCATACTAGTACAAATTCCCACGTGCATACCATCCCTCAACCCATAAGCTTATTCCAAGTATCAGCCGCCTCCTGACCCGAAAGCCCCGAGACCGCACTCTGCGCCGCATAGCACTGATCAATAGTCTCCTGGGGCGCATTGCACGGGCTGCGCAAACGGTTACAGATTGAATCACCAACAGAGTCGATAGTAGGCGAGGAACCGAAAGAAAAGTCCTTCTGGTTGTTCGCTGTGTATGCGTATTCTGTTTGTCCGTCGAGGCCGTACTCGTACTTGATTGTTGGGTCTAATAATTATAATTATTAAATATTATTTCCCCTATTTGCCAATTAATACTTAGTACAAGTCGGCTTTACCAGAGCACCGCCGTTTTCGGCAGCTCCCTGTTTGCGGTTTAGCGTTCGTCCGTGGGGTGCCCACTCCGGTTTAGCGTCGCCTCGATCAGGCATGGTGTGTCGCGCTAGCCCTTAACGGGATTTGCCGGCCCTCGTTGACTATATAGTCCAGATGGTGCGTCGCGCAACCACCTCTCCACTCTCTCCCACGACCGTACGCTCCTCAGCTCGCGACCGCGGAGGCCACTGCTCCGGCCCCCCCTGCCACACGGAGATTACCGTTCCCACAGGGCATGCTTCGCCCCCGTCTTTCTCCACTTGTGTTGACGGTGTCGCTGTGACGCGCTGCGGGCATCCGGCATCCGGCGGCCGCTGATTCGACGTCCGCGGTGTCAGGCGCTGATCTTTCCTGGATGTTGTCCTGTGAGGCAGCCCGTGGTACGTTGTGCCCCTGTATGTCTCCCGGGGCCATTGGGCGTTGCGCCTTGGAACCGAATCTAAACCTCTTGAAGCATTTCTTCCTATTCGGGGAACTGCATAGCCCGTGTCTCATTCCTCAGACGGGACGATGGCCTGTCGATTACAATTTGGCGTGTTTGTCTGCTCGGCGCAGCGTAGCTACCAATGGCAAAAATGCCTCTTGCATTCCCAGGGCGGCCTTATCATCCATTATCCTGCGTGGGTGCCAAGATACCCCATTGATTCCTAAAAGATGATGATCTATGGCAATGTCTCTAAAGCAGGCTACAGGGTAATCAGTTAAACTTGCCCGGGAAAAGTTCCATTGGTAAGATATGGATTTCGTCACATTATAGACTATAACTAGGCGATGCATCGCTTACACGGGATTATAATGATTCGGAAATGAAATATTGCGGACCACAACCTTCCAAGACTGATGTGGAACTGCCTGTCCTAATTCTTAGGAGAAGCAGAAGGGTGGATCTACCAAACTCAAAGGCGTATAGATATCCAAATAATCCTATAGGCTACCCCGCCAGCTAGTTCCGCAGATTAGTATATTTGTGCATATAAGCCTTAACTAGAAAAGTGGGTATATATAACCTATGTATATGTGTTGATGCTGGCTTCAGTGGTACTGCTTGGTATTTTTTAGATTTATAAGTTGTCCGTACTCCCCTTCTATTTGTTATCCGACCATATTTCTTTATCTATCTAGTGATTCTAGCGACTATATACGTTAGCCTTAATAACATTAGCTTCTACTCTTATCCCCTTATAAAGTACTCTTCATGTGCTATACCCTCTTCCTATTAGAGAGCCTATAATATCTCTGGGGCTCCACAAACATCTCCATATGCTTTACTGCTGAGCCTGTATTTTCAAGGAATAACCTTCAATTCCATATCTGGCTACCACACTAATATCCCTCAAGAATCCAAAGCTCCTATAAGGAGGAGTTTAGATTTACGTATAGGTAATGAATTTGATATCAAAATAGAAAGAGTTATAACGCAAAGCAATAAGCCCCCGCATGATACAGACACAAACATACACCTTAACTTAGTGTTACGGGCTGGCTGTCAAGCAACGTGAGTGTGCACTTCCAAAGTGTTACTTACCGCAAGCCGTTATCCTGCAACTGTACCGTCGCCGTCGCTGGGCCTTACACGGGCTCGAGTCTTTAGGGATCCTTGCACGGTAATGCTTGAACAGGGAATCCGCTAGCAAGTCAGTCACGAGTGAGGTTATCACGAGTGAGCTCCCACGCTAGTTGAGGGTCGTCTTCAAGGGTTCGATTGTGATCAAGTAAACTGTAGTCTGATTCGTACTGTAGGTCTCAATAACAATAGAGTAATAATCGCGAAGAACTAAATACATGATGGGTAAAGAGTGTCCTTATATATCTAGTCCGTCCTATCCGTCCGATGGGATCGGGTCCCATCTGTCAGTGTGATCCGGTCTCATCCCATCATGGGATGGGACCTCGTCCTATTCTCGCATGGGATCCATTGTTGGAATAGATCCGTGGTCACGTGTCATGGGGCCGGAAGTGGCTTCTCATGCACCGTTCTTCCCTTATAGCCAGTATATGTTGCAGTGGTAAGCGACAGGCCATATCTGGCTCCCTAACAGACTCTTTCTGTACGTAGTAGGCGGTCTAGATGGCATGTAATACAAGTCTGATTTTCTCTCATCCTATCACTATCGCACATAAACATCTGCCGGACTCAAGACACGTGATTGGTCATGTGACCATTCTGGTTCGACCAATCAGCGTGCTCTGTTCCAGTGGGATTATGATTGGCTCAGTTCTGCCGTGTGGAGACACGACACTGAACTGGCTGACACACCCCTTCAGCTGCAACACCTCGCTGTCGCTGCTGCATACAGATCAAGAAAACACCTCAAATAAACACTTCTACACGTTGTTGTCGTTACTAGCCCGCAGGGTCGACCGGAACGTACGTTCTGCCTCGCTGGCAACGCCCCCAACGCCCCCGTCCATCTCGCTTTTCAACGTGTTCATATCACTCTTCAGGGTCACTGTCGATCAGGTCTTCGACATCCTTGAGCCTCAGGAGACGTAAAAAGTTCTCGTGTTTCTGCCTGGGCAGGATCTTCGTCAATCCATCAGCAACCATATCGTTCGTAGGTACCCATTCAACGTGCAGCCGTCCAGCTTGCACCTCTTGGCGTACCCAATGTCCTTGAATATCGACATGTCTCAATTTTGTGTCCAACGGCAGTTCGGATGTGATCAGGTTCACCGTCCGTTGGTTATCACATCTCATAGTGATAGGGCCACCGGGATTGAACTGAATCCGTTCGAATAGTCGTTGCCACTATTCGACAGTCTTTCCGGCGTCAGCCATGGCTAGCAGCTCAGCTTCAGTAGTTGACATCGTCACTGTACGTTGCTTGGACGCTTTCCAGTCCACTGGTCCACCAAATATCTGACAAATATATCCAGATGAGCTCTTTCGATCAGCGTGGTCACCATATAAAGCGTCAGTAGACACCATAACAGCTGGTTCTGTCGCACTGTACTCGATTGCAAGGAATCTGGTGGTATATAAGTATCGAATCAGATGATCAACGGCAGCATGGTGATCTGGCCCTGGATTCGTCATGAATTGGGCTACAACCGAGGCCATCTTCGACGCGTCTGGACGAGTCATTGTCGTGGGAAAGTTCACTGATCCAACCTTCTGTTGATACTCTTTTATCGACGCTGGCGACGCCATTAATGCGTATGGCTCTAGGTTTCCTGGCCGTCCAGGGAACTTCACAACATGGTCTGTGAGGTTAAACTTGACTGCTATTGCTGTGATGTTACTATCCTGAACGAGCCAAAGTTTTCTTGCCTTTCTATTGCGTATAATCCTGATGTTCAGGAACCATTCTGCCTCCCCATGATCGGTCAATTGCCACTGCTTATTGAGTAGATCATGTAGCCTCCTTGCGTTATCTTTGGATTCTTTTCTTAACGTAATCAGAATGTCATCAACGTAGAAGAACACAATCAGACCGTCTGTGACGAACACACAGGGATCCTCTGCTACCTGGTATAGTCCTAGGGACAACAGCACTCGTGATGCTTCCTTTTGCCACAGTTTCGGCGTAACTCTCAAGCCATATAGTGCTTTAAGCAGTCTCTAGTATTTCCCAGCCTTCTTCACCCCTTCAGGGAGTGCAACATAGACATCATCGCCTATCGGTAAGTTTAGGAACGCGTTCACAGCATCAAGCTGTACTAAATCGAGATCGTACGCAGCCACAAGTACGAACAACATTCTCGCTGTACGTGCTGCTAACGTTGCAGCCTTCTTCTCTTCAGTTAACACAGTTTGTAGGTCTCCACGCACACATATTCTTGCCTTATGCTTCAAAAGAAAACCATTCGTATCAAATTTGTAGGTAAACACCCACATCAGCGGTAATACTTGCAGTCCACGGTCCTTTGGACGGTCAACGATCTCCGCGGTCCCCATTTTCTCTAACGAGTCCAATTCTTTTCTCATCGCGGTGATCCATGCGTCCCTATACATGTGCTTAAACACATCCTTATAGAACCTAGGCGGCGGTGGGAGTTCGTCTTGATGTTGCTTGTTCTGCTTTGTAAACATATTGGTTGCAAAAGCTTGCAAGAACTCTGCTGGTTCTGGAGCCATTATATCCGAATCTATCATACTTATGTCCATCATGGCCATATCAAGGTCTGTCATCACTACATCATGATCTTCCATTACTATATTAGCGTATTGATAGCTTGGATCACGCTTCTGCACATGTTTCCTCTTCCCCTCAATGATATGAGCTGGGTCGACGTCTGCACGGTCAACGTCTACACGGTCTACCCCTGTACTGTATCGTTGCTGTCTGATGGGAAATGGAACTGGATCCACTCGAATATTGGTCTGACGTGGTATTGGTCGATCACGAAGAAAATCAACACCTTCCTGAGTTAACGACGTTCGTTCTGGAGTCACTATAGCGTCCCTTGAGATCACCACAGTATCTCCTGATGTCGCTGTAGCGTTCTCTGGTGGTGGTGACGTCTGCGCAGGTGTGTACGGTGGTGTAGTTGATGTAACTTCAGGGAAAGCTCCAGGTATTGCTGACGGTGTGGCTACAGGCGTCTTTGAACGTTCAAAATAGTCATGGCCAAGCCCTTGGTTACGTGCTGGAGTCGCTTGATCAAGCCCCTGAGATATCGAGGGATCAGGTGATGATAGTGGTCCAGTTTTGCTGAGTTCTGTTGATTGCAACTTACTATAAACGGTAGCCTCTGATTGGCCTAGCCGGAATAGATTATCTGACCTATATATCACCTGATCTTGAACTTCGTTTTGGCTCTCATCTCTCGCTAGGGCTTGCTTACTAACGTTATCCCTAGTCCTAGCAGGCTCGCTAGCAACTATAGGATATTCCGTTACGCTAGATTGCGGTATACTTCGCTGCTGTCCGGTCCTATCATCTCTATTCAGTGGATCCTCATGTTGCTGGCGCTGATCTTGTCTCTGTCGCACACCGAGAGATTCATCCAGCCCCTGCCTCAGCACGGCTAAGTATTCATCTGTTAAAACCACTGTCGCCTCAGGCAGTTGTTCTGGCATAGCAACAGGCTGATATCTTGGCAGTCCAGGGTGATAACGTCGTGTTTCATCGAACACAGCGTCACGTACGTATTCAACCTTGCCCATAAACTTGCTGTTATGTATCTTCCTATGTGGGAACCATATCTTCCACATATTTGAAGCTACATAGCCCACAAGAAAGCCTACTTCTACTCTTGAATCAAGCTTCTTGTCATAACCCTCCACGCTCTCAGGCGCTATCCTGCAGTACACTAACGATCCATATATCTTGACATTTGCAATGTTCACCTTCGTTCTCTCTGCTGGCGCCACAAAGCTATGTGCAAGCTCCCATGGAATAATCCATAAGCCATTATCAAGCTTTGTTGGTGTACGATTCAGCAAGTATACTGCTGTCGCCTTTGCCTCGGGCCATAGTTGTTTTGGGAGTTTCCCCTCTATCAGGAGGCATCTTGTGAATATTATTATAACGCCTCCTGATCGTTCAGCTGGTCCATTTATTATTGGCGAGTACGGTACTGTGAACGTGTGTATAAAGCCCATGAACGTTAGGTAACGTAGTGTATTCTCGTCAACTGATCTCTCGTTGTCTGAGTGCCACACTCGTATAGGCATATTCAGCCACTTGATGGCGAATGTATAAAACTCTTGTATACAGTCTTGAACCTCGCTCTTGAACTTATATGTCTTGCTCCAATGAAACCGTATACCCTCAACATAGAAGTGAGTAATCCATTGATGTCGATTATAGCCTGCTGGCATTTGAATCAGATCAAAATAGACTCTTCCAAGCGGTCCATAGTGTTTTCCAATAGTTCGACATGATATTTGACGCTGCGCCTTAGCCAGCTGACAGATCTCGCACATTGTTAAGCTACTGGTGACACTATTAATCTTGTCCTTATTCTCATCAACACATACACCGTCGACAAATTGTGGTAGCATGCTTATCGATTCGCGATAGACATGACCTAGTCGTCGGTGCCACACCTCAGCAGCTCCGCCCTGTAGTCATTTTCTCTTTGAGGTCTGTACAGCATGTGCATGTATCATAGGCAGTAGGGGCTCCTCCCTCGCTGTCTCCCGTACACACATGCTCATAGCATATTTCTCAAATACTCGCGGATCTGTAGATGGGGTGTGACAGAGATACAGTCCTTGCTCTTTATCACGGTATATGGCGAACATCAGCTGTCCATCACGTATAAAGCAATGGTTCCCTATATCCCAGTAAGCACCCTTTTCCTCCAATTTTGATACTGATATCAAATTACAGTGAAATATTGGCGAATACAGACAATTTAACAGTGTAAACTTGCGTTTCTCACCTATCACTAGGTCCATTCCAATAAACCATACTGTACCACGTCCAACTGCTGGTGTATAGCCATTGCCTGTTCGCAGGCATATAGTGGCCTCCTCAAAATCCATAAATCGAGTTTTATCATTACAGACATGGACAGAAGAGCCAGAGTCAATCACCCATTGGTCCTTGATGTCGTTGCCTGCAGAAGTGTGGAATGCTGAGTGGATACTGATGTCTTCGTATGTGATCGGCTCCACCGACGTTACAGTCATAAAGACATCCTTCATAGCATCTCCAAGCATGTTTTCAATCCCCTTCTTGAGTTCAGGATCCTTTTCCATGGCCTTGCGTACATTCTCAACTCCTTCTTTGGTGGGAATGTAGCCTTCCGGGCGGATTTCAGGTCTGATATCCCAACATTTATACCATCGATAAGTACCACGACCGCACGGGCATAGGCTATACCTCTTTGGCTTTTGCTCTGAGAGCTGCTGTTTATTCTCTGATTGTTTTGTTGCATTACCCGACTGCCCTGTCTTGTTACTAGGCTGGTCGGTTCTTTTCTTCTGTTGTTGGGTCTGGCCTTGCAGTATTGGTTCATTCATTGCGAACGCCGCTTGCGATGGAGATGTTGAGGATGTCGTCTGGTGATACTCAGCGAGCGTAGCACGCAAGCTTGCCGCCAAATTCTCGACAGTATGGGCCTTGTAATTATCCCGCACGTCTTCGAATCTGCTCTGCCACCAGATACGATCGACATCCTTCACAGCATGGATAAAAGCCAGTGGATGGAGCTCCTTGGTCTCTATTTTATAACCAATAACTTCTATCCTCTGCTTATTCCAGGCCTCATACCACCTATCAAAGGCTTGCAGTCCCATAGCTCTCTTAGGGGGTCCAACCATCTTCATACATGACCACTTACACCATGATTCATACGGTCTTGCACTTATACGACCGAAAATCTCTTTCAATTTCACTAGCTTCGCGTATGGTGAGCTGAAGCCGGCGCCATTGATAAGGGTATGGTGTGAAACATCCAGTCTTGCGATGATCTGGTTGCCAATAGCGATTAGGCTAGTATCTTGCTGAATCCAAGCCTTATAATCACGATCATACTCATCCAATTCATCCTGGTAATATCTCCAGGCTGCGTTGGCAATCTTACGTGACTTTTTCACGTCTGGGGGGTCGTCAGCCTCGTCCGGCTGCGCACCAGGGACCCTGCTTGGGTGCAGCGGTCGATGTGGCCGTACGGGCTTGACGATCAGGTTGAATTGCACTTGTTCTTCTGGCAATTCGGGGTCGCACACGTCCCATACATGATACGTGTCAGCGATGTTCTCAATCGATGAGATCCAGTGAGTCCAATTGGCCTCACTCTTCAGCATGACGCTGCTGGCCGTTGCGGAGACTGCTACACCGTCCATTGCTGCACGAAGACCGCACTCAGGGGACAGGGCACCTTATTCGGAGAGGGAACGACGACGTATGCGACGACGAGGTTCTTATGGAAATTCTGAATAGCTTCACTGTCGAACTAAACCGGGCTCATAACTAACAGACTCTTTCTGTACGTAGTAGGCGGTCTAGATGGCATGTAATACAAGTCTGATTTTCCCTCATCCTATCACTATCGCACATAAACATCTGCCGGACTCAAGACACGTGATTGGTCATGTGACCATTCTGGTTCGACCAATCAGCGTGCTCTGTTCCAGTGGGATTATGATTGGCTCAGTTCTGCCGTGTGGAGACACGACACTGAACTGGCTGACATATCCCTTTTGTCCTGATTCCGATGGCATCAATTGCTGAATCAGCACACTCAACTCCAAGGCGATATGGAAGTCAGCCTTGTCGTTGATTTGGCCAATTATGGGTTGAAATCTGAGCGCCAAGATATGGCGGTTTCAGGCAGGTCGAGGGGGGCCAATAACGCTCTTACCTGGACTCAGCTTAGAGGGTCTGTGTGGCGGCCGTCCGCACAGGGGCATCTCACCCGGCTGTCACCCAGTTTCTCACCCCGTCTATTGCGCACTCACCCTTCTCACCCCCGGTCGCGCGACCGTAAAGCGGCGCTCACCCATTTCTCGCCCGGGCGTCACCCACCCGATTACTGGCTGCACATAAGCCACACGCCGGTCAGTTAGTAGTATGGTGGGTGACCACATGCGAATCCTGACTGTTGTATGTTTTGTTTTGTTTTTCTTGCTAAGTTTCTCCCCTTTCTAGAGGATATTTTACTAGTCCTAAGATACGCTTGACACGTTCTACCGCTTTTATCTGACTGCTTTGAATACCACTATTCTCTACCCAAATATCCTGCCCGTCTGAAGCGCTGACGCGCCCCGCCCCTCGATATCACATGCTGATACCTTCCAAGCCACTTCATTTTTGTGGTCATGGGAGTAGATCAATTCTGCAATGTGACCGGCCAATGACAGGAATCAGAGCGGGTCGCAAGTGATCTTCGTCTTCCCTCTTCCACCCAGCACTCGTACTGCGAAACTCTCTCCACTCAACAATTCTCTTTACGTGGAATCTCGATTATACATGATGGACTCACCGATATCTTTCAATGGCTCAAACTATGGTTTACAAATCGCGCAAAACAATGGACAGACCACCTGGAATGCGCATTTTCACTTGTCCCCAGGTAAAGTCGCCTTCAATGTTGATTGTCAGATAATTCACATCTCTGATAACGTGAATCAAGCCCCAGAAGAGCGACCACAGCCTTGTCTCATGATTCCATTCGGGCGCGATCCTGACTTTGTGGACCCGGGATCTCTTGTAGACAGGGTGCATGCACTCAGCTCCAAGCCCTCGGCGAGACTGGCCCTAGTTGGTTTCGGCGGAGTTGGGTAAATATAAGCCACTTCAGTGATAGTTTCAGTGTTTTTAACAAGGTTTCAGCAAATCTGAGATTGCCATCGAATACGCATACTGGATCCGAGAGCAGTCGCCTGGGACTTGGGTTTTCTGGATTCACGCGACTGACATTGTGCGATACGAAGAGGGACTGCGTGACATCGCAGAGCGCGTCAAAATCCCACACCATCGAGATCCAACTGCCAATATATTTCAGCTTGTTGGTAGTTGGCTCCAGGGCCAAAAATCAGAATCATGGCTTCTAATCCTTGACAATATTGATGATGATGAATATCTCTATCAGCCAGCGTTCGCAAGTCCCATTTCAGCTGGTAGTCATGAACGGATTGAAGTAATCAGCCATCAAAGGGCCGACTTTGATAAGTCGCCGCTTGATTATTTACCAAGAGTGCCGCATGGGTCCATCATATTAACGACCCGTAGCAAGCAGGTTGCAACGAATCTTGTCAATGAATGCGATATTATAACAATCGAGCCATCAGAGACCCATGCACTTGCTTTGCTTGAAAGAAAACTCAAAATCGATGCCGCCACGGATGTTTTGAGTTTAAACATACTTGCTCGCGAACTTGACTGCATAGCACTTGCTATTGTACAAGCAGCAACTTTCATCGCACGTCACTCCCCTCGATCTTCTGTGCAAAAGTATCTTGAAATGTTTCAAGAGAGCAACCAAGCAAGAGCAAGCCTTTTGAAGCGCCAGACAAGACTTCTGCATCGCGATCAGAGAGTCGATAACTCCATTATTGTTACACTGCAATTATCCTTCGAATTAATCAGGAAGGAGAACCCAAAAGCCATGGATATCCTTTCTTTCATGAGCTTTTTCGATCCGCAATCGATCCCAGACTATATACTGCATACATCATTTCATGATGATGATGATGATGATGAGGCTAAGAGTGATGTTGACAAGAATTATACGCCATTTGGACCCTCTTATCAGGAAGATAAAAACATTGATCAGATTTTGGAAGACAAGGGTAGTAGTGCCGACCGAAAAGCCACATTCAAATTTTCTGGATTGGATTTTGAAGATAGCATTGCCATACTTAAAGACTACTCACTCATTTCCATCGATCCTGAGACGCTGAGCTTCGCGATGCATGGTCTTGTGCAACTTTCTATCCAGGATTGGCTTGACATACAAGGAAAACGTACCTATTGGAAAGAAAATTTCATTCGCGTTCTCTATCTAAAATTTCCAAAATTCACCAACATGGAAAACATCGCAAGATCCAGGTCTTTGTTCCCACACATTCATTCGGCAATGTTACATGGTCCAGTCTCAAATCATCGAATAAGATGGGCCAGATTGATTCGTCATGCCACTGATTTTGTGCTCTCTTGTGAAAGACCACACGAAGCCAAGCGCTTGGCCGTTATGTCACGGAAGGAAACCGAGAATATTCTTGGGTGGGAACATCCAGAGACAATCACTGCCTCCCTCTTCGAAGTGAAAGCTTTGATGAAATGCGAAGAATTTGAACATGCGGAGGGGAAATGCCTTCAAACAATCGAAGCATGTAAAAGCTTTCATCTGGAGACGGGCTACACAGTCTATCTTACGTTTCGCGAGATTCTCGCTGAGATACTTCATCGACAAGGATCTCATCGTTGGGCTGAATCTGAATCTGAATACAAAGAGCTATTGGCAATTTGGGAGCAGAGGAATCCGGGCAATGAACATGCGATTACCTATACCAAGGCAGGTCTAGCCGAACTATATCGAGATATGGATTGTCTTGACAAAGCGGAGACCATACTTCGACAATTGGTAGACTCACGCAGATACTGTCAAACAGATCGTCGTCAGGACCTGAGTCGCCACATGGAGAGCTTGGCATCCCTGTATAAACAACAAGGTCGTCATGAAGAAGCCATCACGCTTTCGGCAGAGGTGCTTGAACTTCAGACCGCTGCATTTGGCCGAGAGCATCCGCGAACACTTTCGAGTATGAGAAGCTTTGCAAGCGCACTGGAAGGTCAAAGTCGAATTTCGGAAGCGACGGAATTCATGCGGGAGGCTTTTGACAAGCAAAAGATGATTTTTGGACTAGACCACGTGGAAACAACGCACACAGCATATCTACTGATCGACTTATTAGTTGCAAACGAAGAGCTAGAGGCCGCAGGTTGTCTAGCCGAAAGCTTGATCAGCGTTCTTGACCCAGATGCCTATTCTGCGGACGCCTTTTCAGCTAAGCTAGTGGATATATATCTAGCAGAAGGCTGGGCAGAGAAAGCTCTAGAGATTCTGACGAACTCACTGGCAAGAAAAAGACATCTTCATGAGGAAGAGCATGATGAGGTGCTTAGTGCTCAGGTTAATTTGGCGTTATGGCACGAGAAGCAAGGTGACCTTCGTAAGGCTGAGCATCTCTACCAACATGTGCATCAGATTCGCCAGCGAACTCTTGGCAGCGAAGACCCAAACACACTTGAAAGTCTTCAATGCCTTGTAGATCTTTATTTGATGCATGATGGCCTAGTTAACTCTGAGTCACTGTGGTCGATGCTCAATCAACTTTGCAAGTCAAGAGAAGCATTGTTTGGGAGAGAGGACCCTCGGACTCTTCTGAACCTGTACGCACTATCACTAGAGTTCAATGCACAGGAGAAACCATTCGATGCGGCTGTCCTGCAACAAGAAATTCTCCAGATATGCCTGAAATCTGAGAGCGACTTTGAAGTGCTACCAGATCTACTTGAAGCATTGGCAGACAGCTGGGAAGAACTCGGCTGTGAGGAGAATGCTGCAGACCTGAGAGGACAACTCGAGATCATATCTGAAAACACGTCCTCCGGGGGACTTGCTACGCGTCTCAATTCCTCCAAAGCGTTGTTAGAGCGTTTAGAGAAGTTCTCACTGACTGCTCAATCTTTCGGGGGCTTGGACTGAACCTGAAAAGAATGTCGGATTAAGCAAGAGCATCTAAATAGATTTTTTCTCCCCCGCCCCCTTTAGACCTCTCCAGAAATTTACTTGTGGTGGGAAACGAAGCTGGAGGGAAACGGACATGGGAGAGGGAAGAAACGGAGAGCTGGGTCTGGCTGATCTACTCGAAACGAAAACGAGTGTTATACAAAGAGACCTGGGAAGCAGCAAATGGGATAAACCTCATAATCATTCAAGCTTTCTTCCAGTGTTAGAGATTGTCGTTCTTGCCCTTCCCGCGCTTGTATTTCTGCATCTCCATCATATTGTCACGGGTTAAACCCGTTATTTTATATCACGTATAGCACGTGATATCCCACCCCATCTTTGCCCTTACACACCCCATATTTCCTGATTCTCTATATTATTCTAGACAGCACATCTGACCTGGTTCGTTTGAATATAAAACCACCTTGTTCCGTCACAATAGGTCATATTTAAAGTATATCTATATAAATCTATAAGCCATTTCTCAATCTAACTATCCGTCCCTATTCCAATCTACTCTAAGAATACGCGGTATGTTTAGATATCTAGGGGATCAACAGCCTATGGATATAAGTTGAGAAACCTAAGGATATTAGTTTAAATAATGAC